CCCTTTAGCTAGAGTATTCTATATAAAATTATTAGTATAGGGTCCTATAGTAGAAATCGAGGGTACTAAGTAGTTTAAGATAACTTAGTACCCTTCTAACAAAAACACTTGGTACTCTAAGAGGGTACCAAGTTCACTAGATATAGGCCACAAGTGTACTAGGTGCCTTTTGTCCGCAAATGTCTTACTTGAGAGAGTCCGACATAAGCTGTATACAGCTTTCAGCTAACCTCTAATGCCCTTAGTTCTCGTCTACCTATAAATTTAGATTATTGCACCTGTCTTTATTAAGGAGGAAGTCGCGAAATAAAGGAAAATGCAGACGAAGCGGCCGGCCTGTATCCTTTGGAATATCGAGGATGTGCGTAGATATCCGCAATTCCATCTTCTATAGTCTGTTTAGGAAGATAGAGTAACCTAGGTAACGAGTTAATACATAGCGGTCAGTATAGCAGCACTATAGCCCCAAGAACTTGCTTAGCCACCGAGTATCTGAGTTCCTTCTCTTATTTTAGGTATTCTTCATGAATCGTGATTTTGAGGACTGTCGTGTAGATGTTGTTCAGATAGTGTTCCGGGGCTAGAGCAAATGTACTGCCCTCGAGCATCATTGACAGCCTCTTCGCTACGTACCATCGTCCCTCTCGGATGAATCGACAGGCAGTTACAGCCCAGATGAAGAGGCCATTGGCGTTTAGGACCAGTTGTCTAAGAGCTTGCTCACCTGGCCAGCCAGTTCCAAGAGCATATTCTCCTCCAATCAATCCCATCTCCTGGTATAGAAATATAAAGATGTCATGGTCCACAGTGGCTGCTTTAATATCATGGAGGATGAAGTCGCGGTATTCACTATCAGGAATCTGGTGGAAACCGTATCGGATTGGAACCTCTGGTGTGCTTGTGATCAGCACCCCCAGTCGGACCTGTAGAAATCGAGTCTCAGCCAAGAGTTGTAGAATTATCCGAATGTGGTTCTCATTATCGCATTCGTCAAGGGCGTCGACTACAAGGGCGTCGACTACAAGCACGTGCGAAGATAGAGATGACCTGCCGTCTAGCCTTGATAGTGGGCGGAAGACAAGCTGGCGCCACTGGTCGCGGAGAGACTGGTTCGCAATATCATTCTGCTCTGTAATAGCATCGGAAATGAATTGGTGGACGTGTGGTACGTTGTGCGCAAGCTGTGAGGCAAGACTTGTAAAGAACTTGCCAGCATGGCCAACATCTCCACCACCTCTTGAGAAGAAGAAGCTAGCCCCAAGACGCTCTTGATCAAAGTATCTACGGGCGATAGTGCGCGCAATCGTCGACTTTCCTGTGCCGGCCAAGCCATTTAACCAGAAGATGCACCGCTTATCTTGTCTATCGGCCTAGTCATATATCTCTTGTAGCAAGTCGACCCGGGTGTCGGGAAGGCAGGTAGGTGCGTGTTGTTTGTTGTATGAATTGTAAGGCGCATCGGCAGCGGACGGAAGACGATCGAGTTCTGAGTTACCTGTTAGCGCTCACTTTGGTTGCTATGCAGGATGTCAAACCGAATTTCTGTGCTCACCCTTTGAAGGTTTCACAATCTCCTCCCGGGGCCGGATGAACGTATGGTTTCTCCCTTTACCATAGATCAACGGTATATAGACGTTGAATATGCCTAGTAGCGAGTACGCTATATCTTCTTTGCGAGTTGTCTCTCGCTTTTCTGCCTATGACATTCGTTCGGTCACGCTAAAATCAGCTAAAAGGCTTCCTCGAAGATGACGGGAATTCCTGTTATCTCGTAGATATGTCGTTCTAAGGATGCCTTGTTACCTAGATGCTCCTAGTACTTCGAGAAGAATTCAACCGATACCGGAGCAATAAGCTCTTGAAGGGTCTAGCCTCGAGTGAACTATCTACTTATCCGAAATGCCGATTCCCAGGGTAGTTAGTGGGACTTGTTGTCAATATCGAAGGAAGGTTTTAGAACATCTAATAGGTAGACGTAGTATTTAGCCGCATTACGATATTAGCGAAACATAGAGTTGATGGCCTCTGCGAGCTCATTATTGTTCGATTTGTCGATACAATATGTGTCTATCTAAAAGTATTGCTAGTTGTCGTGTCTTGCCTATTCTCCGTAGAACCGAATCTTGCTATAGCCAGCCTTGTTCTTACTAGTACTATCCATTAGGTCTCTGAAGGTGACCTCCTCGGTATCGGCTCTCCATGTGTGCGAAAGTATAGTATACCGCGGAATATCGTCGCCGAAGTCCTTGGTCAGGCTGAACTCGCCATCGTTACTTAGACGAACAATATTGTATTCGGTAGTATTAACTATAGTCGATTATTTAATAGTTCTTACCTAGTTACTTAATTTCTCCTATACCCTTACTCTTATTCGTCGCAAAACACGACTATACAGAACCGATAGGCCTCATTCTAGGTGCTTGTAATCGCGCGCTAGAGCCGAAGAAGTTGACGCTATTGGTTTTTTGTATTCCCAGGCTTATTCTAGCGAATACTCTAAGAGGAGTGTAGAAAGCCAGGTGGCATTCTTAAAGGAAACATTTTGTGGTTGAGATTAAGACCTTTTGTACAATATATATTGCGGTAGATATCAGTACTTAGTAAACATTTCAGTCAATAGTAATGACGATAAAAAATGTTCTCATTTCGCCTGTTCCACTTTTGGTTGGGCATGACGGTGCCAGGATATTGTTATCGTGAGACCTGGATTAATTATTTACATAGTGATGTGACATCGTGAGTTTTGGCAAAAGGTGCCCGCCTCTGCCTGCTTAGCCTAAACTTTTAAATCCAGTTCAGCCTCTGTGTTTTTATAAAGTATGCGGTGTCTCTCATCGCTTGCAAGCAAATGCCGAAAAGAAATATCAAGTCCCGTGCAGCAAAACTTGGGGAGCATATGCACTTCAAGAAATCAACGAATAAGGGGCTGCTTGAAATATATATCTTATATCGACAATCATTTCCGCCGCCCGTACTACCCTTGGCTGATTGTGGTCTAACTGCAGATTGAGGACTATTGATAGATGTAACAGAATGGCCCAGCTAAAGTGCTGACGAGCTGCGTACTTGCAATACCTCCAAATCCCTTGGGTGCAACAACTGATAATTCTTGAATATCAGTAATCTTCCCTCTTGGGCTATTGGGCTGCATCATGACGGTTCCACCTTTATATTGCTGGACCCGGTTCGCAGGATCTTGGTTCTGCCATATCCACCAATGTCTATCCACCTGGCCATGATGAAGCCAGAACACTGGTTCTGCAGGTGAAACATAGAAGTCTCCTCCTGGATCCCCCCAAATAGAGTAATGACCGCCAGTATGAAGCGAGAATGCCGATTGGACATCCTTTTGTAAAGTGGTTTCGAATACTTCAATATCAGAGGTTGACTTGATGTGATTGGCGATATCAACCGGCCTCGAAGATCTTGTGGTGAAGTAATTATTGACATCTCTTCTCAGACATCTTGGATTGTAACCATATCCATCCGCTCGAGGATTTTTGGGAATTTTCAAGTTTGGATCTACTGAAGGCGCAAGCGGCCCAAGATTGACCGTCATACTTTTTTCAGTTAGCGAGCCTCCGACAAAAATAATCATCCAAGTCTTACTTTGCGAAGGGACCAGTTCTGACACAACCTCCTCCGTTGCCTGCCGGCACATTGACGCTTGCCATTCCTAGAGCATATCCAGCATGCTTAACATATTCCCCATTCCCACCCATACTGTATGCGTCGCCATTGAATATTGGCGAAGTATTTGGATCTGGATATTTGCCCCAATTCCAGTACTTGTGAAAGTTAGAATGAACTAAGTGCGAGCGTACAGCTTGGTGTACTCACTGGCTGGTAACCTTTGTAGTTGCATTCTGATCTCAGCGCTGTTTCGTAAGCCCAAATATAGTATCTGTGCCAATGCAAGAAGTTGGCCTATCCGAATTTAGTGTTAGAATATTCTAGCATTATTTCAACCATACTTACAGTATCGTGAACGTGCATCGTCATGTTAATGTGAACCACCACAAAATCATCAAACCGGTTCTTCGCTCCAGGATACTGAGTCGCACTCAATTTCGATGGTGCGGCCAACAGACATTTCACTGCATTGATATAGTCGGTCCTTTCGTCCAAGGACAGGTCACCACTATAGTTCATGTTTAGCATTAACACTTTATGAGTACTTGATTTGACTCACTATTCCTTCCGCACCGCGACATTACTCTTCGTGCAAGTTGTTATTTTTGAGCCGTCTTTCAGCGTTCCATTTAGTACCTTGTACGCATTATTCAAGGCTGTCGTCGCGAGGTCATCATCTGGTCCACGTTTGTCCACGGGAGTCGACAAGGCCAGTTTGCTTGCAAGGGAGGTCAAAAAGACCGTCACCCATGATTTTGTTGAGACCATTTTGTAAAACTTGGCGAGAGTAAGAGGTAAGACAGATAAAAAGAAAGAAGCTGGCTCTATTTATTATTAAACGCTGCCATCGGTTCTTCTTACACAGCTGACGAGTTAATATATTATCATCTAACCTGTCATCTTTGAATTCGCTTAAATATCCTGCAGATTAAAAATGCACCTTTGTATTAATTCCTTTCGTCTCATTCGTGGTCTCGTGTGAAGATGAATCGACAGGAAGTATATATATCAAATCACCCGTCTGACGATGATTAGCATGGTCCAATAGAATGCCCCGATGAATATGTCGTTAAACTCCCTTGTCTCGGCAAAATAAACGACTACCAGGCTGGGCAAGTTCGGCAATTTTGACGCCTCCAATCATCCAGCCTGTCATATCACGTAAACTCAATCATTATGACAAATTAGGGACAAAGGTTTGGGGTTCGGTACCTGACTACGGTTTTTCTCTGTTGAGTCAGGTGAGCGGGCGGGTTGTCGCAAAATTTCCTTTGATCCGTTGTGTAGCTGTCGATCTCAAACAGTACGAATGAATCCAAATCCACGACCCCGTGTTTGTTTGTTTTTTGAGCGGCAATTCTTCTTGGATAACAAAACTTGGAATACAATGATGAAGGTCTATGAAGAACCCTGCAATATGACTTTGGTCTTTATTGGACATCGGCAGTTGCTACCAGAGCCGAGAGGAACGTGTTCAAGTCTGAAGGCATTTTTATTTTAAGGGTGTATATTACTTGGCATTGTCACTGTTCGAAACTTCTGACTTACCACATAAGGCTTTGTCCCATATCGATATTTGAGGATGACTGAAAGTCTGTTACAGCACTATGAGTCTAGTTATGATCTAAACTCGAAAGGTGGTTCTTCTTCATCGTTGACAAGTGGACTGATATGAAACCAATCAAGTACATGATTGCAGGTACAGCTTCATAACATTCGTGTTCCAGACTCGACAAAGCCGACCGTCTAGTATTTGCTTCCAACGGTCGCTCCCAACGGCTCCAAGTGCATAGAACAAGTCATTTGGATCGTAATTAGATTTGATTATATTGAGCTTGTTGTAATGCCTGCCATAAAACACATACTTCCAGTCCGGTTGCTGAAAATCTACTTCGTTCAAATACGCTCCACCGTCGGGAGCTAGAGATGCTAATTGAGGTGTAAGAACTTTGGTCATCAGATCTTGGTTGACTTGATTGGAATCATAATCTTGGTAATTAAAGTATGTTCCGAGAGCACTGAGAACTGTAGTCTTCCGCCAATATGGATTTGCAAAAGCCTTCGAAGCATCATACATTGAAACGTCCATTGTAAGACCAACAAATATAAAATTTAAGTTGACTGTTCTCTTGATTGCTGATATCAGTGCCGGTATGTTGCATTCAAGCACCTCCCGTGGGATAATTCGGCTGCTTATGATAGAGTTGGAAACATTAGCAGAAGGAAGTAGTGTTGCCGAATAACCTTCAAAAAGGTGGGGTATGTCCGTGAATCATAACTGTATAGCATCCCTTTTGATAAGAGCTGAGAAAGACACGGTTGGAAAGTTCATCTAGAACTTCTTTTGTAAGACCTGGACCGGTCTTCGGAAAAATGATGAGAAATCCAAGAAGAACGTTACATAACTACCTACACTTCCTCTACTGCACAAAGGAGTCCAACACCCACAACCACTTGGCAATTGAATGGACTGAGCTTCAGCCAGATCGTAGTGGTAGTCCACCATTTCAATGAGACTAGACCGAGGTATTGAAAATAGGAAACCTGCCGACACAAGTCCTCTTGCATAATCTCTGTCTTATGCAACAGTACTTGCAGATTCTATCCAGCCAAGCTCTAGGGACGCCGGCCTTTTCTCCTGATCCAAAACGGGATAACACCGGGGCATCCATGTAAGTATTTGCTGCTGCGTAGTTGGCTCGACCGCCAGTCCCGACGATTTCAGTGATAGAGGAGAGTAAGACGAAGATGTCTAAGAGAATTAGAATGGCATTACAACAAGTTAACAATCCTGGGATAATGACTTGCCTTTACGACGTCATTCTCAAAACTCGATATAACAGTTTTTCCCATGACTTTCTGATCGTGCAGGATTTGGAGCGCCTGCTCCCAATTGGTGATGGATTAAAATTTTGTTGTTGGCCTCTTTTGGACGATGTCGCCCCTCGCAAGTGAGGAGAACTTTGCGAATGCGTTAGGGATAAGTGGCTGCCAGAAAAGCCATGTCAAATGTATGAACGATAAGCTTCCTGTCGGAAACCAGTTAACGCATTTGAAGACTCCCTATATAAGCTTTAATAAAATGTCCAAACGGCGCTTGCCATCTGCAAATGCAACTCGCCCAACATCTGACAATGTGCTTAACACGACGTCAATTCCATTAGCAGTGGCTTCCATGATTTCCCAGCAAAACTAGTGTTTCATCTGTCAAAGATACACTCCTCAGGCATGTGGTAATTTTCCACGAACATATCTTTCTCTTCTTAATTGACGGCGACGAAGATATGAACCCCGATGTGTTGAACAAACAGCTAAACAATTTACAAAACCGCATGCCTAAACCCCTGTACAGTAGTTTGTATTAGCACCGTTTGACTCTTGCGTATATTTGGAAACTCAACAAGTGTGTAGTATGCCACAGTAGATGTATAAGAAAACAAGTAGATTTGTTTAAACTTTAAAGTACTTAGTATCCTAGAAATTAGCTAACAGTTGTAAGTTAACAGGTATTAATTATCTCTAGGTATAGATTATACACCCTTTCCTCTATATAGAGATTAGCGTTTATTCTAGCTTTAATTACTACTCTAGTATAAGCTACTAAGAGGGTATCTAGCTTAAAATTTCAAATATCTTGAACTTAAATCGAATATAAACCGATTACCTCTACTTAGACTTTAATTTATTTCCCTTAAATAGTTTACGCCGTTTACTCTTTACTAGCTATATAAACTAGGGGATAATAGTAGGGTTTAAAGCTTATACTAGTATATAGAACTTATTTTCTATTTTATAACTATAAAGTCCTCTACTTAAAATAATTTAAGAATTTAGTCTTTAACTTAGATCTCTAAATTTTATTCTTAAAGATTTCGCTATAATCTAAAATTCTAGTAATAGCAATAATTCGTTATTTAATAGTTAGTACTTATTAATCTCTATTAAAATAATTACACTACTAGTCTAGATATTAGGGTTCTCATTATCTTTTATAGCTAAGTCTATTTAAGAAAATTTATTTTAACCTAGTAAAAGATCTAACTTATAACTAGAAATATTTCTAGATTTTTAAGAATAGATAAAGTATCGCTAGTTCTTCTGTTAATAGTCTAGGTAGTAGAGAATAACTATTAACTTTAAGAATTCTACAAAGTACTATATATATACTTTAATTTTAGTCTTATCGGAGTAATTAACCTCTATTCCAGAAATCTATAAATAGCTAACTCGAGTTAGAATAGCCCTAAAAGCTCTCTCTTTAGTTACTTGTATACGTGTAACAAGAATAGGTTGTAAAGACAATCGAGTGTAATTAGGTGTATAAAGTGTAGTTAGAGATAGTAAATCCTTCTTCGTCCCTACACTTAAATAGTTATACGTCTGCGACAATTTCCTAGTCACCCCTAGTCTGGACATAGTCGAGAAATTAAACGTTTGGCCTAAGGACATCCCTATAGCGTTAAAATTTCATGTAATTACTGTTATTTATTCTTAATATATAGGCTGTTTTGAATTCTTGCATGCTGATTTTCACCCTACTGTTTTCTGATACACAACTGAAATCCTCGAAATATATTTTGTATTGAGTTTGGATTTTCTATTACGATCTCGATCACATCTGCTATATTCTAGTAAACAAAATGTAAATCCTGCAAACAACGATGTCTTATCAAATTTCTCCTCCAATGGACCTATCGTGAAGACTGACTGCACTGCTTTTTTTCGTCGTCGGAAAAGAGTATAGGAATGGAATAGACACCTTCCCTGATGATAAAGCCACGAATTTGATTTCCCGGTCGGGATATTTGCCCTGCCGCTTCGATTGCCATCACGAACACATTCGAAGGCGGAAGTAGTGAAGAGCCGTTGACAACATAATCATCAATCTATAGGAAGTCCGAAGGTCTTGTTATCTTTCGCCATGCCAACAATCGTCCCTGGATCTCTAGGCATGTAGTCGCCGACTTGCATGTTGGCGAAGTCTATCGCTCCAAATTAAATAAGCTCTCGTGCCACAAAGCGCTTAAGTGGACTGTGCCTCTGAGCGACGTATTCCAACGGCACATCTCAACGGTGTGTCTTGCCAGTCTGAACCATGACGTTGTATGCAAACAGCTCCTTTCTTTTTACTGGGTAACGTTTTAGTCCAGAAAATATTGGCTAAGGGGATTTTGCTCGCCAGGCTCTTATGGCTTCTTCGTACTCGTAGTTTGTAGAAAATACGAATTTGAGGATCTAATTAGGGGGGAAAATCTAGGCAAACTCTCTATTGTCTACTCGTGAGTATTTAAGTAGGTTAAGAGAGATTTAGTCTTTCGAAATAGGCGGTTTAACATTATTCTGTTTACGTTATTTGTTATTTACGGGATATACATAAATGTATAGTACAGGACAAAGTGTTTAGTAAGATAAATATATTGATCAGCAGGAGATAAAATGGCTTATTGGGGATAGGCGTTCCAGTCTATACCCCAGCTATCTTCCAATGCTGAAAAATCCGACTCAAGCCATTGTAGCATTGGCTGGGTATCTGTAAAGTCCCACAGGAATTCCTGGTTGTATGTGGCATTTGGTGTTTGTTGATTCGTTTGACTTGAATGTAAAATTGGACTATGTTGCGATAGTGACCCGAAAAGACGTTGAAATGGAGGAGGTTGAGGGCTAGGTTTTGAGGGAGGTGCTGGCGGAGACGGTACAGTATCTGAAGGTTCATAGTGATTTCCTTCTGGTGATAATGGTTGTTGCTCGTCCCTCGTCGTCAGAACACTAGAAGCTAGAGAGCAAAACGGGATGCAAAGTTTATATAACTTGGCAACGGAAACGCTCTGAAATTTATTAGCTCTAATTTACTATCGGTAACGAGTGCAATACGATATCTTTGACATCTTCCAGATAGGCAACGAACTCCTGCATCATTTCGTAGTCAGGGGAATGCCTCGTTGATACGATATTACAGAATAGTACAAAGAATGCTGTAAAAGGATAGTGGAGAATGGTCCTACATGAAGATTAGCTAATCCTCACTACTTTGAAAACACTTACCAGTAAGCGAGTGACAATCTCATGTAAGTACTCTTATACTGGGACAGCTCCGACAGCTTCCTAGAGTTCTGGATGGCATTCAAAGCCAATCTTGCAGCTCTAAGTGATGCCGAATTATATTCCCGATTTTGAATCCGTGCTGCACCCGAGTGAAAAAGCACTGTCTGCACCGAATAAAATGCAAAGTTGACCATTTCTGATTCTAACTTAAAGTCCCATTTGCTGACAATACTTTTGCGTTTGTTCTGATGCTACTATCCATCAGTATTGGTTTGTATTCTAGACGCACTACTGACCTCAAGATTCAATTGCCAGATTGACTGCATTGCCGCAACCAGTTTGTCCATAATCTTTGGTTTGCTCTTTGGGGGGGCTGGGCGTAAATCACTAATAATACGACTCTGAATAATGGAAAGCTCTAGATATATTCTGAAGTTGTCCAGAACTTCTGCCTTCGCACTTGGTGGACGTAATAAATCAACCTCGATACTCGAGTCAGCAAGGAATCCAGTTTTGCCAAGATTCATTGCGAGCCCTTTATCGTTTTTGTAGCAAAGAGCGAAGCAATAGTATGCTTCATCAGCTTGTTCTGCTTGCTGATATATAGATTTATGTAGGTTCATATCCATACACATCTTGCTCGCATATTCAATGATTGCCCATGCAGAGGCGTAATCTCCCACCTCTTGAGCGAGAAGAACCTGCATTAGAGTCAGTGACACCAGATATAACTCAAATTGATACATACGCCATATGTCAAAGCCTGGAGATTACTCAGACTCGCAGCAGGACTGGTTTTTATGAACTGGCCGGTAGCTATTCTCGCAGTTTCGAAGTAGTATAAAGCCTCACGGCGAAACTCATCCTCAAGTCCACTGTTATCTCTATGCACTGAAAGAACAATCTCTTGGATGAAGTAACCCGCATATGAACATACGCAAATCAGACTGGCAAGACTCGTGTCCTCAATGTCTGCTTCAACTATTATTCGACACATTCTTGCAATTGTCGTTCTTGAGGTGAAGGGCATGAAGCTGGAACCAGAACACACGGCTCGTCCAGAGTCGGTCGCTGAGAAATTTAAGCGTCAAGAACGATAGTTACGGAATCTGCCTACATTGTAACATCCATTGCATGATAGTAATATGCGGTTTGACTGATTTGTTTAGATCAATTTCGCCGAAATCATGCGCGTGTCCCAATGACGTGTTCAGAATATCTTTCAACGATGATAGTGCTGAACGAAAGACCGCTTGTTTCGAGGAGTTCAGCCCAGTCGTGCGACTAAGTTCTTCCTGGATCAATGTATGGGCTTCAGCAGCTGAAAAAGGAGGGGTGGGATGTGAGACACTACTCCCATAAGCAAAAGGTGGAGCCAACTCTCTGGAAAGGTATGCAGCTTCATCAAAAGCTTCAGCTCGATTTCTTTTCCTTGACGTGCAACTATCCCTTGGGCTGATAGGCGTTTGCTTGGTCTGGATAGCGATTAATTGGGACAATGAGTTCTCAAGAGCAGTCATGCGACTTTTGATCTCATTGATCGCATTAGTTCTGAGATGCATTAGTACGTCGAACTCTTAAAACTTGGCTATATTGAATACACTTCTTTTGGCACAGTATCTCGAGCCTTTCTTTCTGACTTCTGGCGTTCTCTTCGGCATGGCACTTGCGAATCGATGCAGTTCCCACAGGGCTCATTTCTATCACATCGAATCTAGCGCGACGTTTAGTGATGTCGTTTTAGTCTAAGTCTAAGCAAATTCTCACTTTGCGTACGTAGCACACATCACACTGGGTATGATCCGTATTAGCCAGAAGCTTATTACAGCACCGATGTCTACAAAGAGGTCACGCAAGCTTCCACAAAAGCAACCCAATCTTGAGACCACAATGATAGAAGGCCTTCGGCTTCTTTCTTGCAGATGGAATTGGTTTTGGGGCAGGGAAAGGGAGGATGACTCTACCGCTATAAGAGGCACGTCTGCTTTGAATTCGGAACTCGATTTTGAACTCGCCATTGGGGGGAGGCTAATGCCAGGATAGAGGGTGAATAGAGGTCAATTTTGTGGACCAGATTAGAAACAAATCGACAACAAATAACTTTGAGAGTAAAATGGCTCGTAGTTCAAATGGGAGAAAGTTGTGCGGCAACTTTTTGGTGATGAAAAACGTTGGTGATGGTTCGAATTTCGCTAGTCTCTTGGCGTGTCCCTTTCACATGGTCCGTCGTTGCTGAATGTTTTTGCTTGGCAATTGATGAGCTGTAACAATGCCCAGCGAGTGATATTCGAAGCATTTCACATCTTCTTGGCCTGATGGATGCAAGGTGCGAGGTATATAATAGAAGTTATTGCGCAATAACAATATACGATGATGTATCCTAAGAAGATGGCAAAGATGGCGACAAATAGACAATTGAGTTTTGACTCAGGTAGCCATGTTTCAGTTTCTAACTTCTCCAGGCTCCCGTCGTCACCGTGTCCCCATCGTTAGATCGCATTGTTCACACAACAAGGGAGTGTCTGGGGTCTGAGAGCCCGAACGCTACAAAGAACCCTTTCTCAACTATGTACTAATCATCAAGTTTGAGGGAGTCTTGTCTTGTCGCAAAGCCCTCTAAAGAGAAAAGAGCCTCGGCGCCGAACATCCGAACGTGACTTGTACGTACAGTACCCGTAATTAAGTTTAAACGAAGTCTTGGGGCGGTGGGGTTCAAAAAGCCCGCTTAAAAAAGGAGTCTCGGGCCCGAACACCCGAACGTGACTTTTCAGCAAAGTTTATCTAACAAAAACTAGAAAGAATTGTAAATACGGTACCAGCGGATCCGGCTATGAATAGATATGGTACTATCGCATGGCAAATTCTCCAAATTTCGGTCCATTTCAATATGGTCGTCAGTAACCGCTGCACAGCCTCCTGTTGTTGCAAACGATGCTATCCACGTTGCCAAGCGAAATTCTAGCCATAAGTCAGTCTTGCTAAATGTATATGAGGTATTCCAGATTGCCAATTCCAGATGAAGCTTACCCACCGAGTTTGACATTTCGTGGAAGCCAATTTATGCTTTCTATGTACCTAGCAACACTACGCAAGTTATGTCGAATCAAGGTCAAGACAAGCCTACTTCATGTGCCTCATCACTATCCTCATCTCTCACCTCGTCTTCGACACTTCACTCTCCTAGTGACAGTTGCGGTGCGCTGGCTTTGGACTACGATGAACCACTCACTCCGAATGTATCACCGATCGAATCCTACAATGCCAAACAGACATACACTTTACAGCCTTCACCGAAATTGGTCACATACCAGACAACACTGATTCTCGACGAAACTTCAATTCGGAATTTCTACGGAAAAACTAAATATTGGTTCGAGAATTTTAGCAAAGACGCAGCGAGAGTGGGGTACCTACAGTCACTTTCCTTGGAGGAAGTTGTCCGAATAGCCCTGTGGTGGTTCCTTCATGGTCGAATGAAACTAGTCCCTCTACTTCGTGAAGGCGTAGCGTTTCCTTTCGCACAGAACGACAACAAAATCTTATTGCGACAAGCACACATGAACCTGGCCAAATGTCTATGGATCATCGAAGAAACAAGGAGATTTAAAAATCTTAACGTGGAAGAAACAAATGAAACGGATGAATTACCAGAAACGGAATTGCTGTCACTTCGTTTAGCTCTTCTCATTGGATTGAGATGTGCCGTTTTGGCAATGCAAAAACATGGGATCTTTCCAGAGTCTTCTCTAACACCCATAGATCTTGATGACTCGTTAATCTACGTTCCGTACCAGCACATGGTGTATTTGACGATTCGACATCATCTGGCTCCCTTGCAGACAGAGGATCTCTCAATTTCAAAAGTGTTTCCGCTCAAAGATACAGCTGAAACCTTTCATTACGGTGGAATACATGTTAACCTCGAACTGCCATCCACCTCTGTGCATGAAAAGGTTCCTGCGATAATGTCAGTGGTTAGGTCCAGAGACCAACGAACAATTTCAGCGGTTTGTGGAAATCAAGATGGAAAGATTAGTTTTGTGATTGAAGCAGCAGGAGACTGCCGTTGGAGAGATGCAAGCTGGAAGACGACTACAACGACTTTGGAGATCACCTTCAAGACGGGATTTCGAATGAATATCCAGTTTGGAGCGTGGGATTTTAAGGTTTTAAAGGGGATTTATGACCACGAGAGGGACGCACTCGATTCATTTGAAGTGTCAAACAACGAAACACTTGTTTTCGAAACATCAGTTGAACATGCGCAGTACGGGGTGAAGCAGATTAGGGGGACAAAAAGATTTCCTCTCGAAGAGATCGCAAATTGCAGACTCCGTCTATTTGAAAAGAAAGAGCTCAAAGGTCTGGGGACAGGTTCCAGTAAATTACATTGCGGATACAGGATCTCAATACTCACACCAACATGGGTCAAGGATTTGAGGGTATTTTCTGAGGAGATCTTTCCAAGTCAAGCTGTGCGATTCGGGTTTCTTGGGGGAGAGCCAGGAAGTAAAGCTATTTCGTTGCAATTTGAAAGGGAGGATCTGATGCTGTGTTTCTCACAGCCTGAAGATTGTGTTGACTTCCTTGCGCACTTGACGGGGATTTTCCTCCATGAACACGAGCATACGGTCACGCGTGGACATCTGAATAGTGTCAACTCATTCAAAATCTCATCGTGCATGGAACCCCTCGGTAGCCTTCGTAGCTTTGGAAACTTTCAATGGCAAAGCTTGAGGGTGATTGCGCCCAAAGCAGAAGAGTCACAGCGCGGACTGTGTGAGTCGCTTCGAATTATTGTAGACTCTTCAACAGGGCGGTTGACGGATCGAATCAACGTTGGCCTCGGCGAGCTGAAAGTTCGGCGAAATGTAATATCATCGGGACACGAGCTTCAGATATTGCGACAACCACAAGAGGACCTTACATTCACAGTTTCGGATCTTACGGTAGGAGAGGAATTCACAGATGCAATGCACCAGGACCTGCACACTCTGCGACGAGAACCATCTGTTCGGACTTATACTTTCCCCAACCTCGCCGAACTTCACGCTTTTCAGGAGGCAGTAACTGGTTTTAAAGTTCTGTATGATGGAGTTCCATCATCCTTCTCAATCTCACGTCGCAGGTCTATGATACCCCGCGCCAAAGCATGGACACCGTTATATGCACGACTCCAAATTCTGAATCGTGGTAAGGTCAGACAGTTGGTTGCATACTTCCAAGAATTCAGCCATGGAAAGTGTATGAATTTCCGATTGAAAGAGACCGATGTTTTTGAAAAGTCGAAAAAAGGGGGACTTACCATTCTGAAATTCGTAGATGCAAAGTTCTCCTTACCAGCTGGTGGGAAGAATGATCCGGGTCTGGAAAGAGGATTCGTTTGTCTGGATCTGCTAGAATATCCCGGGGAGCACAGCAACCTTTACCTTGGCTTTGATTCCAACTCTGGTAAGTCTTGATGTTAGTTCGCGATTGTCAGAGATTCTAATTGAGTTTATAGAGTTTGTAAAGTTTGCAGAAGCATTACCTCGGCTAGTAAAGGGTTGAAAGGTTTGGTGGAAGTCTGAACAATTAGAAGGATAGCAAAGTACCCGGAGTTGAGTTTATAGGAAATCTCATCATATTCAAAAACATATCTTGCGACTAGATAATGTTAATTATTATCTAGGTATACTTAGAAGTAACGACAGACAGTGAGTGATAACTAGAACCGAAGCAATTAAATCATCATCGATAATAGAATTGAACTTGTCCTATACATAGGGTTTTGGCTAACACAGATCGCCAGGAAAGTATCGCCAAGGAAGCCCCGAGTAAATGCGCACTTCCGTCAAACGACTGTGTAAGTGCCATGAATGAGCAAGATTGATGCTATAATGGAGACAAGCGGCGTCATGTATACCAGGTCAGAATGAACCACACTCTGAGCCACCTGCAACATCTGATAATTCGGGCATTGAAAATCTCAAATTATGCTGGTAAATCCTTGTTTCTTGCATGAGTGGTAGTGGTTTTTGTGAGACCATTGAGGTTGAATCTGCTCAATAGTCTGAGGGAAAACAATTACATCCCAAACATCTGAACACTCGGAAGGAGAAGAGTAAGGTTAATGAAACATGCCCTCTGCACAAAATTCCGGAGGCCAATCAACACTAGAAACATATATTACATGCAAGGGGGAAAGGAACGAGCGGCAACAGTTTTTGCTTCGCGGCCAAATGAAAGCAAGAGAACTAAGATCCAATCGGCTATTGGACGGGTGAACCAGTTTGTTGGTGAAGAGTTGGAATACTACTCGGTGTACACTGCTATTTACATAACTCAGTATCCTGTTCGCTCAGCTCTTGTTCCACTCTAAGGGGCCAATAGTTTGATACTGATGAGGGTATTTGTGGGGTAAAAACAAAATGACTCTGAAGAAAGTCTTAGAAACTACCGTCTCGGCGCGCGGTGTTCCTCTTCGAGGTCCGACCGTATTATTTTGTAGGCTCATGATAGGGTACTCCACCTAATAACTACTCGTATATTTAGCTCCGTGCAAGGTATTTCGAGGGTCCACGAGGCGTCTTCTTCGTTGTTCGAACTGAACCCATATGAGAACACATCATTGAGTTCTGTAAGTACGTAGCATTACTCGAGCTCCACATCTCACCGCCATCCCCTCATTTCCCAACCACGACCCAACTTATTTAACCTTACGTACTAGAACACCAACACCGTATCGTTGGTAGCGAGGGTAACGACTTTCATTCGACCCCACTCCGATGTTGGACACAAAGCCCTGATTCCGTTCTTCGAGAGGCAATGTGCCACTCTTCTGTACCACGAAGAATAATCATATCTGTACTGTTAATGCTCATCACATAATTCTAAAACTACTCGAGATGCAGCCACCTTATCCATCGTTCACAGCAACGTGGCACAATGATACTTACCCAGCGATAGATCCAACTCGGACGGAATTATCTCAAGCTGGGAAGACTGTCATTATTACAGGAGCGGTGAGTATTTGAGCAAGCACTCAGCACTTTTTGCAAAACATCTGTGCTAAGAGATTTCAGGGCAGCGGAACTGGAAGACAGACAACAATTGCCTTCGCAGCAGCAGGAGCGAAGCACCTGGTGTTAATTGGCAGAACCGAGTCAGATCTGGTTGAAAGCCAAAACTTGATTCCTGCTCCCACAACCAGCACGATATTTGCTTGTTCGGTGGTAGACGAGAAGGCCATCCAAAACGCTGCAGGCAAGATTGGAAATTGGGATGTTCTTATAATGGGAGCAGGCCATGAGCCAAGTCCTGCCAAAATCGTAGATCAAAAATTGGTGGACTTTTGGACTGCCTACGAGGTAAGAACTCAAAATGGAAGATTATTGATTTGCAATATCTAACATACTTCGTAGGTCAATGTGAAGTCGATAGTTATCGCAGCACAAGCATTGTTTCCACACGCAAATGAAAATGCGAGTGTCTTTGCAATCACTTCTGGCGCTATGGCACTGCCCCCAGCTTATACTCCAAATTTGTCTGGGTCTATGGGTTCAAAGGTCGCTCAAATCAAGTTGATGGAATTTTTGGCCGCAGAAAATCCCGACAAGTTCATTTGTAGCGTTCATCCAGGAATACATGACACCAAGATGTTTCGACGATCAGCGGCTGATGCTAGCCAGCTCCCAATGGATACTCGTAAGTCATATTTCAGATCGTATGTGGGCGGTGGTTTGGCGTGGAGGAATGTTAACTGTGTTGATTGTAGTTGAACTTCATGCCCATTTCATGGTTTGGCTGGCAACACCAAAGAATAAATTCCTGCAAGGACGTGTCGTATTCGCGAACTGGGATGTTGACGAGCTCTCTGCTCGCGCCGAAGAGATAACGACTAGCACAGTGTTGACAATCGGCTACTCAGGCTGGCCATTTGCTTAAAGCAGTCACAAGCTCAAATCCGACGGGGTAAGTCACTGATAAATCCTTAAGGCGTCAGCGAGAGAGTTGAGCAAAATAGATGGAAAGGAATATAGCTATCGCCTGAATTCAAAACTACATCAACTACGTCCACTGAACCTTCCTGAAGAACTTTGACGAAATTTCTTTCGTATATGCATCCATAATGAGTCTCTGTGAAGCAAATAATCTTCACTTCTTATGGCGTGGAATATCCCAATAAAGCCTGCTAGCGGCCATGAAGTCGTTATTCTTTCGAACAAAGACGTCCTCTTCTCCAACAATCCCGCGACATCAGTCTTGACTTTATCGTAAACAGTAGGTAATGTAGTAGCTGAATAAGCATTCCTCAAATCTTGATATGCATCTTTGTCGTAGAGATCCCAAAATTCCTCCTCAGTATAAAAGGTTTGGGAATATAGAACCTTTCGGCCTCCCAGCTGCGTGAGTTTGCTCTCCGATCTTCGATTTTGGGCAACGAATGTCTTGATATCTGTTGAAGCTGCACCCCAAAGTCCAATGTTCAGCATCGGCTTGGCAGAATTGTCTGGGCCAGGTAGCGTGGTTGTTGGGTGAAAGGTGGGCGGGTTCACAGCACCTAGAGGGCACAACCATAATGGCCATATCCCAAACTCCTCGGCGGTATATTCAATGAACTTCTCGGCGGTCGAATATGGAAGCGATAGATCTTGGGTTATCTGTTGGGTGTACATTTTACCGCCGTGAAGCGCGCGGTATAGCATTCGAGTGTGCATAAAGTCATCCAATAACCAACGAGTCAACCGATTGAATGGGACAAATCCAAAATACTTGAACGCCGCGGCGCCGACCCAGAATCCTCCACGGTCGTAGCGAAAGAGATAATCACTGATGGGTACGTATTCCAACTTGATGGAAAGACCTTCAGAAATCGTTCGCTCTTTCACATGTAGATAGTACCAGGGATCCCATGGCCGACTGAATTTGCAGACGACGGCATCCTTTGGGGTCTTGTCTGTCAGCTGGCCAGTAATTACCACGCCGTGAGTACTGGAGAGTATGATGCCGTCAACATAGTCATGTTCAGGATTATCGATTTCCCTCTGGACGGACTCGATCGTGTCTCGTACGTTGTGACATCTATTATATGTGGTCTTCACATAATTTTTCGCCTTGATCAGTTGAACTTCAAGTTGTGTCACTGTTCCAAGTGTACCGAGTGATCCTGCCGCACATTTGAACAAGTCGGGACGTTCAGTTTTGGAAGCTGTCACAATTTCCCCATTTGCTAGCACCATCTCGATTGAGATAATAGATTGGTCGAAGTAGCCAAACTTGAACGAACTACTCTCTCCAGCAGACCCCGCAAAGCCTCCTCCAACGGTGATGCCGGGAAACTCCATGACCACTGGAGGAATCAGCCCATGTTCAAGGGTTGCTCTGACTAACGTGTCCATCGGGACATTTGGTTCTAAAATCACCGTTTGAGTTTTGGTGTCGATGCTCAAGATGGTATTCAGAGCACTGATATCAATGACTCGATCTCTGGGTGCGGGTCGGGTGCTGTTGGTGGAACCATGGAAAATGCGGTAAGGCTCTTTGCGATGGTAAAATGACTTGATGTCAGATGCAATTTCTTGCACCTTCCTCTCGTGTTCTGACATTAGGATAAATCTCGAATGAAAAAGGTTGTTCGTTTTGATGTATTGAACTGACTGTCGCGAAAAGGAAAGCGACTTTAGAGCTGAACAATTGGGAATAAAATGAATCTCAGTGGAAGAGGGGGTAGATTATGTTCTAATTTGAGCGCTAAATTCTTAAACTGTTGGAATGTTGAAAATAGATCGAGTTGCGTTGGCGTTTCATTCCCGAATTCATTCAAGGGAGGGCGACTCGAGCCGCTGAACCAACAATCACCAACCCCGTGATTCACAGCTAAATATGCCAGACTGCCTTTTACTTGTGATTCACAAAAGATCATAGAGATGTGACTTGTATGGCGCACCCTCAATTGGTCCAGAGATGGTCATGCGGAGCTGTGTGAGGTGCCTTTACCATTCTCAACAAGTGCCAGTTGGTCGACAGTTCCATTGGGCTGAGTTACAGATTGCTAGCTAAATCATGCCGGAGGTAATTTTATTCTCTCTCCAAAAGGGTGGTTATGACGTGGTACTTTCTCCTATCTTGAAGGGATCATAAATAATGGGGAATGACCGACATGAACAAAATTCGGTGCCTGTGTGAGTCTCGAGTTGGCACGTATTGAGCACTGACAGCGGGAAACTCATGATTGATAGTAAATGTAAACTGCACAACAACATCTGGGGTATCTCGAATGTTCAAGAAACAAATTCAACTTCCGCTTCAACTTTCCAGTCGACCTTAAGGCCCTTCCCAATCTTCTCAAAAGATTTTTCAATATCAAAAGATCTCAAGTCACCCTTTACATCTGGATGAAGCTTGATCAACATTCGAATGCCAACCTTGTGGCCTTTTTTGCCCAAACCATGTGATGTGTTGGCTTCTATTGAGACGTGCTTTTGGAGCACCACCTGGCTGGCAGGTCGACAAGGCATAACGACAGCTAGCGTTTTAGCCACTGTGCCAATATACCTGCACCACCAACTACACTCCGGACCGACCAACGCTTGAAGGTTTTCCGCGAGCTTCGCATCACCAGGTCCAAGATTCGATCCCCATCGGTGGCACATGGTGAGGGCTAAGACGCTACGAGCTTGATGCGTCATTCCTGGCAAGCCTGCAAGAGTCCCTGAAATGGGATCGTGGAGTGCTTTAGCGGAGTTTGCGCTGTCGGGATCACCCATATCTTGCCAAGTGTTACTCGCAATATATTTGATGATATGCCTTGAAAACACCGCGGGATATCCACTTGGCATTGAAGACAGTATGAATCGAGCAACGGCATCAACACCATCTGACTCCTCTATGGTAATTTTGCTTGGTAGAAACGACAAAGGATGTTGCTCTCGACACTCGGGTGATAGCTTCATAAACAAGACACCCTCGTGATTACCACCGCTGCAAAAGACTACTTGCTTAATCTTAGGCACCGCCTCAACAAGGGCTTGCACAACGGTGACAATAGCGGGAAACTGCTGCCGTCTTCTTTTAGAAAGACCATATATCTTCCCATCATCATAATTGTTGGCGTGGAGCATCTCACGCCACTTGGCGAAACGATTGCCCGGCACAACGTAGCCTCCAATAGCTGGTATAGGATATGGTTGAATCGAGTCGGTATGCATCAACATGCTGCCGTATCCGCGGAAACCACCCCCACAGAAGTAAATTGTTATGCCATCGTGATGTTCGGCTTGTGCTTTGAGCTGAGGGAATCGAGCTGTCAGCTCTTCAAAGGCGCCCTTCATTAGACCGCGTAGCTCTTCTTTGGTGGCATGGGCAGAGTCTGTCTCTGATAAGGCAGCGGTAAGCTTTGCAGCTCCAAATGGCATGCTCTTGGCTGCTTTTGCTGCAAGAACATCATAGCCTGGATCTACCAAACTATTGACATATGTCATTTGAACACTGCCGCCGCCGAGATCCATGAACAGGCCGTCGACTTGATCGTAGCCACTTCTCGCACCCATCGCTCCAAACAGGCTCTCCATAGCCGGGCTTAATATGTCCACTGTAAGACCACTTGCATCACGAATGGCACTTAGCATATCGTCCTTGTTCTTGGCCGTCCGAGTCGCTTCCGTCGCAAACACGCTGATGTTACCGCCAGGCACTCCATAGCCGTCGCATATGCTTTTGAATCTCGCGAGAGTCTGGGCGACCTTTGCGATAGTGGTTGGAGAGAAGTAGAAGGGCCTGGCGTCAGGACCGCTTTCATGGAGCGCGTCGTACAGTGATATCCCAACACGTTCGCGATAGATACATGTCAGCAGTCTGCTTGCAGGGAGAGAAAGGTCGGAAATAGAGAATCGAATGCCATTGCTAATATGAAGTTAGTTGTCTGCGGGTGCATTTTTGGGCTAGGGAGAACTGGAGTGGTTCACCTGCCCATATCAACCAGGCCATGAAGGGGTTTTGAGCTGTCCAGTGCGGCCATTTCCGTAGAGAAATTGTCGACTGTTATGACCCTCCCCATCCCAGAGTCATTGTCTGCCATGGTGTCGTGTTTTGCTGGCGTGAGGGGACGGGCGGAATTGATGGTGGGGGAGGAAAAGAGAGAAAGGGAATTGAAGCTGTTGATAATGGAAATGTTGGCCAAGAAAACAGGGAACATTTCCCTCACGTGATGGCGGGGTCGCTTGACCCTTTTCGCATTGCTTTTCCCATCATGCTTTCCACTGCCGAGCAGCACCTAGCGATCGACGACAACGATGCGAGTCTCTTATCGCCATGTCCTAAACCTGAAGGCCTTAGAGCAGCCTAGTGATGTATATCATTACAAGAAGGATTCCCGACAATCAACATGATATCGTGGATCGATATCATCGTGGGTTCGACTGGTGAAATACCAGAACTTTTGACAGCTAGCCACAATTCAAACACTTCCAAGCGGCGAGCGATGTGGGAGTCGAGATCGAAGCGAAAGTAGAATTAGCGATTTACCTCGGGGTACATCACAACTTTAAGCAAGCACGAGTTTCTCGTCCTTGGAGAGCAAAAAGAGCATGGCATTTTAAGTAACAAAAGGTTAAGCAACCTGCCCGTATCTACCTCCACGAACTCGCAACTATATACATTGGGTTCCACCCCTGATCCGTCCTATCGGCATCCCTTTAACTTCATGCGACCGAAACTCAGCTTCTAAGTCAACGTAGGAGCAGTCCAGGTGATATATGTGGATGCTTTGACATTGGCTTGGTCACTCTTGTCAACACCAGCGGTCTTAGCACTCGCGTCGCCTTTGAGGAACCGGTTGATGAAAGCCGTCAATTCGGTCTGTTGAGAAGATGGGAAAGTGCAATGGTTGTGAGGAGCGACCTCGGAAAACCCAAAGCTGTCTGTGGCTCCAAGTGCCTGGTATGCGAGGGCACCAACTCTCATACATCCAGTGGTGGAAACGGGGCCCAACCAGTCGATATTGTTCTCAATGACGAGAAGACCGCGAGGAGCAATGAGGGCTGGCAACATGTGGTGATCAACAGCCAAAGTGGACGTCTTCGTGGCAAAAGGATCGAAGCGCTTTGAGTACCAGACGTTCTCTCCGATGATCTCGTGTGCGGTCTGGATCTTCTTGCCAGCGGCCTCCTCCAAGTCCGAAATTCTCCAGCAAGCCGCTCCGCCGGAACCAGACTCTTGTGGCAGAGTAAGGGCAATACGGTCATCAAGCGCTCCTGCGATAAGAGCACCTTTTCCATTGCGGGAACATCCAGTCACACCAATCCTGGTGACATCAATCTTCTTGGTTGTATCCGCCTCGATGACATCCAAGATTCGGCTGACACCCCAAGCCCATGCGGTGGTTGCGCCCGCACTATGTCCACTCCCATAGAGGTCGTAAAACAATCCCTTGCCGCGACTGCCCGAGTTCGTTTGTTGTGCTACACCATCGTTGTTGAATGTAATCGTGGCTACGCCTGCTGGAATCGGTAGACTAGCACCCCCATAGGCGATTATAGCTGGCGCTGCTCCAGTAACTCCACTTGGCATCTTGACGGTTGCGGAGAATGAGATTGATTTTCCTGCGTTGGTTACCTTGACGCTGATCGAGGTAGCTGAGACAGTTCCAGTGACCGATTCCGGTTTGGCTGGCTTGTCACCGAGCTCTTGCAAGTAAAAGAGCTGCAAGATCTCTTGTTTACGACATGCCCATTGTGCCTTGGTGGTGACCTTGGTACCGTCTGCAAAGGTGAATGGATCTGGGAGTTTTGAACTTGCTGGCGAGTAGGCGTAGTTCGCTGGTAGAGCTTTGCATGCGTCCTGGCGCTCGTGAAGAGAAGACGGAAGTGCGAAAACTGGCAGTGCCAGAAGAAGCGCCGAAGATACAACAGACTTCATTGTGAAAATGTCGAGAACAAAGTCAGGTAAATGGGTGTGTCACCGTGTGTGATCCTACGTAAATGACCTGCTTCTACGAGTATTTATATAACAGCTTTGGTCAGAAATCATCATTTGGCTCAATGACCAATGCCATTCAGCCCCACATGGATCTTGACCACAATGAGATCAACACTATAGCCTCATATCCCATTTCACCAGGACCGCGACAGCTTGAAATGTAAACTTCTTGGACCATACCTCGGGGACAGTCCCAGTTACTCAATTGGTCTATGAATAGATTGTCATATACCAGAATATATTACTGAAGATGTATGCAATCAACGTGATTGTATCAGACTGGCAAATCCAAATTCACGATATTTCAAAAGACGACTTTGGCCCTTGCAGCCCGAGCTTCACCTCGAATTTTGAGCTTCTCACGAGACTTGCACAAGCAACCATGTGCCATAAAGCCAAGCCAATCCCCTTTACAACCCCCAAAAACGGAGACAATCATCTCCGCATTTCGAGTTGGAGCCCCATCCGACGCCGTGGCGAACAACGGCGCCAAGCACGATCAGATGGGCGCTCAACTTCTCCCGATTAACCATTTTCGAGGTTTTATATAATCTTGGCCAATGTCCATTACCTTCGAACCATTGATCGACGGATCGATGGCAACGGGAAAAACGTTTAACCTTTTTGAAGCCGCAATAACTCGTATATCCTCTCGGCTAAATTGAGACATCTAGCATGTCATCATCTAAACTGCCTGGTTTTGACCTATAGCCGGCCTTATGTTGATTGGTATTTTATCCTTAACATTCCTTTTTTAAAGCATGGTCCAATTAAGGTTCCACGAAGCTCTTTAATCACCTAACCCCAGATCTCCCCGCATTCTCTCCACATCTCGCCAATCTAAGTTGAATATAATTTTTCCATCAATTGGATAAACCTGTTGGCTTGATTTGGACAACTCCCACATGTGCTTCTATGGTTTCGGGTCTCGGGCTGTAGTCAGCAGTTCTGAAACTGACGTCGAGTGTTGTTCGCCTTGCTACCACATTCAGAAACTTCCGACTCGTTGTAGCATTACGCTACTCAAGAATACGAGGTGACATTGTCGTCTCCTCGACTTCAATGAATCTTTTATTTTCCGCTGGCGCAGATAGCCCGGTAGGACTGGACATTTCTTTTCACATTGGTGTGAACTGCGGCTACACGCCCAAGTCTCTTGATAATCGATCATGTGTTTCTACGAATTTTACCAAGTTTTTACAATTCGTCTGAGAATCAAATCTGATCGATGATTTCTTAAATTCTGAGCATCTTTTGCGGTTCAATATCATACCAACTGAATGATACTTATCAGTTAGTCTTAAGAATTTGTCGGTTACGACGGCCTTTCTGCTTCCCGTTTTCGTGGTAACAATTTAAATTTTGAGCACCTCAAAGAAATTAAGCCCACATGAAAGAGTTTAACTAACGCGGATTCAACCTTGCACTTTGCCACTGACACAGTCTCTCGTCAATTTCAGAGCTTCTCTCGTTCGATGATAAGCAAGACAACAGGCAAATGCAAACTCAATCCTACTTTTAGGCATCCTTGACTGTGTTTATGATGGACTGATATTTTTTACATGCATGTTTCAATCCGGAACCTAATACCAAGACATCGATAGACGGTCGATCGTCTCATCAACCCTAAACAAAGTAAATAGACAACTCCAACAAATCAAACCGACGAAGCATTAAACGCAAGCTCTCGCCTCTCTCCCCAGGTCGTCGATGGCGAGAACCTCCAAGCACCACTGTACTTCCTCTCAAACTAGTAATGCACCACGGACTGGATGATTCCAGGTAACTCAGGCCAATCTGCGTAATTCCTATCACTAGTCCCTAGCACGATAGGAAAGAGGATCGACTGTTATATCGTCAGTACATTTCCGAGGAAATCTAGGTAGACACGAACTTTGTCACCCTTCCTAAGCTCCAAGTCAAACTTAATATACGCTTCTTTCAAAACCGGTCCATCGTAACTTTCCAGCCCAAGCAACGTCTCAATTTCCTCCGTAAGATGTACCGTAAGTTTCGACCCGAATTTATCGATAATATCTCGCAATTGTTGTCCATCATACAACTCAGGTTTCGTGGTCTCAGCATAACGCTGAAATTCCTCTAGACCAGGCATGAAAGCCTCATGCTGCGCTACGTTCTTCTCCATAATGCCATCTACCTTGGTGATCCTCTCGATCGCAGGGAACAGCAGCTTTTCTTCCTCGTCATGATGTTCATGAATCCAGTCGCACCAGAATTTTGAGTAGAGGAGGAGGTCGCGGATATCTTGAGGTTTTTTGACGTAGATGCATTGGTTGTAAATGGAGTTGAGAGCACGTATCATTCCGTTGTGTGCGCATGCCATTTCTTGTGCCATGAATGTTGCTGGAGAGAGTTTTGAGACTGGTATGGAGCCACCTGGGGTCGGGATTAGAGAGAAAGGGGTGTCAGCCCAAGGGGCGGTGGGTTTTGCCTGCATATTTGATTTTGAATTTGGACAACGGGAGAAGTGAAGTAAAACAAGAACTTGAATTTTGCATTTTAAAACTGATTCTGCTTTTATATTTCATGATCCTCCAAGAGTTGTCAGTAAAATTGCTGTCAGACAGATTGCCGAGCTGATGTTAAGCGGCTGAATTTCAGCCACAAACGGTAATGTAAGCAGCAGACAGGTATTGCCATCGGCCGCTGACGCCAGTAGCAAGGCAAAGAAAGCGCCAGCTTACATGTTTGAGTATTTGTTTTCAAAGCGTTGATGATGATTCGAGAAGATATAGAGGATTGTCTTGGACGTTGGCGGTGTGGTTTTATACTTGACGTCCAATTCCTTGCGATCACTACTGAAGCCCCCCTTTGAAGAAAGCAACTATCAGATCGAGGTCTTCTCCTACGGTAGTATCTAAACTTGAAAGCTTTCTCTTACCATACTCACGTCTCTCGCAGTACTGTTGTAATGTTTAAGCAAATTTTCTTTTTTCATCTATCCCGATCTAAGTAACAAAACCAAATTAAATTGTCGACAAAGTGGAAGAAAGATGTGATGTCATTGATTGCCGTAAGGAGTAGAAATTTGATTGCACAACAGACATATTTATCTGACTTACGATGCGTTTAGACTCTCTTGTCGTCGTGCAAGGTCTGATCGCGAGGAAAGTCACCGCCTAACGGTAATCAGACCGACGATTAACTAAATCTAAGTTAGCTTTTACTTTAGGCTTGAATCTGGATCAACCTGTGGGACAATTCAAAAAAACTAAACCTACTCGTGCAATGATTTCGCAGTGCGTGCATGCAATCAATGCAACTCCTCTATTGAATTCGTCAGCCTGTTGTTGATACATTCAAATTGACTTCATCTACGCAGTCAAGTGTTCAGAATGTAGAGTGAATGATCACGAGAAAACTAGCCAAAACGCGAAACCCTTAGAATGAAAATGAACATGGAGGTGAATATTTGACTTAGCACAAACCTCAACAAGCCAAGATTGGCCACCAACAACCGTGTCTCGAAACTTTTGTTTTGAGATTTTTGGATCTGGGCGATCCGCCAGCTATAACTTCAATTTGGTCGCTGCCATTCTAAGGAATCCCATTCAAATCACAGTCAGCTTCCTCATCTTTGCCACCAAATCCCCAACACTCCTTACAATCGCGAAAAGTCGAATCAAAAAACCCCAACCATTCCCTTGTTTCAATATTTCTCCACAAACAATGGGATTCGCGTTCCTCCGACTCGATTCCCGCTTCGACTTCCATAACGAAACCCCCAAAGACACGAAAGAACGAGCAGACTACCTGGAAAGTACAAAAGGATACGTTCTCTGGGAGTGCCGCTACTTCGAGCGAATCGAACGACCTAGCGCGTACTTCGAGTTTTCAACCGAGTGGCAGGAACTTCCATACCGCTTGGAGGGACCATGCTTTGAACTCTTGCTTCCAAAATATTTTCCGGAGAAAAATCAGTTCGTTGTTTGCTATTCGTGCTTGCAACTAAGTATCAAGGCTGCGGAGGAGAAGGAAACTAAATGCCATATTTGTCGAGGCCCGGTGGATCAGCCGAAAAGCCCCGAAGAGTATTTTGAAAAGGTTGCTAGGAGCGATCCGTGGATAGTTCGAGGGGCGGGACTGTGTCCGGGTGTCAATAAGAGAATACAAAAAAAGGATTAATGGAGGAGAAGTTGGTGGAGAGCAGACTGAATCCGGGTGTGATCAAGAGAATATAGAAATCGGAGTTATAGAGAAGAAGTTGATGGAGATAGAATGTGTCGATCTCAAGTGTGCTTCCAGGCTACCGTGATTCGTCTGAGAATTGAATCATGACGATTGCATGTGCTAAAATGCAAAAAAAGCGAATGTGCCATAACAAAGAGAGCATAGATCGAGAACCATGTATTATTCAAAGAGATGCAAAAGAATAGATATGCTGCGGATGACAGGATCGATCTAAGTGAATAACATTAAAATCACCCCTGTGTGGCAATAACAGGCAAGTATCCTGTGGTTTGAATGCGCTTGTTCACCCAAAAGCCAGGATGAATAATGGTGGGTTTCTCACGATAGATACAGAGGGCGGCATCCTCTCACTTTCATCCATCTCAACCTCTTACCAACAAGCCAAATATTTCCCGCCACCCCACAACAATGGCAGCCTCCTCATCTCTGAGGGGAAAATTCAAAGCACTACAGTTAAAGACACCGATCAAACGTCCAAGCGGAGGATCTGCAAATTCCTCGTCGTCAAAATCCCCCGAGGGCGGAGAGACCACCTACTATGATGTTGACCAGCGATCTACGCAGAGAAAAGCATTCTCTGGGCCACCACTCGAAAGTATGCGCGAAGGTTCGCAAGGCATACCTCTAGACCTCAAAATCAAGATCGGTACAGTTCGATCGCAGACCATATCTCTCCCCATTCAACCTGCGTTGCCCGCATTTGGAGACCGCACGACGAGCAACCCTATTCCCGAACCTGTTGATGAACGGAAGCTGAACCTGCTCTACTATTGCATGCGGAATTTGAAGTTCGTAGGAGATCATATGATTGACCGCCACGCTCTGAACCTGGCCGAGAGGTGTAAATGTTGCGGCGAGCGACTCTATTCGGGGACGAATTCAGGACTGTCGGGTTTGGCGTTAAAGCTCATTCGACAAGCTGCCGAACCAGAGGCGGAGGAGGAGGAAAAGCGACTTGCCGAAATAGCTTCATGAGAGGAGACACATGTGCAGAACCCATGAGCATCATGACTCGAACGGGATATCAGGGAGGCCTATCGAGGTGATGGAGGAAGGCGCAACAAACTGGTTATGCAATGTTGGAACAAAAGGAATTGAATTTGGACGACGCTCGAGAAGTAAATCTGGTGCCGAAAGGCATTTTTACACCATGGATCTGGGTTCGATGGAGAAAAATTGGTCGGTGCTATTTCAAGCTGTCTGGTTAGAGGTATCGACATATGGATGGGAGTTATTCTGTAGACAGGAGGATATCAATCACAACAACACAAATCATAAAGCGAAGTTTTGACCGTTAAGCTTCGTGTCACGGCCTTGGAAACCTGAAAACATTCCCATCTATGTTGGTAACTTGCGTGTATTGACGAGGGTTCAACTTCAACTGCCCCGTGTAATCCTAGTACTCGCTCTCAACTGTGTCGAAATGTGGATTTTCCATCGAACTTTTGCGTGGTCGCTGATTGACTCTATTGCCCGCCTCCTACTTCGTCAAACATACAAGGTTGTTGTAGATTTCCTCACAATATCTGTATCGCCAGTGACCTAGCTATGATGACTTGGATCTGTTGAGCTAGATATTGCGAGTCTCTATGATGGTCAAATGGCAGATGGAATGAGCGTTCGGAATGGAGACAGTCTGACAAGCTGAACAGCAGGGACGTAACATTTTTCCGTGGACTTGCTGTGTGTAAATATTAGAATCCATTTCCTTCGAGTAAACACTAGAAAACTTACAAATGAACAATCTCGAGCTTTTGAGTCGTGATATGAGATATCTTTCGTTAAAGAAGAAAATGTCGACGTCCAGATGCGAACGTGGAGAAGTCGGCAGAATGCCTGTTTGGGCGAGACGAGACTTGTGACAAAGGCGGTAGGACGACCGGGTGGGTACTTTCTTCTTGCACCTTCAAGAACTTGGACACCAACAATTCTATCGAATAGAGAAGATGCTGATTCGAATATATCACGGACTCTAGTTGTATAAGCAGCCAATTCAAAGTCAATTTCTTGGAACCCTTTTTAACGATATGATGCAATATATTCATCAAGACCCGAGAGCTCTCGTTTTGTTCGTCGCGTCGATTTCACTTCCACCTCATACTTAGGGAATCCGTTCAGACCACCGAGTGGTGGCGTCTACGTTTGCAAGGCAAGTTCTCTACAAAGAAAGAATGGTTTGGGAATTTAAAGCACTTGCTGAAAATATCAGACGAGCGACATTTGAGCTAGTTGTGTTTCAACATTTCCGGGCCATTCATTCATTCTTGACGGAGTCATAGAAACACTCGTTACGCAGAATCTCGAGGATGTATTTTACGCAAGCGACAAGAGGAGTCTGATTAATTTGTGTGCTGTTGCTTTTTTAACTCCTTTTAAGTTTTTAGCTACTATTTTTAGCGGCTAGCTACCGGTATACAGATGTTTCAACGGCAGAACCAGAGGGAAAGGGATTTACCCAAATCGTCGATTAGGCTTGGTTTTGATGTTCTTGCTGGTTGATTCGTCGTATCGTAAGTATTTTACGTACACGCTCAGCCCGGAGATGTAAGATTAAATCCATCTGATCGAGTACTTAAGATTTGAAAATATTTTGATTTCAAAACAATCAAGACACCTAGACGTCGAATATGAGCTCTGTAATAAGAAAAGTCGCCTTGGTCGGGGTGGGTTTACAGATCTACCTCCTACTTGACAAATCTTCTAATTGATCCAGGGATCTGGAAGATTAGGCCCTTACCTTCTGAAAGCACTTCACAGCGACCCCGCATTTGACGTAACAGTCATCACCCGAACGAATTCCACGGCTACATTTCCAGAGGGCACCAAGCTCATCAAAGTCGCAGACGGTTATCCCGATGACGAGATCGTGAAAGCGTTCAAAGGCCAAGATGCTGTGATATTATCTCTCGGGTATCAAGGTGGTCAACATCATGCAGCGCTAGCAGAGGCATCGAAAAAAGCTGGTGTCAAGCGACTGATCACTGGTTGGGGTGGGAATGTTGCCAACCAAGAAGCCATGGAAATCTTCCCCATCGGAAAGAAAGTTGCTGAGGATATCAAGGCTTTGGAGGCCATGGAATCTCCGGAGTGGAGTTGGACTGCTATATGCTGCGGTTTGTTCTTTGACTTGTTAGTATGTCTTATCCTGTTGAAAATAGATAACTGATCGGCCGTGATAGTTGTTTGGAAGTAGGATTCTTTGGTATCGACGCACTCACGAAAACCGCGACAATCTGGGATGACGGAGAACAAAAGTTCTCAGTCACGGCCCGACCGACTATCGGTCTTGCTGTCACCAAAGTCCTAGCTCATCCAAAGGAAACTGCCAATAGACGAGTCTACATCTCGTCATTCCAATGCTCCTTGAATGAAATCCTCGATGGATACAAGACAATCACCAGTTCCGAGGGTTGGAATATCACCAAGGTAACGTCTGAGGAGATGGTGGCCAACGCAACGGAAAACGTAAAGAAAGGAGAAAATGTCATGTATTCGATTGGCAGATTGGGTCTTGCGACTGCAGTCAAACCTGGTCTACAGGCTGACTTTGCGGCGGAAGGGATCCTAGATAATCAGATGTTGGGTCTTGAAACGAATGAGAGTTCTCACGAGATCATTGCGAAGGTCTTGAAAGCTTAGATTATGTAGAAATGTCCTGTTCTTGGGGTTATTCGTCGCGTTCTGGAGAGCAATGGGGTGGGAATATTGTTTTACATCACATCAAAGTCCCTTCTGACAATTCCGGTTTGCGTGCAGAGTATTAAACAGAATATACTTATTCCTATTTTTGATGAATCACAGTCGAGATCAATACTAACTACCGAAAAATATGCAAGGGACGCTTGGTAAAAGCTTCCAAGACACTTATCTCAGGCAGTACAAATTCTGAAGCCACCCAATAAGAAATATAAGGAATATGACAGCCGAAACCTCGCATATTCCGACACCTTAAATACGATACCACGCAACCCATTGGCCTCCCGCTTGTTACACGAAGCCGTGAATCGTAAACATTTTAGTGCTGACAGATTACAGCCTCTCGATTGGGAAAGGTATCACGAAAGCCGTGTGTCGGCATTCCTCGCTAATCATCTGGGCGCGATCTTGGTATCCAGTATAGGCTGTTCTGGAAACTCTCGCTCAAATGTTCCGAACTTTGGATTTATGAACGTTGTCTTCGTGTTGTGTGTTCGATAACACGATGCGGTTGCTTCCCGAGTTTTGCTGGCCGGGCTTCGACTATCATCCTGTCACCGAGGATGGTGTAAGCAGCAAACATTCGAGGAAGCCTTATCAGCAGTGCCCCCAAATTTTTGGCCTTCTTGCCTGTGTTGCAGCTTTGCTATCTATTGGCTTCTATGCAGGCAGAACTACAGTTGCGAGAGGTCAAGATGATATCAGTGGCTATCTTGGTTAGTGTTCAACATGCGCAAGTGATGGTTCTGTTGGATGTTTCATACTAAGTGACCCGCGAAGCGCCATACGGAGATACCCAAGAGATTTGGCATAATAACTTGACCTTTTCATCGTATCCCTCGCCAGCATCCGAAGCGGCATGGGCGTCATTAATTCCAGGTAAGTCGTTGAATGCTCATTTCGTCTTTCCAAAATGAGGCCCGATTTTTCCAATTTGACATAACTAATCCACAACAGTTGGACGAGGCTTTGTCTTCAACCCAAGCTTATCAGCAACCAATGACAGTTTAGCGGTGTTCCATCAACTTCACTGTCTCGTAAGTGTCTTTTCTACTTTTGATTCGCTCAAACGTTTACGCACTCACCTATAAAATACTGACTCCCTGCCAGCACGGGTTAAGAGTTGCATATTATGGCATGAAGCACCAGCTGGAAGTCACAAATGAAGGAGCATCTCCAGATCCTTATATCATGGAGAAAGCAGAAGAAGTAAATCTGGGCCACATCCGACACTGTTTCGATTATTTGAGAAGAGCCATCATGTGTGCTGCGGATACTAATCTGGAGCCTCTGGGTCCAAAGACAGAAGCCACGAATGGTTGGGGGTCATCAAGGACTTGTCGGGATTTTGAGAGGGTGAAAAAATACGCAGAGGTGTGGAAAAGCACTACACATGTTGGGATTAGTAAATGATTTTGTTTTGAAGAATGCACACAAATGTAGAGAAAGCAATCTGGCCTTCTGCTCCGACAAGAATATTGTCTGGTTCTGCAAAACTTCGACCGTGAATCCCAAATCTTCAAGTGAACAGTAACCATGGGTTCCACCTATAGACCTGAGTTGCAGATAAGCCAGTCTGGAAAATTTGTCTGGAAATCCTCACTCGCTGACTTTGATACGTCATATATACTTTCATGATCAATTAATACTCTAGGATCACGGGATCAAGAGCTATGCTGGAATTGAGTTCCGGACCTTGATGCCATGTACTTTACGCGGTGATTTGGAGTTCTGCTCATGTGGATCGGATCATGGTCTCATTATCCCAAGATCCAAAGTCGATGATGAAAAACTGTGAGGAGGCAACAAAACAACAAGTTCTGCTGTGAGTTAGGGTCATAATTTGGAGGGGTGATATCGTGACTTTTGCAGATATAATAATGACAAGCTTTAAGGTTACTTGTACGAGCAATGCAACACAAGCGAAGAAGGGGAAGGGGAAAAGCGGTCTTGTGGCACGTTTGCTAGGGTGATACGCTGATTGGGCAATGGCGTAGTGCTAGGAGAACTAGGAGGGGCAGAAAAAAGAGCTGCACGTGCACGTGATAGCTGTACTCCGTCGCAGCTGCCCTGTCCTGTATCTTCCCGCATCCAGCACGACGACAATCTTGCCGCCAACGACACAGCTCGCCGTGCTCTTCTCCCCTTTGATCTGCTCTTTCCTTCCCAGGTAAACAATTCTCATCTTTATACAACTCCACGATACCTCGCAGATACTCCTTCAACTCTTTCTTTCCTACAAACTGATCTGCTATGCTGAATGCTGAATGGTGCCAAATGCTAATCATACAAGACCTCAGGAACAACTCGGAAACTTGGTATTTCAAGCACAGTCTTCCCCGCACACGCCTTCGGATTCCTCCCGGTTGTATCGTCATGAAGTTCGGGGAGCAGCTGCGTTCGAGCGTGATCAAGGAATACCAATGGTACTACATTGCCTACGACGAATTGAAGGAATTGATGAAGAAGGATTATGTGACGAAGCCCACGAAACAAAACCCGAAACCAAAGAGACAGGAATGGACCGAGGCGGACGAAAGCAAGTTCATTGCGCGGATTGAACTGGAACTGGACAAGGTCTACTCAAAGCAAAAGCTCAAGGTTATCGAGATTTCGCGGCGGATTCAGAGCACAGAGCGCGAGGTAAACGATATCGTTGCGAGACTGGACAGCCGTGGCCCAGTGGGCAGAGATGGGACCAATGCAAACGAAGATGATGCCCCAACCGAGGAGGAGTTCATGATGTTGGAGGAGGACCTGAACGAAATCACTGCGGACGTCAACGACTTGGCCAAGTTCGTGCAGCTGAACTATACGGGATTTCAGAAGATTATCAAGAAGCACGATGTGAGCCAAAATGCCGCGACGATTGAGCTCTGGCTAACTTGGGCAGAAACAAACGCAATGGATCTTGAAACCTGTTTTTGCGACCCGTTTAAAGGCCAAGCCGTTCTTCAAGGACAATTACGATTCGGATATTGTGAAGCTGTCAAAGTTGTGGGACATTGTACGCACGCGAGGAAATCCAGTAAAGGGAGACAGCGCGGCTGGTGGAACACAAGGAAGCTTCATTCGCCAAACCACGAAATACTGGATCCACCCAGACAATGTCACTGAAGTGAAGCTCATAATCATGAAGGTAGGAATGCAGAGGATGGTAACTATGGTTTATGCTAATATTTTTGCAGCATCTGCCAGTCCTGGTATTCAACACGAACAAAGAGTTTGATGCGAAAGACTCCGCCATCACCTCCATCTACTACGATAACCCCGAGAAGTTTGATCTTTATGAAGGACGACTCAAGAAAACCGAAGGCGCAGAAGCTATACGATTAAGATGGTATGGAGGAATGGATACAGAGACCATCTTCGTTGAACGAAAGACCCACCGAGAAGATTGGACAGGAGAAAAATCGGTCAAGGCACGGTTCGCAATGAAAGAGAAATTCGTCAACTCGTACATGAAAGGGGACCTGCTTCCGGAAGCGATCTTTGAAAAGGCACGGAAAGATGGCAAGAAGCCTGCCAAAGTTATAGATGAAGACGAGAGACTAGCCAAGGAAGTTCAGTATTCAGTTTTAAAGCACGGCTATGTCCCACTTTGTCGCTCATTCTACAACCGCACCGCCTTCCAGTTACCAGCAGACGCACGTGTGCGTATCTCTCTGGATACCGAGCTTACGATGGTTCGTGAAGACAATTTGGACGGGCGGGACAGAGCAGGTAAAAACTGGAGGCGAATGGATATAGGAATTGATTTTCCATTTTCACAGCTACCGCCTGAAGACGTAGAGCGATTCCCTTATGCTATTCTGGAAGTCAAACTTCAGACTCAAGCCGGACAGGAACCACCGTCCTGGGTCCGTGAATTAATCGCGAGTCATTTGGTGGAAGCGGTACCTAAATTCTCTAAATTTATCCATGGAACAGCAACACTCTTTCCAACCCGGATCGACCTTTTGCCATTCTGGATGCCACAAATGGATGTTGATATTCGAAAACCCGCAACCCAGAATTTTGGCATTCACCGACCGGGCCATTCGAATCAAAGTTCTACCAGCGATGACGACGAAGATGATGATTCTGATGATGAATACGGAGAGTCGCGGGTTACGCCGACACCAGGGAATGGATCGAACGAGAGCGTTGATCGCTTACGCCAGACCCGAGATTCGTTAGAAGACCGTGATCTGGCTCAACGCGCGACTGGAAATGCTCTAGATATTGAGGAACAGTTAAATGCCTTGCCAACGGAAGAATATCCGTTATACGATTCGGATCTTGAGGATGATGAAGCAGATGCAATTGAAGAGGCACGGCAGATTGGGGGATGGCCGTATTATTCCAAGCTGATGAAGAAGCACGTTAGAGTGGCTGGGGAGCATGTTGTCACAGCTCTACATGCTATCACCCCAAAGCCAGCGACGGTACCTTTGAGTGGCCAGCAATCTCAGTTGGGATCAAATCAAATTCAGTCGAAGAGGTTCAAGGCTCCGAAGGGTAAGAAGATTCATGTCCCTGTTCGTGTAGAGCCGAAAGTGTATTTTGCCGCAGAAAGGACATTTCTATCATGGGTGAGTGATTCTGGGTCCCAATCAAATGAAGTTTCAATACTAACAACCCATAGCTCGAGTTTTCCATATACCTCAGCACCATCGCAACCACCCTCCTAAATTTCGGCTCGAAACCAACAAGGTTATCTTTCCTTGCCGCAGGATCATTTTCCGTCGTCGCCATTTTAGCATTGTTCTACTCCGTCGTCATATACCTCTACCGAAGCCAGGCCATCCGAACAAGGAAAGCGATCAAATACCATGACGAGTTCGGACCAACTGCACTTTGTACATGTTTGTTTATAGCAGTTGCTCTGAATATGGGGTTTGAGTTGAGGGATCGAGGATATATATGATCAGGGAGATACTTGATTAGGGAGTTGTACGGAGAGAAGAGATGGATAATGAGAATGTACATGTATACCCATTTGTTGTTGCTGAGTGGTTAGAAGGAGGGAAGGGGTCCGGAGGTACATAGGCAGAGTAGACACCTACGGGGTGTGGTGAGAGTACACTATCAAGATAATATTTGAAGGATCTTCCAGAGCTGTGCGATCCCTTCAGTCCATTTTTCTCATTTCAACTAGGGTATCAAATCACGACAAAAACCGACAAGTAGGCAACCGATACCCCTCCAACGTCCAATACCGTCTCCTCACCCCCTCCCACTCCCCCTCGCCCTCCTCCCCTAGCTTTCCCACCTCCACATCCTCCCACTCAACCTCCAATCCCGCATCCACCAAATCACACTCCACGACCCGCGTGTAGACATCATAACACACCCTCCTATCGGCCCCTAGACCATTGAAGAACCCAAACCTCCCGTTCTCGTCGAGCAATCCAGGCACGAACTCAGTGAAGAAGAGTTTCAAAGCAGAGTAGTCCTCGCCGAATGTGTCGAAATAGATCGCGTCGTATGTATATCCCGTTTCGAGGAGGGTAGGGAGAACGTCCTGCCATTTCCCTTCGTAAGTTTTATATGCGCCCTGTTCAGGAGAGGAAGCCTCCCATTTTGGACCGAACGGGTGGTCCTCTTCTTTTAGTTTGGCTAGGACGGCGGGATGGGCTTCGATTATGTGGTGGATTGCTGGTTGCGTTTCGGCGAAGAGGGTGTCTATGATGCCCATTCCAAACCCGATGTTTAATATCCTCTTTCCCTTGTCTTCGCCAGGCGGTAGTAACGAGGCCACAGAACGCTCCATGATGGACGTTTCCCAGGCCATCATCACGCCGTTGTTATCAGCGTCTAGGAGTTTGTCGTCCGAGAATTTGAGGTCGCTGGCTAGATAATCTGCAGAGTTCACGTCCTTTTTCTCGTCCCCGTTTATTGCGTCCACGTCTACGGATTCCTCCTCTTCGTCCTCGGATTCCGAGTCCAAGACCTCGTATTTCCCCATCAATCCTAGCAGCATCTCTGCTCGTACGCCTGCTTCAACGCATAATTCATATAACTCTTTCCTCCCCAACCGCCCCGCCAGACACCCGGGCGTCTCGTTGTTGGAATCGAGGTCATTCCATATCGCACCGCTTAGGAATAGTTCTCTGACTACTTCTTTCGCTTTCTCTATATCAACCTCCTCCCCATTCTCCTCCTTTTCGCATGCAGCAATAGCAGCATGTAACGGCGTAAACCCCGTTTCTGGATCTTGAACGGACGCGTTTCCTGGGATTCGGAGGAATGGTTTCAGGGCTGCGAGATCGTGGTTTGAGGCGGCGAGAAGGATTTCTTGGGTGTTGGTGTTGACTTCGACGGAAAATGATGGGTCGTCCATTTTATCAAGTTGTGATGTGGGACTGGGAATGTAATTGCAGTATCTAGACTTCTTTTTTTTGGAAGAGCTTGGGAATTTTTGGAGGGGTTGTTTGGCGGTGAGGGGGAGGGGGCAGAAACTTTTCTACCCCACCATTACCACTCTCAACCTTGGAACATTATCATGTCAAGTAATCAATAATAATCCAGTATCTTTGCTTGAGTGTTATTTCAGACAGCAAAAGTCTTTCGTAGCAAACACATTTGATTTGATAAGATGTGGAGCAGCTACATCGAGCGCATATGTACAGTCCATACATAATATGCCCATTCTATGTCTTGCTCAAAATATGTCCCAGGAAATGTACCAAGAAGGTAAATCCGCCACAATGCTATTCCCATCAACCATTCACCCATTCATAACATCATCTCAATATTTCGGCATCGCTTCGTTTACGCTTCTAAATTCTCATTTGAAGTTCTCTGGGTGGAGAATACCAGCCATGTTGCCATCCTTAACACGTTGAAGGGTCAAAGCAGCAATAAGTGCAGCACCTACACCAGAACCATCTTCGGCAGCCAAGATCTCGATAGGATCTTCCTCTTTCTGGTTCTTCTTCTCTGGCCAGTCGAGGATTTCACGAAGAGCCTGAGCACCTCGCTGCTTGAAGTGAGGGTACTTGTTGAAGACGGATCCGTCAGCACCAACATGGCAAGATTCGTAACCCTTCTTCTTGGCGATAGCTGCGACACCACAGGCGGAGAGACGAGCAGCCCGAGTACCGATTAGTTCTGCAAGACGCCGGATAAGTTCAAGCTCAGAACGGTTTGGTGAGATGCTGAGTTTGTTTTGGAAGAGATCAGCTGTCTCTGACAGATTTTCAAAGGGATCCCTGAAATTAATTAGTGGTGATATCATGGTGCAAATGTATGGAATGTGCTTACTCTTCGACCAAGGAAAGGAAAGAAGAATCAAGTGTGTATGCCTTTCGTAGCTTGTCGATATTTTGCCCCTCAAAGATGTGGACACCCTCGTTGTCGTGAAGATTGACCAAGACGAGACGGAAAAGTTCACCGAGATACAGACCAGCAATCATCTTCTCGAATGCTTGTTGACCAGGACGAGGAGAGTCTTTGTCAATAATGATATCGTAGGGAGTTCTTGGCAACACTTTGTGCTCATTGTCAAAAGCACCCCATTCGCAGTTGATGGCCATTGGAGTATCTGGTGGCAGCTTCATGTGTGCCAACTTTGGAATCGACCCAGTGTTCTCAAAGTAAGCGGCATTGCAACCAGTCCCGAAGATACACCCGATCTTCATCTTTGTGTCGGTGTACGCAGAAGCGATCAGAGTTCCAGTGGTGTCGTTGATCAGAGCAGTAAGTTTGATTGGTACCCCCTGAAGACATGTTAGACGATGATACAATATGAGCTGTTAACTTACTCTTCTCGCAATGGCAGCTTCAAACATAGGAACAACGTTCTCTCCCTCAACACCAGAAATATCGAATCCTTTAGTCCAGCGTTGAAGAACCCCGTGATCGATGTAATCTTGGGTGGCTGGGTAGGAGAAAGTGAAACCAAGATGCATCTTGTCGAGATTCTCCCCGGGGTGATGTGCTTCGACGAATTGTTGCAAACAATCAGCAACATACTCCCAGAGCTCATCAGCATCACCAGTCTTGAGTTCTTCTGGCATTCGGTATTTAGATTGGATGATGTCAAACTCTGACTTTTGGTCGGTCAAGATAATTTCACAAACACGAAGGTTGGTTCCACCCATGTCTAGAGCCAAGAAAGTTCCTTGTTCTTCACCGGTTGGCATAGCCATACACCAGGTAGGGTTCATGGGCTAGAGGTGTTAGTATACAATATTCCAAAAACAACCTGGATACTAACAATGCTTCCACCCTCAACAGAGAGACCTGATTGGAGTTTAGCAGCAATACCATGTCTGTTCAAAGTTGAAACCTACCTTTAGTAAGCTCATTGATGAAGTGTTCGGTGATCTCCTTCAGCTTTGCGGTATCGACAGTAAAGTGCTCCTCGAGCTTCTTAATTTCGTCAATCAAATCTTTTGGCACATCTACCATGGATCCTGAAGATTATTTTAGAATGCATTTCCAATAAGTAACATCAAAATTGTGTAATAAAAGGAAAAGTGAAAGGTTATTGGCCATTTTGCACGTGATGACCACAATTAGGGCTGGCCTCCACGTCCTTGCTTGCTTTTTTCTCTTCTGATCTGATGACAGGAAAAGCTGCTCCAGCTATGTGGAGGTTGAGAATCCTATTGTGTGATACTGCTGTATGGTATCTTTAAAGAGGAACTTCAAAGCGTTGCCTTAAAGGTTGTCTCTCCCACAAGCAACGGTGAGCAAGGAATGGTGAGGATACCCATTGACCACTGTAGCCAAAGAAGGGAATTTGAAATCAGTGAAAGCTCACCCGCTTGGTCTGACTTTGACTCCATGTTCGACATGTTCAACTTGAACTTTTAATTGTGTATATCGAGTAGGCTGAGAGAGCTGGTGTTGTGGTTTCTTGCAATTGTTGAGCTTTGGTAGCGGGGTAAGAAACAAGAGTCGATTTCCAGAGAGGAAACATATTGCAAAGAGAAACGAGATGACTCTCAGGTCCTCGGGTCCAACTCGCTTCACATTCACTGTTGAAGCTGAAAACGGAAAGAAATGCTATACACGTACCCTTCCGGGAAGGAGGCTTTCTTGGACCAAGTCCGACCATTTTGACTGATATTCGATAATTGACAAGGTCTGAAGAGTAGGAAAGAAGATGCGAAGACTACGGTGTCTTTGGAAAACAAATAGTATATATTTATCGACAAGAAAAGAGGCGAGCAGTGTATGCGAGGAAGAAATCAGGAGAAGTCTCAGCTCGGCGAATGTTTCTCAAGAAAAGTTGAGAAGCGAGCGATGTCATGGGATAAACAACGCTTGTCGGATGGCCGTAGTCAGCCATGCACCGTAACGACACCCGCGGACGCTAGGGTGGTGCGCCACAAGCTCGGGCCAGGGACAGCTTTCACCAGCCACATCAAGCTCGACTGAGGACACGGCGACATCTCGACGAACGCGAGCTTTTGGGTGGGTGAAGGAACCTCGGAATAGCATCAACTTCCACCACGAATTGTCGCTCTCCCACCACCTGCACTTCCTGGCACACGACCTCTTTGTAAGGTTCGATCTCTTCTTCGGCTGGTCTGCTGTTCAACCGTCAATATGTGGTCATTGGCAATCACCACCGCCATCCTTTCCTTTGCGTCGTCAGCCTTCTGCGCCGACAAGGGAAATCTAACGACACCACTCACCTCGAAAGTCATTCTTCCTTCGACATTCACACCTCCACAGAACTTCCAGAATGCCAATTTGGTCCATGTTATCAGTTTGGAAAAGAACTACCCAAAAGAGTCGATCAATGTGATCATTGAGAACATTGCGAGTACCGCCCAGGATGAATACTTTATCCCATTCACATCGCAGCAGATGGCGACAATAGGAGGGCTGGAGGTCAAGGATAGGAAAGATGCGGATGCTGGCTTGTTCGCGGTGGATGCCGTCGAATTCGACACGAAGAGGTAATTGTGTGTTGTTACTTTCACAAACTGCTGCTAATTATCCGCAAAGTGATACACAGTTCTACCGCATTCGTCTGCCAACACCCCTAGCTCCAAAAGCGCAGCAAACTCTGGGGATCTCGTTTTCATATCTCTCGGCCTTGAATCCTCTTCCTGCGAATATTGCCCAGATGGACAAGCAATACTTGGTGTATACCTTTTCAGCATATTGTCAATCAGCCTACGTTACACTCAAGCAAAAGACCGAGGTGAAATTCCCATCAACCAATATCCCCGAATACACCATCCTACCTGGAGAAGGTGGTGAAAAGGAGTCTCCTCAAAAGTCTGGCACCAAGTTCACCTATGGTTCGTACGGAAAGCTGCCAGCTGGAGCCATTGAGCCAGTCAAGGTCCGATACGAGTTCACAAAGCCATTGATCCATGTCTCGAGCTTGGAAAGGGATGTCGAAGTCAGTCACTGGGGGGGAAACATTGCTTTCGAGGAGAGATATGTCATGACAAACCGAGCTGCGAACTTATCCAAGCCATTTTCCCGTGTTGAATGGGCTTCTCAGCAGTACTATAACCCCCCAACCTCTGCAATCCGGGATCTCAAGTTCCCATTGAAGGTCGGAAGCCTGGATCCTTACTTTACCGATGTCATTGGTAATGTTTCTACCTCCCGATTCCGAAGCAACAAGCGGGAAGCCCACCTCGAAATTAAGCCTAGATTCCCAGTCTTCGGAGCCTGGAACTATCCTTTCCGTGTTGGATGGAGTGCGGATTTGAAGAACTACCTGCGAAAGCTTAACACTGGAAATGGATATGTCCTTAATGTTCCTTTCCTTGAAGGACCAAAGCAACCAGAGGGTATGGAGTACGAGCATGTTGAGCTCCGTGTGATCCTTCCAGAGGGTGCAGAGTAAGTTATAACTGCAGTTTGTCTTATACGCAAACTAACAGTTCATAGAAACATCCAATACAGCACCACAGTACCCCTCGTCAGCACATCCATCTCCCTACACCGAACATTCATGGACACCACAGGTCGCACTACCCTCACGCTCAAGGCCATCAATATCGTGGATGAATTCCGTGATCGTGAACTGATTGTCACCTACGAATATCCATTCCTTGCAGGCTTCCGAAAGCCAATTGTCATTTTTGTCACTATGGTGAGCTTGTACACCGCGGCGTGGGGCATCGGTACACTAGATATCAGCATAAAGGGAAAGAAAAGGTCATAAATATTAGGGTTTGAATTTGTACAGCAAATGGGAATGTAGAATAAAAAGTATATCCATGTTATCCAAACTTACTTGCAGTTTCATGTCGATACACTTCCCTTTCTGCGTTGGCCTTTCTGGGGGTCGTAGCATGGATCGACGGCCACATCAATGCCATCACATTGGATATTTTCTCCGTTTACATCACCCAAGTGGGCCCTCACACTCAGCTAGGTCTGATCTTTTCTACTAATGCTTTCATATCCAAGATTATGTGTTCCGTTCCTCCAAAGTATTGTTATATACAATTCAATCCCTCCACTCAATCTTAGATATCACTTACCCAGCAGCCACATTCGACGAACTCACCACCGGCCCACCCACCAAGACATTATTAATATAACTTCTCACCGTCGCGCTCGTAAACCGCGGGATACCCCTCGAAGAAAACGCATACGTTACCTGCCCATTCGCAACCTGACCTCTCACCATCGGCCGCTCAACGTTATCTCCGTTAAACACCACCCGCATACTCGCCGTGCTATCCACCAAATCGGTATGCGCATTCGCAGTCGCCGTACCACTTTGTCTGCTCGCCCAGCTCAAGGCATCGATCACGGGGTGGTCGAACGCGCCTTGTCCGATCGCTACGGATGTCACGGCGATGGTGTCGTTCGCTTTGGAGCCGGAGGGCGTGTGTGTGATTTCCACTTTGAACTCGCGCGATGCGGCGGCGACGGGCGCGGAGAAGCGGATGCTGGCTGTGTTTGAGGCGGAGAGGGCGACGATGGGACCTGCGATTTGCGTCCAGTTGTAGGAGAGGGACGCTGGGGGAACGTTGCCGGCTATTAAGGACGCGGAGAGCAGGACGGATACGCCGCCGAGGACTGTTTGGTCGGTTCCTGCTGAGATGGTCAGGGCGACGGGTTCTGGTGTGCCTGTTGGGGTGGTTGTTGCGGTTGTGGAAGTTGCTGGAGGGGCGCAAACGGCTACAGCTGGTGTTGGAGTGACAGCTCCTGGCCAGGGAGATAGCTGGCCGAAGATCGTGCCGTTGATGGGTCCGAAGCCGTTTCGAAGAGGGCCGATGTTGGAGAAGTCGTTAGTGGGTGGTGCGGCACCGGGGGAGATGAGTTCGGGGAAGATCCATTCGCTGACGGGCTGGACGTATTGGCCTGCTATGATGCCGTCTGAGGTTGTGAGGGTTATGTCGCCGATTCTGATGCGGTAGTTACGAGTGTAGAGGCCTTTGATTATTGTCAGATATTGAGCTCGAGGTGGGAGGGAACTTCTGCTTGCCAATGTTTGTGGTTTTGGGGATATCGACCTTCCATTTATTTCTGTTTGGACCATCTGGAGTGGCGGAAGCTACGAGACGTTCTGATTCCTCTCCTGTACACGGATCCTCATCTACTGCAAAGATTCGGACCAACATGTCTGATCGACTGGCTAGACCGATGAACTGGATGTCGTTAGCTTTGTCCATGGTATTTCTTTCCAACAAAAAGGCAACACTTACTCGGTGTCGTGCTGCTTCAAAGTTGGCATCGAGATCCGCAACGCCGATAAGTGCATCTTCTACTCGAACAAAGCCAGGTTGATTGCCTGTGGTAAGCAAATCAAGGTTCGCAACCAGAGAATACAGAAGTGTTTGTCCCTGATACTGGATGCCCGAAAACTCTATGTAATCTCCAACCTTGAGAGGCACCATATGCGAAGCATCCGGCACAATACTAATCACGTTGTCAGTCATCATCTCTCATCTGAAAGCCAACTTACTTCGTCCCAGCAGCAGGTCGATTCGACAACGGACACTTCTCATCACTCGCACTCCTAGGCACACAAACCGGAAACCCACTAAAACTAGTAATACTAGGATTCTCATCATCCGCCGTGAAAAACGGCACTTCATTAAACCCAGCACTATACACCGCATTTGGATCATTAATCCTCAACGTGCCTCCATTCAGTATCTTAATCCTACCATCAAACTCCAAACTCTCAATCACGCCCGTCGAGCCCGCGAGGTCGATCTGCGAGTAGAACATCTGGCCCGCGATGATCTGGTTGTTGACGATGTTGCCGTTGATGGAGACTTCGTTTTGCCCGGGCTTGACGCCGGTGGTGAATTCGGCGAAGGGGACGAAGAGGGCGGGGAGTTCAACGAGGAGGTTGTCCGGGATGGTTATGGTGAAGCCGTCGATTGTGATGGTGCCGCCCCGGTTGATGGCTGTCCCAGGTTTGGCTACGGCACTGTGCGGTGTTAGAGGGGGGATCAGAGGGGAGTTGGTTGGAGGGGGTGAGCGTACCTTGTGAGTGCACCGGTGATTATGAAGGGGAGGGTTTGGCAAGTTGAGATGGTTGCGAGGGCGAGGAGTAGGGAGAGTAGTAGAACATACATCTTGAATTGGTATGAGAAAGAGCTATGAGATGCTTTCTGGAGTTTTACCCAAGTGGGCAGTCTACCTATTTGAACCCAAAGCTCTTTCAGCTCAACGCCTTTTCCGTATTCTCCGCCAACTACTTCCCACGATATTCCACATACATTCTCATCTAAGACATTAGTCTAGACTGTCTCCCATGCTCTTTCATGGCGAAATTTCACATTACTTATCGAAATCCCAACATCTCGACGCTTCAAATGCTACATTCCTGTCTATTTCAACATCCCAAGACAATAGTCTCATGTCCTCTCAAGGCAAAGAAGTAATGATCAATCCTTTTCATCTCAAAATATTAACTTCCAAGTCCCGCGAGAGGGCCGAGGTCTTAACAAATCATCACGCTCCCTCCAGCTTAGCTTCACCTAGCCAATTAGACACCTCCGTAGAATACGAGATCTCGGTTTGATCATCAGATTCCCACAGTGGTGCACGATGGTGCACACATTTCTGCCCATGCGGCTGAAGAACCAGAGGTCGTACAGTTCATCCTGCGCATGTCGTACTACAGTGTGGCGTCGGATATATCTCGAGAAGCGAGTCCTGGTTCGCGCAGGATGAAGGAGGATTAAGCGACTGCAGCCAAGTGAATCGTGATGTGGCATGATGGATATGGTATTACTAACTCACTGCTGGAAGTCGACATCCGTTGGATTCTGGAATCATGTTCGTATCGAATAACATACTCATTAATCCAGAAAAGGGAAGTCTTAAGCGTCTCCCACGTGTAGAACCTGACCCCTTTCATCCACCGCAATCCTCGTCTTCTTCGTGCTCTCCTTCCTCGGATTTTTCGCATCAAAAATATACTTCATCTCCTCCAACGTCTTCCCCGCCGTCTCCACAAAGAAGAAATAAATAACCACCATCTCGACACAAATCCATCCAATATAGACCAAATACAATTTCCACCCGATCTTCTCAATGCCTACACTGATACCATAGGTGTTAACCACCATAGCGACATTGAGGAACAGGAAATTCAACCCCGAACCCTTGGCGCGCGTGCGATTCTCGAGACATTCGACCGCGTAAAGGGTTTGTAGGGGTGTGAATCCCCAGGCGAAAATTATGCCGAAGAGGTAGATGGAGACGATGACGCCGTAGGAGAGGTTGGGGTTGGATTCGGAGGACGCGGTGAAGGCTGTGAGCATTATGTAGGCGCAGAGACCGCCGCCGAGACCTGCTAACCTGATCAAAAGTATCAGTATTGATGTGATATTTAGTAGAATGGAGAGTGGCTTACATCATGAATCGTCTACCAAGTCGGTCGAGAAGTGTTGCTCCGTAGATGGCGCCTAGCATGGAGAAGATTGGGTTGATGGCGTTGATTAGGAGTTGCGTGTTGGGATTGTTGATGCCGGCTTTTTTGACCATGGAGGGCATGAAGTAGTTTATGACGTTGTTTCCGGACCATTGGCCGAAGAAACCTGAAACCATAAGTTAGTATATTGGTATGGAAATAGTTGATACCAAAAGGGGGAATATAGAAGCGAGTCGCATCGTTGAGTTCATTGTTCAACTCTTGAAGCAGTAGAATGAAACGTTTTACGTGTGAGAGTTGGGGCAATGAAGATAGGACTTACTCATTCCGATGACCATATACAATCGATATCTCGCGCCCGGGGTGTTTACCAGCTCTCTGAAATCCCACCATGGGTTCTCATCTCTATGTTGGTGTTAGACTTGTCTCCAAAAATATTTGGACGTTCATACCTAGTGGCATGTAATTGCTCGAGTACCTCATGGTATTCAAGTTGAACAACAGGAGAGTTTTCATCGCCATCTCCATGATATTTAGCAAAAACTGCGAGTGCCTACATCTTCAATTAGCATGATAATTCTTTTCTTTCGCAGAATCTGGATCGGACATACCTCTTCGCGCCGATCGTGAGCAATAAGCCAACGTGGTGATTCTGGGAAGAACATGATGCATGCCATAACGACAATAGGCATTCCAGCTTGAACCACTGTTGGCGTTCTCCATGCCCATGAGTTTGCGAGGTTCTTGTTCGCTCCGTATGTTGTCCAGCCCGCGAGGATGTTGCCTAACCACCAAAAGTTGTTGTACCTGATGAAAGCGCTTAGTTTTGCTGGAGACAGTAGGGAAGCTTGCTTGTACTTACATTCCAGCCATGGTACCTCGATATGCAGGATGTGCCAATTCGACAACATAAGCAGGCCCAGCTGCGGAGGCAAGCGAAGCACCGAGTCCTATCTAGTATTAGCATCTCAACGAGCGTTGAATTTCTGATTGAAACGTACCTAGAATAAATCTACCACCCATGTAGTGCTCTTTATCATTGGCAGTAGCTTGAACAGCAGTCCCAATAACAACAATCAAGCATCCGACGAAGATGCAAACTCGGCGACCATATCCATCGGCCAAGAAACCACAGAACGGAAACGCAGCGATCTGTCCAAGATTGTAGATGATGAAGACAATTCCAGTACTCGATCCCTCTCCGGAAAGTCCCATGGTTTGCTGGTAAGGTTTCATCGCGTTGATACTGCCCATCAACGAAGAGTCTATCTAAGTCAGTAACCATTCCCATAGTTACTCCTGCAAAGAACATACCGAATCCATTAAGCGTAGAGACCAAATACCCAATACTCATAATCATATACAGTTTTATCATATTCTTGCTCAACAACGAGGGTTTCTGCGCTGCCACTGCCGCCGCGAGTGCGACTGACGATGCTTGCACTTGTGTGACATTTCCCACTCCAAGCTTTTCATCGAGAGAAATTACTTGTTGGACATTGTTTTCCTGGTGTTCGGTGCCGACACCGTTTACCTTGGGAGTCGACATGATGATCTGAAATGGAACGGAAAGGAAGGCGCAAAGAAATCGGAATGTACTGGAGATAAACACTCAACACTTTAACAGGACATCACAGTCCTTATATCTTCACCAAGTCCGCCACATACCCATATCCTCCAAATTTGTAAGACCCATAGCTGCGGATTCCTTTGCCCCTCTTCCCCAACTCCCCCATTCCGTCCACTGCATCATGTTTTTAGTCGCCTAGAAACGTCTTGGCTTTTTCGATTTCGGTCCTGATTCTCGTTGTCGGCTCTTTCCATACCCAAAAAGGAAATCTACGGGAGGACTAGGGAGGTGCCAACAGCCGACACTCGAGGGGGAAATAGGGATTTGATTGGCCCGCTTAGGACTTTTTATATAAGGTTCTTCTGGGCTTGACTTTATATGACGGTTGTGGGGTTTGAGGAACTTGCTGCGCGGCTTGTGACATGCCACTTTTCGTGCTTGGCGAGGTCTGGGGGATATTGAATTGAATTTTTTGTTTTGAGGCCGAAGGACGTTCAAGGTTTCAATCCTACAAACAATATATAACAAAACGCTGTCGAGGGCTTGAAGCTTCCATCTCTTTCCCTTTGATTGAGGAGTGAGATATTTGGATACGCGTGGCAATTGTCCGGCAACGTCCACCAAGACTCCAACAAAGCTTCCGCTTCCCGTTGCCCAGCAAATATCAAGTTGTCGGTGGCTTAAGCCGAGAAATGTTAATTTTGCGGTATGAAATCCGCTCAGCACTTGCCTTCCCCGACATCCCCGCGTGTGGAGGAACGGCGCTAGCGAGTCATGTTGGGCGAATTGAGGAAGAATCATGAGCAGGAGAGTTTGATGAGCTTTTGAGTGGACTTTGAGAGCTGCGATGAAAAGGCATATCAGGAGATCGCTAAAGCGGAGAATATACGAAGGGTTTGGATCACACATTTAAGCTAAGAGCCAAATCGGTATGGGGCTCAACTAGTAATAAAATAACGCCATCAACAAACCACTGCGAAATTTCAGATCATTCTTGAAATGCAGACCCAGCGAATTATCTACAATATATATTATAGATTAATGATTTTTCTTTCAGACCGCCTCAAGCGACTTAACCTCACGTTTTGAAAAATTTCGATTTGATAACAGGATTTGATTAGTGATAGCCCCGCAGAGCCAGGTAGAAAATCAATTACTTCTGGTCATCAATCACAACACTACACCCGATGTTCATTCAGAATGTTTTGGAGTTTCAATCGATCTATATCCGTTAGTGTAATGTCACAAGGTATAGGATAATGTCGTTTGAAGGTCCTGCATATGTTTCTGACACGGTAAGGTAGCGATAATAGGCCTTCATTAGGCATGAAATCATAAAACATGGCAGATTTTAGCAACGTTGAAAGAAATCGGATAGAAATCATCTAATGCTTTTTTGTTCTTGCCACTTTTGACATCAACATTTAGGTTGGGCGATAAACATATGCTCAATGGAAAGTGCATTGAAGAAGTCATTCATCCGCACGAATTATTCTCACACTGTTAATGGCGAAGGTGAACGCGAATTCCGAACTGAAACACTGCTTGAAATTGTGGGAATAAAAATCACATAGAGCGCAACACAGCAATCTTGTGAAACACGTGTTCATTCTTTTCAACGAAAAGTTTCGAGATATCAAAAACAGTCATTTGCTAGTAGAGTTTCTTATTGCTTCTTGTACGTGGAACCTACAGACCAGATAAGTGTTGTACATGTGATAGAGGTGTAGACGATCGTCCATGCAAATCGCTGTCCCAAATCATCTGTTGGGACATCCCTTCACGTATTTGGTTTCACCGGAAAGAGAACGGATCTTTTATTAGTCCAATGTCATCCCTTGGACAGAGAAAACAAAAGTTTGGTTGCCGCCAAATAAGCGAGGTTACACATCTACCACCTTTCCCCCTCGTTACTGTTCTAACAAAGAAAATCAAGCTCATTGACTTCCAAAAGAGAGAAATCAGAAATTGGCTTTGGGTTGCACTCCAATGGTAGTGCGACGCTCCTTTCCGGAAGTCGCAAACTGCAGGACGAGATTGCTGATCGCGGTCAAATAAATTCGGTGTGCCACCTTTTCATGAGACGGCCACTTTCTTCATATCCTTTTCAATAAGATAGTGGGTAACATTCACTGCGTAGCGGTGTAACCATGTGAGAACTAGATATGAGCGGTTATTATCTAACTCCTAAACCTAATCTGTCACGGAATAGCTCCGGAGGTTTGAAGTGCACGACAATCGGGCCAAGTCCGTATAATCGTCCCGAAGACTTTCCTGGTTCACTGTACACACGCTTCAATGGCCTGACCATAAAGTCTAGCGGTAAAAGCAAAGTTCTCCGTTGGCTCATTCCCGAAACAATCTTCTTTATTTACGCCCCTAACAACTCAAATTGAGTCAACCTTGCGCTGATTCGTAAATATTATAACTGCCACATGAATTTTGGTTTACTCTTTACTTTTGATAACAAACGATGGTAAACTTGGCCTCAGTCCTGTCTCCAGTACGGCTCGTAGTCAACATCAAATGGTGAGTTACAAATTCAAGCCTGAGATTGATCACATGGCGGCAAGTTTCGATGGTTTCTTGGAGGTGGTGGATGATCAGCTTGTGATTCCGAGCAGGCTCCGTAACATTCGTCTACCCTTGCGCCATCTTGACACGAAATTCCTTTTCAGCTCTCTAGTGTTATGACAACAATTTTAGGTAGGTATCACAAACCGTTCCAACTATCCTGTAGCGAACCAGAGGATGGAATGACTCAGGAAGCGAACGATCATCTGCCATTTCAAATTGAAACAAGTCACCGATTGTCACGATTCCTCCCATGGTACCAGTTGTTTTCGTATTTGTGACTGCAGAAGACAAAGTATAAAACTGTCTCATTCCGTCCGATCTCATTCCCATAGCCCGGTCCCTCGCCTTCAACGTCAACTACCAGCTACAATTATAGTTCCGTCGTAATTCCATTTAAGAACAAGAAATAGAAGTACCAAGCTGCAAACAATACAAGTGACCGAAAATGAAAGGCACGCTCTTAAATATCATCTTACTCTTTATCCTACAAGGAGCGACAACACCACTTCCACCGCACCCCCAATCAGATATAGCCGTACGTTTAGGGACGACTGCTGATCTCCTCGCACCAGAAAACGTGTTTTACGGAGTCGCGGTAATTAAATCTGACCCTTCTTTGGGCATGCCGGAAACTGATCGAACACGCACAGAATCCAGTAGAAGGGGAGCCATCCAGACCAAGAACTTCCCCACACCCTAGGGATTCCGAATCGTCAAGTCAGATGTTCCCGCTACAACCCCGCGCTCAGAATTGTGGTCTTCTAGCTCAGCTGCAAAAAGATCTGGCAAAAGGAATTGACAAGTTCGTTGGGGGAATTGACGAATCACTCCTTCCGAGCTTTTTTAAGCCAGGAGCACACTTGAAGGAGGTTTGCGATGCCCCAACAAACGACATTAGTGGCAATATCCTTGAATTTTTTCCGAAGCCGATATTTGAACACTTCTGTCACATAATTGCTGTGGCCTCGGCTTATGTAGATCCGATGTGTGAGCCAGACAGTACCACTTAAGCGGCCAACACTTGTTGAACACCGCGAACACAATCTAGAAGTCCGTTCAAATGAATTAGTATATAGACTTCATCATTCGCTTTAACTGTGTTAGTGCTTGCAATGCTAATAACAGCTTTTTCTGACACGGCCCCTGGAAACTGTCGTGTATATGAGCCGGGGGTAACAGAAAGCAGGATTTACCTATCTTCAAAGGCTAGGACAGTTAGCATGTTAACAAAATGATGATGGAAAGGAAAAACATTTCACTGAGCCGTGGCTGAGTTTCATGGCGTGTTGTTTTCTGGGTTTCTTTTCTTTTCTCTATTTCTTTCCGCAAGGAGAATGGTGGCCGGAGACTCTCGATCTTTACAGTCAGCCGTTACAATATTAAGTCAATGTATCTTCGCTATTTCAATCAGAGACTAGTGGTTGTTCCTTCCATGTCGACAAACCCAAACACCATTTCCGAATGACAAGCTGAGTTTTCAACATTGCCTATTCTCACCTCAAGCGAAAACATCCGAAGCATACCTATCACTCTTAACCCCCAACCACCACTCCTCAATCTCCTCCTCCGTCTTATGTTTCCCCACCGCCTCAGCAGCCTCCTCATAAATCCTCTTCAACATCTTCGCGACGCCCTCACCCACCCCGGCAGAGCCACAAACATACAGTTTCGCCCCCTGATCAAACACCTTCTTCATCTGCTCTCGCTCCTCCCACACGCGATCTTGCACGTGTTTGCAGCCCTTGCTGTGCTCGGTGCAGCGGGAGAAGGCGTAGAAGACCTCGACGACGCCGTCTTTTTGCCATTGGTCGAATTCGGTCTTGAAGAGTTGGTCTTTTTCGGGGTGCGCGCAGCCGATGAAGAGGTAGGCGGGGGCGAGCTTGCGGCCGGCGCGGATTTGCTGCGCGCGTTCTTGGACGAAGCCGCGGAAGGGGGCGAGACCTGTGCCTGCACACTAGGTAGATATCAGCATCTGGATAGTGAAATCATGAGAAAAGCTTACCATCATGATAATCGGAGTCTTCTCAATATCATTCGGAGGATGGAATTGTCCATGGCTTGCTTTGACAGCGACATGTATCCGATCACCAGCTTCCACATTCGAAAGGTAATTTGATGCAACACCAAGAAATCTCTTTTCACCTGAAGCTTTTGAGGGTTGGTCAATAACCGACCATGTTATGCTTGCTGTTTCTGGGTCGACCAGAGGCGAAGAAGAAATGGAATATTGTCGTATGCGCATCGGTGGTAACATGGCGAGATAGTCGCCTAGGGGTAGAGCTGCGGATGGATACTCCTCCAACAGATCAATTGCTGAGCGGCGTTTCGACATTACCTCTTTGTCATAATTCTTGTCGGACATGTCCAGTAACTCTGATCGCTCCTTTTCGTCGGTACAGCTAGCTGCGATTTTTGCTACGTGCTGTGTACGTTAGTGAAGTCCCCGAGCGGTGTGCAGTAGATTTACCTTGCGAGTTGCCGGCTGGGTCAGTTCAAGATACGCAGACATAATATCGAATGCAGATACCGGGTGACCAGTCGGTAATGTGGTATTGGCCCCGTTCTTCAGAGTCAACATAGCGTCCCAAGGCAACTTGGCCCATTTCAAAACTCGTCGAACATTCTTAGGGTGGTTAAGTGGAAGTACCGCAAGGTAATCTCCAACGCGATATTCCATGCCTGTGGGCATTCGAAGAACAATATGTCGCTTTTCCGTGACTCCATCAGCAGTCAACAACTCGTTGCTGATAACTTCCGCTTCTTTGACGTCTTGTCGAAGTCTTGAGCGTCTTGTGTCGGTGTTAATCTCAACTTCAATACCAGCTTCTTCGGAGCCGTCCGACTCCACTCCCAGGGCAGTCCATAACTTCTCATCTTGCCATTTGTCGAAGTCGCTAAACACATCACCTTCGGCAACGTCCGCCAGTCCGATTTCAGTAATTCTCGTCGCTCCCTTCGCTTTAAAGGTGTCATTGACAAGATTTGGTATTCTGTGAAAGGTGGATACCCAGTCGTCTAAACAGAGTCAGCATTGATTATCGAGAGTAGTATCACGTATGGCTTACGATTTCCGCACCCAAATACAGCATAATTCACGCCTTTGAGCTTGTTGTCCTCGAGCTTTTGCATCCATTCTACAAAATGCGCCGCATTATCTGGTGGTTGACCCTCATAACCTAAATTCTCAGCATCAGTCTCGATCCTTGGGTGGTCGTAGCTTGGGCAACATCATCAGATGTAGCTTTCGGGTTGTACTTACTGGCTGTTATAATAACAACTGGCTGATCCTTTGGAACATTATCAACAGCGGTATCTAGCGTATCAACCTTGGCATCATAACCATGTCTTGAAGCATTCCGAGCAACAGATTGGGCCAGAGCCTCGCAAGTTCCAGCATTTGAACCATAAAGCACTGTCATTGGCTTCTTAGGCTTCTTGGTTGTTCCAGCTATCGATCCCTTTCTCCCATGATCGCTAGTCTTCATTTCCATCTTTCCGGAATGGATCATCTTTTCGAGTTGATTTGGGTCGATGTGTTTACGAAGACTTGCGTGCATGAAGAAATCCAGTGGCTTGATTGTGAGAGTTGACTTAAATTGTAATTCATAGCTTGGGTCATGTTGGCGGAAGTCGAAGCACTGGAGAAGTATAGCGACTGTCAAGATTGCTTCTTGCCATGCGAATGGCCGTCCAATACATCCTCTAGAGCCATTTCCGAACGGTTTCCAGGCGCCTGGTGGAAGTTTGCTGAATGCTTCAGGAAGCATTCTCTCGGGCTTGAATTCTCGTGCGTCTGAACCGTACACCTTTGGATCTCGCTGGGTTGGAGCACTCAAGATGATTATAGGCATACCAGGCTTGACCTCGTACTTTCCACCGCCAATGAAGACAGGCTGGTCACTATTGGGAAGGTCGTCTCTTGGTGTAACCGCAAACGCGGGAGCCGTTGGGTTGAGTCGCAATGTTTCTTTCAGACACGCATCAATATAAGGCAGCTTCGACATATGCTCAATGGTAATAGCATTAGTGCCGATAACATCGTCGACTTCCTTCTGAGCTGCTTGATATGCAGCTGGGTTCTTCAAGAGATGATGGAACAAAAAAGATAGCATTCCAGATGTCGTTTCATGTCCTGTTTCGGGATTAGCTAGTTGGGGCAGAAACTACGACACAGGAGCTTACCAGCAATCAAAAACGTGATCATGTTGTCTCGAATACTCTCATCACTCATCGACTCGCCAGTCTTCGGGTCTTTCCCGAAAAGCATCGCGTTAAGTAAGTCTTTTTTATCAATAGGATGTTTTCGACGCTCATTCATCAATTCCTCAGCTGTGTTTGCCATCAACGCCATATCCTCCTCGTACTTCTGATTAGTAGCGCGCATGAAATACCCAGCGATTGCCGGTCTCGACGCTCGCGCTCCACTTTCACTAAGAAAAGAAGTCATTGCATCCACAAAAGGATGCATCTCTTCGTGGTAAAAGCTGTTAAATCGAGTTCCCATCGCACATAGCGCAATCGAGTCCAGAGTCAGTCTCGTAAAATCGTCGGTGACTATAATCTTCTCTTGAGGTCCGAATCTCGCCCACTTCACGACTAGCTGGGATGCAATGTCATGCATCTCTTCGAACATTGATTGAATAGATAGAGGTCCAAAGGCGGGCATAAGAGTCCGGTGAGCGACTTCCCAGTGGTGTTCACCGGTTCGAGCGGTGAAAAGACCGTATCGCGTGCCATTTCTGACCTGATTAAGACCGCCGGAGACAATTTTGTGAAATCTCTTCTCGTCGCAGACTTCATTCACCAGTTCTACAGAGGAGATAAATAAACGCTCGCCGCCGAGATTCAGTCTGTAGATCTCGCCTTCGTCAATTAGCAAGGAATGAAAAGGGGTCACAAAACCAACCGTATGTATCTGCGAAACGAGCAAGACTCGTAGTGGGATTTATTCGGTCGACGTCGTTGATATTTCCCAAAAAAGGAAGCCCGGGTGGGCCTGGGATGGTTTCGGTCATTTTTTTTTTAAAAATGCTCAGAGACAAGAATGCTCCTGCGCAGACGGTAGATACAATTGTGATAACAGAATACAAGAAGAGAAGATAATAGAGTTCGGTATCAAAGTGTGAGGAGCTTGATTAAAGAGCAGTATATACAAAGTTCAGATCAAGATTGGGGAGGAAGAAAGGGTATATCATCGCATTATCTCTCCACTTGAATCGGAATCGGAGACAAACGAGTTTCACCGCCGTCCGGGCCTACTAAACGGTGCTAACAGCGCAAGATGTGCGAATGCTCTCGACGCTTGACTTTATTTTTATGTCGTGCAGGGCTTCGTGGACACGACGCCGTTGCGCCGCCGTCCGTCAACAGCACGCACCCAAGCGAGCCGGCTTCCTTGACATTATGCGGCAAACCATTAATGTTCAGGAGTTGGAACCATAAAATTAATGTTGAGCAGACAACGAGTTCGTGATAACTGCAATAAAAAGGAAAGGAGACGCCGTTGACCTCGGCTGAAGTGTCATATGCTTATGCGATGAGTAGGAGGTTCTTATACGCACCCGCCGAAATGACAGGCACGTTCCCAGGTATGCTCAAAGCGTTTGTTTTTGATACAGATTCAACCAACTGGCGTAAAGCAGCCGAGGCTTCAGGTGCGATCGCTCCACGCCTCGGGAACCAACAGCGCTGGATCATGACTTCACATTCACAAGCATCGGCATCACGGTGAGAAGAGTCGGGACGATGATTGAACCGGTTTGGTTGAATATGCCATGACTGGGGAAGGAAATATATCTCAACAGAATTCCAAAGCAACGATGAAAGAGCGAAAGAAAAAGACCATCATGTCATCAACCTGCACCGCATGTGCATCGCATCATAACCGAGCCCCTCGAACGTCGAACAAAACCCAAAATGTCGAAATATATACAAGAAACGAATCGCACATAGATCTAGCCATCATTTAGATCTACTCTCCTGGCATCCCAGCTACCATATTAGCATACTGACTGCCCGGGTACGACAGACAATTCTGGCTCGACTCCAGTCCCGCGAACGACCCCGCGATGGTCGAAATCAAACTCCCTCCATCCGTTCGATCACCGCTGGGCTCCCAGAACATGGCACCACCCAGCCCTTGGTTCTTGATATACGTGGCTTTTTGCTGGGTGACGGCGACATTGTCGTAGCTGATGAACTCGCGGGTCGAGGAGTCGTAGCTCCATGATGTGCCGGTGCTGGCGTCGGTGAATTCTTTTGCGCCGGCTTTGGGGAGAGCTGAGGGTTGTTAGTATATGATGTTAGGATAATGGGGAGGAAATCTTACCTTTGTAATCCCAAACGCCATTCTCCCAACTCCCGCTTCCGACGCCTGAAAATGGTTTACCGGCTCCATCTGTGGCCTGGAAAGAGCGACCGTACAATGGCAGACCCAAGACGATTTTGCTTGCTGGAACGCCCGAGGCGATGTAATCCGTGATCGCTTTTTGTGTGGAATAAGGTGTGCTGGCTGGGTTTGAGCTGGAAGGATAAAGATTGGCGTCGTGTCCGACGAGTGTATCCCAGGATCCAGAGTAATCGTACCTTTGAGAGGTCAGCATTGGATGTACCAAGAACTCATGCCGGGAATGTGGAAGACTTACGCCATGAGATGCCATGCATCAAGATACTGATCCATATCACGCTTGTGAAGGATATTATAATTCACAGGACCAGCCGGGCAAGCAATCGTGATAAGGAACTTGCTGCTTGGCGCATATTGGGCCTTGTACGCGTTCAACGCAGACCGCATCGCTTGAAGAAGCAAGACAAAGTTGGAAGCTTCCACATCATTCTTAGGATACTCCCAGTCGATATCCACGCCATCAAGACCCCAATCCTTGACAAAGGTTACAGCGGTGTTAGCAAATCGGGCTCTGTTTTCAGGTGTGCTGGCTGCGGCGGGGAAGTTGGTTGAGTAAGTCCAGCCTCCGATGCTGAGTAGGGTTTTCATTTGTCTGTTCTTTTTCTTGAGGATGTAGAGTTGTTTGACGACGCCGTAGACGTTTTTGCCGACGTCGTTCCAGGAGTCGGTGGGGTAGTGCTTCTCGAGATCTGCGTAGCTGTCTGACAAGTATCTTTCAAGTGTTAGTTCAAGTGAGCTTTGCGACGATGGTTAGACTTACACAGTTCCATCCGTCTGGACGTTTGCAAACGCGTACAATACGTGTGTCAACTTGGAAGCAGGGAGCTGTTGAGGTTGATAGTTTCTGCCATAGATGCCCCTCGTTGGTGTCAGCTGAGTACGGATTTCAAGTCACTCTCTACACTTACCAGTTCACAAAGTATGCCGCGTTTTTGTATCCTCCAGCGGCAGCCGCGCTGAACATTTCTGTCTGTGGAGCATGACTAGTGACTCCCTCAGCAAGAGAAGAAGTATTTCCAGATGTCGGAGCCGAGAAAGTAAGGGGTGTGAGTAGCGCTGCTACCACGCAAAGAGAACGAAAGAACATTTTCAGACCGTAAGAATATCCAAGAACGAGAAGGAGTGTCGATAGTGTCGAGAGCGGGCGATGTTGAGAATCAAAGAACGTGAGGCATTCCGTTCAATATATAGCTCTTGAATCAGTATATCCTGACTCTGGGCCGCGTGAGTAAAAAGCCGTAGGTTCATATCTGGCATGGGTTGTATCTTGTGGCATCCAAACACATAACTTTGACGGGAACGAGGGTCTCTATCCAAACAAAAGGTCCGACCGAGACCCAAAAGTCATAATAACGTTACAATACTTCATCTGACGTCGACGACGCGTCTGCCAACCGTGTACCCCATCACCCGAGATACCGCACCGTGGAATGCCGATGTGGAATTCAACTATCGCATTCTAGATGTCTTGATTCTGGGGCCCTGGTGTGACCATGATTGGATGACTCTATCCTTATTGGTCACTATCACGGCCGGAGTCGAAATGATCGTGCGGGTGGTACTGTACCATGCTCACTAAATATGGCACTAGGTGCTATCTGAATAGAGCTTTGGTACCTCGTTCTTTCCACTAACACTTGCATACGCTTTATGCTAGTCAGGGCTTAAATTGGTGGAGTTGTCACTTTGTACTGCTAGTTTTCTAGCACTCGTCAAAACGGAGTATTCCCACCTAGAACAATGGAATTGTGACCTCTAAGATTCGAAAAGGCTAATCCATTAAACCGATCATAACATGACTACACCATTTCCAAACACATATGTAATCGCACGAGCAACACAAAGCTCGCTTGTGGATTTCAATATTGCAAAGTCAAGAGCACGTATATGTGGAACATTACATAGCTTTCCGACCGGGAATTCCAGTCAAGAACCCCTCAAGCGCCGGCATGCACAAGAGATCATAATGCGCATCATAATCATTGGGTGGAAAATATCCCCTGTCTCCGGCGGTACTGTACATCACTTTCCACACACCTTCCCCTTTGGACCAGTCACCCCCAACTCCTGATACTGTGGTTCATGACAGCGAGAACCTCACAAGGCGATGTGGAAATCATGAGGGTGGTTTTGGGAGCGACCAGCGCTGAATCAGAGTAACGTTACCCACTTGTCCATTTCTGTCTGGTCACGATTTATTTTGCTTTTGTCACGCTGGCGGTTGAAGGGAAATCACCAATTTGAGGGATGGCCAGTGAGAGTATAGAGGATGGTTCGAGTCTCGTGACCACCCCTTATCTATCTACATCTCTACTGGACTTGTTTCATCTGTTCCCGAAACCTGGAGATCTCGTATTTGAGAGGCTCTGCGGTTACAAAATCGAGATTAAGTTCATCTCGGTTTGAGATTTGTCTCCAGTTTTGTGAGGCTGTATTGCCACTTCAATGGTTTTTGACAGAATAAAATGAAGCTTCCAATTCACACCTCAATGTTCAGTGCGGCAAACGAGGAGCTCCCAAACTGTGTGGGCACTAGACCAGATATCGGCAATCTTCCCCAGGGGTGACCGGGTTGGATGATTATGCAACGTTCAATGTTAAGATGTCGGCCAGGTAAAGTTGTCACCATTATCTCCTTCAGTGATGGTCGTTCCCCGTGAAGCAGCATGCTGACTGATAATAAATGGCATCGTGACCGAAGACTTCAGATATGGAATAGCGCGGCTTGCTCACAGCTTAGATTGTATGTGATATGAATAGGAAAACTCGAGTTCTATGGAGTAAACTAGATCCCTAGCAGTGGTGGCGCAGAATGTGTGCGGTTGCAGGGCAGCTCCTATCTGAAGATTTTATGTTGCTTCCATCTACCTTCATGTACACGCTGTCGATCACATCTGCCTTAGGGCTGCTTCCGTGCCAAAATCGATGAACCGGGGCCTGAAACTGGGGCCGTTGTATAAGTTAAAAATGCATGTTCTAAAGGCTCTACCTCGGAGGTGATGAGAAGAGCATAGTCGTGGGATCACAATGAGGGGTGGCCAGATCCTTCCACAGGTACAGCTCACTCAAGTAGCTTTCATTTCCAGGCAATCGGCAATGGCTGCCATTTCGGTAAATCTGCGCACCAGGATTGTAACGTGTTAAAAGAAGAGACATAGCTCAGAACAATGCCCAACTTCGGAGTGACAAGACATGTGTCTCCCGGCTTGAAATTACCTGAGGATTGCGGGAGAGGGGAAAGAGGTGCGTACCCCAGGTATTGAAGTAACGTGCACCATGATGTCCCGCCCAACTCGAGTCGAAAGATTTAGGCCTACCTGAATTGCTCTCGGGTCACTTGACAACTGAAGAATAGTGATAGGAAGGAGTAAACTCAGACCGGCCAACCGATGAACTATGAAACATCCAAGGATTGCCATAACTTTGAACTGTAACAAATAGTATTTTCTGTAGATAAACGGTCATTCCTTCTTTTCGACTTTGACGCCTTTACCAAATCTACTCGCAAGTCGCTTGAGAGCTGCAAGAGCCTTAAGTCGCACGGCCCTGACATCCCACTGATCTGCTTCATCCAAAGCCACAAATCGTCTGACCAAGAGGTTGAAGATGAATCCGAATGACAGTGCCATGACAGTACTAGTAAGAATAATAACGTTGTATGGCATGCTGAAATCGGGAGTAGGGAGGGGGAGTAAAAGTGAGGTGGTGCGGATTGCTATGTTGCCAATAGTGATGACAGCTGGCGCAACGTCAAAGCCTCTGTTGGCGTCTGGTGGGTACTCGGTATATCTCAGGATAGCCTTTTCAAAGTCGTAAGTGAGGACTACGGTTGAATTGGCCGGGATGATGGCTCGGACTTCTAGTTGTGTTCCACGTTTTCTGTCTAGAGCTGGCCGATAGTACATCTCTTTGATGATATCTTCATCTAGACCATTGATTTTTGCTTTCAGCGTATGTAAGTAGAGCTTCATAAACCATGGTAACGTTTCCATGTATACAAAGTCCACTGAGTCCGTCAGTGATGGGTTGGTCAGAATAGCTTGAACGCCCCCACTCTCCTGACCATACCCGATGAAGGATCTTTCAGCGTAAAGGAGCGGCTGCTCAAGTGGTGCTTTCTCTGAAATTTCCTGTTCGGGAAGAATCATTTCAAACTCCTTGTCTGGCGCGAGCGAGAAGCAACGTTTGTACCCACTTTCGTCTTTATGTTCATGAGCACCTTCCGAAGCATACACATGGCGAGCATGAGGAACATCGATACATACGGGGTCGGTGCTCTCATCCGCTAAAGGACATGTGCCTTTCAAAGAGTGCCCGAAAATATGTGCAAGGCTCCATTCCTCTTCTTGGGCAGCCGCATCAAGTGGAAAGCACGTATCGTGAGAGTGGTACTCTTTCGAGGTGTCACATTTCAACTCGCTCTCAGCAACAGGTCGTGGGATAGGATTATCTCGCGGACGCTTCGATCTTTGGATGTCGAGGACCATATCAATGGTTTGGGTGATTTGCAGCTGGCAATTGTTGGAGCCTGCTTCACAGATTGGCTGTACATCAATTGACATACTTTGCCACGAAGCATCGAAGAGCTTATGGCCGTCCAGAAGACTCGATATTCCTGCCTTCCCTTTACATGGAAGTAGCTTCAGAAAAGGAGTCAGATTCTCTGTGCAAACAACCTCTCTCGGTAATGTTCCGTGGAGCAAATGTAGATCTGAAATTGTTGTATTCGAGTGGTCTCCAACAGGCTCAAAAGACATGACCGGTCGGATTGTTCTTGTGGAATCGATAAAGTTCAGCGAGGCACAAAAGAGGCCAGAAAGGGCATTGGTTAAGGTCAACCACCTTCCATCCGCTCTGCAGCAACACAGTCAGTTCTTGTGCTTGAAGGTATTCCCAGCATTGACATTGTGTTAAAGACTCACTCTTCATCGCTTTCAGCCTCGACCCATGCCCACAACTCTACACCAGTTCCTCCTTCTCGTGCACCTCCCCATGGCCTTGCTCCCCAGCTTTCTGCGTCCCATCTTCCCAGACTGAATCTCAAGTGTAATTCCCGTGTATTCGCATGTTGTAATATCTGTCCCAGCGACCGAGGAAAGTATCGAAAGTTTTGTTGTTCAAACGAGGCCAGACTCGTATTGCTCTGGAAATTAAAGGAGGCTAATAACAGGGACGGATGGAGAGGGCGAAGATTGAGCTGTTCATGGTAGTCTGATGAGGCTGAAGTGGGTGTAAATAACACGCCCGCAAGTGACAGTAGAGACAGAAAGAGACGCATGGCAGCCAGCGCCAAATTGATATCTCGATCACGTTGGGCGCATTGAGGTTGTTGATGTTGTTGTGTTTGGTGGGCTGCAACATTGAGATACGAGGTCAGCGAGAGCCTGATCCGCGAGGCTGAGAAATTTGACATCTTCAACTCCAGCAAGACGCCTTTCTCGAACTATCCGCAACACACAAGACCACGCGAATTTTTAACCATGGCGGCCGAACAGAGGAAGCTGTTGGGTATGTTCTTTGCGATTGCTCATTGAGTGCGCTGGGTCATTATTCTCGAATCGCGCATTCTGCGCGCTGTCTGCTTTAAATGCTTGGAACCATGCTAATATAATTCTGTAGAGCAGCTCATGGGAGCAGGAGCTTCATCTCGTGCAGCGCAACTCTCAATTACGGACCCGAAAGTATGCCGTTCATTCCTTGCTGGCACATGTCCGCACGATTTGTTTACGAACACCAAACAAGATCTGGGGCCATGTCCTAAAGTCCACTCGGAACCTTTGAAGACGGAATACGAAGCTGCGTCGGCGACGGAAAAGCAGAAATGGGGCTTCGAATACGATTACATGCGAGATCTACATAAATATATCGACGAGTGCAATCGGCGAATCGATGTAGCGCAACGAAGGCTGGAGAAGACACCGGATGAAATACGACAGACGAACGCATTACTGAAGCAGATTTCAGACCTGAATAAGAGTATAGAAACTGGACTGTTGGAAATTGAGATTCTTGGGGAGCAGTCGGAAGTCTCGCGCGCATATGAAGAGTTCTTCAGGATACGACAGGCAATGCAGACAAAAGGCGACAAGGAAAGAGAATTGAAGGCATTATCAGATACCAGTGGCCCGAGTGGACATCAGAAACTTCAAGTCTGCGATGTATGTGGGGCGTATCTCAGTCGTCTCGATAACGACAGACGTTTGGCAGACCATTTCTACGGAAAAATGCACTTGGGATATGCGCAGATGCGGAAAACATATGAAGCTTTCCCGAAAGAGCTACGAGGCAGAGTTCGACCCATGCAAGACGATGGAGACAACGCTGGTTCGAGAGGAGGCTATGACGGAGGTTATGGTGATGGTGGCTTTGGTGGTGGTAGAGGGTTTGGAGGTAGAGGTGGAAGGGGTGGTGGATTCCGAGGACGGGGAAGAGGCTTTCGAGGCGGATGGTAATTGCAAAATTCGGCGTTGGTTTACAGCTCAAGACATGGCGTTGATGGGATGGCTATCGGGTAAAACTTGTATTATGGACCCTTGGTAATTAATTTGACGGCATATGAAATCATGTCAGATTTTCTGGTGTTTCGTTAATTGGGAACGCGTGAAGGAATGTAAGTCATTTCTGTTTCAATTCAAGTCTTGCACGTTGTAGTTCTATGACAATCTCTACCAGCATGTGTGCGAGAAGACGGTATCTGTACCTATGATGGCTTTTCATATCAAACTTTAAACCCTTTGAAAAGTGTACTAGAATATCTGGGTGTACAGCCAGATCCTAGCTTTAGTTATCCTGAATCCAATGGCGTGTCCAGTCTTTACTTGTAATTTTTTTTTGCGCCTATCACCGACCATAGGAAATACTGCTTCTTTGAAATTAATCGCACTCTCTTCTTATTATGAGCTTCTATCTGCATGTATATATAAATCTATCTATCTATAAATGTGGTATATAATTGCTCCAAACCGGGGTATCATAATAAGCTAAAGGCAGCTTCCGAAGAGCTACAAAGGAATCCACCACTATAAAACCTCTCGCAAAACAATATGCGATACAAGGAATTACAATACCAATCATAATTAAATAGTCACCTCCCCAGTCATTAACCTTTTTTGTCACTTTCCCAAATTCCTTGCTGAATCCTGGAAAGCTCTTTTTGAAAGCAGATAACAGATTGTCAGCCAGATCAAGCGTAATAGGTACGCAGCCAAATGCGGCTATGAAGAAACAACTCGACATCCAGAGCCATCTTTCGACGACTGTGGGAAAGTACGCTTTCCAAGAGCTAAGATGAAGTCCTCCGTAGGCTGCTGAAGCCGTAGCCAGTCGAATAACAATATCATGGTCGCCACTCGAATGTAATACATAGTATTCTGAATATGTCCATGCGAAGTCAGGCACCTCTGTCGTTATATAATTTCGGATATTGTATCGTGTATCCTCGAATATTTCACCCCCTCCGTTGGCACCCAAGAAATCCGATGCCAGCTTCCAACGCGCCAGATCAGTTCGTGATAAGTTGATGACGAATCTTCGATGAGGGGACAACCATGGCTCGACTCCGTTTTCTTTTTTTCTGTTCTCGTGCCTATCTTTGAAAGTGTCCACAACAAACCCTTTCAGCGTGAAATCGATTCCGGGGATCATTTCTCCCAGCGCGAGAACGAGACCGCCGGGCGGGAAGTGCTTCGCGTAACTATTTGGTAGTATCTTATAGTTTTTACGTATTTCCCCTTTCCAAGTATCTTGATGTTGCCAGTTCATCCAGGCAGTTGGGTCAGAAGGAACTGATTCTTGTTAGCAAGAGTAAAGGAACATGCCTTGGGTAATCAAAAAGAGAGGGTTGTATTTACCGGGATGTTCACCCTCTAGATCATATTCCCATTCCACATATTGTAGGCGCTCTGTTTCAGTACGAAAAACAACTTCGTTTCTGTATTTCGCCTTCTTGTCGCGCCAGACATCGGAAACATTCCCCATAGTCTCTTCGTGCATTTCACTTCGCATAAATGCATAGCTTGTGAATCCTCTCATGAACTCTCCCGTTAGTGTGATTGGCTCGAGAACATGTAAGGGCTTATTCCACCATATAAGATAGATAGCCAAAACACACAAGCAATGTCCAACGGTATTTATTTCCAACAAAGTAATCGGGAGTCCTGCAATAAGACGTCCCAAGGTTTGCAGCAGCATCCAACTTGCTTGCAAGCACACTAAGCATTTTGCGAGCCCATCGGCTTTGCTCTTGTCGCTGATTTCCTCAGTAGAAACATTTGGAAGCTTGTCGAGTCTTGCTAGAGCGAGAATTGCGTGAGAGGTGAAGCGTAGACTTGGAGATCCTTGAATAAATTCCTGTCCACCGTTGTCGAGGTCACTATCAAATGCAAACCCGCCCATACCAGCGAAAAAGCAATGGGACATTGTCCACTTATGCTTTCTTGGTACATATACATGAGGTGCAGTAGCCTGTCATTATCAATCAGCGAGATAGACTTGACGCCATAAAGGATATATCTTACCTCTATGTCTTCATGGCCTACCTGAGGTCTAGATTTCTGGGTTGCAAGATTTGTACCATCCGCTTCCAGAGCTTGGATTTCCTTCAGCAAGTATTTTGCCGACGAATATTGGACCCATGCTATATAAACAACCACTTCTGGCGCAAAGATGCCAACAACAACCCACAAGGCTTTCGTTCTAAACCTATGCCAAAGGCTAGCGTTCTGTTTTGGTACATTCAAATGGAGTGCTGTCCAGACACACAGAATCAACGTCAAAACGCAGCTGGAAATTATGTCCCAAGTACCTCTGCCTTCGTTGTTTTGCCATGAGACTGTTTCTTGAGCCATGAACCCCCGTTCCAGCGCTTGGAACGATAAAAGGAAATGATAATAATGAGTAGTATTGAAGACGCAGCTCTTAGCCTAAGCTGTTCAAACGTGCATTTCGATGTAAAAAGAAAAGGCTAGAAACCCTATGAAATTTTATCGACAACTCAGCTTAAACATTTATTTCGTGATGGCTAAAAGGGGATGTGCTTCGCATTTCAAGGTGCTTGTTTCTCGCACAGCCCCTGAAGCGGGGATGCTGCCTGGCCTAGACATACACGCCGACCAATTGATTGAGATGCGGCTGAAGCGCACAAGATTAACTTGGCAGAGCTGAAAGGGAAGAAACCCAAGACAGATTAGAATCTATCTGGACATGTACAAATACAATACTATACTAATACGTTGAAAGAAAATGATTTTCGTTCGTTTTTCCGTTTGGTTTACAGAATCGGTACTGGCAAAGCCGAAAGCAAAACACATAAATTTAAGACAACACTAGAATGTATTTTGGATCAATCACAGTAGAATATCAATTATGGGCAATTCAAATTCCAGTTCAGCAGCATTCGCAAACGTCCTTATCCCCCTGGTGTGGTGCACTACTTTTCAGACATGTGTGTTGAGAAATCTCGAGGAAATGTTGCTAAGCGAGGCAGACACAACGCAGTAAACAGCTGACACCGAAGTAAAATGTATCTATACACTGTTATGTATAGCAAGAGGATAAAACCATTATTTTATACTGCACGTCAGTATGCTGAAAATGTACGTGGTTGGCAACGAAAACAAACTCATACAATTAAAATCGAAGAGACTCCGCGCCCTTCAATCCGCCATGATGATAAGATTCAAACCAGTTACTGCACAGCTTATCACAGTCAACTTCAAGACTCAGAAGTAACAGTAAAAGTGAGCAATGAAAACTAGTTCCATGTATTCATTATCAGCAGAATTCTACCAACAATGATTTCATGTGTTAAGCGAGGTTGATTATTGATACTCTCACTTATCTACCCAGACAACACTTGACGCTAATCAGGAATTGGATATCGATTTCCTGCTAGCCGAAATCTTTTAAAAAGCAATAAATCCAGCCATACATGACGAATACATAAACAAAGGCTACAAAAGAATATGAGAGCTGATAGTCAAGGCGGCTTTCGAGAAATGTGATTACAGTAATAAAATCAGAACCGCCTAGTTTTAGAGATTGAGTGATGTTCAAAGGTAGGGATCCTTGCGACAGGCACTACGCTCTGAATGTGACTGAAGAAATACACTTGGAACTTGTGTATACTGAGTTGCAGGTTAAAATTATCAATGCAAATTTTGAGCAGAGAGCATTCGAGTCGAGATCGTTTGAGATATGCTGCGTATCAGTGCGGCTTCGAACTTCACTTGTTTTTAAACAGTCATGTGGCAGCAGAAGAGATACTATGGCGATGAAAAGTCACAAGACTCTTTTCTTGGAAAGATGTTGCAGTAACGACTTTAGCATTCTGATAAACATAGCTATGCTTCCTAGCAAAGCCGACATCAAAAGCCTATTCTGCACGTGCTAATTCCTCATGTTTACAGCCACACACTTATAGAAGCACTCTCCAGCTCACTTAGACCACAATCTTTACATCCTGTAGACTCATTGAGTTTCCAAATCTTCAGTCGAACGATTCATCCACAGTGACATATACATAAGCCTTGTTCTTGATTCCGCATTCGCCTAGTGTGCGGTCAAGCTCCAACACTTCGTATTCATGGTGAAGTTTTGCACCCGACAATTTCAAAGGTGACACCGCCGTTTGCAGAAAATCTAGAACTGTGGTGCTAGTGGTTGTACGAATATTCTTGGTCCGACCTTTGTCATCGTAGCATTCGAATACAATTGATTTCCCGAACTTGTCCATTCGCATGGACTTTGCAAGACACTCCTCCCTGAAATAATTTCTGAACAGCACTTGTGTAGTGGCCATGCTCTTTGATCTTGCAGCGGTTTCCATGTCGCCAACGCCGACTGGTCGATGGTGAATTCTTTGACGAAGTGCTGTTTGCAGTTTGGCGTAGAATTGGGTGTGCAATACAGCACTCTGCCAGAGGCTCTCGATCAGAGTGGTGGGGCTCAGAAGTTGTGACTCCGTGTTTTTGAAAAAGAATTTCAAGGCAATGAAACGGCGGAACTCCTCGATGGCACGTTCAATATGAACACCAAACTTGGTTGTGATCTTGGCATCGAAAGCTATGGCATTCATGGTCGTGTTGAAATTACTGCTGAATAGAAATTCAATACCCTTCGGGCAGCCGGAGAGAAGTAGAACGTAAGCTTTGCGTTGTTGTTCAGTTAGATCTGTGAAATAAATTAACATTCTTAACGATTTCGAGCGAGATCTGGTTTCGTAAACATACCGTAATATTCCTTGTAATTGTTGACAGTCTTATTGCTAGAGCTCGCCATCTTGTCGAGATCCTGCCGTGGCAATCAACTTAATGGTGTTGATGTAGGATGGAAGAACGCGGAAGTTCCGAAGAAGAAGTTTCATATAAAGAACTCCTCAAGCTGCCGAGAAAAGTAGATCGAGACCAGGATCCTAACTCAAAGGTGAAGCCGTCACCTCAAGCAGGGAAAAGACTGCACATTTTGTCAGATGAGCCAGGATCTATACATGTCGCAATTAAAGTCTCGCCATCGCAGTGATATTGTATTTTCATGGTAACAAGGAGTATCACTTGTGGATGGAGGTAAGTGCTCCAGTAAGAATGTCCAAGGAATGAGATGCCGATTATCTGGACCTACATGTCACAAAGTTACGGTGTTCAATGCTGCATAATACATGTCAGACCGTGTGTCAAGAAGATGAACACGTAGCTTTTGTTAAGCAAATGCATCTTCTGAGGTACAGTTAATGAGTCGCAGTGATTGAAGGGCACATCTCAGCTGCTTAGGCCGTTGTAGCAGGTATTATTGCGATTTTTGAAATATATTATACACAGCCATCAGTACACCTAAATGGTATAAACTCCCATCCCGACGCCGTTCCCCGTTCTTCTACTCTCTCTAGTCCGTTGTCAATATATTCATCTTTCTGATCAAGGCTGATTTGTATTTATGGATTGTAGCAAAGTAACGTCTCTCAATTATATCGTCATGAAATCATGTTCCAACGTTAGTCGTCGCTGAATTCTACCAGTGGGTCGGTGCCTGTTCCGTGCGCACGATTGCTTCCCCAATGAACAACTATATCAGCTTAACACAGAGCTGTACATCCCCCATCTAGCACCCTCTGATTTCTGGAACGCAATGGATCAACTGTCCTTCTTCCCAAGGTCCTAGATTTGGGGACGAGAAAAACTGCCTACCTATGTAAAACAACCGAATCCGATCCGGCTCCGTTCCTAATCTGGTCGCGACAGCCTTCTTTAGAAATTCCAAGGAAGCCCACGGTTGTATAGTGAAGTTTTCGGAAGTTCCATTCAAGGAAACAACTTTGATACTGACTGTGGTTTGCTTAAGTTTTACTGAGGCGAGTTCGGCTTTGGGTTCTTCGTATTCCAAAGGTTCTTCCAAAAAGAACGCTTTGTACAATGATTTCATCGCCCTCAGTCTTGTGGCTCTAGCATCAATCTCTTCTTTACTGCTTTTGAAGGGCCGATGATGTAGCAGACATCCGAGTGCAGTTTGGAGTTCGGCGTAGAAGTACGTGTCCAAGATTGCGGCGTGCCAAAGCGTATCCATTGCAGAAGTTGGACTGAGGATCCTCGCATCGCTATCAGAGGTAAATATCTTGAGGGAGATGAAGCGACGAAACTCTTCGACGCCGCGTGCTGGCGTGATTTTATACAAAGTTGTGATCTGGTTCATTTCGTTCATGCTGCTCAGACATTTGGTAAACCGTTCGCCAAAGAGGAAGTCGGCGCCATTGGGGGAAGAGGATAACAAATGGTCGTAAGCTTCTTGTCTCCGTGGAGCGACATCTAGACAGATAGAGTCAGCTGCGTTCTGAGAAGTGCTACGGTGGTAAGTGCGACACCCGAATATGATGTCCAGGATATCATACCATAGGTTCTTAGGATCGGCCATTTTCTCCAACCCGTCGCAGGTATGTGTTGTTGTGTTCCTGGTAGGAAAGAAATATTGTCGGAGGGATTTGCAGTCATGGCTCAACAGCTACTGGCCTCGAAACCCAACACGTTCAACCTTGGAAGTCGCGTTCCTCGTCCTTCACTTTCGAGGAAGGTACGCTGTATCACGTGTCTTTGGAATCACGTGCTGGGGTTCTTCTCCATGAGAAAATGAGTTTCCTCGTCCATTATGGTCGTCAAGTGTTCGACTTGTCAGTAAGCCTTGTACATTTAAGTGTAAGAATACGGGTAATTCTTGAAAACTAAGCGCAACCAACAAATTCAACTCCGTTTGGGCCTGGGCATTACGCCTTGGCCCAACTCCTATCATCTTGGAAGAATTGGAACCGTGGTAGAAGCTGCCCATTCTGACGGATAATCCATCTTAATCTGGTCTTGTAGCATTGGCATCGAAAATTGTGATTCGCAATTCTTGTTGCAAGTTCGGCGATGCGTTGTTGCGTTGTATGTAAACGAGAGCAGGTGGTTTAATGGGGTTCATGTCAGAAATTAACGCCATTTTCTATTTGTCAGCACCCCTGAGATTCCCATTTTAAACCACAACACCACCTCCCTAGATTACTATACAAACAAGAAAGTTGGTTATTGTTTGAATACTTCCAATTGAATACGCGATATCATTCTAATTGCGTTAACATTACCGAATCGCGGAAAAACCCGAGGTACACCTACCAAAATCGCTGCAATCACCAAAGCGGGTCCATCAAACTCGACAAAGTAATCCGTATCACAATCTGGACTTCTCAAGGATTTCTTGATAGGCCATACAAAACGAACAAGACGACTAAAATCGCTATGGGTCGAAAAGTCGAAAAAGAAGAAGACAATTGGTACGGCGTGATCGACCCAAAGAGGCGAAAACAAATCCAGGACCGACTCGCTCAAAGAGCTAGACGTAAGTATACACTCTCCTATAACCTCGATATATGAGTCCATATTCTGACATAATCATGTGACAGGAAGACGGCTCGCCGAACAAGCAGCGCAGAAAAATGACCCGGAAACTACAGATGAGATCTCATCGGTTACAGTTTCGAGAAAGAAAGATGTGAAGAAACGAACGCGCCCAGAAAAAGACTCCAATACCAAAAATACCACGTCGAGTAAACCACAACTCACATCCCTAACCACAACCAAAGCCACCCCCCTCCCCCGCGACGACATCCACCTCCACCCTCCCACCCTAACAATCTACTCCGCCTTATTCCACAACGGCTCCTACCTCAACCTGACCTGCTCCACCTCCTACGCCCTCTCCCCCACCCCTCCCTCATTCCCGCACACGCCCCCTTCCCTCCGCCCAACCTCCACGCAACTCTCCACCGCACACTACCGGTGGATCGACCGGTTCCCGATCCCGAAGCTGCGAGACCGGATGATTACGTGGGCGGCGGTGTTTAACGCGGAGGAGTTTCTGGCGGATCTGTTTGATGGGGTTGGGGGCGGGAGTTTGGTGATCCGGGAAAGGGGGGAGGAGCTTTGTGGAGGGGGATTGGGGGGTTAGTAGGGGGTTTAGGGCGAAGTGGTGGTTTTTGTTTAATTGAGTGGGTGCGGGGTGGAGTTTGGGGTTTGAATGTTGAGATTTTGAAGGGGGGTCGTGAAAGGATGAGGGAAATACCTGGTGTGTTCGAGGTTGGAGTACAGGGTTTGAATTTTGTCGGAATGCTTTAAAGTACAAGGTTAAAATACAAACACGGAGATCATTAGTATCTTTACAACCCCAGAATCTCATTCGCTTTCGCAAAAACAGCTTTCTCCCCCGCACTTGACTCAGCAGTCTCTTCGAATCTGGCGAAACCCATAGCTTTCAGTCCCGTCGTATCAGCAATTGATTTCAACGTATCGAGTGTTGGTCTGCCCACATGATCGCTCTCCCCCTTTCCGCCTGGAAAATCTGGGCCAGGCGTGCCTTGAAGAAAAGCATCGCGTTGGCGACTGAGATATCGGGCGTTGTTCTCTGTTAATGGACATGCTGGAATGTACATCACGCTGGAGTCACTTGTGCCCTTATGGATTTTGTCGACGGCGTGGATAGCTTGGTAAGGTTAGTTAAACATCGAGTCAATCGTTGACTATCGACTTACAATCACAATGCCATACCACATAATCTCCTGGCTCGATATCGGGAATATGCACCATAGACTTCGCAAGTTGTAAGTGAGGATGCAAGATATCATTAAATTCCTGGCTATTTCCAAGAGCCGCACCTTGTAGCTCAGGTGTATAGTTCGGCTCAAAGGCCCAATTCTCAGTTTCGCGGTACCGTTTAGCGGATCGACCAGATGGTTTAAACGGCAAGGGTTGAATAGCACGGAAGAAGGGTCGTAGCAGAGTATAAGCTGTCGTCAATTTAAGCATTGGATTTACCTGAAGTGTTCCCTCGCCAGGTCCTGTTTTCGACATGCTTAACCATCCTTGAAACATACGGAACATGCTGCAGGCTCCCGCTCCTTGGTATAGATCAGTGACGGCTGGGAGTCTACAGCTTGCTTCGAATGGATCGTAGTTCTTCCATTTGCCATTAAAGATATGCTTGTAAACGTCGTTGATGCCATATCCATTCTTTTCCCAGCGCTCGACACTTCCGCCGTCGGTGTGCGGGCCAAGAGCGAAGCCGGAATCACCTGGCTGGCGTATTCTGAGTCGATCTGCATAAGAAACGGGAGTAGAAGTTGAAATTAACGCATTGCGATCTTTGGAATGCCATGCGTTCATGAGGACTCTCTGTGCCTTGAGCAGGTTGGGATGTGCACGTGCTTTGATTTGTGCTGGCGACCAGTAAAGTTCAAAGACACATGGATTGTCATTTGGAAAGGCTGAATTTGGGTGAGCATTGTTTCTGGCAATAAGACACGCTCCTACCTTTTGTTGATGGGTTGGCTTTCACATATTGTTCCGTTTCCTCCTTGTAGGCACGTGCTTCCTCTTTTGGCACCACACCTCGTACAACGGCAACTCCCCTTTTTCTTAGATTTTTATAGAAATCCGTGAGATCAGAATCAAGATCCGTAAAGTTGATTGAGGGAATAATAGCTGGTCCAGTAGTTGAAATGACCCTGCTTTCTTTCTTAATGTCTTTTAACAATGCTGTCCAGCTAGCTATCAATCTTTCTTCGTGGCCTGTAGCCAGCTCTTTCTTCACTTCTGCAAATCGCTGTGGTAGAGGTGGCGGTGCTCTTCCAGAGAGCGAGACAAAGACAGATGAAATATCTCCCTCTTCTTTGGATTGAGATACTGTGCCCATCAACCGGTGTTGATGCAATGCTCGACTCAGGCAAGGAGTACCCAACGGAAATTTTGTTCGACGAATGGCCTGCATTGGGGGGAAATGTGCTCAACAACTATATGGGCAGACGATAATGAGGAATAAGACACTCCATTACAAATGTAGAAGCTTTCCACCCATATATACACATCGGAATGAGGGTGTACGATGGAGGCGAGAATCCGGAGTCGTGAAGTAAATGTTCCCAAGAGCTTGGGCGGAACCCCGAAAGTGGTTAGACCTTTCGGCAGCATCCATTTTAGGATATTTGGCACACGTTCCCGGCGGCGATAGCCATTTCGGGCTTCCGCATCACGTGGAGGTGGGCTTGGGGACAGAACACGTGTTGCTCTTGGAGAGCAACATCAATCGTCTCAACCTGCACTTGAATGATTAATTCACCACGCCTCACCAAAGCAAGACAAGTCGAATCTCTGCTGGCAAGGGCTTGACAGCTTATGGAAAATGAAGATATACTTTCTGGGTGTGCACATGGAGCCCTATTCGAATCTAATGGGATTGCTCTAGTGCAGATATACCAAGGCCCGTTGGAAATAGTTCTTTTATTAATAGAAAGGCTTGCAATGCTTGTTCAAGTCGACTGCCAAGGTTTGTTGATTAAAAAGCGCCTCCTCAGTTCTGCACATGCTGGAATAGGGCTGTGGAGGCACAGTCTGCGGCTGATCCAGCGGTGCAGCAGGCTGCAGAATCCAGATAAGATCATCACCAGCATGCTCTCTTGGAGAAAATGAGTTTTGAAACTTATTGGGGTCCTGTCAGACTTGGATTCGAAGTGCGGAAGAATCTGCCGATATGGTATTTACAACGTGGTAGCCTTGTACGACCGAAGACTTCAAAATATGCAGCGCTCAAGAACAAGAATAGCCTATCGCCCAATTAAAGTGTTCGAACATTTTCAAGGAATATCATTTGCTGCCGAATAATAAAGAGCCACATCAATCACCTGTTGGTACACCCACACACATGCAACAAATTTCCAACAACAGCAACAACACCATCAACAATACCTGCGGGGGACCGCAGTCTGCACGATTGGTATCACCATTGCATTCCATCGCTTGTTCATTCCATGAGAGCGACCTGAAATCGGCAATCCCAGCCCAAATAAGAAAATCCCAGGTACGGTGATGGTGCTTACTGTACTTAACCGACCATACGAGAGGTTGGTGGCAGGTAGGCTACGAGGAGCAAACAAACATTTGAAATTGAGCGTTGGGTGGCACAGAAATTGCGCAGCGATGATAAGCTGATCATGAACCCCAATATTCACCAGTGAAAATTTTGACTACATTTCTTTCTTGCTACCTGTCATATTCTGAAACCTTTTCCATCTTTCTCCATTTCGATCGTCTCACAACATCGCAAAAATGGAGCTTCTAAGCTATCTCGGAATCGCGCTTATCGTCCTCGGAATCGATGCGGCTATTGAATTGGCACTTCTTAGTAGTATGGTTGGATATCTTCATCGTTCGGGCGCCAATGAATATCCTTTCCGTGGCCAAACATCTGGAAGTGTTATACTCATCAACGCTAAACCAAAAGGTCTGGGTACGAATGAGGGGCATTTGAGTAATGGTGCCGCTGGAACTACTCTCGTTTTGATATGTCTTGTTGGATCTGGTGTTTGGTTTATGGAAAGGCGTCGCAGAGTATGTTCGCCGAATATAATTGGCTTGTGATTTTATGCTGACAATTATTAGATGAAATCTAATGCAGTCGGCGCATCGAAAATATTTTGGGTCTATACAGTCTTCACCATCCTCTCGTTTCTTCTTACTACGTCTGCACTTGGTGCATTTTTCGAAGTTACTCGTCAATTAAGAGGCAAGCATATCGACAAAACCATCGCGGCTCTGCATCAACATCAAGCATACCCACTTGACAAATGGACGCCAGGAGTAAGTACTTTTTTCTTCTTCTTTCGATACTCGGATCATGTCGATCGAAACCCTCAATCTGCAAAATCACGATTCCATCCCAAGATCACGAGGACAACAAAAGCTAACCTAGTGAATAGACATGGACCAAAGCCCTCCTAGAACTACCCCTCACGATGGACCGCGACAGAGACTACCTAAACCACTGGCTCATCATCATGAAAGGCAATCTCTACAACCTCATCCCGCTGTTCCTGCTGAACGGCGTCGTCGCGGTATTGGCTGTCATGGTTGCGTTGGATAAGACACCAAGACATAGTCCTGTGAAGAATGTTGAGGAGACTGTCGAAGCAAAGCGTTAATGTTGTTGGGGCAGGGGAGATAATAAAATGGCGTTTGATGGATTTTGGAAAGAGTTGACAGTGTGGAGTGGAGTTAATGGTTGATTGGAGTAATTGGATGATGCTGGCTGACTGCTCGATTTCGGCTGGCTGAAGAATCTAAAATACAAAATCTATATTAATAAGTTACATTTTGTTTTACTTGTTCATTTTGTCTAGAAGTTCTTGGTACTACAATGCTTGTGTGCGACGTCGAAGTGCATATGGGTAACTGCTTAATACGAACGTTGTCAGCAGGCCGATGCTCATAAATGACGGTGCAAATCCTGCTTCTGCCTAGGAGTTATGCTTGTCTCCGCCTCTGCCAAGATACAATGATGTGCTTCCTTTTCACGTATTAGACAAGGTCCTAAGAATCCTGTAGCAGCACGTGTGCTCCACTCACTTGCGAAGTAAATAGGCCAGGCGTAATAATTAACCAGTAGAATTTATATTACTACAACGACTGAGTGGTATATTTCTCCAGCCCCTAACGCCAAAATCATTCAACCCATCTAAAGTACATTATCCGCTCTCCCAGCATTCATAAACCCAGCACCCTCCGTCCACGCCGGCCACAACCAATAATCATTATTCGCCCCCGTATCATAATCCATCATCCCCCAATCCTGCATCGCCATATCGACATCCTGCTGACTAAACGCAAGCTGCTCCTCCAGTCCACCCGCATACACACTCGTCTCCGTCGACTTCGGCAACCGCTCCGTCAGTAATCGTTCACAAAGCACCAAACTCTCCCTCGCAGCGCTGATAACCCGTTCTTCACTCGGCTGCCCCTGCTCCATGGCGTCGACGTGTGCGAGCGCGATACTGAGCACGAGATGTCCTTTCATGTTCGTCTCGCAGGTTTCCATACGTGCGCGCGATAGCTCGAGGGTATCGACGAGGAATTTCCGGAACGGGGAGCGTTGCGGCATGCGTTCCTGCGTGAACGCCAACGAGGGGTCTTCTTCGAGAGGGATTATCAGCTCGAGGTAGATGACTAGCGCGGCGTGGACTATGACATCTTTAAGGTGGCCGCCGGACGCGAGACGGAGACGTGTGTAGTCGTCTTGGTTTTTGCCGTCGCTGAGGAGGGGGGATGATGGCTCGCTAGTGTCGTGGTAGGACATCACTGCTAAAGCGCACTCGATGTAGACTTTATGCGAGTAGTAGAAGCGGGGGTCGGTGCGGGCTTTTAGGGCGAAGGGGTGGTGGAGGGCGAGGAGGAAGCGTTGCGTGTTTAGGTCGACTAGTTTGCGGTGGAATACGGAGGGCTTGTGAGCACCTTGTGTGGGCTCTTCAGAGCATTTTGTTAGAAAAGTGTGGTTGTCTCTGTAGTGCTTCATGAGAGTGGTGCCGATTTGGAGGACTTCGTCGTAAGATGGGTCGAAACGGATGTCGTTGATGAGTTGCGCTACTCGTTGACGTGTGGTGAAAGATTGTAGTATCAACAGTTGAGTTGAGGTTTGCGTGAAAACTTCCGTTGGCTTGGAAGTTGGCCGTTCGGTTGTAGACTCGGAGATATCTTCGTCGTTGATGTTGGCTGGATGTTCGGTGTCGTATTGATCTTCTGATATCATCGGGATCATGCCTGTCTCCAGAGATGTAACAACATTCAACTCCAGAATCGTGGCCCAGAGACGACGGCGTATCTCTCCATGAAATGGAGAAATCCTAGGGAAATGCTTAGGATCGCGATGCAGAGCCATTTGAATGGCAGTTCTTATGACAGTACCAAGTGTAATCCAGACAAGATCGCCGCTAATTGAGAACAGCGGTCGTGCGATCAATGTTAGACACTGAATTTGGATCAGGGAAATATGCAATTTTGCCTTCTCATTAGGACTTGACAGCCATGACTGAGCAGCATAAATCCACTGGGTAGCATCGTGTCGCAAAGCATGGAAATCATCGTTCTGACAAAAGCAGACTCCTATTGCCATGACAAGCATTACCTTGACCGACGATACCGCGCTAGCAGTCTGAGGAGAATCAAAGAACTGGTTGTACTCCTTCATGAAGGATGGGATGTGTAAGACCCGGTGATTTGCTTCATGGGTGCGAAAGTAATTTGCGACTAATTTGTCGGCCGCTTCGCGAGATGGGATGGAATGCTTGAATGTCGTCCCCCATAAGGTCCATTGTGGTACTTGAGCGGCTTTGATAAGTCTGGCGATGGCTTTGCACCTGTCGATGAGGATGTTGAGCTCTTTATCTGCTGTCTTGTCTGTGAGAATAATACTGTGACTAGTAGCAATGTTAAACTCGAAGCATATAATCTTCCGAGTCTGTAAATGTTAGAGGCATTGGCATTGATAGGGTTGATTCACGACGTACTTGAGAGAATGCGTGCATCCAGTGACTTGGTCCAAACCACCTCGTCTTTGATAAGTTTCCCCGCAGCTCTTTGGACGACTCCTGTAATATGTTTGTCGATTTATGCCTGTCATCAATCGATGTCGACGCTAGCATAGCCTCTAGCTTTTGCACTCGGTTGAGAAGCCCTCGAACATCTTGTCCTCCGAGACTACTAGCCGTTGACTGACACGGCGATGTACTTCTAGGCTCACTCGGTGGGTGACTCAATGTAGGCGGAGGAGACGGCTCAGGGCCATTTACAATATGCGTTATTCGATCGGTAAAGAATTCTCCCTCTGGACCTGAAGGTGTAGTATTGGTCATAGCAGGACTAGCAAGGCCAATTCCGTGACTTTTCCTCGCCAGCCCTTCCGGACTGTAGGTGCATGTCGCGCTCTTGGCTTGTCTACATGGGCCACATGGTATGTTACGATCGCATTTGATCTTCCTCCTTCGACATTCTGCGCAGGACAGGGCCGGTCTTCTTCGCTTACGCAGTGATGGAGCCGCCTTTACGGCTTCGGGCTCAACTGGTGCAGTCCCATCCATGATACAACAAGAAACCGACCACGCCGGTGGAAATTGATAGCGATAATCTGAATATACCGTCAGGACTAGTAAGAGAACGTTCCATTGAAAAGACCGAGAGGAATCGGCTTATATTTGAGGATTCATTTCTATTGAGAATGTCCGTTCGCGCATCTACACGTCAGTGTCTGATATGACCGACGGTGAATTCGGTCAATTCAGGGGCTCAGTGGACCGTTTTTGTATGCTGAGTTGCCATGTTGGTTTTTACCGCCTGGCCATAGTCCGTCGGATGTCTTCTCCATATTTTTGTTGCCTGCTCTTTGACAGGTTCAGGAGGTCTCGCTTAAGCTGCTCGCCCCTTCGGCCCTCGCTTCATATACCTTTGGGCGAGCTCCGAGCATGATCGAAATGAGCGAGCCTTGAATTTGACGAGAATGGTGTTAAGAATTGACAGCAGTAGTTGTGATATAAGGCGAAGTGCCATCATGGAAATTGGAGCCTGCCATCGAGTTTGGGCGGTCGCTTTACTGTCGTCTTTAACCTTCTTGCATCGCGGCGTTGCTTTTTACTTCATCTGGAGGATATTTTACGTCCCTACACCAATTTAACAATTTTTCGACATGTCTGGCGTTGAGAGAAGCCCAGAGTTTTCTCTTGAGGATGAGAAACGTCACGAACCAATGCCAAAAGCATCTCTCGAGGCTGGGATGCCTGATCAAGAGAAGGCTGTGGATGAATTTCCTGAAGGAGGAGCCCGGGCTTGGTTGGTTGTTCTCGGGGCGTCACTTGGGTTATTTGCGACTTTCGGATATGCGAATGCTTTTGGGTAAGTGAATCATGATGACTAGAAAATCCCTCTTCCATCTACGGGCGTTCTCTGACAACTCTAGTGTCTTTCAACAATATTACGAAACGCATCAACTCTCACATGAGTCGCCTTCATCGATATCTTGGATCGGTTCCATCTCCGTCTTCATTCTTTTAGCAAGCGGTCTCTTCAGTGGCCCTCTTTTCGATCAACATGGCGAGAAAGTTATATATCCGGCGATCTTCACTTATATTTTGTCGGTGATGATGACTAGTATCTCGAAGAAGCTTTGGCACTTTGTCCTGGCCCAAGGTATACTTGGAGGGTTTTCAATGGGCATGATTCTTGGTCCGGTGATGGCTGCCGCTGGCCAGTACTTCCAAAAGAAGAGAGCCGCCGCGCTGGGTCTATCCGTTGCCGGGTCCTCTGTCGGAGGGGTGGTATTTCCCATCGCTCTCAGCAAGATGCTCGCGAATCCGAATCTTACTTTCGGCTGGACTGTGCGAATATTAGGCTTCATCATGGTTGCGTGTCTCGCGGTAACCTGTTTGACAGTCAAGGCGAGACTGCCACCGCGAAAGGGACAATTCCTGATACCCGCTGCCTTCAAAGAGCTTCCATACGTAACGCTCATCGGCGCCATGTTCTTCGCTGTACTCGGTCTATTTACGCCTTTCTTCTATCTACCGTCATACGCAGCCCAACACGGCATGAGCATTCAGCTCTCAGCATATCTGGCAGCCATACTCAACGGTGCTTCATTCTTCGGTCGAGCTGCTGGCGGTATTCTAGCCGATCGTCTCGGACGTTTCAACATGTTGTTTGGGGTCACTACAATCACAGCGATTCTAATGTTCTGCTGGCCTTCTGCACAAACCAACGCTCCCATCATCGCTTTCTCCGCGCTTTACGGATTCTTCTCGGGAGCTATCATTTCTTTGATGGCAGTTTGCTTCATGTCTGCAGCCGAGGATGCTAAAAATAATGGCACTTACTATGGAATGGGAATGGCCATCGACTCGATCGCTGCATTGATTGGGCCACCAATCACCGGTGCTCTTGTAACCAAATACGGTGGATTCTCTGAGGCTGCTTATTTCAGTGGTGCTGCGGTACTCGTGGGTGCTGTGGGGGCGCTGGTGGCAAAGTTTGTCTCCGGCAAGGGCTTCTTTTCGAGGGTCTGAACGGTTTTGGAGAATGCGTGGTATAGACCCTTAGATTTTCTTGTTCTTTGTTAAAAATCTCCTAATATCTTAAAATCTTACTTCTTAATCAAGTATGTATATCAATTAAGCAATTCAGTTTCAGTAGTCGGTCTTGAAGACACTATGCTCTCAATTCCTCTTTCAATTAAGATCTCGGGATGCACAATCATGGATTTTTGGCATATCACATCTGATTATCGCAGCCACATCGTATTTCTCGAGCTGTAAATCCTTTTCCCAACCCACACCAATCCCGACAAGTATACCCGTAATCAAGAAGTAGACAGGAAAATCGAAGCAATGTCAGACACTTCTTCACCTCATCCTAACAGAACCCTGACATTTCCTCTCCCTCTTTCACATCTTGGCAGACCAATATCCGCAATCATGTCAACATCCCTCCTATCAGTTTCCCAAAGACTCATGCCTTTAACGATAATCGCACCGTCATCTCCTACCTCGGTTCGCACAAATGTGCGCAAGATAGTCGCGATTGTCATGTAAAGCTCTGCGCTTGCCAGGTGCATGCCCAAACACTGTCTAGAACCGCGAGAATACGGAATGAGGTATTTCGGGTTTGCTGATCCACCGGGTAGCCAGCGTTCTGGGTTGAAAGTCGATGGGGAGGGAAAAAGTGAAGGGTTGTTGTGGATGAGGGGTGCGTGAGTGCTCATGTTGATCTGTCATGAAGTCTTTAGTGGTTTCGAATTAATGAAGGGAGAATAATAGGCTTACATTTGGTGGGATTACGTAGTCTCCGCATTGTAGAGTCTTATCTGGAGCTGTTCGTGTTAAGCGAAACGAAACACCGGAACCCAGGCGAAGTGTCTCTTGGATCACAGCTGTCTGTTCTCTCAAGTTAACAAATAATCCCTCATCACGTATGCGCTGAAACTCTCACCAGATACGGCAAGTTCTCAAGTTGAGCATGTGTAGGTGGTTTAGAAATTTCCGGAAATGCCTTTTCCAATTCCTGCATCAAGGTGTGCAATCTCGGCGGATCCAGAAGCAGATAAACAAAAGCACCTGAAAGCGATGTCGCCGTCGTGACAGTACCGGCTGAGACTATTGTTTGCGCTTCCTCCGAAAGACGCTTCGCGCTTTTGTCCTGCTCTGGTAGATTACTATTTAAAATGTCGTGGAAGATTGTTTTGTGCTTGACGTCGACTCGATAATCATCGCGACTTCCGAGGATGTCTCTGATTTGTTGTTCTAAATGCTACAAAGAACTACGTTAGAAATTGTGAGAATGCTCAAACGAAATCTTCAAAGCACATACACGTTGAAAGTCCTGTAGCAGGCCAATTCCTGGACCAAGCATTCTCGCCATCATGCTATCTGGCAAGAGCTTGAGTAATGAAACAAGCCACGGAAATTGCAACACAACATGAAGCGCATCAGTCGCGCCTTCACCTGCTTTCAGCACCATGACGTTGAATCCGTCAGCTTCGATATAGTCGCTTTGCATCATGAAACAAAATTGAGTAACAATATCGCTCGTGAGAGCAGCGAAGGCGGCTTTCAGCGGCACCGGCTCCTTCGTCTTTTGGTAGTCGCGAAAGACTGAGACTAAGCGAGATATATCTTCGCGGATTAAAGGCTCTAGTGTCCTTATTGAACCTTTTGAGAAATAGGGGTTCAGTGGTGCTCGTCGAATTCGGTGCTGGTGGTGGTCAATGGTTCCGAAGATAGAGTCTGGGTTGCCGAATGCCTGAGACCATGTCGGCGCTTTGTTTCGTCGGGACTGAGAGAACAAAACATCGTAGAAATCGGCATCGATGATATGAAGCTCATTGGGACTGATTCGAAGAACCGGGCCTGTTTATTTCGACAGTTACCAACCACGAGGGCTCCAGGCTCTTGAGTATTGATTACCATATTTCATGTGTAGTTTCTCTATTTGGTACATGTACTGTCCTCCTTTGATGGCATCATAATAGAATGTGTACCAATAAGTGGCTCCTGCTAGTTTTGGGCCAGGAAAGGCCGCATAGGGGCTGAGAAAAAGACGATATGTAATGGTTGCTGCTGTGTATCCGTTCAAGAGAAGGAGAGAATAGAAAATCGTGGCATGCGTCAGAGTGCTAACATACGTGTTGATTGCAACTACACCACAATATGAGATTGCAGCGATCAGTATGTAAGAAGCAAAGGCTATTGCGGATTTTCTTGATCGTTGCATTTTGGCGATCACTAGGAAAAAGTGGCTCACAGCATGCAGCGGTGTGGAACACCACTGTCTTATAGGTAATAAATCTCCCAACATCTCAATCGAGAGTATCTAGGATCTTGAAGCTGATGCTGAATTTAAAGCAAGCGTATGAACGGGCGTTAGCATTGAAATGACTTACTAGTCACTTTTTACCGCATGTTATCTCACCCTAATGCAAGTCTCGTATACAATATCAGCACTAGCTCCAGGGCTGAACCTCACATCGCGAAACCTCGATTAGATGCCAGTAGCTTTTATTTCGAGTAATAATAGACAACATTTCCACATGTCTGATAACCAGCTCGCACTAGTGAAAGACTTTCGTTGACAAAGTCTCAAAATCCCTAATGCCGGTCGGCTTGGACCTAGGAGTGGGCTAATGGAAAATTGCGACCCCTCTCAGTTTAACTAAATTATCATGTCGGAAAGCCGTCCAATAACTTCATAGCACCTCAACATATCAGCTTATATGCAGCATGTACATAAATTAAATCTCAAGTGCTGAAGTGCAATACCAATGCGCTTACTTGGCGAGCCATATCTATTTTGGTTATCTACTAACAATGATTCACAAGTGTGAATGACTTTCATCAAATCTCATTATGGGCACACTGGTTTGTTGATTCCTAATATCTCTTATGATTCCCAAATAAGATATACCTAGATATCCATAGTTGATTTACCACCCTCTCAATATAACCCTTAAAGCCTATTAATCTCTTTTTACCTCTCCTGTTGTGACTATCCAAAAACTGATATCCTTAATTTCTAATAGCCAGAGTTTCTGCGTAATCCAAATTGGGTTGCACGATCGTCGTACTGTTGACCAAGATGTTCATTGAGCCCATTTCTGTATATAGCGGCAGCGGCGTCATGTCTTTGAGCAAACCCCATTCCTGGTAAGTTCGCTGGATTGGCACGATATCTGAGTGCCACTGGTTGACTCGCAAAGTGCTGTGGTGAATTGGTCATATGATATGCTGGTCCAATAGCTGTCCGAGCGAAACCTTGTGCGGTATTAGCATATGGTGATCTCAAAGACTCATTTCGAATTCCTATTTCGAATGGCCTATTCTGGCCTGTAAACTGGGTTTGTAGCGGATGCAAAGCAGCACTTGCCGCACGTGGACGGGGCATAACTTGCTGTGGCATCTGGAGCGGCTGTCGATCAAACATAAGCTGCTGTTGCGCCCTATGGCGTCTATTTTCCTCCATCATATCCGCGTGAGCCTGAAGGCCTCCCCTGCCAGGCGGCTCTGGGGTAAATACCGAACGTTTTCGTGGATACATGGTAAGAGATGCTGAAGAGTTTGTAAGCGTTTCGTTATAGTGTGCGATCGTGGTACTTTGTTTGTTCCAAAAGGTTTTAGTTAATAGATTGATGGAAAAGAAAGTAGGAAAGGGCTTAGGCTGAGGCTTAAAATACACTTCGAGAGAGTGTTAGAGTTATTAAACATGGTCATATCGAAGGAATATGTTCCAATCATGGTATGATGAGGTGATTTGTTTCATTCCTGTTGTGAGTATTCAGTTCTGCTAGCTAGATGACTCTGTTGAAAAAAGAACGACAGTAAACACATCTCACCAAAAGACCAAAGTTGAATGTGAAATACTTAGACGGCCGAAACTGCGAGGATTCAACGGCATCTACTTTCATGATCACTTACTCGCCCGTCGCCATCTTCGTAAATGCAGCAGTCCAAAATGCGGGAGCATCGTCCCAGACCCATTTCGAAACATCATCGAGATATTCTGGCTGAGGTCGTAGGTGCAGATGTTCTCCCGAAGCTTCAAGCACTTGTCCACTCTGGTCGCTGGCCAGAAGTCGATCGAACGCATTGAGTATTGTGGTCATTGGTGTGGCATATTCTATCGGAGTGATTGGGATCAAAGATGCGACGAGTGGTGTTGGAATATATCCTGGGCTGATTGTGTTCTGGAAGGTGTTAATGAATGTTTTTTGTGATAAGCGAAAATATTACCACAGTAATACCAAAGGCGGAGAGATAGGCGGGACCAAGCGAACGAACGAGGCCAACCAACTAGTGGAAGTTGTTAGTCACTAATAACTCCTAGAACAAAGAAGGTCACTCACGCCGTGCTTACTAGCACAATATAGAGGATCCAGAGGTAGAGCATATAATCCAGCCTCACTGCTAGTCACAACAATTCGTCCTTTAACATTCATCTCGGTGTCATGATTCTCTTTCTTCTGCATGAAATGCAAGAATACTTTGATACAATAGGACGTTCCCAGAAGATTTACATCGATGACTGGTATTGGGGGTTTAGAAAGTTCATCGAGGTCAGGAGAAAGGATTCCGTATGGAAGTGTCATATCAGAGCTAATGCCTGCATTTGCAGCCAAGAAGGCTATTTTTTGATGCCATTCAAATGCTATTATGCGGAAATCAGAACAGATCTTCTGATATGGAATATTGGAAGTAAACAACTTACCTTTGGTAAAAGCCTTGACTACATCAGTCCATGTTGCAATATTGACATTTAACCAAAAGACATCTTCTCCTAGCTCCTCTGCGATCTTTTGACCTTCGAGATTGATGTCCATCATGACAACTCTCCACCCTTGATTTAAAAGATGTTTGGTGAGTGCTAGGCCGACACCGGAGGCCGCACCTGTAATAATCGCACCGGATTTAGTGGTAGTGCTGGTCGAAGACATTGTGAAATTTCACCTCATGTGTAGAATATGTAGAATTTGTAGAAAATTATCTCGTAGCCTTTTTTCAAGTGGGAAGCCTCTGGACTATATTCGAGAAGAGTGAAATTCGACGCAGCCACAAAAGCTCAAGCGCTGAAACACTTGTGGTGATGATTTGGTCGGGAACGATCCCACAGTTGGATTGGCCAATATCATCTCCATCATGCTCACTTCCAATGCATACGAGAACTACCATTGTCAAAAATGGATTAGCAAGTTTTCAATTTGAACATCGATTGGCGCTTCTATTCGACGAGTACGACTACCAATCCATACCACATGTAGACAGATATCGCGTTTGCTACGGTTCGACCAAATCCGGCAGTCAGTGACCCGGTGAAAAGCTTGTCACGAACAAGATACTCAGCTTCATGAAAGCTGAACTCTTATCGAACAATGCCGACCATTATGCGGGTGTCGTGTAAATAATCGCTAGTTAATTCTTGACTCCAATCAGGTGTTCAGTTTGCGGTCGTATTTGCTGGGAGAGTAAGCTCGCTTAGACACCAACACTAGTTCAGGGGGAGGTTATGTTACATCGTGATTACTTGTGCGTTTACTTATCCTTCGTTGGGACACGAACAACAGCTGAAGTTGTTACATGGAAAATTTAAGTGCAGTTGCTTCTTGAAACTCGACAGGTTGCCGATGATCTATTTCGTGTGCCCACGACATACTCTTTACAGAAATTATGGGAAGCTTACTTGTCTGAATACTGAAATATCACTAGACACATCGTTCAAAATGTCGAGTAAATTCTCTTTCGCCAGAAAGTAACTGATGATTGTCTGAAAGCTCGACCCCGCGCATGAAAGAGCTATTCTTGTCCCTTTTCTGTAAGACTGATAATCTCAAAAGTAGTTCAATCCAACTGATCATCTTTCTTTCCTTTCAGAGCGTCCAAAAGCACATCTTGCGTCAAGAATCCTCCCCCAATTATAAACCTTTCCTCAATTGAATATCATTATTCTCAATGTCTGCATCCAATTTCGCGCTGTAATAATTCCACGGTTAGCCATCCCTATCTATGTCGCTGATTCTAGGCCGCCAGCCCAGCAAAGGGAGTTCACACATACAGCATCGACTTATCACATCTCTCAAATACCTTTCTTGTGCATCCATTCCAGAATTCCACAGACAGACCAATATGCCATTTCCAGTGGATTCATCATGCGCGGCATTTTAAATCTGCGAGGAGGAGGAGGCGGCGATGAAGGAGCGATTTTTGGCGGTTGTTTCTCGGACATTGTTGGGGGTTGTGGGGGTCTTTGTCAAATTGTTTTCTGAGCTGGGGCTTTCAAGCTTGCTTTGGAATGGTAGTAGCAAATGGGACAGAACTCGACGTGATTTGAGTTGAGGCGAAGATCGGATTTCAACAACCGTTGTTGATACTGCGTTAGACAACGAAGAATCAGATGAACGAGAGAGAAGACGAGAATAAATTTTTTACCATGGCTTATAACCCAAAGCTAGCCTTTGGACAATACCATGCACGTCTCGTGAGTACTTCCACCAGTATTCCGAGCTCCAAACTTTCTCGACTTTTTACTGGCCAATGTGCATGAACCACGTCTAACAAGCGGCCAATTATACTCAAGATTGACTGCCATTCTATATCTATTTCCATATATCCGTCCAAATAACCCAATGGCGGCTCACTTGTCGAAAAAAGGGCCAATAATACCTCCCAAAATCGAGGAAGCGTAAGCGAGCACCCCTTAGAAACCCGATGGGATCAGGGGATGACAGCTTGGCGTGAACAGTTTCTTCCGAAGCATGAAAAGTCAAATGCGCGGCACGGTATACATTGTCTCAAAAAATCGTATGATGTATTATGATAATGAATTTCACACATCGCGATTCCAAAATGTCTGTTTTTTCGGATAGAAAGAGCTAAAATTGATTTACCTGTTAGTAGCTGTGTGCCCATGCTATCATCAGTCTAATTAACTATTTGACGAGTTGCCAATACTTGAACTAAGCTCCGACTTTTAGGTTTGGTGAGCTTCCGCGGTATTTTCTATGAATAATACCGCGGGCTGTGTCCTGTGGTTTCCTCGAAAGTGGGCCTTAACTGGCTGTCTAAATTCTCGACATTACCAATTGCAAAAGTCCACTAGTGAAATGCATACGAGGGCTAAAAACTCAAGTGTCGATAGAAAGAATGTTGAAGTCGACTTTTTCAATACTGGAATTGAAACGAAGGAAACTCATTTTATGGTGCTGTGATTACGAAGTGTCCGGTGCCAGAGTACAGCAGGTTTTGCAACCCACAAACGCCATAAATCATCTCCATCCACTACTCTTGAACTTTGCCACATACCCAAAGAACTAAACACGCTCACAATGATTACCCGGAAATTTTTACAGACCTGTCAGAAATGCAATTAATGTCCTATTGTGGAAGTTTGAGTTCAAGCAGTTAGATTAGATTGAGTTTTATTATTAGACTACTTGAAAAGCCAGCGAAGTAAGGTGCTTTTCACTAAGCAATAGGACATGAAACAACAACGCCATAGCTGAAAAGCAATCTTACACCAAACTCCCAAACCTAAAACTCATAAATTACACCGACACCGACGTATTACACCCAAAACCCAAACTCTAAACTCCGAGTCCCAACCCACCACCTCAAAACCGTTCCGTCTCCATATCCCACAACTTCTTCAAGAAAACATCCCCAGCCGGTACCCTCGTCATCCTAAGTCTACAACTCGCCATATCCTTCGGCGGCGTCTCCCTCTGAGTCCGCACATGCGTCCTACAATGCCAGCAAATCTACACCATATCCTCACCTCCTCCGGTCGGGGCCGCCATGTGGGCGCCGCATACCCTGCAATCAGGAAAGTACGTGCCGGCGTTTTCTTGTGCGAGATACTCGATGCGGTGGCCGTTTATGCAGTGCCAGTGTGAGGAGGGGTTGCCGAGGGAGGGGAGGGGTTTGTCGAGGTCGATGGAGGGTTTGGTGGATTCGGAGGGTTTGGAGGATGTGCAGCCCATTTTTGTGGTTTTTGGGTGGTGTTGGGGGAATGTTGGATGAGGATGGGTTTGGCATTTTGGGATTGCTATGTATGAGCTTCTCTTTGTGCGTGGATATCGTGGCAGATTTCGGGTTGAGACAAAGACTTCATGTTCCCAATGCATCGAGGAGTCGGGCCTCGGATCTCACTTTGACAAATTCGCCAAAGATCAAACTGTTCTTTGTTACTTTTGAGTGAGCTCAAGCTATTTCCTACCCCTCAAAAACTAAATTTAGAATTTGAGAAGACACTGAAGCAGTAACCGAAGGAAGGCAATATGAAGTTTGAATGACGGTGTTACCTCTTCAAACAATACATCGAAATAAATAGCAGCAAGAATGAGAGAAAACTGGTCTACTTTCAGAAATTCTAAGCTGTTGATCACATCCACTGAATTTCACATTCTGTATGTGTGTGTACATCTCGCCGGTATAATTCTTTCCTACCCTCGAATTTGTAGATGTATTGACAATACCTTACAACTCAAAACCTAGGTCTTTCTCTAAGCCTCGCCAACTGAGAAGTTTGACTAAATTCGATAATGTAGACAGAATACATAGTAAATTAGTATAATACAATATTGAATGAAGGATTCTAGTAATAGATTGATTTCGCGTAAATATTAAACCTGCAAGATGTTCTTCGCTAGAATACATTATTGTCAGCCTACATACAAATGTCACTCACCCATTCAATTTCCATCTAACCACATGACATAGAAACTCCCCAACCCCTGATCAAATAAATGCACACGTCGTCCCAACGATCCGGGCTCCCTACCCCACAATCCCCACCCTCGCTAAAATTCCCAACGAAAAAAACTCAGGGCAACCCCACTAAATATCCCTGTCGTGAATGAGGCAAAAGAAATACCTGCCAAAGATCAAACCTCTGAAGACCACAGAGGAGAGGGGAGGGGAAGAGGAAATAAAGGCAAAATAAGGATCTTGAACTCAGTGAATTATATACTCTCTCTGACGGGGAATCGAACCCCGGTCTCCCGCGCTTTGCAATGTGAATTGACAAGCGGAAATCATGACCACTAGACCATCAAAGATGTGCAATCGTTGGAGGATTGTGATTGGTTGAAGCATTTTCTGTAAATTGAAAATATAAAGCAGCCATGCCTGACGGTCTTCTTTTGACTCGTTGGACTAAGTTCTCGAAAGCACTTAAACGCCAGGTGCGGCAGACATGTAGCATAATTATTAGTTTGTCGTCACTATGTTATGCGATAAATTCGACTGGAATCAGCAATTTTTTGGTGTTTATGTAGTATCTTTGTCACACCCTTTACCTCTTAAAGTCGCAATGGGAAACAAAGAGGAAGCTTCAGTCTACAGGAGTTCTTCTCACTTGTAAGGAAACTAGAGAGCTCTCAACATACTGCGTACCGCTCTATCAATAGTATACGAGTTTTGAAAATCTTAATTACTTAGATCTAAACCACTACCAAACCCGCTCACATCAACTACTAGCGGCTCAATCTCCTCCTCAATACACGGCAACACATCAACATCCTCTCTCCCGCTCCGCTGTCTTTTCTTTCCATGACAAGAATGACACGCTGTTGCAAAAACAAGGCTTACCCATTGTGTCTGCACCAGGCAGCCACACTCTGCAGATGACCGTGTACCTCTCCAGCCTATGTTGTTAGCGGGTTTGTGGCAGGTTTCACACCATTGGAGAGGGAGTCCGGGACATTGACTACATGTCCATGATATTTGTTTTGGGGGCGGTGGTGGGGGGGATTTGGGTTGGGGTTGTTGAATGGGAAGAGACATTTTAATGAATGACTTGAGTGAGTCTGTGAGCGCACAGCGCTTGGAAAGGAAATAATTGAAATGAATGTATAGACAAAAATGGATGCGAAAAAGGAGAGGATTGATGTCGATGCGTGCTTTAAGGAGTATAACTTACCTTTGTTACTATACTCACTAGGTTGGGGCTTTCATTGTGACAATCAAAGGGCTGCTTCGAAAGACCTTTGTTGGAATAAAAAGACGTTCCAAAGGAAATTGATCTGAATCGCATTCCTCGCTGAGTGTAACCTTGGATTGTGTCTCTGCTTGTGAAACTTCAAAGTGATGTCAGCGGCTCCGAAGGTTTGCAGTTCGCGATATCAATACGAGTAGTGTGAGCACTAGAATCGAGACTTCTACCTGCGGCTGGTTAGTGTAGAGATAGTGCAACCCTTCGATGCGAGGTTTTGACAGCTTCGGTGAGCTAGAGTGTTGACAGGCTTGATTTGAAGCATCTGATGGATGGTGCGAAAGTTCATGAGATCAATTGGAAAAGATCTTCAGGATAGTGCGGTTTGAATACCGACATCTACTTAGATTTGACACTGATGTGAACATGAGATGATGCACAGTCTTCGGATCTCGGCAAGGTTGATCACATGATGTTGGGGAAACACGATCTTTGGTCGTTGATGCCTGGACATCAAGGCATCAGAGACATTCAAACCGTTTTCTCCGCATCTTCCCCATCTTCAGAACATCAAGAACATCACCACATACTATGGGTAGCTCCAACAACACACCAAGTGGATGTGTCGGGTTTCCTTTGTTTTCCAAGTTGCGTTGCATCATATATCTGCGTTCTTATCTCAGTCGTTACACTTGCAGCTCGTTTTTTGGATAGCGGAGTGGCGTAGTGTAGGATCAAACTACCTGCCCGACCGGTGCTCAGCGGCGCCGATCTCCCATGGTTTTTTGATCCTCTCACCAAGCCTTTCTCGGTTCTGCAGTCAGACATCTGTTCCACAAAACATACCGACGGCGAGCCAGGAAGTTCGGCTGGGTCCCTAAGAATGAAGCCTAACTAAGGATGTTGGGGACGCCGGCGAAGAACTTTGTTGCAGTTAGAGCATCTCATCATCACTCTATATGATGGCATTTCCCCAGCTGTGCGTGCGAGTCTTGAATGCACTCGTCCCAAAGCTGGCAGTCCTCCCGTTTGTCTTATCATTCCTCTTCTTTGGTATTCCATACTGCGGCTGCAGAACGCTGTGCCAGTAAGCTGACTGGTCTGCCTCTGTCGTGTGTGCTTCAACCTTGTTCCGTGCAGATGCGGATTATATACTTGGTCAACAGCTGTACAGTATTGTCATCCGGCAGTCTTTTCTTAGCTGGTTTGCTGAATCCGACATTCCGTCGCACGAAGGCACTCGGACAACTCGGCCCACACGTTCTTGAAACCAACTTAACGGCCGTTACGAAACATCACCAGAGCAAACATCGTGAACGAATTGCTCCAAGTGCACTAGAAAGGTCTAGAAAGTCCAATTCCTTCCATTGACAGGTCAAGTCAGGGGTTGCATCTCGCTTGCTCCGGACCAAGCAGCTCACCTCATCTCCTGTGTGGATCGGTTCGGGGATTTGTGTCGCCAAAGTTATGCGCGGGTGCGAGTAGATGAACGGACCCGGACGGCGCAGAACATTTATCCCCAACAAATTCCTCAACCAGCGCAGAACTTGGCCACCTACAACAACACCAACATTCCCCTCTCAGCTTCAACAAGTTAATCACGGAGCTCGTTCGTGCGTATGGAGGGCCTCTACAAAGATTGCTTAGGACCAATACCAACTCTACACCTCTACAGACGCTTACTCGGTACTGGCTCCACGTGACCTCATTTCGATCTAATAAACGCCATAAATCGCGTCTTCAAGATGGACGAAGATATTCCCCAGGACGAGTACTTTGAGTGGGAAGACATCATATCATACAAAGCTGCCACAGCTCCCAGGACGATGGAGGATGTGACTCATTCACCGATCAATCTGTTCAATCGACACTCGAACGAAGATCTGTACGACAGCGACGTGGATGCCTCGGTACGTAGCGAGGCTGACAGTAGCATCAGCTTCGGAGTGTTCAGTTCGGCCGACTCGGTCTCAACACATACTTCAATATCGCACCACGGAAGTGAAGGTTATTTTGACGAGCATAGCGACTTTCTTCCTCAATATGAGAGCCCGACAAGTTTCCGGAAACATATGCTTGCGCCCAAGGGTGTCATCGACCCTAAATCGGCTCAACCGGATCAGATAGAAAAAATTGAGCGCGCCGAAGACGACACAGCGATTATTGCACCGCCGTCAAAACATGTAGATTACCTGTCACATGACTGGTGTGAAGAAGATATTTGGTCAACATGGAAATACCTAAAATCAACCAGACAGGTCTACAAGAATAGCGAACGATTGGCCAATGCATCATGGAGAATGTGGATGAAGGAAAGGCACCAGTTACCTGAGACGGAACCGCTAGCGATCAACTGGCAAAAAGAAAGAGATACCACATGGCTCTATGGACCACTTCAGCCGAAGTCAGAGTCGATGTCTGATTCTCTTCAGTCAAGCCAGGTGATTGCTGACTCAAAAATGCCTGTGAGGCCAATTTTGAAGAAGCCCAGCTTGTCCGAGACCTTATTGAGGAAGTCGATCTCTTGCGCTGCATTGGCGAGGGAAGCCAATATTGCGTCTAAAGAGGCATTGAATCTGGTGAGACATGGAATTTCACGACAAACCTCTCTACCGGCTCATCTATCTATGAACACAGAGGAGCGAACCAAAGCGTGGCTGGGCTCGCACTCAAAATTACATCCCTCAAAGACCCCACCAGCTAAAAGCGTCAGATTCAGTGATCAAATCGAAGAATCGTCCACGGTCAGCCCAGGTAGTTCAATTATCACTATCGTTGAGAGTATCTTTGAAGATTCGGATGAGGAGGACGACGAAAATAGCGATGTAGAGACGTCGCCAAAATCTCTTGCAACCGCTACTCCGCCTACAGCTGAAATTGCGTCTCTGGCTCTTGACGAAACGACGGAGGACGACAACGAAATGGTATTCAATTTCGGCGAATACACGCTTTCGCCTGAATGCGAATCCGAGGCTTCAGACGAGTCTACGGGAGATTATTTTGGGTCCGAACAGCCTGACAGCCAGGACGTTACGATGTCGATTCTTGGAGCAGTACGTGAAGATTTGGTGGACTCTGTCATGGATGAATTCTGGGCTATCTTCAACCAAGAATGGGATGCCGGGTTCAAGCAGCGTAATGGAGACTCACGCGGGTCATCCAACTCCTCTAATGACAGCACCTCTGCATCTCGCGCGAACGCCTCAACGGGACGCGTTCAAAGAAAGCGTCAGAGAGGAGAAAGTGAAAACTCTGACGGCGACGATGCTAGAGACGTCAGGGCCCGTCAGCAGCCCAAATCAAAAAGAGGTAGTGAGGATCTCATCAAATTTGCTTGCCCATTTCGCAAGCATGATAATTCAACTTACAACATCTACACCCACCGAGTATGTGCTCTTTCAAACTGGCAAACGATTGCCCGTGTAAAGGAGCATATATACAGGTGCCATCAAACCCCGCCACATTGCAAAAGGTGCTGGGCGACATTTAAGAACCAACAACAGTTGGACACTCACATCACAGTAGCTTCTGAGGATATTTGCGAAGTAAAAGTTGGCACCGCTCCAGAGGGCATCACAGCAGAAATCGAGAGGCAGCTCAGAAGTCGAAAGAAGGCACACCCCAACCAGAGTGAGGAAGATCGGTGGAGAGACATCTACAAAATCCTATTTCCCAATCACGAGATTCCTTCACCGTATTTCGAAGCCGTCCATACAGAAGGACCATCTTCTCCAGATTCCAGGGAGCTTTCAAATTACGAAGACTACATCCGTCGCGAACTACCTCGCCTAGTACGCTCCAACATCGAATCTGTCGTTCGTCACGAGACTCAACCTTTGGAAGCAGCTTTGATCGGCAATTTGGTATCCATCATTCAAGACTGTCAAGATCGAGTCTTCCGCTCATATCGAGAAACCCAAGGCTTCGATCATGACATGACTAGTCCGGTTCTACCATCAACTACATCACCATCAGAATCACGACTTACCCAGGAGACCCCAGATTTCAGAGACGATCTCGACTTCCTCGATTCAGCATTTCATGCCCCAGCAACAAGCAGCACACAAGCAATGCCAAGTTTCTCGCAATTCGACTCGCTTCTGCGTCCCGAAGCATTAATGTTTTCCGACTCCGGATACAGCGAACCTATCTGCTACTGCACCGTGGCATGCAGCTGCGGAAAGGTTACAGACGAGGCACAAGTCAAGGATGAAGTGGCAGCAGCCGCTGTGCTAGACCCTGTTCGGCCCTGGATGGATTCAATGTCGCACCCGAACTGGCAACAAGTCGAGCGTGCAGACGACGAGGCTGACTGGTGGATGAACATCTGAAAGCCCCGATGTGAAATACGCCCATGTGAAAATACACCGAAGACATGCAGGATTGGTCAGCTGACTCACCTGAGGGTGTTCGGAGGTCCGATTGTTACAGCTCTGACAGCAGCGTCGCAGCCTCCATCATCAATCTCGAATCGCATAAAGCTTTCGGCGATATCACGAAGTGTTTCCATCGGCGACATAAACTCGATCCAAAAAGTCGCCGAGTGCTGCATAAATAGGCGAGATCAGTCCCCACGCATCATCTCTGCCGCTGTCAAATCGACTGGGTGTGCATATTCAGGTTATGACGATATAGGAGCGAGGAGCTGAAGCGCAATCGAAGTATTCCGACGAGTCCGTACGGAACGGATTTAACTTTGCTGGTGGAAGGGATGGGATATATATTTGCGTGCTGGAATTTTATTTTCCGCCGTTTTGTGGGGGATCTCCCGAGGTGGTTCGGGGACCGAGATGCGCTTACTTGGGGGGATGGAATCCTTCCGGGTTTCTTATCGGAGGATCTTATCAGAGGGTGTGAGGCAAATGGGGTTTTGTATATATTGCTGTCGTCGCATATTAGCATGGCGTTATCGGGGTTTGTGAGTTTGGGACTGGTGTTGTCGCTTTCAACAAGTTTGCTGACCCGAGGGTCGGTTTGGTGCTTTGCGCCTACGTGCGGGAAAGCAGTGTAGTGCTTGTATATATCATGAATACATATGATCATGATCAAATACTCATGTGCTTCTGCTTATCTGTGTGATGATTGTGCCGCATCTACCTTCTTTCCTCGTCACCTTGATCCCTATCTCGAATGAAAAGAATGCGTGTATACAACGAGACCAGGAACCTAGCAAAAGACAATTTGTTGCTTGACGTGTGCTGCCCTCTGGCTTGTTTATATTTTTGGCTTCCACTTCGAGATATTTCATTGCTTAGCTCTTCTCACAAGTCATCTCACACTTTCAATGAAACAAATCACGTTACCCAATATCATTGCGCTATTTCCACTCAACTAACACGCAAAGCTCCATTCCTTCCCTTGCATTCTTTATTCAAACACATGAACCACTAATTCGAAGTTTGAGACCCTTGTTTCGCAAGGTTCCGTGAGTCTGACCGACATGCACTTCCTCTGGTTAGATAACCCTTTTCTAAGAGTTGGGGCCACAGCTTACCGGCAGGCTGAGCAAAACCCACCAAAAAACCACGATTTTATATCGTTTCTAAAAGTACATAGAACGACGACCCCTAGACTAGGATTAATACTATTAAGTATTATTATAGAACTTTAGGCCTAATATTATATACTTTAAGGGGTTTTATTTATAAGCTAAGTTCCGAGAGCTCTATACGTCTAAAGTAGGTAGAATTCGCGAAAACCGAGGATTCTATACAAATTTTAAGCGATTTGTATAGAAGCCTCCGTTTTCGCGAATTCTACCTACTTTAGAGGTCTAGAACTTTTACGCCTTATAATCTATTATACTTAGGTTCTAATATATTTAACTTATACTAAGGTTCTAATACTATTATAAGTTTTAAAAGAAGATAGCTTAGATTCGTCGAATAATATAACTTTTAAAGGAGGGCAAAATGGTGGTTTTTTGGTGTGTTTTGCCCAGCCTGCCGGTAAGCTATGGCTCGAACTCCTACATGTGTGAGAGGCTATACCATGTTGTCCTTCACAGCTCCAAATCACGAAAGTGTACTTCTCGCCGCTACGTTGCGTGACTCGGAACTAATTTTTATGTCATGGTTCACCCTGGATATGGTGCGTATGTGTGTGAGAATTTGCTAGCTAGTACTTATTCTGGTTTGAGGGTGGTGTGGGGTGGAGGTGAATATCAGGAGTGGGCAGGTGAAGAGAGAGATGGTTACAGGGGTTGTGGTGGTGAGTGACTGAGTGTTTTCACGACTTTTCATGTTGCTCAGGTTGTTAGGGATTCATGAGATAGTTGAGTATGAATGGATCTAAATTAAACAGCCTCGTTATTACTTGAGTTTGGATGAGTTGGTTGAGTTGAATAATGTAATTGATACGCCGGCGATGAGGTGCTTGTTATCGTCAAATTCAAGCACAATGCGGTACATTCATAGGTCAACTCTCAGTTCCCAGTGTCATACGAACATTTCAATAACTGCATTCGCCCTTTCGCCTTTTCATTATTCTAATGAAGCTGAACGCGAATAGAGCTGCTCCACTTCCGACACTGGAATAGAACCTTTGATTATTTTGGTGGGAAAAGTCGCATCGTGAAACTGTTACTTGCCAACTTGTCGTAGCTTCGTTACTAATATTGGTGGTCGTGCGCTGTTGCTATTAGTGAGAAGCAGCGGTTGGGTCTAAATTCCAGTCATTACTTATTCATAGGAGCGTTCCATTTCATGTCTGTGTCCCATGAAGAACTTATGCTGTGACTTGGTAGCTTTGTGAGTCTCGATCTAACATGAATAAATTTATTGTTGAAACCATTCATACAATTTATCTTCATGAATCAGAGTGTTTCAAGAACTATATAACCGCGCAATATTCCCGCTACGTTCTTCTCTTACCTCTTCTTATATTATACCTACCACTGTACCGAAACTATACTCGTCTGAAGACAGACAAAACCGAAAGGCGAAAGGAAAACCTTAGAACTAAAGTTAAACTTAAAATCATACCAACCTCCCTCGCCAAAGCAGCAACTCCAGAACCATTCAACCGGCGGTCTGAAGATGTCACAGCAGTATTCCACTAAATCAGTCCCCCAAGACTTCGATGGACACAAATCCGAAATCACACTATTTATCAAGGGTAGCAAAGTATTTATCACCTGGAATTGTCGGGAGCCTGGTGTTTGCAATGACACACATCAAGTCAACAGGAGAAGAATCGATGAAATCGTTGTCGCGGGAGAAAGATGTGAAGGGTGCGAAAGTCTAGCTTTTAGGACTGAAGATTCCCGCAAAAAGGCTAAGGAGGCTGTTTCGGAGTCGAGGGCGGAGTATTATGGGAAGCAGTCCGCGGGTGCAATTACCGATAGATGAATTTGGAGTCGATGGGTTGTGCAGGTCGTGATACACACGGAGCCTGAGAAGTTTTCTATGTTCGGGAGTCTCTGGTGGAAGATATTAGTGATTGTATGTTAGTTTAATGGGTATATTGGGGAGTGGGCGATTTTATGGCACCGGGCCTAGTATGGAGGGTATTGGATATAAGTTGAGTTCCGATAAATCTAATGAACTTTAACTATGATTGTGTTGAGTGACGATGTTATTCCCTAGTTACATATGTGGCAGTGGTGACTTGTGTGTTCGCAACTCACTTGAATTGTTTCAGCTAGTCAGGAGCTACTCATTTCTGAGTCCAGTTGAAGTTTGATAATCTCGATGCTCTCGATGCTTGTGTGAGTTGAGCTGATTTGAACATCTCAAGTTTTAATCTCGCAGTCGCTTGGTAGTATCGATCAAGCATTCGGATATTGTGGGTGGTATGTCCGTAGGGTTGCTTCTATGGGGATGTCTTTTATGTTAATGATAGAGTAGACGTAGTCAGCGCGTGAAATATTATAGTTATTGTTGCGACTTGTCTTGGCGACCTTCAGTTGATTTAATGCTAATTATTGCTGAAGGTGAGTTTGAATAGAAGTCTACTTCTGGCGCTACCACGTTCGATGGAGTCACAATCACGCTGGTTTAAATGTTGGATTCTGACCTGTTACTAATGATCTAATTGCTGTGACAGCATTACTGGTACTGATGCTACTGGAGGGGATTTCATGGGGTGGATCTGGAGAATAATCATCAAATCAGGTTATGTTTTACCATATCACTCCACTCCCTAACCAAAGCCAATACATCCCATCCGCCTATGTGAGTAACAACATTTGGAAGACTATATAGCTTCTCAACATTCCTTCTCTGTCCTTTCTCTTTCTTCATCGCTTAAGTCTCCGCCCACAATATTGATACCACACGCCATCATTCTCGCTTTTTCAATACAATAAAATAAATACAAACTCAAACCAAAGAGCTTGTCACATAAAACCATCAAGAAACACTCCACATTCTCTCTAAAATGTCCAACACAGACACGCGTAAAGAGATAACCCAAAGCAAAGGCAGTCACAAGTCCACAGTCGTTCTCGAGCTCGTAGCAGAAAAGCTATATATCACTTGGACCTGTGTTTGCGATTACTCTCATTCTCATGTCAACAAACCATTCATCAATGAAGTCGTCGCAGCTGAAGAAAAGTGTAACGAAAAAGGATGCGGCCATCCGGTATTTATCAACGACGAATCTCTCAAACAGGCCGAGGCTGCTATAGTCCAGTTCAAAGAAATTTTTAGTGGAGAGAAGCCTGTGCGTGCTATTACATCTGGATAATGTAAAATGCTGGGGTAGAAAAGTTGTGTAGGTCTTGACACATCTTCTTTGGGGGGAATTCACATGTTGGAGAGTTTTTGGTGGAAGTATGGTGGGTGCATACTTTTATGATGTTGTTCCAGGAAGAAGAAAATCAGTGTACGGAGGGTGTGTTTACCGAGAACATGAGAAAATAACTTTCCTTTAGAGAAAAGAGGTTTCACAAATCGATGCAGCTAAGGAATTTAAAATACATCCGTGAAACAGGATAGAGAGGTCCCTTGAGATTATAAAAGGATTAGTATAATTGGGTCGTTATTCACGGTAGCACACTGTGTGGACATGGTGGACCTCAATATTTAATATGACAGCAAGTCGACTCGGAAATAGGATTGTAGATGGGTAGGTGACCGATCCCCTGCTTATCTCTGCCGAAACTGAACAATAGTAATCCAGTGAATACATGCAAATACTTACTCACTGCAAACCAGTTGTGAGTAATATAATTGAGGGAGAACAGCTTCCAACTTTCCTTATTCATCTCGCAGTGCTCAAATCTTTTCCAACACTTGTCATCTTTCTTAAAGTTTTAACGTATCAAAGTCTACGAGCGAAGACGACATCGATCCGTCTCGACACAGTACACGTAAAACACCCCCCCGCGGAGTTCAGATATTAACAAGAGATTATGTCAGGTGTTCGTCTTCACTACTCTAAGCAAACTGTACCAGATAACAACCGCTGACAGCCCGCAGAACTCAGACAAACCCCCCACGTACGATGTGTCCCAAGATGCCCCTCCAAAATTCACAGACTACGAAATCCCAAGCACCCCGCGAAACCCTCTGACAGAATCAACTATCAACCTCGACGGCGGTGCGCACCGCCGAATTCATGTACGGTTTGAAGGATTAGGACCAGGGAAAGGATATCAATTGTGGTTCACCTACTTTTGCACGAAAACTCCTCAAGATAAGCCTTTTGTTGAGCCGTCAAGTGGGTTTGTGGTTAATACGGCGAAAGAGAGGTGCTTGGGTTGCGGGGAGCTGATGCTTGTTGGGGAGGAGGCGAGGATGCAAGCTGGAGAGGCTACGGATAAGTTTAGGGCGATCGTTGATCGGAGGGAGAAACAGTATCGTGGCATTCGTTGATGATACGCGGAACAATTTGGACATGGGAACTTTGGTGGACGCCTTGGGCCTTGCGCAGAGAGTTCAGTTCAAACTTCCCGATTTTTGGTGGTCTGATTAACGATACTTGCAATTAGTGAAGGCGGCGGTCTTCAAGAAAGTTCGTGCAAGAGTTCTTGATTCAAAACTGGAGGAAGACCATTTGATTGTAAGAACTATCAAAGATGAGCTTTCATATTAGTTAGATAGAATGATTGAAGGTTGACAAAGTACCATTTCCCATAAGAAATTGATATGGCCAAAAGGACCCCGAAAGACTAATATGCAGTGACTCTTCCTGTCTTGATGTTGGCAACAGTTGACCGCTTCCCATGAAATTCGCCAATATGACACCGTTCTGATCGTGGCATCGTGGGTCAGAAACGGCAAGTCATGATTTTCAGCTGCTGATATCCTAGAATCAACGGCCGAAAATAAGCCCCTAGTAACCGTCATTTGGTCTAGATTATTCTGAAACATAACCACTACCGGGTCCTCGTGGCCTCTTAGTGAAAGTTGTAGTAAAATCTAAAACACGCCAAGATTGTAAATAAACAGCGGTGCGTTTCGGAAGTTTCGGCGGATTTGGCGGATTTGGCGGCGTACAATTTAGAAAAGCTAAACTGTAGTATGTCTATACTTTTACACCATTTCCTAATAACGACCCACCTTAACTTCTAGAAAATATAATTGCTTGTTAAATGTCATTATTCTTAATTGGGCAGAAAATAGAGGTAGTAAGACCATCACGCACAGAGCAATTTGACGTCTAGACCTAGATTTTAAGACGAACTAGCCTTTTTCAATTTGATTTTAGTATATCTTCACTAAAGTCGCCGGTTACTAAACGGCGCACAACGGTAGCAGATTTTGAGCTTTACCTAACCTACGCTAAGCAACGCCAAATATTGGCATACGTTTCGCACAATGTTAAACGTTAAAGCGAAAAAGTGGCCTTGTCTGTTGCCCACACTGAAAAAAACAAGATTTAACTTTCAAGCTTGGTTGTGAATTCGCTGTTCTCGAATTCAGCTCTGTTTTTGTACCTTCAGAGAATTCAACAGAAGCCGCTTTTCTAGGCAAGACCAAAATTACCCAATGCGTGCCTTCGGTCATCCCTAACACTAACGATTAGTCCAGGTCAGCACAAATCGCAATCGACTTTTGGAGTTCGTGGGATAACTGGTTATTAAGTTGAACCACCATCACATATCATGGGCTCAGCAGCAAGCAAAGTAGATGAGCCAACAATAGATGAAGCAACTAAGACTGCCCTGGAGGATAGCAAAAACCTTCCCAGCTATCTGGTGGTCATGTACGAGTCGGAAATGAACAAGCTCCCGCCATACTCCGTGACAGCTCCGTATCACCCTAAGGTGGATAAAAACGACCCCAGAACATTTTATCCTGACCAATACATCATCGAGCCAACTGACGACATGCATCGCAGAGTGGTGTTTGTCTACGACTTCGAGGAACGGTGCATTAACCACAAGACTTACTGTGTGAAACCAACATTATCCAGAAACATAAACACGCATTTCATTCGGAGGCATGGATACGAGGTTTACTTCGAGGAAAGATGCAGGCTCTGTGAGAAGCAGATCTTGACGTCTTCGGAAGATCGTCGAAAGGCAAGGGAAGCTACGGAGAAGTTTAAGGGGGTTCATAAAGCAAATAAGAAGAAGAAACGAACACCAAATATCACATCTCGACATCCCACGGAGGAGGATCGCGTAGGGCTTCTTGAATAAGGATTTAACATACCAAAACGGACTTCTCGGGTTTGGAAAATAGGGTCTAATTTTGTTTGCTGCTCGAGAGGAATTATTATCAAAAACACGCAAGATGTGACTTAGTTATTCCTGTGACCGTTTAATTTTTATTATCCTTTGATTTGTGGTTAAAGTCTGATCATTAGTAACGATATTGCTTTTAAGAAATGGGATGCTTAAATGAACTTTGTGCTTGTTAACCTCAACCCATTAGTCAAATTGTAGAAATCATTTTATTTTATCAGTGGTAGGTGCGACCGATCTTTCGTGATTAATGTTCCGGAGAGGATTCGAATCGGACGTGAGTCCTGATTTTTTTCAAATGGAAAAGCAATTTTACAGAATGCGTGACTAGGTTCCCGTGCTAAGTCATAAGCAAAGATCAGGAAGGTGGAAGGTGTCGACCCCTCTACGCACTTTAACCAGATAAAAGTGAGTAACTCCTACTCCCCTGATTAATGTGTGCACACGCTATTCTAGTATAAATACTTGTCAAATTAGGTTCTATTCCTTTAACTTAAAAGATTTCTCCAAATAAAAACGTACATACCTGAAACTTTGTCACACCACCATCTCATATTTCACCAAGTACTCAAAGTAATAAGCAGACATTGTTACTTCTCACTCGATCAACACCCGACGAAATAGGCAATTGTGCTCAGCAACTTTATTTCCTCCTCTTAAACATCACTCGAAGTGAGTACGAACGTTGAAAAGAACCCCAAAGATCTCCGACGCGAGGAGAACCTTGAAGGTTACCGACGAGCAGTAAGAACGCCAGAAGCGCCTGAGGCCGCGGCTAAAGCTGCGAAAACCTCACCATTTTACTCTTTTTTGCGGGAAAGCAGCACTCCAACGGGCCATAGGGAAACATACTCCGCTACTATAAGAAAGAAAAGAAGACTCAAATGAAGACTATGTGCACCAGAAAAGGAGGTGGCCAAGCAGGATTGTCTGAACTTCCTCTATGGGATAAACATAAAGTGCAGATGGAGAGTTTCTGCCAGCACTGCAAGGAGCCGCTGTTCACCTATTCAGAGGAAGGGAAGAGTCATGCCAGAGCTGCCACTGCTCAATTTGCATTGATTGCAGACAAAGCAAAGATATCAAAGATGAAAGACTTTTTCCGTAAATGAAGATCCAGCAAGCCTTGATCATGATGATCTTACCAACAAATCGCACAGACTGGGGGTGTCAGACTTATGTTGGCCTCAAATTTCAATTTTGCTGATGGGAAAAAGGATAATGGAAAGGGGAGGCATATTGGCTGGAGACATACGCGGAATATCTCTGTACCAAACAAACATTTTCAATCATATCAATCTATTAGTGTCTAGAAAAAAAATACCTTTACCCTGGGATATAGAAGATTCTATCAGTTGCGTAAATCTCTAGAAGAAATCTTTTGGCCAGGTGTCATGGGTATGACTGAGAAATCTTATCTTCCCCCTATGCCCTCACCTTCACCCAAATTCACATTCACCATCACCCAACCCCCGAACCCCACAATTTCACATTTCTATACTTAATAAACCACAAAAAGCAAAAGCCTCTCAACAAATCAAAACGATCCGAAGATTCGACGCTGCCGTAAGGCGACGCGCATCCCCAGCTGGGCCTCCCCACCCAGCGCCCTTTCCCTCTCATTAATTCATTGCGATAGATATGGGAGTGGTTGAGTCGGTAGGATTCGATTGATTACCATTAAACTCGATCTCCTGATCTTGAGAAGTAGCACTTGTGCTCTACCCATTTTCTTTGGAGATTTTTTGGGTGTTTTGGGTGGTGGATCGAGGGGGATTCACTGGAATCCTTTTTGCCCATTTGATTTTGCGTCACTCTCTTCTTTTTTGCTGGGAAACTCTTTCTTTTTACTATCTCTGATCGTTGAGAGAGTCATGAGTACCACGATGTGTATTTTACTAGTGTACATGAGCGCTCCAGGATTCAACTTCGCCCGCGACGAAGTAAATTCTCCAATATTAACCCCCGAAAGCCTTTATTCGGTATACAACTCAAATGGAATATCACTACAATAAACAGTTAGTGTCATTCTCTTAAAAATCAACATGTTCAGCATCGGAAAATACATACCTCTGACACCTCACCCTCCCTTCCCGCCCAATTTCTAAACCTCATCTTGTGATAATACAACATCCTAAACCATCTGTACACTACCCATTTTACCTCACCCACAACACCCCAGGCAAATCCAATACAAGACCCCACAAAACACCACAAGCAAAACATTCCCGCGCACCAATCTTCCTCTCAAACATTCGCTTCCCACAACTCCATCCGATCAACATCTGACGCGATTTATACACTGCCCAGAAACTCCAACTGAGTCCCGAGGAACAACCGAGGAGGTAGATGTCTGTCATTTCGGTGTGGGCTTGCGGAGGAAAGATGGTTGAATTTTGGTGCGAATACTGGGATTGATATTCGTGATGATAGAGTTTTAGTTTTTAGATGTATGCTGAGAATTGAATGTGAAGGTTGGGTTTATTGGCATTCCTGAAGAATCTGGATTGAGCGAATAGTTTGAAAGGGGTTTAAAGCTTCTTCGGTGGTCTAAAGAGAAAAAGCGCAGTAGGTCCGCTTTAAACAATTTGTTTTTCGATTTGTCGTCGAGTGAGGGATAACCAAGATTACTCATTGGTCGAGAATAATTACCGCCTCGGTGACTGTGTGACTAGAAGCGCACATCATTAAGTTCAATTTTGGAATATAGCTGGAGAGTGGTGGAAATTTCCGACGATGTTGGTTGTGGATTCTTTGTTGGTGTCTTAGAAGCCTTGTCGTCCTTTGTTGGCGGCTGCTTGCGATCAGCAGACTAAGAAGCTCAAGTTCGTTGATTGTCTTATTTTTAGATGCTGGCTAACTTGAATAACCTATAGGAGAATGCATTTTTTGGAAAGATGACTTGTGAGAAATTGCATAGTGGTTGGGTTGATAGTGGTCACCCCTCAACGGCGTAAGAGAGTAGATCGCTTATTCGGTATAGACATTGATTTCAACCTCACCCCAATAGTATGCTTTTAATGATCCAATTTCCATATTTGATCTCCATTAACCTTCTAAATCAATTCCACTTTCATAAACTGCGACCCAATCTCTCTCTCTTTCATTTTTCTCGTGCTTGTGTTGGCGGTTTTGAAGATATCCTCTTAAATCCGAACCTGGGAGTTAAGGCGCCGCGTCGTTCAAACCAGCTCCAATTGCGATTGGAGCAGGAGAGCAAGCAGAATCATTCGACAAAAACACAACATTAACAGCAGCAAACCTAAGAACAAACATAGATTAGCTCGAAAGCTTTTTTTTATCGATATGATTTGGTACTTACGCTGCGGTCGCCGCGAAAACTTCAATCCTCCTTGCGTTCGTCATCAATGCAAGTGCCAGAGAGAAGATAGCAGAAAATACAGCCAACAGTCCAAGACGGAGATTGTTGGATTTTATAAAATACAGAACCACGACTGAGCATATTGGAAGGACGGAAGCGACGACCGTGGCCATGATACCCAGGCGCAATTCAAGGCTCGACTCTTTGTAATGGTATATACCAGTACCAATGGTATCGGGTAGTTGTTCCTGAAGCAACCGTTAGTAAGAACTTCATAGTTCGTAGTGTAATGTTAATGGAGGGTGTGGTGTAAAATACTTTGAATCTTTTCCCGATGATTCGATGGTAAAATGGGACAATTCCTTCAGTCAACCACTTCGAAAAAATATCCGGGGCAGCGCGAGGCCTGATGGCTATTAAATCATCCTCGTTCTTGGGATCCCACGATTCTCGATCAATTCCGAGAAGGGGAAATGATCCCATTCCGGGTCGTCGAAACCAGCTTCTCAGGAAGTCAAGGTCGTATTTTCTCGGTTGCTCAAGTCTGGCTAGAGCTGCATGTTTGAGGACCGCATCATCTATACAAATGATCAACAAGAGCTCTAAGCAGAATTAATTTATGAACACTGACTATAGAAGTCTAGTTTTTTGCTCAGTTCAAGAAATTTGAGCCACTGTTCCGAGTCATTTTCGCCTTCGCCATGACTTAACGACCACCAATCTTTGGCATGATACTGCCTGTCCGCATGGGTTTCATCCCGCGTTGCTAACTGATTTAATTCCGCTTCGAGATGCGAGATTTCAGCCTGAAGGTAGAGAAGCTTTTGCATGTTAAGAACTCGAAAGCGTCGTAAAATGGCGAACTCCTCTTGAGTTGCCATCAAATGCGCTACTTTAGGATAGCCTGCCATAATGGACCGCGAAGTACCGATTGAATTGCTGTCAGGTCACAGGGATTTGGGTCTCCTCCCTATGCACTTTACTCTTTTGCAGGCGGTGTAAATACTTGAGGCTTCCATTATGCCTGCATGTGAGCCATGCAGGTCTGGCCAATTAAACAATGTGCAATCAAGGTACCTCAAACCTAGTACCTAGTACCTAGGCACACATCTTTGATATCTGGATTGCATACTGAACAAATGACCAAAGTATTGCACAGCCTTACCACAAAATAAAAAGGTCGACGTGGCACCACTATAATTCGTTACGCACCCTCTTCACAACACGGCTGGCACGCCACTTATCGCAAAGCAAAGTTCCTACAACGGCTGGTCCACATCACTACCACTGACCACTAAGAAGTATATCTCGTTAACAATGGCTTGCACTCGAGGAACAAAATATAAATATGTGGATCATGCCCACTCCGGTCTGTTGTAGTTCTTACCCGACCTGATATTGGATATTGGATTTCTGACCATCGATTTTAGCACCCTCGAGTAACTTAACAGCTATCACTCCAATAACGAGTGAGGATACACCAGCCTTCATCAGGTATTGAAACGGTCGGAATACGAAATGAATAACAACCCGCAATGGAGGCCGGATCAAACTAGAGAATGGGTGGCAGCGCGACAGGACCGAGAACGATTCGTGGCTCACGGTTACACTGTTTCTGGCATACCTAAAGACCCGGAACATGAACAATGGATGAAGCAACAAGAATTGGAAAAACAGCAAGAATGGAAAAAGCGCCAAGAATGGTTGCGAAATCAGGAAGGAGCAGCAACCTCTGTAAGATAGTCCGCAGTACCGAGTAAAGTGCAGTACTAATTGTGGTGAAATCTAGCAGAGTGCTCCAGATTATGGACGCGGTCAACCTAAATCAGCACAGATTCTCGATCCAACAGAAAATAAAACGATTTCAGTGACGGTTATCGAAGATACAGGATGTGGAATAAGCTTCATTTCGCCAGAAGTAGCTAGACTTTGCCACTTGACAGAATTTTCGACTACAGCTATTGAAAGCCGGACGTTGATGGGCAACTTCGTTTCCAATCTCTGGGCGGATGTCAATTGGATGGGGAGCGACAATAACCATGGTCGTGATTGGTTCTATATTGCACCCGACAACGCGCCAATTGAGGTGCTCGTCGGAACAAAGTTCATGGACGCCCATCCTCATGTATTCAAAGACCGGGCACAACTCGAGCCAGGCTTTTTGAATGTACAGTCAGAGATCAAGGTGAGTGGCAAACAGTAAGATGTTGCCTTGAAAACTATTGTAACCTGACAATGTGTCCAATAAAGGCAGCCGAGAAATCCCAAATCGAAGACAACGAAGCACTTGCTCAGCAGCAAGCGGCTGAGTTGGAAGAAAGAAAGAAGCTTGCGAAACAGCAAAAACCGAGCGATAAAGGAAAACGGCCCGCATCACCTTCATCTTCATCTAAGAGGAGTTCTCGCCGGAAGAAATCGTGAGCAAGTTTGATGTGATTGATGATAAAGATCAAACTGAGTAGAGGGAGGATTGGCTTGACTGCCCGTTGGGGTAACGATACCAGGAAAGCGTAGCAAGTCTGGTTTTATAGATGATTGTTTCCTATCCACGTATATTGAAACTTCCTGTCAACCCTTGTTTCAATGTGATATCAACTTCCGCGATCCTGAAGAACTAATAGAAGGCATAGGAGGAATCATTGAGTCCGATGGCGACGTCATGACGGAGCCTCGGGCAAAGAAGATTAAGTAAGCAGTGATGGATGAGAAGTGACAACGAAGTCCTTTATACCTACTGTACGGTCTTTGAACCTAAAGACCAATGCGGGTATTGTAGTTGATCGGATGATCATGCACTTGTTGCTTGATGGTTAAGGTTAACAATAACCTTAAATCCTGTACGACTCCGTGGCTATAGACGCACACCGTTTGCGATCATCGGCCCGTCTCCCATGATTTTTTTCTGTGAGCGAGAACTTGGGAAGTCAGGGAGATACTGTGATAGTGACACCCACACGGCTGCTCCGGCGCCCCGAGTGTCTAGGCCTCTCGAGAGAACCAGCTTTGAGAAATCCCCCGCGACATCGCCAACAGCAATTCTGCAACAACCATCATTTGTCCATTGACACCCAAAACAGCTGGCCTGGATGGGCATTCGGTTCTTCAACTTGGCACAACCATTTCGCCCAATTCCCCTCGCTCGTTCGCCGCACTCGTTCAACGGCTTTTACAACATTCCAAACATCCTGCTCGATCCACAGGTACATCTTTTTCTGGCCAGTACCTAGCTTGTAGCTTGTCCCAACGAGGAATACAGCCACTTGTGAATATTTCCTCGTCGTAATGCAATAGCTGCTGGATCGTTGCGCTTATGCCCCCCTCGCAGGGAAAGCGCTTGACTGACAAGCAACGTGGGATGGTCGACGCTATATTGAAAGCCGCCATCGATGGTGGCACATGTTTCAATTCTCGGCTTGCTGTTAATACATACCTGAAAGATGTAGTAGCAGATGATTTACTTCTTTCCTGCGGTGACGAAATCGTTGATCGTTGCTTCGTTCTCTACGCAGAACAAAACACACAGCTTCGTTCGCCGTCATTGACCGACACATCCCAATTGAGTCCATTGGATACGAGCCAAGACGAAGACGATACCTCCGATGATGACGATTCCGGGTCTCCTTCGTTCGGTCCAGAGGTACTGCCTGTCCCAGACTGTACTGAAGATCTTTGCTGACAGTATGGGTATCTCAGAGTCCCACGTCGATCAAAAGCTACCTACACCCACACGCGAACGACTATAGATCTATATCGGTGAAGACTTGCAGGGGAGGTGTCAGCTATATTTCGAGAACCTTTGTACTTCAGCAGCTCTGCGCAGGGCTCAAGACGCACATAATACTCGAATGGACGGATGTGGGTAGTGGCAAAGAGCTTTCACGTACCAGGTGTGAAGTTGTTGACCCAAAACAACTTTCAGATTGTCAATTGGCATTGGCAGAACATCATGGTAAAAATGATTCGGATATTGTCGAAAGGTTACTGCAAGTGGAGGAAAATATAGAAGCCAACTGGTTGAATGAAGCAAGCGGAAGCCTAGAGGCGGCTGCAAGTCCGAAGCTCGCTGCACAGTATAGCCCGCTGGTACTTAGCTATTTGGCGCAATTGCAGGTTATGGCTGCCATCGAAATGGCCAAATCGAAGAGAAAATTAGCATTGCTTGATCCGATCGAAATTAATTCAGGTGCTCCGAATAAGAGGAGAAGGCAGGAATAAAGCCTTTTGGACATACGAACCCTCCGCCTTCGACATCACACAACTCGCAGAGTTTTCTGCAACTTCATAGACTACATTCTCACGAATTATGGGAGGCGGCGGCAGCGGTGTCGGTGTGCCGGTTGACGGCTTGGGATATAGACCTGGGAGGTAATGGGATGGCAACGGGGTTATATAAGGGCGTATCGGGGCAGGTTCAAATTCCGAACATGCCGGAGGAGTTATGCTGTTGGGAAAAAAAAATTGGAGCCTGGGTTGTGAATAATCAAGCACACATAGGGGGAATAGGGTTCGGTTTTGTATATATATACCCTTCTTGTATGTCAATGTTGTACAGCAGATTTTTGTCCTACAGGCTGTTATGTTGGTTGATTGCGCTTGACGCAAGGTACGGCGCATGAAACGTGGTTCCATTGTATTACTTAAATTGCCTTCGGAAGGTGACTAGTCCCATTGTTTGCACACCTAGTCACAAAACATTGGTGTGGAAATCATCGTCTGAGCTGTTAAGTATTCGTGGGAAAATACCTAATATCAGTGACCAACTCCAGTGACGGAGAACAAAAAAAGAGTTACAGGGTTCAAATAGCACAGCTCTTATCGGCTTGCATCACTTGGAAACAGCTTATCGAGTACCCTGTTATACAGTACGTCTCAGCCACTCATCAGCATGCTCGTGGCCGGAGACGAGACTGTGACAGCAAGGTTGCTTTTTGCTGGGGGCGCTGTGGCCATGGGATTATCATGGGATTGTTACAGGGCCGATGGCGAATATGTGTCTGGGGTTGATTGCTAAGTACCGGTGGATGACTTGCAGGTTCATGGGGAAGGGTGGGATATCGGACGAAGAGAGGCCTGGAGCCGCGAATATTGCTGATGGCTAGCATGATAATGTTTAAAGTGTGCTCGTAAGCCTCGTTCTGAGTGGTCGTAAGCAGACAATGCATTGATTTAACAAAATCAATGATATTTGCACAAGGTAACTGCTGAGTAACAGTGGCGTGTGTACGTGTAATATTTGCTACAAGTTGTGATTGTGAAGTAAATTTCACTACTAATAAACGATCATTTTCCATATTTTAGCATTTGCAATTAGCCTCGGAACTGGCAGGTTGAAGCTTGTGAAATAATGTGTTGTTCTCTGAATTTCTCTGATTGAATTTTTTAAAATTTGAACAGAAATTCCCCGGGTCCCAACCAGTGCCTAAACAGTCAATCATATCATATATCATTGAAGTTATGCCATAAGTACACTACAATGAATGGTACCTTATGACCCTGAAATTATCTCATTTTCGAAAGTGAAAGTGGAAGGTAAAACCTCTGGTTTCCTACAAAATACCTTACGTGGAATATCAATACAGATCCACAATTACAACCCTCCTTTCGGGTCTCAGGCATATTTCCATACATTTCAAACAACATAAAATAATCATACAACTAACGGCAATAGCGATGATGACCGCAAAGAATAAAACAATAATCGCAACAATGGCAACAACCGGTAAGACGAGCAATTTTGTGAAAGCTGCGGCGCCGAAGATGTATAATCCAATTGACATAGGATATAAATCTGTATCAACACTGCTCTGTGAGGAAGTTACGAACTCTAATTCCGTAGAATCGAAGCTTGCAACTATCCAAAGAGTCGCTGCTATGACGACAAGAACTGTATCGAAGATTGCGATGCTTGCCGCGACAGTGTGGTAAATATCACGACGCCGGTTGTATAATAAAGCAATAACAGCAATATCGAATGGTGTGAGTAGCAGTGACAAAACTGTAAATGCGGCGCTTGCTTTGATGTATGATGCGTGGTCATTTGCTCGCATCGAAGTGAAAAATATCAGGAGTGCGTCAGATATCGCATCAGAGATTCCTGATGCCTCAATATCTGATTGAATAATCGCAGCTAGATCAAGCGATTGTGGGAAATTTCTGGTGCATCGAGTATTTCCATCTTGATATCCGTTTGTACCCAGGTAGTCCTTTTCAACCAGGTAATCGCGACACACTCCTGACATACCGATTCGATAAACAGTTGGTAAGACTGAAATTGCAGTATCAAAGGCAGGGGAATATGTAGTATTACTGGTCGCATTGGTGTAAAGGTACGTGACTTTCTGGGTTATAAATGGAAATACCGTCACATTCAAGTGTTCTCGGCCTGTTGTCGTGTTCGCATGTTGATGCGCGAGCTTCTGTGGATTGAACGAGAAAAGAGCAAAGTCTTTAGTTGACGGTGACATGCATCCGACAGATATAACGAGGGTTAGAGCCCAGGATGCTATACGCGCTATCAATTTGTATTCCACGACAAGCCAATGCGGAGTTCGTACCCGTGGCGAAGAATAAAAACCAGAATTGGTTGAACCCTGAATCTTTTCTGGCTCCAGCCCACATCCGCCCGGCAGCCCTGCCAGCACTTCTAAATTCTGGTAGCATATTCTAGTGCTTGTCGAGGGGAGGTCCCCTGTTAACGTTACTCTTAATCTTGAGCTACGGAATCGTGATGATTGAATTGATTTTTTTAAAAAGAAAAATGCAAAGCCAAACGAGTAAAACAGCACAATAAACGCGACACACGGATCTTGCCTATCATTCAAGAGAATCAAATTATTGAATCTCTGCGGGCAAATCCACAATATATCTGCTTTATTCAACATCTTGGCTTCTGCACAGAAACGTGAAGTGAAGTTACACAGTGGCGGCTCAACGCACTCCCTGGCCGTCAGACGGGGCAATCCATCGAACGTCCAGTATTTGTTTACCGCCAGGATTCAATCTTACAGCGCAGCTGGAAATCAGAAACTTGGCTGTCCAGATTAAGCGACGCCTCGCCAATGAAGTCAGTTGCACTTGACAGAAAAGGGGTTATAGGCAAAATGCGGATGTCAACTTGAGAGGTAGATTTAAAGTCTCCTCGTGGACATTGTGAGCTTTTAGCTTCAGTCCTTTCGGGGTTTCAACTTGTCCGAATTGGTAGAATTGTGGCTGCGTGCCGACGGCCAACTATTAAAGTACATGTAGGTACAGGCGGGTAGCTCGGTTCTCGGTTGGATGACATATATTGAGGCTTAATACTTCAATACTAGCGTGCACAATTATGCACAGAGAGACGCCTTACCGCTCTTACCGCGGAAGTTCGAAGGAGAATAGTTGATGTGCATATGTACCCATGGAAACTGTGGCGGTTATCAATTTTTTTTGCTTTGCAATGCCATGTTTACTGATCAAATTGGTAGATCTGTGGAGCTTGCTAGACTATTGGACCCCCTCAGATTCGCTTAATATTCCCTCGTAGAAAATGTCTGTGTTTCTTGAGAACCTTCAAACTACGGGCTGAACCCACCGCCAATGCTGAAGACATCATCCGGGATGCGGGGATGGTAGGACAAACCTTGGAGAAGCTGAGATATAATATCATCTTTTTCAGGGGATCAGCACTGTTATCGTTCCTGAGGGAAGTTATCCGATTCGGCTGTTCTTAGGTCGATACTAGCCAAGTGTTCTGGAAGCTACCTGGAAGCTATATCCCTGGACGGGGAGGCATTTGACTCAGAATCCGAAGATCAGGGTTCGGGACTTTATAATGTCAGCCGAGCTAGAGCTGCACGGGAATCGATAATAAGAAGCTAAGGAAACCCTGAATTCTTGAGAGTATTGATTTGAATAACAGCTCTGTGGGACAGCGACTGGGACGAAAGTCTCGGGGAACAATCCGGGTGAAACGAGATTTCCTCCAGAGATCAAGATTCGATTACAAGTTTTGAAGAAGCTTCATGAATGAAAGCTCATTGGAGAGTAGAGTGTGGCTCAGTTGTCAGCAGGTTAGCGCATCGAAAAAGGCTGCATTGCACTGCCGTTGTCGGGAGTATCAAGCCAGTGACGTTAACCGGACCACACGGATCTCAAAGTTAGCTTGCAAAGCGATCTTGCTCATCGGGCATGTGCAGGGTCTAAGTGGACGTCTGCGATCTCCTAATTCTTCTAGCCTCACAAGCTTACCTCGATTTGAAATCTTAGGTCACTTGGGGTCTGCCAGAAACAGCCAGAAGCGAGAAACGCTTGGTAGCGTTGAACTTAGTTTTGACGGTCTCAGACAGAATTGGCCAAGCTACGGGATCTATCAGCTTTATCCCCAGAGTAAATCCGCGTACCGTAAATCAAGATAAGGGCTCAAGAGCTGAAAGGTTCTCAATGTAGCCACCACAGTCTGACTGACTTTTGTTCATTTCGAACAGCGAGTACACGAAGCGATTCAGCATATTTCAGCATAATACCACAGTTCGATTTCGACCAACTTCTATAATTATCATACTACCATTCTTTCTTCATGGCTGCATTTCCAATTCAAAAAGCGAGTGAACCACCAGCAACCGTTCAAAAACACAGTCCCTCATACCCAAGCATCACTTTTTCAAACACCTTGGATACTGATTCAAGTCTATCACCGCCCTGGGATAATCAGTCGATCACAACAAGTTCAGTACAAGGGAAGACGAGTTATCCGAAGTTGAGCTTCATAACAATTTCACATCCAGAAAACTCGAAGACAACATGGAGGAGAAAGGCAGTCCGCTCTCATGCAGCAGCGAATTCGCATGGAAATTTTAGAAACGATCCAGAAAATAGTTCCTCGAGTGCTTCGCCGGGTCGTGAGTCGTCGCGAAGAAAACGCAGAAGTTCAAGGCAGAGTGACGTTTCTTTTCCGTTGGAATTGAAATCAGAGGATAGTCAGGAGAGTCAGTTGAGTCTCGATAGCAGACGGTCTTCGATAAGTAACTTTGGTGGAACCGGAGACCCATTCGATATTTTTCCTGTTCCAGCGGAACCTTATCTGCCTTTTCTGGTAGACCATTGTAAGTAGTATTTACTCCTTCTCAAGAAATCTAATGTGGAAGGTTACTAACAAGAAAATGGTAGATATGCATGGAATGAGAAATATCCCAGATCTGGAACAGGAGAGAAATTACGACACATTGAGAAACGTTTGGTTCCCACTGGCTCTCGAAGATCCCGCCGCATTCCAGGTCGTTATTCTTTTCTCGGCACGTCATCAAGCATCCGTTGCGAGTTCACCAAACATGGTTCCGAATCAGCTCGTTCTAAAACAAAAGGCTATCACCGCCATAAACGAAGGTATCCGAGACATCAACAGATCCTCCAAGGATGCGCTCATCGGAGCTGTAGCCAAAATGGCGTTCTACGAATCAATGTTTGGGGATCTAGAAGCGTTCGACGTCCATATGTTAGGGTTGAAGCGGATGATCGATATGAGAGGTGGACTGTTGTCACTTGGGTCGACTGGATTTCTCGCTAGGATGATTTTGTGGATTGACATCAGGGCATCCGAAATTCACCGCCGGTCGAGGTGTTTTAAGGAATCGCTCACAGCTGACGGAGGTAATATCATCAAGATGGAAGAGACTGATAGAACAAGTCTCATAGTTCAATGACGCTTGTAGTTCGTGCTTGCTGGCATGCACGATATCGGTTATCAACTACTATAGTCTTCTCGGGAGGCATGCTGCAGGTCAGTAAGGAAAATATTACGAAATATTATATCCGGAAGAAAGTTGATGTCTCAACTATCAGCAACTTTCCTACGGAATGTGTGTATTATTGTTTCCAAATCTTTTTTGCCTCGAGCACTAGAAGTTTAATAAACATTAATTAATGTGGACTTATATCTTCCAAAAATAAAGACCGAGATGACGAACATGATAGAACAAGCGTCGAGTGGTCTCGAACACGGCATGTGCTACCTGGGAGGAGCTGCACACTATTATGTTGAAGCAATTCAACAGCTTTCTTAGTGATCAAGGAGTTATAGCCACGATAAAGTTTGCCAATTCCATGTTTGAAATATCAGCGGTACCGGCCCCAGCCAATTCGGACCTGCAGACACTACTGAACCCAAACTTATTGCAGGGAACCACAGTCTTCAATAAAGTACAAGCTACAAATTATCCAGAAATCCACTCCTAGCATCTCCATCATCTACGTGTTCTCCGCTTCTCTCGACCTCATCATTCCTACAATAAGTCTACCAAAGCTGCAATACCCAGCCCAAAGGACAAAATCGAAAGTAGCTCACCAACCAAATTTCGTGGATATTAACCGAGAAGGTTGGCCAAAGCAAGACACTAGTTAGAGAAAGTAGGAACAGTCAGAAGACTGGTAAACATCCTCTTTGGTGCCTGAAGAGCACCATAATCGTTGTCCGGATCATTAGCAAGTTCTTCCTTGCGCTTTACCCTCGTATCCCATGTGCGAATTTTGCTCATCGTTCTCTGTCTCATCCTCGCCATTATATCTCTCTCCATCTGCTCAATGTTCTTTTCGAGGTCACTATCTTCCTCCTCATATCTTGCTGCTCTTTGCTTTTCCCATAGATACCAAATCCCAACAATGATAGCAGTGACAGGAATGGTCACAGCCCAATAAAGCCAGAAATTGGGAGATACAGCGGAGGAGATGGTGGCTGCGTCTTTGAAAGAGAAAAATGTTGTTGAAAATATTGACTGTTTACGTGTTAGACCTGCTGACAAATTCCGTGGACGTGATCTTTCATTACCGCTAGATAAGCACCTGGTAAAAACAATGCCCCCCCTCCCGGAGGAGAAAATAAGTGGCAGACAGGAAGCGAGAGGTTATGCGACACCTACTTTTCGATAATATAATTAACAACGAAAACCTCTAACAAATCTTCTTAAACTTCGTATATATAACAAGAAATACTTAGGTTATATATTTATAAACTTTTTATTATATAATATCTAGGGCTAAAGTTGTAAAAGTAAGAGTAAATAAGTATTATACTTTTAGGTAGTGCGCACGGTCTGCCACTTATTTTGTCCTCCGGGAGCCCCCCAAGAGAGATGACTTTCATCGTTGTTGCGTCTCGTTTACTCATGTACGCGATTTTCTTCTGGTCAGCCGCCATATGGAAGTTTAGCTTGCTCTCTTTTTGGGCCATAACATTATACAACTATAAAGCAATGAGTTTGTGAGAAGATCGTAGCAAGACAAGCTTACCGCATTGCGCTGTATCTCAAGTCTTTGCATCGTCGTATCTGCAAAAGTCTCAGCGCCTTCTAACTTTTTGTGATGAAAGGTAAGTCTAGACAAAAGACTAGCTTGTAACTTCTTCATCAAGCACCTCTGCGTGTCAGAGGAGTCGTGATAAAAGTCATCTGTGGCATCTTTGATAGAGTCGATGATGCGGTAATAAGCGACAGGACGCTTCCACAGCACTTGGGAGTGACATTCCACCAAGTCTCTGTTGATAGCCTCAAAATCAACGAGACCGTCCCTGGTATAGCCATCTTCCTCCTGAAAATTAATCCGCATCGAAATAGCGTGCTCTAACCTACGGAGCCAGTCCCGGGCATCCCGCTGCTTGATATCGGACACTGATGACAAGTCGTGACTGACCATGATAATAGGCAACAATAAAGGATGACCGATCTCCGACATGCATGCTTTGAAATGTTTGATACACTCGACGAGGTCCGAACTGGGCGTTCCCTTACAGAAGCCTGTAGTTATACCAGTTTTCATTTCGTGGCTGAGAGTGATTTCCCAGCCACGAGTGAAACCCTTCTTCCGAACGTCACTCTTGCGTTGCACAATATCTAAGCTTTGTTTAGTATGAATAAGAGATAGTAAGGAAGGTCCACTGACCTAAGTGAGGATCCTCTTCATCGTGATCTCCTGCTGACCAGAAAAATGGACCAACACAGCTCGATGTCTCGATTGACTTATGAGGAAGGTGGAAAGCCTCAACCATATCGACATATTGCTTACTTGTTAGGCTAAGTGTACGCGGCGCAAAGGTTTCTGGATGCTTTGCGTTGAGTTGAAGTCTTCCCCGCCGGTCGGTTAGTCGATCAACTTCTTCACGATTGCAGAATTTCTACTCACACTAGTCGAACTCCGGCTATTAGGGTAACATTAGGGGGCAATGCATCACGGACAAATTGCCCCTTTCTCATTATCAGTAGATGTAACTGTAACAACCAGAGTGTGGCAGGGTTGACATATGATCGGGGCAACATACCTTTTGATATAAGAAGTCGTCAAAATGCTCAAGGTCCAAAAAATGCTCCTTAACGCTATTGAAGCTCGGATCCTAGTGATATCATTGAGAGGCGCAATTTTCCAAAGAAGAGAAATATTCACGGAATATGAGAGCATCTCTAAGTAACTTGTCGCTTCAACCACCTGCCTACAATCCTCGACATTTGCTTTGAATAGATAGCTATCCATTGCTACTCTGGACGGTTATGTCGCTCGGAGGTGAAAGCTAGTTCAGAAAAATAAATTAATTGAGGAAGAACAAGATTAAAGAGCGGCATCGAACGCAGATGTGATCAGAATATTCTTTCAGCTGCGGTCAGAAGTGAGTGGCTGAGCTGAAACTATGCATGATGGCGACCAATCGCAAAAGGTTGGATGCACAACAACAGCATCGTGAGAACGCACTACACATATAGAGACTGCTTATATTAGGAAAGTAAGATGCATCTCGAGATGCTGATATGGCTTCGACGAGACATCTGCCCAGCTAATCATTCCCACGAAGGATTATCTCATTGAAGACTTCTTCACGGCCCGTTCCGTCGTTATCGTGTGCAAATGAATGTATCGTACAGCGAATGCCAGAGAATAATCATCTATTGAACCATATGAGTAATACAGGATCAGTAGAAAATTAGAAAGAGACGCTACAGTGTTTTCATAATGAGATTTTATATTGTAAAAAGTAAGTTTCGAGGGCTTTTAAGTTCGCCGACTTTCTAAAAAGAGAAAAGAGAAAAGTAAAGAAAATTGAAGAAAATTGAAAAAAGACAAAACAAGGAAAAGAATAAGAGGACTTTTTATGCTAGAATTTTACTTCTAAACAACGACTTTACTATGTTATATACCTAGCCTTTCGCTTAGAAAACTAGCTCTTCGCCGAAAAGTAATACCCTGACTTACTTAGCGAGATTAAGGAGTTAATTTTAGTGTAGGAGTAGTAGTAGTAGACAGTTCTAACTAAATTTTATAACGTGTGTTTTATTTCACACGTTATACTAGAAGTAAGGCGACTAAAATTTAGCCTATTATTTACTAGAGAAGCTAAAATTAATTCTAAATTAAGGATGTTCCTTCTAGCTTTAAATGGCACATTCCGAAAACTTCTATTTAAACCGTCTTTATTTAGTTTAAGATAGCTATGTTTTGAATTGAATTTTCTATTATAAGAAGTCTTTTCTTGAATATACTATTTGAGGCTAGAAAGAATATACACATCTTATAAATTCCCCTTATTTTCTTCCTTCAATCTGTCGATACGTTAGATTATCTTCGCTAACTCTTACTCGTAGAAAGCAATAAATCCTTTATTCGCTTTGTCCGACCGTCGTAATTAGGTTCGCTCCTTCTGCAAATGTCTACCCAAAAGTACCTTCCGTACAAGGACCCGTCTTTTGTAGCCGGTTTTCCACAAAACGTAACTTTACGGTACCCATTCTTATTTTTCCAACGTCAGTAACGATCTCCTTATAAGTCACCTCTTGACGAGGTATCTAAGTATACGGTAAGATGGCACACAGAAGGGTCTTGTGGGTGGGAATCTAGACAAGGCTAAATTGTTTCAACGAGTTCGCGGTAAGTCGTCGAGTAATTTAATTCGTACGATAATCTACAAACTTCTATAAGAAATCGGGATTAAGTACACAAGATCCGGGATAACGCGCATTCGCGAACTTGGTAAAATAGAATTCGTTTAGTTCGGTAAGCTTTAACAAACGTATTATGAAACTTCTTAAGTAGAATATATAGAGAATTGAGAGTAGACATTATATTGTCAAGAGAGAGAGAGAATAGACACAATGTATTAAGATAAATGTGTAGATAAGTTGTAAATAGAAAGCTAAATATTAGCTAAAATGCAAGTTATCGTATTATATACAATGCTTTTTTTTAAAAAATTAAATCTAATATTAAAGTAAAATAGACCAAAATCTATTAACTTAATTTAATAATTAAAGCGATTAAAACGTACTTAGGTATAGCTAACTATCCTTAAAATCGCAAAAGTAGCGAGATAAATTATATATAACATACCAAAATATCGAGAAACGATAGTAGAATCACTAGAATAACAGACTTTGCATACAATTCTGCAAGTAATCTCCCGTAGTAATACGATGGAGTTAACTTGCTTTATAGTATTACCGTACACCTAGTAATTTCATTTCTCTTACACTACACTGTCAAGCCATCTCAACTAGCGGAGAAGACCACAGATAATAACCCAAAAATATCCATATATTATCAAAACACAACTAACACACAGTTGTGCGCTGTAGCACTATAGAGAGAATAGGTGCTCAAATACCAAATTAAGCAGAATGCACTTTGCCTTCGGCCGTTATGGCACATTAGCTTTCTTTTGTACTTTAGTTGAATTATGTTTTCTCACACCTATTCAGCGTACCCAAGTTCCTGGATCCATCCATCCATCGACCTTAGAACTAACCTGAACCCTGGAAACTTAAACCCATCTAAGCCACACCCCAAACCCCCCAGCTAACCCACAAAAGGAAATACGAGATGTCCTTCGTATTTCGTACCACGGTACGAGGTACGAGACGGCAGTTTACTAACATGTGCCAAGCCACACTTAGTCCCGCAGATCCTCAAACTTACCTAGGTAATCTTGAACTTACAAGCTCGTTTAGGTCAGGGTGATTATTGGTTGAGCGGAGGTATCTATGAGCAAGGTAATTCACGAATCCACAATTCCCAAAATCACACACTCACTCAAACGCATCATAAAAGGGAGATTTCATACAAAAAAGAAATTCCATTATTCACTCTCAATTTACTAATACGCCCAAGTCCAACACTTCTTTTTTTTTTTTTTTTTTTAATTTACATGCAAGCAGCACCATCAATACCCAAAACCTTTCCGTTGATCCACTCGCCGTCCTGGCTGGCGAGGAAGCAGACGACGCGGGCGATGTCGATGGGGAGACCGACGCGGTGGAGGGGGGACCAGGTCGCTGCGTACTGGGGGAGGAATTAGTATTGATACATAGAGTGAAGAGGATGAGATGGGGATAGAGAGAGGGAGCGGGAGGGGAATTACCTCATCGACCTGATCATCAGAAAGGTTCTCTCCGTTAGGAATATACTCTCTGCAGACTTTCTGGTACATGTCCGTCTTGATACCACCTGGAGCGACGCAGTTGACTGTGATTTTCTTGTCACCCATATCTGCAACCAATTAGCTCCGACCATTACTAGAGTAAGTAGAAATTGGGACATACCAATAGCCATACACCTGACGAACGTCTCAATAGCACCCTTCGACCCAGAGTAAAGCGTATGCTTTGGCACACCCTTTGCCTGTCCGGTAATACTGCCCATCAAAATGAGTCGTCCGCCAACAGTCAAATGACGATACGCCTCCCTCGCAACGAAAAACTGTCCACGGGTATTGATATTCATAACACGATCGTACTCCTCCTCCTCGACATCGCCGATGTGGCCGAAGCTCACGACGCCCGAGTTCGAGCAGACGATGTTGAGCTCGCCGAAATGCGCGACGGCCTGGTCGAAGAGGCTGACAATGTCCGAGACGACCGAGACGTTGGCCTTGAAGGCCACGGCTTCGGAGCCGGATTTCTTGATCGCGGCGACGACTTCTTCGGCGGCTTGGGAGCTGTTGGCATAGTTGACGACGACTTTTGCGCCGCGACGTCCGAGCTCGAGGGCCATTTCGCGACCGATACCACGGCCTGGATGTGTTAGTCGAGTTGCAGTGGAAATGAATTTGATGGAGTGACTTACCTGATCCTGTGACGAGAGCGACTTTGCCTTTCAAGCTGGCGGATTCAATGCCCAATGGGCCTGGGATATCAGCGACTCCTCGGGCTGGCGCGGCGCCATTCTCAGTTCCGTTTGAAGCGACCATTTTGAATTCTTAAAGATTTGTTTTGTAGTAGAGTCTAGAGGATTGTATAGAAGAGCGAATTGCTTGTTGATGATTTTCTAAATCCAACGACTCAACCACCCATATATATATCCTCCTCCCCCTTCAAACCTCACGGCCGCCCGGCCTCTAGGTCCTCCGAACATTAATTGAAGCCTTTGCTTGTAAAACCGGACATCGCAAGTTATCGACACCGTCTGCTCGCGATTTGAGGTTGGCGATGGTCGTCGAGATGCGAGGTCCGCGCTATCCCCACACCGGCAGCGGACCTCCGTCTGTGGACGCATCTCCGGTTTGTAGAATGCTGCAATTTGAATGGATGAATTGAATGTTAATTGGAGTGTTTGGAGAGGTTTCTGGAATATTACTGCGTTGGTGTGGTGCTTGTGGTAGGGCATTTCGGCTCCTCAGTATGCTTTTCTTCCGACTGTTGAGAGCCGGCTTGGTGGTTTCAGTGAGTACTAGATGGCCGATCGTCAACTTTCTTCCAAGTGTGATTGGGTAATGTTAAACTGTATGCATCAATGTGTATCAAGGCTGAAGAAGTCCGTAATGGTGTACGGACTGGAGTCGTTTCCTATTGTGTACATCTTTTGCGACTTCTTCGGGGGTGCGTTTTGTTGAGTACAAGTGTAGGAAGTAGATGACGAGACTTTGAGTTTCTATTTTGAGTTTCAATATCAACTTCATCTAAACGGCAAATTGACTACACAGTCTCTCAAATCGCTGTATGCAAATGTACTCGACATTTGATGCGTCGTTTCTCGAGATGAATAGCAAATTTCGAGACCTTTTCCATGCGGACACATTTGCACTCATGACTGTTATAGCTGAGCCCGATTGATATTTTCAGTTATGTTAAATTTCGAGTTGGAGAGCATTATTCGGTATTTGTAAGTTATGCTTCATTCCCAAAGAAAATAGCTACCATGATATTAACACATCTATAGATTTAAAGCTGGGATTTAATGGACGCACCAGAATACAATAACTTAACATGAACCTCTGATCGAAGCATTGCTCTTGTTTCGTCAGAGGCCTTGATATGCTTTTTACATCAAAGTCTCAAAGCTGAAAACGAGCAATATGCAACGCGGGACAGAGCGGATAGCAATTGCTAAGCTTGGCCGTATCAATTGATCATTTTGATAGATCGAGATTTTCCCAATTAAATTTCGTATTAGTAGGCTCAAGTTGCTGGGTATGTTGAACCGAGAAAATGCTGATGTTCGAATAGTGACAAGCTCAGGGGGGAATGGTCGCTTTTCCACGTGCAACACCCACCCCCAAATCCATTTCTCCTCCCTCAACACCACCTAATGATAACCAAAACTCGGCCCAAACTCCACAACCGTAGTATTACTCCTCTCCCTCTCCAATCTCGTCATCTCCCTCTCAATCTCCACCCCAAGCTCCTCCCTATCCCTCCTCATACTCTCCACACTCTCCCTTCTCTCCCCACCTTCCCTCTGTTCCCTCATTTTATTCCTTTCAAACTTCAACGCGGTATCAATCCTCACCTGCAACGCCTCCGCATCCTGATCCATTTTCACCATTGCGTAGTGACAGCGTCGATGCACCCCAATGGCGCAGAGGATACTGCTGGAGACTTCGTAGGCGAAGAGGACGGGGAGGGCGTAGTAGAGTACGGGGTTGCAGCCGCGCGACCAGATGTCGACGAGGGTGTTGTAGAGGCAGTGTGCTGGGACGGCGTAACCCCATTTGTAGAACGGGCTAGAGAGTTCGAATGGGAGGAGGACGGACGCGACGTTCAGTACCACCCATGTTATAAGTGCCATTGGAACCAAAGGCGCCGGTACCCACGCGGTGAACACATCGAGAGTGAGGAAATTCGCATGCGCGAAAAGCCACAAACTCACCCACGTCAGCGCGAATTGGTTTCCATTAACCTGCCAGCCAGAACGGAAAGCCCAGATGGCACCAGTGACGCAGAGAGAGCCGACGAGACAGTAGATCGCGGAGAGCATCCAGCGGAAGAAGAAGATACGATGTGGGTTGAGACGGGTGTAGATCTGGAAAGCATCGTAGAGGGCGTTGATGGTGCCGAGGAAGAAGAATTGCTGGATGAGGAGGAAGACGATGACGAGGGTGTTGTAGATGAGACGCGCGCCTTGGGCGGTGGGTTGCAGGTTTATGGACGTTAGGTGCCAGGGGTCGGTGAAGGTTTGGTGGGCGGTGGGGGAAAGGGTTGTGGTTGTCCAGTTTTGTTTGGCGTAGATGATGCGCGCGGTGGAAGAGAGGAGGAGGAGGGTGGAGGAGACGACTTGGTCGACTACCGCTGGGTAGCGGGCTTCGTTCCAGATGTAGTAGGCTATGTCGCTTTGATTGTGGGAGGAGCCAAGTCCTGTTAAAGCTGCTTCGACTCTTTGAGAGGCACCGTTGGCGATGTAGATGGATGCCCAGTAGTCTACGTTACAGACGTGATGGATCTGATTTATGGCGGATGGATATTCGGTGGGCGTTCGCTGGATCAAGGTTGGAAAGCTAGGCCCTTTGAGTGTCTGATATGCTTGCTGGAAACTGTTTCCTACAGCCCCTCCATCATAATCAACAAACAAGATCTCGATGTTATGTACGCGATTGCTTTGGTGGTAGATGGCTCCGAAGATGTATGAGAAGAGGCCGAGAAACAGTACTTGAAGCATAACAAAACTTTTGGCTGATGCTAATAGGAATGCTTTCCTCGGTCCTTGGAAGGATGGATCCGAAACCTTTTTCCGATTCTCGTGAGCTCGAGGATAGAGTTTCTTCTCCATAATGGAATTGAAGAGGCCGTCTTTGCTCATCTTGACCATGGTGTCAGGGCTGCAGAGAGGTTGTTGGCGAGCGCAAAAAATGGCAAGGCACGTCGAGATGGATTATCTTCAGGTACTGTTGAGCCAGACAGGGCGTCGATATCGTTTCTCGTTCTTCAAAGTTCCAAACACCGTTCTGACCGACTTCAAGCCACCAATATGTCCCGTTCACACGACAGCTCGACGAGATCCAGGTCACAAAGAGTCTACACGGATAACATCGAAGTTGACCATCTAGGCAAACACGACCGTTCCTTCAATATACTTTTCAGAGCTCCAGCTGTCGGATTTAATGTTTTGTATGTCGTCCAGATTTTAAGGAAGTGAGGTAAGTGAACCCCTTCTTTTACCCTGTTGATTACTACGCGACCTGCATATCGGAAGCCGCTGCAAGGATAAAGCGATCCAGCCACTCATTAGACAGTCTCAAGTGACCTAAACGGGAATAAGGATGGCACAGACAGTTTACCTTCGGATTAGGTACCTATGGGTAGGTAGTCGTAGTTCTCCAATCGACGTTGTTGGTTTTGTCGAATACAAAGGTCTAGAAGCTTAAACAAAGCCACTAACGCCGACCCGTGAATCTGACATCCCGGCGTGCACAATGACAAGGCTCGCAAAAGTAGCGCTAGTTTTGTGACATATAATTTTCATTCTCGCTCTGTCGCTAAGATACGTTGTACTAATGCTACCAAGTTAGAACCATTATCGTATCCATCCACTGGCCACCCAGTAATAAGTAAATTGGGACCTGGGATATCAAGCAACGCCCCTGAACGCCGTGATAGCACCTAGTTTTCCGTCCGTCGAAGTAAAGCCAAACCGTGACGCCACTGTTCAGTTACAGCGCTCTGTCTGTCCTGAACATGCAAAACAAAATCTATGGTACAAATATGACTCCCATGCACTGGATATTAGATTATGCGCCGACGGCAATGGCGGCCGATTGCTCCAGACCATGTGATGGACCAGCAGCAAGATCTTCTTCGGCGATTTCACCACCAGCTCCAGTCTCGGCCCAGTCGCCCCATAGACCTCTCTTGCCACGTACTCTGATGGGACCACCCAGCAATGACTCTGATTGCTCGACTTTGACTGCATCTTTCGTAGCCAAAACCAAGACCTCGAAGAACATCTTGGTAGCATCCGCTCTAGAGGTTTGACGTTCCGGCAACAAGTCCTGGAAGAGCACACTGGCCTTCTTTCGTTTGTCAGGGCTATCGGCAGCTTCAGCTCCAAATCGTTCACGAAGCAAATGAACAGCATGTTTTGTGCCTAGGGATACTGGCCCGCTGTCGGCTGGGTGCACAAGAGGTGCGGTCGTCTCATCGAAATTTGGTGCAGGTGATTCCGGTTCTAAGCCGACAGTAGCATTGTGCTCATCCTCATCCAGGTTTGGCATGTATCCTCCGTCATCCCCGGCAACTTCAATAATTGTCCCATCAGGGGCGACTGACATGCTCTTGCGTCCTAACCCGGCATCTCCAAGTTCAACTCCGAAGTCTTCTTCCTCTTCGCCAATTTCAAGACGTGGTGACTTCTGTGGGCCTTGCTCGTCCTCGATATCCATGTCTGCCACTCCACTATCGCGTTTCCGCTTGAGTTCCCCGTTCTTGCGAATTGCGTCGATCGACAGCATTCCTCTTAACTCTGGAGCCCAGGCCATGCTTCTTCCGTCGCCAAGAATGTTCGAGATAAAGCCTCCATTCTTTTGCATTTCAATTAAAGCGAGAAGCTGTTGATCGCGCGGTAAAAAGGATTGTGGCCTCAAAATCCTCTCTCGATTTCTCTGATGCTCTTTGACAACATTGCTTGAGATGAGAGTTTCTTGGTCGACTTCGATGGTCTTAACCTTCCGGGCTCTTTGGGGTGCGACATGCAATGTAGGTTCTTCCACTTCTTCCTCCGGAGCGAACAAACTTTGATCACCAAGATTGATCTCTCCCTGTTGGATGACGGTTTCATCGTAATCTGAAAGCGGCGATTCGGATATACGTTCGGGTCGGATAACAGGCGCGGCGGCAAACTCAGATACATCTGGTGGATCATAGATATCGATCATCTCGACGTCACCTCCAGTATTGAGATGCATAGGATCATTATCATCACCAGTGCCAATTTGTAGAGTAGTGTCATCTCCCGGTTCAACAGTATCCTTCACAGGTAGCTCGGTTTCGAGGTCGATGCCCAAGTCACTAAGTAAGTCATCCTCAACCCCACGAGCAGCAGGAGCGTCTCGTCCCATTTCAACACTAGGCTCCTCCTCGTGAAATCCAAAATCGATACCCAGATCCAGCTCGTCCATTGGTAAAAGTTCCAAAATCTCGTCATTCCGGTTATCTTCGGGTAGGTATATTTGGCTCCCCAAAAGCTCATCAGGCATGTTCAAATCACGACTAGCAGACCTGCCTTTTCGCGTCGCGTTCGTATCACCGTCAAGCTGAGAGAAGAGGAAGGACGCGTCTGGCATTGGTGGCATTTCGAGGTTGTCACTCTCGGTGAGGACATCAGGAAGCATGAGCGCGTCGCGCGATGGCATATGGAGTCCCGCAGGAATATCGTTGTTACCCGATAGACGATACGCCTAGATAGATCAGTAAACCGACGGGAATTATAGATCGAGGTGCTCACCATCTTGATCTTGATCAATGCTTCATTGCAATCATCTAGCAGATAATGTGCTTTCCGGCTATAAATTCTGACTACACCGAGCAAAAGTTGACCGCTGAGTCGTAGAGCCATAGGAGCTTGGTTCGGTGTTACTATAGCCTCAACGCTGTCCTTGACACTTGCTTGCAAAATGTGATTTTTCGAGAGCTTGCGCTCTAAATTGGCCGATAGCCAGACCCTGGCGAGAGGGCCGGTCTTCGACAGGAGGGTTTCCGAATAGAACATGATTGCGATGATGATATTAAGCAAAGGATATTCGAGTGTATATGCGCCAAATGGCGAGGCAAATTCGTGGTTGTGTCGAGCAAACAAGTGGTGGTGGTGCAAGATGAACGAAGTTGAGCGCGTCGGATTGTTATGATGTTGTGGACCGGGCCGCGTCTAGCTCCTGAAGAAGAGCGCACTCGTCGCAAGGAGTCTCAACCACGCGCGGGGAGTAATGTAAAGTGATAATTGGAGTCGCGTCGCAGCAATGTTGTCTGCGATGCAGCGACAAAGCGATTCGAGTGTGAAGCAATTCAGATGGATGGATGGTTGTGATGACGGAAAAGCATGGTGGGGAGGAATAGAGAGGTGGCTGGGGAGAGAAGTGACGCTAAACTTTGCAAGTTGGTGCCTTGAAGATGTGGTGGCAGGTATCAGGCATCAAGGCGACAAGCACTGGAGGACTGATATAGCTGCTGAACAACAATTTTCTCTGCAATATGAACTCTATTGGTTTTCTAACTCATTTTAAATCGACTTGAATAAAGTGAGTAAAATCTATGGTTTACAAATAAATCATCAGCCAAACACATTTTTATAATTCCAATACCATCGTAACAGCTGTCAACCCAAAAATCAGTTCCTGATGCTGTCTGAGCTTGGGAAAACAGCATTTCATGCTCCTCGCCATACATACTATTTGGTGTGCTTCGTAGCCCTCACAATATCAGTTTACTGCTTTTTAGATTTTTACACTTGCTAGATGCTGCTTTGTTTTACGTACAGCAATTTAACGTATGTAACATTTCTTTGAATTGATGAGCCGGAAACAGAGTCCAGAGGTCTCTCACTTGTCACTTGTTCAATGTTCTATTCTTCCTCAAACAGGGGACTAGCGAGTACAGCCAAGCCTTTTATCCAGCACCTGGGCAGGTCCAAGTGTTTGGCTTGCAGGGGCTTTGCAACCATTGAAACAGATTTGGTCGAGGCTCAAAATCACGGCCACGTACTCCGTATGGGGAAACATTGAAAACATTTGTATCAATAGCTTCACTTCTGCTTTTCTTTCATACAAAATTCCACGGCAATCTTTCGATCCTCACGTACTCGAGCGACCAACCTCAAGTGGACTCTACATCCGCCAACCTTTGTCCCACGAGCTCCTTTTCCGCATTCGCATGCCTCAGCGAGGGGAGGAGATCAACGTTGGCGCCAGCATTTGCTGCTGCTCGCGATAGTGCGCGCCGATTGAGGGGATTCGGACGCGATGGCTTGGCCTCGAATATCACGGTCGGCGAGCCCTGGAGGGAGCGTGCTGCCAATGACCAATTTGCCAACAATACAAGCCGCGAACTCAGAACCTCCTTCACGACCGAGGTCTCGGTCAAGATCCCGAAGCAGGCATAATCGGACAACGTCTTCAGTTGCAAAGGTCATTAATAATTATTAGGCGGTGACAGAGCAAATACTAATGCACTGTGTAGTCAATTGCAGATGAATTCGCTGCCTTGTCTCCCAACGAAACTGCACAGCGACTGCAAACCTCCCTCACGAACGGCCTCACTCCTGCAGAAGCTCTTTCACGATTACACGATCAAGGTCCAAACGAGCTCCCACACGAAGAACCAGAACCGTTATGGCTAAGATTTTTAAAGCAATTCAAGGAACCCCTAATTGTTCTCTTGCTCTGCTCCGCGGTGGCTTCAATAATTGTTGGAAACAAAGACGATGCAGTCAGCATTGCAGTTGCAGTGACGATTGTTGTAGCAGTGGGGTTCATACAAGAATACCGGTCAGAAAAGTCGATTGAAGCTCTGAGCCATTTGGTTCCAAATCATGCGCATCTGATAAGGGGAGAGACGCGATCCGCAACGCTGCGCACTCCAACATGGCCACCAAACTCGGATGAAGATCAGGAAAGGGAGGGCTTGATGAATGGATCTGCTGCTGATATAGAGGCTAGGCTAGAGGCAACATCAACCAAAGTAATGGCGGCTCAGCTTGTGCCAGGAGATTTGGTAATTTTTACAACTGGAGACCGCATACCCGCCGACATTCGAGTCACTAAGGCAACCGACCTTACAATCGACGAGTCTAATCTGACCGGAGAAAATGAACCTGTGAGGATCACAGCGGAAGCGAAGAGTCGGCAATCATATTTACGTTCTGGCGCAACCAGTCTCGAGCCTCCTGGATCACCATCGTATGCTTCTGCCGGAACTGGCGCGGTTGGTGTAGATACTCAATTGAACAGTACGACCAACATTGCATTCATGGGAACGCTCGTTAGGTCTGGACACGGTCAAGGAATTGTATACGCTACGGGAGGGGATACACATTTTGGTACGATTGCTGCCAGTGTTACAGACACAGAGAGTCCAAGAACACCGCTTCAACTTTCTATGGACTCGCTAGGCAGTCAGCTCAGTCAAGCTTCGTTTGTGATTATTGGCATAATCTCATTAGTTGGATGGTTACAAGGCAAGAAATTACTGGAGATCTTCACAATCTCTATTTCATTGGCTGTCGCAGCTATCCCAGAAGGTCTCCCTATCATTGTAACTGTCACTCTTGCCCTCGGCGTGCATAGAATGGCTCGACATCACGCAATTGTTCGAAAGATGCCTAGTGTGGAGACTTTGGGGTCTGTAAATGTTGTTTGCAGTGACAAAACCGGTATGTAAATGAGTTTCGGATTTTGAAATCATACTAATTGTAGATAGGGACCTTGACAATGAATCACATGACAACAACTAAATTATGGCACGTTGATGCTGACGAACCTATTCCTATTGAAACTGGAGATGAAGAAGCCAAGCGAGATGCTGTCACATTGCGTATTCTTCGAATTGGCAACATTGCAAATAATGCTAGACTTAGTCGCTTGAATTCCCATGCTCAGTCTCAATCATCAATTGCCGTACTTTCATCAACCCAGGGACGCACACCTACCCATGGTCTTCGAAGCAGATGGGTCGGCCAACCTACTGACGTTGCAATGCTAGATATGCTTGACCGCTTCAAGGAACACGATGCTCGAGAAGGCTTGGGTCACCGTCTCGGCGAGACTCCATTCAGTTCGGAAAGAAAATGGATGGGCGTAACAGTTGGTGACACATCACAAGAAGGGGGTTCCAAATCAAACGAGGTCGCATATATCAAAGGCGCTGTAGATCGGATCCTTAAGAGATGCGATACCTACCTTACTAAAGACGGGCGTGAAGTGGTTTTGGACGCTGCTGGAAAGCAGTCTGTTCTGAATGCTGCAGAGAAGATGGCTGAAGAAGGGCTGCGCGTATTAGGATTTGCTAGCGGACCAGTCGCAAAGCACGCGAAGTCTTTTACACCATTAAGCACTCCAAAGACTGCTAATGCGGAACCTGTGGTCTCCCATAACGAGGATGTCTACGAAGGACTCACGTTTGCTGGCTTGGTAGGAATGAGCGACCCACCCCGGCCTGGAGTCACACGCTCCATCAGAAGACTAATGAGAGGTGGCGTCAAAGTCATTATGATCACTGGTGATGCCGAAACTACAGCCGTGGCAATCGGAAAGAAACTTGGAATGGCTATTGCAACCCCCAGAGAGCACACCTCGCGATCAGTGGCCGTCAAGCCTGTTTTAAGTGGCCATGAGATCGAGGAGATGACGGATGTTGAGTTGGAAGCAGCCATTGGAAACACCTCAATCTTTGCACGAACCAGTCCAGACCATAAGATGAAGATCATTCGCGCGCTACAGGCTCGTGGAGACATTGTTGCTATGACAGGTGATGGTGTCAACGATGCACCAGCTCTCAAAAAGGCTGACATTGGTATTTCTATGGGCTTGCAGGGCACAGATGTAGCCAAAGAGGCTGCAGACATGATTTTGACAGATGATGACTTTTCAACCATTCTCCATGCCATCGAGGAAGGAAAGGGAATCTTCTACAACATTCAAAATTTCCTTACTTTCCAGCTCAGCACCAGTGCTGCTGCGTTGACCTTGGTGTTTCTCTGCACGTGTTTGGGATTTAAAAATCCTCTTAACGCGATGCAGATTTTATGGATCAGTCAGTATTTCCTTGACTTGTGGCATGAGTTCAACTAACACTTTTCAGATATCATCATGGATGGTCCACCGGCTCAGTCGCTTGGCGTGGAACCCGTTGATCCAGATGTTATGAAGCGTCCTCCGCGGAAACGAAACGCACCAACATTGACCTGGCCTCTTATAACTCGAGTTCTGACTTCTGCCACAATCATCACACTCGGTACCATGGCAGTATACACGCACGAGATGCTCTCAGATGGTGAAATCACCAAACGAGACACCACCATGACATTTACCTGTTTTGTCCTTTTTGACATGTTCAATGCATTGAATTGCCGCTCGGAATCAAAATCCGTTCTTCGGGGAGAGGTTGGATTGTTTAGCAATACCCTGTTTAATTGGGCGGTTTCGTTGAGTTTGGGAGGCCAGATTTTGGTTATCTATTTCCCATGGTTACAAGAGGTGTTCCAGACAGAGGCGTTGGGGTTGTTTGACTTGCTTGGGTTGATCATGTTGGCCAGCAGTGTGTTCTGGGCGGACGAAGCGAGGAAGTATTGGAAGTCGAGGGGGAAGAGGAGGATGGGGAGTGGATATAGTCAGGTTGTATGAGATAGCAGTTCCCGACTCTGTACATTATGGGAACATTGTACAAACATACCTTAAGGAAGCATTTGAGGTTCGAATAATTATGAAATTCACACAGACTTAAACTTGAGACCTATTATTGCATTTGCTACCGTATGACATACGTCCCTGCAACTTCGCTTAACCCCACAATCCCAAAATAATGCCACCTTGAAGCTCGACACCGCGAAACCGTCAGGCCCAACACAATTACCATCTCCATGCCTCACCAAAGCCAATGCCTCCCACCGGCCTCCCAAATGGCGCCCTTCCCTCCCCTTCCCTCCTCGCGCCATCCTCTACTCCAGACATTTCCGAATCCGCAACCCTAACCGCCATTCGAGCCTCTCTCTCCGCCCTCCAAACCCGCGACGCAGCCATAACATCGCGTCTCCAAACCCTCATCTCCTCACAAGCCGACCTCTCGCGCGAACTCGGACGACTCGATCTCCTCCGCGCGCATCTTGGTACACAGGTTATCCATACGAGGGATATCAGCAATGGCATGCTTGATTCGGCGGCCACTACGGCTGCACACCTCAGTTCCAAGGTGAAGGCGCTGGATCTCGAGAAGAAGAGGGTAGAGGAGACGCTGGGCGTGGTTGAGCAGGTCGCGGAGCTGAAAGCATGTGTGCAAGGTGTTGTGGGCTCTATGGGCGCGACGCAGGACTGGGAAGCCGCAGCGGGGTATATAGCACGAGCGAGCAAAGTACCCGAACACATCATCGACGGGCGGTTCGCAGCGACGATTGTCCCATCCGTGGAAGTGCCTGATCCGCCGGGCGTGACGATCGAGAATGCGAAGGAGAGTCTGTGTATGTTGTTCCTGCGGGAATTCGAGAAGGCGGCCGCGGAAGGGGATGGGGCGCGTATCACACGGTTTTTTAAGCTGTTTCCGCTTATTGGGAGGGAGGATACGGGGTTGGATGTTTATGGGAAGTATGTTTGTCAGGGGGTTGCGGGACGGGCGAGGGGGAATTTGAAGGAGGGGACCAAGGGGGTGGGTGCGCAGGATGGGTTTTTTTATGCGAATGCTTTGACGAGGCTGTTCGAGCATATTGCGCAGATTGTGGAGAACCATGGACAGCTGGTGGAGAGGCATTATGGGGTCGGGAAGATGGTTAAGGTTATTGAACGACTGCAGGTTGAGGCGGATGTTCAGGGTGGGATTATATTGGATACGTGGGGTGATGAGAGGAGTGTTGATAGGAGATTGACGGATGTTAAGAGTTATCCGTTCTCGTTTCTTGTGAACAGTTTTATTCCTGCGAGGACGAATTCTCCTGCGGTGGGAGGTGGCGCTAATGGTCGAACGAGCGAGGATGAAGGGGTAGATATGAAGGAAGTCGATGCGCTGTTGAATGAGGCGGCGATGATGTTAGGTCGCTGGTCACTCTACTCGCGATTCTTGGCTGGAAAATGCAGAGTAAGTCCTCCGACTGGAGTCTTACAGCAGGCCATCTCTAAGCTATCCCAGGATCCAGAAGCCGACGCGGAAGAACCTTTGGTCATGCCGGACTTACTGCACAAGTCAGCGCTGATTCGAAAAATATCGAACCGACTTATAGATCCATTCAATCAGTTGACTGGATTTTTCTTCCGACGTTCTGTGGAAAAGGCCTTTCAGCTGGACGAGGCGCCAACTGGATTATCCCTCAACATGTCGAGAACATTAGATGGGAATCCTCCTTTTATTATCTCGCCAGTAGACGATGTGATGTACATTGTCAACACTGTACTTCAGAGATCACTCTCGACCTCTCAAAGAGATGTTGTTGGATCAGTTGTATCAACCATAAGAGTTATACTGGGAACAGATTTCATAGGGATGATCCAACGCAAAATGCGTGACGAATCATACCCAAAAGCTGCCATTCAAGGCGCCTTTCCTCCAGAAGATAAGATCATATCCTTCATCGTCCTAATAAACTCCCTCGACGTCTCCAACGACTACATAGGTCGAATCGTCGCATCACGACTCCAACCACCCGACGGTGGCATCCCCTCAACCGGCATCCACGAGCAATTCCCCTTCGACCACGATTCCGTCTTCGTAATCAACACCCTCAAAATGCTCCAAACATCATTCGAATCCAAATCCTCGGAACTAATGTTCGACGGCATCAAAGTCCTCCTCGACCGCGTCATCCGTCCTCGTCTCCGCCCCGTCATGAGCGACACCTTCCACGACGTCGACTACTCCCTCACCCAAGAAGACCTCGACGACCTAGCCCGTGAAAACGACTCTGAAGACGACCCCGACGCCCTCGCCGACCAGGTAACCCGCCGCTTCGAACACGCCTGGGACGCCCTCATGAAACCCATCCAGCGCATCATGACGCCCAAACCGTTCGCGCTCCTCCTCGAGGAAACGGCGAAATATCTCGCGCGCGTCCTGGAGAAACGCATCGTCAGTAGTTTTGCGGGGAAGACGAATGCGCTGGGCGCGAGTCGGATGGAGAGGGATTTCAGCGGGATTGTGGGCGTGGTGGCGAGGGGTGGACGGTATGGGGTCCGCGATCTGTTTCAGCGGGTTAGTCAGATTTGTATGTTGGTTAATATGGAGGAGGATGAGTGGGTGGAGGTTGATGGGGATGCGGGGGCGGAGATGGAGATGGTTTGGGTGCTGAGCAGGGAGGAGAGGAGGAGGGTTAGGGGATTTGTGAGATGAGGGGTGGGATTGTGTGAGGGGCAGGGCGGTGGTGATGATGAGAAAGATACTGTTTTTAGCGTATATCATGGAGATTTGAGGAATGGAAAAGCATATATTTCATGTCTTAAAGCCTTTTTGACAGTGACACTTATTACGTCGACTCACCCTCTGATTATGTATATCAGCTATCACCACAATACTCTATATCATCATCGAAGCACCGAGTTCGCCTCGACAACGCTTTCATCGTCTATCCGGTTGTCACACTCGATCTTTCTAGCCCGTTCGTATATATCGTCAGCCGTACTTTTAATCTACGAAAATTGGTTTCCGGTCCAGTTCGGTGGGATCTTCGTCTCGCACTCACTCAACTCAAACGTTACCTATTTTGATATATCCCACCCACAAAATCCCCTACCACACCTTTCCGTCCCATCTAGCATCTCATACTAGTAAAACTCTCTTCCAGAATTTCCTGATTGATTTTTACAGAACACATAGCCAACCTCGCCAGATGACATAAGTCACACCTTTTTGATTTATTTGACCTTCTTTTCTTCTTGCACGGGAACTTCTCTCACTTGCTCCCCTTTGTCCTTGCAAATGTGCGTTTGTACGGACATCTTTTGGGGTTTCGAAGCAGAAAACATTTTTTTGGCTTTGGTGTATTTTTGTTCTAATTTGATGATGCAGCTGGGGTGGTTTGAGGTGTATTCGTGATCTTTTTGGTAAGTGGGAGGAGCATCGTATGCTGGAGGTGAACTTGATTCTTGAGTGGAGGTGTGGATTTCGTTGGAAGACATTGTTTGATCTTTGGGAAGATTTGAAATGTTTCTTTGACGATTAAAGAAGGAGACTTGATTCTCGGTCTGTAAAGGTTCTTTATAAAACACTGAACTATTAGTGTTCACAGAATCTTGAAGTAGTCACCTTTGGTTGTACTAACTTATGAAGCTGGTTCATGAATCAAAGGTAAGTTCACAGAGTTCCAGTGCTTTGAACAGTAATCTGCCAATGACATGATAGGAATTCAAGACGGCTAATATATGCATCGGAACAACTAGCTTAGTGCTTGCTCTCACCTGTATGAACACAACTTAAGCTACTGTCATACTATTTCAGATGCTGCTAACTGGCCATAGGCTTTGCTACGTTGGGCTGAGGAATGACATTTGGCATGTTGTGTATGTCGTCAAACATCTGTCTTCGGAAAATCGCACTGGCATGTTTGATTTTTTCTTAGCTGGATGAGGCCCTGTTTGGATCTCTGGAATATTAGATGATAAGGAATGACAGTAATAAGATTCTGGGGGAAGGTCGATCAACGAGATAGAGATTTAGTTTGGTGCGGTAAAGTTCTGGTGAAATAGGGGAATGATTCGGTTGCTTTTCCGACTTTTTGTGAAGCTGCGTCACTAATTTTCTGGGATTACTAGCGTGCGTTTCTTATTCATGCGGGGTTCAAGAGCCTATTAGAGATCTACATGAGTTGATATATGGGTTTGAGTGAGTCGGGTTGAAAACATAATCTCCGTCCGTAAACATATGTAGATTCACTGATATCCGGTCCCACGATTATATCCCAATCCTCCCCGAACACACCAAGACATTCTTCCAATTCCCAGTCCAGCAACTCCAATTACATTTTATATCCCATAGCCACTTGTGATCTCTCTAGCCTATCCATGTATATCCTTTGTCGCGCTTTACTCTAAAAAAGATTCGATTACAGTCCAGTAATAGTGGTCACACACCTGTCCACCAAATTCATTACTCAATATCTCACCCATAAACCACTTCCACCATCCGCAGACGTCGTACGCCAGCCCTCGTGAGCTAAATACTCTCAAGCTCAAGGTATTTTAATTTCTCTTTGGAAAAGAGCCATCCAGCTTCACCATTGTCCATTCTTGCACACTTTACAACGTACCGGGCCGGGCCCGGACGGCGACATACAGGACACTTCTTGACTTTCTTCTCGTCCTCCACAGGAACACTATCTATCTTGCTGACTTTATGACCGTCGGATTTTGAGCAGACGTACTCTAAGCAGGATATCTCTTTGTTTTTTGAAAAGACTTTTTCGATCGTGTGTCCGCCGTGCATTTTGATTACACAGCCGGGGTAATCTTCTGCGTATATTTCTCGCTCTTTGTTACCAACGAGGGTGGATGATGAGAGAGGTGACTCTGTTTCCGGAGTGGAGGCATGCTGCTTGTTGGAAGACATAGTTGGATCTCTACGATAGTTGATAATAACTCTTTGGTGAGGAAAGAAGAGAAGTAAGGATTCGGTATGAGAAGAGACTTTATATACTACTATGGTCTCATTCATAAAACAATTGGAATACTCATATCGGCTTTCTTCGGGCTGAGTAAGCAGTGGAGTTAATTCACTTTTCGATAACAAGATTGTTAGTGCGAGTGAGAAGCACAGTAACAATATAGTTGCACGATATGAGTTCAAGGCTGATGACTCGTTGACTAAAGTAGTCAGTGTTGCACTTATCTCCAAGTTTGTCGCCCACTGCACAGTCGTAATATAGGGTACTATCACATCATTTTGTATTGGAAAGAGCACGTTGGTATGTCCTAGTAATATTTCGATTTGTTGTCGCAGTAGTCAGGATTTTCAGATGACTTAGAGAGAGAAGGCAGATTTCGTGAGCAAGTGGCAGTAATGAAGGGGAGTGATAGAGCAAGTAGGTAAGAAGAGCTTTGGGTCGTGCTCAATGAAACTGATGAGAGATTGAGAGCATACAGTGGGGGAGGAAAGAAGCTTACCAAATGCGACAACTCTCGACCCCCAAGACTAATCATAATTTCCTCATCCATTGTAGCCACACTCTAGTTCTCTTTACAAAACGCTCAGACCCAACCGGATTCACCTTTCGCCCGTTCAAGGTATCGAACCGGAGCCGAGCGTGGACACAGAGGGCACTTCTTAGCTTTCCTTTCGTCCTTTACAGCAACGGATGCTCCTTTTATAGCGTGCTTGAATTCTTTACAAACATAAATTAAGCAGGATACCTTTTTGGGAGTTCCGAAGAACCAGGTGAGATCGTCGTAATGGCCTTCCATTTTGATTACACAACCGGGGTAATCATCTGTGTATATCTCTCGATTTTTTGTATCAAGGACAGATGACGACGTTGGAGGTATCACCATTTTTAAAGTGCTGACTTGAGACTGCTCTGACATGGTTGGATTTTTGGGATAGCTTAAAGCTTTTTGGGATGATTCAGGAGGAAGGAAAGTTGGATTCGAATTTGAGAAGGCGATTCATATACCACTGGGGTATTTTTTTGATATCTTGTCTTACTCATAATGAGTTCTCTTTATTGTAAAATCAAAGATTACTCGATACAAAGAAATCGACACCATTGTTTGGCTCCTTTAACCTGACCCTGTTCAAAACATTGCAAATCAACTCACTCATCATGGAGGCACATGGTCTTTCGTATATCTTTAGAACAATTCAAACTATTTTCAATACTATCACAACATATGGACTCCTCGGCTATGCGAAGCATGGTGGTATACTCACACGTGTTAATTTGAGCCACTCCATGTGCCTCAGATGATTTTGTCTCAGAGATGTCGGTGTTTTCTTTTTGAAAGTGTGATTCAGATTCTCTTCATGAAGTCGTATATCGCCTCGTCATGGTGGTACGCGCATTCCATAAATGATATATTGAAAGGAATTTTCCGTTGGACCGTGGTGTTATGATTATAGCACCATATGAGTGTGCAGAGTAAATGTTTTCAGGTATTATGGCTTTCTAATAGTGTGATGTTCCTTGTTTTATGCCAAAATTTTCTTTTCCAAAACGCAATCTCACCTTCGCAACAGTTTTTCATTTCCATTCAAGGTTTGGCTGTGTATCTATTCGTTCTCTCCTACCGACAAATCTCAGTCGTTATCCATCTACCGTCTTTCCTCTCCTTTACGAAAGAAACTCTTCATGAAAACCTCTAAGGTGATCTGGCGCGGAATTTCAGACACATATTCCATTTTCCCTGCATTCTCGTTGCACCTAGCAGGTTTGACCGGACCTCCACACTGGGGATATGATTTCGTCTCTGTTAATGTGCGAATCGAAAACACTAAAGTCTTGGGGTCCCATCGCTGCTTGCAAACGCTGGAAGTGTCGAATCTGAAATTCCCCTTGACGTGCTTATCTTTACCGTCTATCTCAATAACACATTCGGGGTATCTTGGCATCTGTTTCTGACGAATTTTCATTCGGTAGTGGGATGCAATTTTAAAAAGCACATTGGGACTTTGCTGTGGAACGTTGGGATGAACTTGAAGACATGATGGTTGTTCGAAACGTTCGTGCGAACAGAAAGCGTGGCGGTCTGGTTGTAGTCCCTCTTCAATTGGTAGTTTCTAAAACGTTATCCAGGAGGTTCTGTCTACCACCACGGGTAATGCCTAAATTTTGCTTGATTCTCGATGCTGATTCATGAACCATATTGTGATGTTCTATCAGGTTGGCATACTCGAATCATAGGAGCTGGAGGGGTTGATGAATGTTCTACTACAAATTCATCATTTCACACTTCATACTCACAGTCGCAGACCTGTCATACGCATATACTCTGTTCCTTCATCTGTAGTTCCCTTTGCATCTGTTCTTTGACCCTATGCCATTCCTATCACACACCTAGTGAACAAATTTACACATGGATCTGCGTTACCGGTGGTCTGTTTATGTGATAACTAATCTTCAGTGTACTTCTGTAAAATTTACATCGGTCGCATTTTGACTGATTAACACTTTTGAAAACAGTAGACGTAAAATTGAGGCAGTTTCAGGCGATATTGAGAGGACTTTCTCTCCTAATATATCATTAGGTAAACAGAATACACTGTTGTCTTCAGCTTTCACATGCTTTCATATTTCCTTGAATTCTCTAAGGGCGAGAACTATCACATGTTGGATTCACACTTTATTTCGTACCTCTAAGATTCTATCACGACTCTCAATCAATTAGTAAAAGATTTCGTAAACCAATTAGCCATATATACTGTCCTCCCTTCCATGAACCCATAACTCCTTTCGACCAGCTTTATTCAATTTCATTTGTAATACATCCAATTCCACGCAAGTGCTCAAGGGGTCCACTAAGAGGCTATCACCTATCAAAGCAGTATCTATTTACCTATATGTCGATATTCTCCTTCAACCAGACTTCCTTCAAACAGACTTCCTAAGCTCTATACCCCAATCCGTTGTCAGCTCTTAAACTCCACGTAGATGCCTTTCAAACGGTGGCATTGCTGGTCGCTGGTAAATCCACAAACACATATATTTGTGTGCCATCTTGTTGGACTTTCCTTTCAATGTAACGAACCTGGAGCCAACACTGAGGACATTTTGAAGTTTTGAATTCATCCTCCTCTACGACCTCACTGTATTGATGATGCTCCGTCATACAGCATTCAGACACTTGCATCACAAATCTCTTGTTGATAGGCTCGCCTGTGGCATCGAAAGATCGGCCCATAAACTCGCGTATATTTTTGAGAGTGCATTTTGCGGTGTAAGGTTTGACTACCTTATGAGGTGTTGAATTGTTTTGTGGTCGAGTTGTAGACATTTCAGGAATCTTTTGGGAGGTTCGAGATTTTGATGTTGGAATATATCGGACTCTGGGTGGCAGTCATGGGCTGAGAACTTCTTTATATAACCTTACCACGTACCTGTTGCGAAGGGAGTGAATATCAGCGAACATTATTCTTATTAGACAAAAGAACGAACATTAACACAAAGAAAGGTCATGGGTTGAGAACTTTTTGATAAACCACGTACCTGTCACGAAGCGAGTGATTATTATTCGCAAACAATGTTCTTCCTAGACAAAGGAACGAACATTAACACTAATAGATCGGGCATCCATTAAGAAAGATGAATGCTATTATGTGATTCCTTCTCTTCCATCCGGGACTCGTTACTGGATATCAAGGGTTGAATTTCCAATGCATTCTTTGCTACCACACCTCAGCGCTACCGTGGTTCCTCTTTCTCTAGGAGATTTCACTTTTGATAGAAATCACTCATAACACATCATTTCTTGCACTGGTCAAGCCTTCTATTAATTGGTGCAAAAGTCCTCACCTGTCCAGACAACAGGTCATTTGGTTAGCGTGCTTCCAGTTTACGTTTCTTTTCAACTAATAATCATATCAACTGAAAGGAGCCAGTAGTGCTTTGAAGCAGTCCACATTTAAAGAATCTTCTTTGTTGGCACATTTAATTGTTGATAGATGTCAAAAGGGCCAGCAAACCCAATACTGTACCAAGTTACTTAATTCACATGGCAACTCCGGCCACGTTAGTAATCCGCAATAAGGTCATTATAAAAAGACAAGAGCCTTCCGGATGCTGCTCTTTGTTGAAGGGGCTCGTCCTTATCGTGAATTACGAACAAATGCACCTCAGGTTTCCAGTGATCGAGAAGTTCAATCGTGTAGATATCATAAGTCTTCCTAGAGTTTTTAAGACCTCGTGCAATAACATAACAAATCAAGTCGAATAGGACTTGTAAATTAAATTTGGTCTTCACATGTATTAAGCAGTCCACTTTGACAATGACAATTTCACGTCATTAATTGGTTGTCTCTACAGATTTGCATTGCTCTTACTAAATTAGTAATCAGACTTGGTCATTGGGAATATATTTAGCGGTAATGTAGAAATGACCCCATTTGGGCTTCGAACAAATACACGCATCCTGACTTGTAAAGTGTTTTCCACATGCTTTTACTCCATTTTACTTTTCACCATGACATATAACATGACATAATACCATATATGACAAAACCGAGCACTCGCATGGCATCTTCGTGATCTGATTGGTATTGGTTGCAGCAACAGGTCGCAAAGCTTGAACCTGTCGATCGTCGATCTGCAGGCCGGAAATGAGAACGATCTTCCGACAATCTGAGTGAGTTTCACGATTTTTCAAAGAAACCAGTGCCACTTTTGTCGCGAATTGAATTCATTGTTATGTGAAAATAGCGACATGGATACAGTGTTTTGTGTTATCTGCAAATTTAAAGAAACAGATTATCGGTAGAACCAATTTGGTGACACATTTCTCATGATTTGGGTTCGAATTCGTCAATTTGCCAAGTGTTCTGATATAATGTACTTAGCAAAGGGAAGGATGACCGCAATCAAAGTCGGTCGTATTGTCCTCCAGATCCCAAAATCAGCCAAACAATTTGGCATTTACCAGCAAGACGAATTTACAAATTCCGCTTATTTTTAGGCATGTCCTCGTCTGGATTCAAAGGTCCTTTGCCATCTCCAGTCCATCCTTTGATTCCCCGACTCCCATCACCACTCGCTGTATGATCTTCGAAATCACCATCTTTTGGAAATGGAGCTGCTTTCGCTGAACGATCTACTTTGGAATCCTTTAATCTGTCAATAATGGCATCCAATAAGTTGAAGAGTTACGATCTGTTGAACTTACACCTCCATCTGCACCGTGGACTAGATCTTTCAGCCCGGGATTTGCTTTCCACTCAGCATCGGCTCGGGCGCTGTCAACTTTTTGCGGCTCTTCTGTTGTTCGATATGATCCGCTTGATGCCATGTTGAATAAGTGTAATAATTTTGTGTCCTTTTGAAACGGAAAGTATAGTTGTTTGAATAAGGTTGAATCAATATGAGGTTCAAAAGCAAGAATATGGTATTTAAATGTCGGGCAGTCTGGGTGTGGGAGGGGTGCAGTTTGGAGAACGCCGGGCAATGATGTCAAAAAAGAACGAGGAATCACCGGAGAATACCTCCGTAATCTATCTCTGAACTTCCCTGGTGGTTTCATCAAGGTTCTTATATGCAGGTAATATAAGCGAGCCCAGCAAAATATTTGTCTACTTCGTACATCAACTTTAGAGTTCCTTACCCCACCCTTCAATTCTAAAGGGCATACGGCGGGCTTGCAATATCACTGGCATACTGGCCAGGGAAATATCGAAGCTACGCCGAATTTCATCTTTGCCATATAAAATGTGGAAAATCTCCCTGTTATTCGAAAACTTGTGGTCATCCGTCCAGTTCCACATTACCCACAGTATTACCTTTGACTAAGGCAGAGGCAAGTGCTCATTGAATGTGGATGTTCATCCACATCCCTACACCTTGAAACCTCGATATAAACACGTGGAACAGAGACAACGAGTCGTATGGTCAAAGCAGGTGTGTTTATCAAGAAAAATTAGTTTTCCGAAAAGGACTTTTTGAAGAGAAATCCCAAGAAAGTTAGGTATTCTCTTCAAGGCAAACCTATACCTAAAGTATCTTTTTACGAAATATCATCTCTTTCATGCCCCTGCTATGAACTATTTGTACTCGAAAAATTCCGGGAACCGTGAAAGAAAGGCAAATGGACTAAAAAAAGATCTCATTAAAGACTTTCGGGACCGTAAAGCATTTTATCATTTTTAACGTATACCTAGAGCAAGGAGTTTCATTTTGAATTTCTGCTATACGAGAGGGATTACGAAGATTCAACCAAATGAATTACACAAGTGCGATAAATCTCTAGCAGTTGGGAGGCTGATGATTTCTGTAGGAACATAGCATTTCAGAAAATGCGATATCTTTCAAGTGTAATTCAGATCAAGTCTCTCCCTCAGTTGAAAGTATTTTCTCTCGATTTGAGAATTCGATGTTGTTCTTTAGCTGGCTTAGTTCCGATTTCCTACACAACGAAGATACCATTTGAGGCATGAAACAGGAGCGAATCATGTTCTAGTGGACAGCAAGGATCCTGGAGCTAGCTACCAGATAGAAAGCATGAATTTATTTTAAACAAATTCATGAACATCTATCTCATAGCTGACAACTATCTTCTAACTAAGGCGTTAATCTAAAAAACGGTTTCACATTAAGATAGCATGTCGGAAGTGACAATAAATACATTCATTTCCCATTCCCCTCTCAAGTTGTCCAAAAAATTGATATCTAAATGCTGTAAAGAAATTGTTTCATTCTACTTCTCAAACGAGATGAGTGAGATCTCGATCTTAAGACCCATGTGTTTGAACCAGGAACTTTTCTACTGGTTCAGTATTAGGGGCGCGTACGTCCGTAAAATTAATGCGAAGCCTGCTGAATTTGCAGTTGAAATGTCCAGCTTCAAGTGAGCAAAGAACACCTCGTCATCTGAGTTCTCGGCTTGTGTGGAGTTATTGCGGACACGATCCTTCAAACGACTGATAGGCTTATGTGTGTCAGCGCTAGATATCTGGAAGGGATAGTCGTGGCATTTGATGTTCGTTTTTTGCTTATTAACTTCTGTCCATTTAATCCATAGAATAATTCAAAATCCGTGACCAAAAATGGTCAAATTACTGGAGTGATCAGAAATGTGAACAGCACGTGTGATGCGGGTGTGTCACACCTAATCAGAGACAAGAAAAGCCGCCCAGCCCAAGAAATCATTGTAACTCCGACACTCTACAGAGGTGCGGATGACTCAATTTTCTCATTCATGTGAAGACGTAGCTGACATGCCGTGGTACGGAGCTAACTTCATGTTTGCGTCTTTATGTGTCTGATTTGCTGAAAGCCTGATTTGCGGGCGTCCAGTAAAATACCACTCAATTGTAAAAAATTCGCGGATGGCGGATTTGGTATGATTTGTCAGGAAATGTCAGGAACTGTAAGTTTCATCTCTTTTTCTGAAAGTAAGGGTTTTTTACAGTAAACTTGCCTTGTATGTAGTTTCATACATTATAGCTTCCCAGTTCTGTGATTCGATTTTGATAATAAGAAATAGTGACTTAACTAAATTGGGTGATGAACTAAAGTTTTCACGCAATACTTACTTAAACCAAACAGACGTTCCCATATGCAAGTTGTTGTGTACTGGACTAGATCAGTATCTGCAATTGAATTTAGACATAATGCAATTAACCAAGTGGAATAATACACTGTCAAACCTTAGGCAGATGCAATACTGCGTGGAAGTATATTTTCAGGATGGCCTTTATGTAAATATACAACCGCCTTTTTTTACTCCATAAACTTTATAATTCGTATCACACATTAGCCAAGCGACGGTAGCTCGGAATGCAGCGAATAAAATTCTAGTAATGGTGTGTACTGGACACATGATCACACATTTTTGTACTTCAGCCCTACAAGGCTGAAAGGTTTCACCTGCCTCTTGCATTCGTACCTGGCGATGTCGCACAGTATATGGCAAATTCCGACGTTGTTGAGATTCTTGGTATCCTATCAGCTCACCGAGAATTGACTCGGAAAACAGGATGTGGTATGTTCCCCCGCTTGGAAATATTCAAATCAAACTATCAGTGGCTGTAGATGCGTTTGTAGATACAAGACCATACTAAACCTACTTGATATGGGCTGCATGAAGAGCGACAAAGCAAAGCAGAGCGGCTCATGTCACTAACATTTCTTCTAGTAACTGACACATCTCCATCTAACTTCGGCGTGCCGCTCTTCGGGGCTTGTACTAATCGTATGATCAATTATACGGGGCATCGTCCCAGAGTAATGCGTCTTTCATCTTATTCGCTAATAATAACACAAACTTCCAAGCATTGACTGACTGAGTAAAACAAAGGCGTTCTAAAGAGGTGGCCGCCTATCTCAAAGCAGTTCTGGTCCCCTGAAATGTGTGTATATTAGGCTTTACCTTCGCTCTTATTAGTTCCGACACAAATCTTCTACAAATTTCGTTTTCGAAATATCATCCAACGAATTCCGAAAGATATATTTACTTTTACCATTCATAAACTCGCTCCCAAACAATCAAACGTTGACCACAAACATAATGGACATGAACGAGCTCCAAGTGTCAGAAGTCAGCGGCTCGGACAGCGGATTCCACCACAATCAACTTCACTCTACCTGCTGCCTTTTCCCTTGTATACCGCAATGCCATTGTTGCTGTCACGATGGCCAAGACGATGAACATCTCCCACGGCTCTCCTTGACCGGCATCTCTCCGCCACTCCCTGACTACATGCTCGATGAGTACCAACAAGAACAATTCCTCAAATTGTATCCAGCTAAAGACTGCGGCCCTGCGATCGCAGACTTTTCTCCTCGAAGCGCCTATCCCGGATCGCTTGTCGTTATAATCGGCCACGGATTTGCTCCTCGTAGAGAAAAGAACCGTGTGACGATTGACGGCCATCGAGCATTGGTCGTCACTGCAGAGCGCCACCGCCTTGTAGTCATCTCCAACTCAAATTCATCTACTGGACCGGTGAACGTGAAGACTTCATATGGACAGGCCTCAGGACCGAGAAACTTCGTTATACTTGCCTACCCAGCACCTGACGCATTTTTCAAGGATGCACCTCCGTGGTCCTTTCAAGGCGTTGGTGACGGCAAGTCGTTGCCACTCCGGTCGAAACTCTTGCAAAATCAGAGAATTGCAGCAGAAGATGCTGGTACAGTTTCTACCCTAGATCTGCCGCCTACCGGAACAGCCAGAATCCTCGCGGTTTGTCTATACCCAAAAGATCGACAGCCTGCAGATTTGGCGGCTGCGAAGGCGAATATTGTGAGCCTTGGAGCTAGTGTTACACAATATTACCAGCAAGCAAGTTACTCCAAGATCAATGTTGCGGTTGATGTTACCGACTATGGTGTGATGTTGGATAATTTCGATTGGTATTATCGTGCTTCCTCCACCGACCCTGGCTATCCCAATTTCAAAGGGGAGGTATTATCACAAATCAACGCTGAAGCAGCTCAGCATGCTGTCAACCAGAATTTCAACTTGGAGAGCTATGATGTTTTGATGATCGCCGTCCGCATGGGAACCTTTGTTCGTGCTTGGGGTGGAGGTATCGCGGGACCACACTTTGACTTTCAGAATCAGGCTAGATATCCCGGAACACATATCGACATCACAATCAGCAAGAGTCTGGGGCAAATGATACTCGGAGATGATGCTACCTGGGATCGTTTCGCTCACGAATTTGGCCATAATATCGTTTCGAGTCCATCCTCAGCTATCCTTGAGGAAGACATCTACGGTAGCGATCTTCCACCAGGAGCAGATGCTTCAGCGGCACCTTTCGATCTCATGGGCCAACATCCCCAAATGCCTCTATTTTCTGTATTTCATTTGAACAAGCTTGGATGGTTTAACGCTCAAAACGTCTTGACTCTTCAGTGGAATACACAGCCGACTATTGTTGAGAAAGAAATCGTCGCACATGGACTCACCGAAAACTCCACCTCGTCGAGGGTTCATGCCATCAAGATTCAAGTATCAACAGGGCTAGAGTACTGGATCGAAGTTCGCCAAACACCAGGAACGACTGGTCAAATATTTGATCCACAGATTCCAGTGCAAGCAGGAAAAGACGGTGGCGTGGTCATCACTCGCGTGACCACAGGAGTCCAGAACAACAACCAGTCGATGCGTCTTATCACCTTGCTCCAAACTAATACAAATTGCCTCAAAACTGGTGATGTTGCAGTTGATCCTGCTCGAACATTACTTATTACAGTACTGAACGACAACGTCCAAGCTCGCCCACTCATCTGCAAGGTTCGAGTTGAATGGGCTCAGCCAACGCAGCCAACACCCAATGGAACATTTGATCTCTCCATTGAACCGTGGAATACGAATAACTATACCACCCCGGATATCTGGGTCGACCGTAACCCGTTCAATGCCTATGACAGAGTTGATGGCGTTGGGAATCCTGTCAACGGTGGTGATGATCCGAGAGTTGGAGAGATCAACAAAATTCGTGCTCGAATCCACAACACAGGAACCCAGAAGGCCAATAATGTTCAAGTCACCTTCTACTCCATTACACCGCCGGGAGTTGGCGATAATGGGACTTGGACTCCACTCACGACCGTTCCCATTGCTGAAATAGCCAATAATTCGGCTATGATAACTTCAGCCGACTGGGTCCCCAGTGTTGGCCAACATACTTGCTTGCAAGTTATCATAGGCACTCAGACTGGAGAGATCTTGCTCGGCAACAACAGGGCGCAAGAGAACGTCTTCAGCTTTCAACCAGCCTCTCATTCTGTCCCCGAGCCTGTAGAGCTTCCCGTAACTATTCGCAATCCTCTCAATGTCCGCACACTCATCTTCCTGAACCTTGAAAATGTACCAGAGGGATTTTACGTCTATCTTCCTCATCAAGTCGTTACTGTCGAGCCCCTTGGTGAGCGCAATTTGGAGCTACTTGTCATCCCGATGAAAGAGATTCCAGACCTGAAATACAAGGTCGCCAATGTTGGTGTTAGTGGCTGGCTACCTCACGGCTTCGAGAAAGAGAAAGCTATTGGATCTGTCTTCAGACCAATTGGTGGTTTACAAGCCGTTGTCGCGCCTAAAATTGGAAGCCAGATCCGCCTTCAAGATCCCCCGAAACTTGTCAAACCAGAAGTTATTGAGGTCGTCGGAAGTGTCACACCAGCGACCGCGGAACAGAAAGTTAGGGTCGATTTGTCGCTCGAACAAGAGATCATCCTTACGGCGTCGCCCCTGACCGACAAGAATGGACGCTTCAAAGCTACATTCCTGCTCAGGAGTAACGATGACGAGTCGCCGTCAATCTCTCGGGCTGCAAATGATCTGCTGTTTTCCTCTGCAACACCACGTCAGCAAATCTTTAATCTTGTATTCCAGGGTCACATTGTGAATGCCTCGACATTGGCGCCGAGCGATTCAAATATTGTTCACTTCGAACACAAGGTCTCTATTCCAGACACCCCAGAAGGTCCGAAATAGTCGGGTACAGAATGATTATTTCGCTTTCGTACTGTCAAATACAAATTCTCAATGTATTGAGGTTTATGTTCAGTCTTTACCGTCTTCTTTTAGTACTAGTATTTGAGCAAGACAAATTAATTAGTTTGAACTCAATTAGTTTGATTTAGCAAAGTACCAACTACATTACCTGTTGTTTTCTCTCATCAGAACTATGTGCCACAATATAAACCAACTGCTCGCTGGAAAAGTCGGAAAAGGCCATTTACATGGGGAGGCTGTTTTGCAGCCGGCGCAGTTCCACGTGCTGAATCTGGGCATTCAATTTCTTCGGTGGTGGCCTCCTAAACACATCCACACTGTAGCCACCGTTGTGATGATTCCCCCAACAATTCCTACAATGATTCCTACTATTTCAACCTTTGTCAGACCTCCTCCACCTTTTCCGCCCGTCGCGGGATTATCGGCACCATTCTGTGTTCCGCTGCTAACTGTAGGCCTCCGTAAATCAGCAATTTGTTATTTCGCACTTTCCATTGGCGCTATGCATGAAATAACATACTTTGAATCGGTGTTATACACTGTTGCTACTGTCATAGCAGGAGCAGCTTGTGAGACGGACTTGATTGCAGTAACCACAACTACTGGCACGTCTGTTGATGAAAGGGTCCTGATAGATGTGACAAGAGTTGATTGCGAAAGTGCAAAGAAATATCTCGCGGGTAACATTGGCGCCAAACAGAGCAGTCGTAATATCCCCCACGGCTGTACTTTCGTTCCTGCAGATTTGATTATGAACGTCGCAGTAGCAGTAGTGGTAACTGGGGGCTGCAATGTTCCCACGTTTGTAATTACCCCAGGATTCGATATTGGTGATGTCCCGGTGGCAGATCTCCCAATGCCGCTCAGTGACGTCGCCACAGGTGTGCCAAAGGTTAACGGGCTGGAGCTTGTCGACGCGTCTACTGTCAACGTACTAGTATATGTATAGCCAGGTATCGGATAACCGTGAGAAGCGCAATACCTATTGTAGATATCTATTGCCTGTTGAACGTCGACGCTTGAATCCTTCCCACAGTCCGTGATAACAGCATTAGTGATAAGCTCGTAGGCTTTTGGGATTAGATCGGATCGACAAACGCACTATCGAATCCTTACTATTAGATATAACGTATGCCAAAAGCAACTAAGTAGTGGAAACCTACAGATATCACTTTACAACCCAATTCATGGACGGAGCCGGCTGAAGAAGCTGGGTTGTACGCATACTGCGCGCATGCTCGTAATGTAGAGGGACCACCGCCAGGGGTCTTGCTGAAGTCAATGTCTCCATCGGCGGCCCACGCCGCGGTGATGAGTTGAGTTAAAAACACCCAAAATATAGGCCGGGTTCGCATGTTGAGTATAATGATCGAACAAGATGCAGTGACAGCGATGAGAGACAAGATTGCTGGTGGCTGAGGCTTGCTTTTCAGCCTGTCCCAGCCTTGGCCTTACCGTATGTATGTTCATGGACATGATTTCTGGGGCATCTAATAAGGCTTGAACCATTGTCCAAAATTCAGGAGAATATTAGGTTCTCATAGTGTTCATTGTGGGAAAAGTGTAAAGGTAAAAATAATTTACCTATCTTCGAGACCTGAGAAGTCAAGTTTAAAGAGATCGCCGCTTAGCTAAGCGCCCTCTAACCCTTCTACACGTGACCTGTATTTCTGCTTTTTTATTCACATACGGCAATTATTCCGATTCGAAAGTTCATTGTTGTCAAAAATTGTCGAAACTAGCAGTTTATTGTTAATTATTAATGGCATGCTGTAGTATCTCCACCATATTACCACTCCATCTCTTTACTCCCCACTTACAACTTTAAGTGCACCACCACATTCCAAACAAGAATCATGTGAGGCCAGTTCCTCGGAGCCCATGATAAACTTGTACTCCCCAAAGACACGACATATAAGTGTCAGATTCAAATTTGCAGTCGACGAGTCGTTAGTTTTGAGTGTACACACAACTCCCGGTTTATACCCAATCACTCCATCGCAAAAGCCGCATTCTTCTTGACATCCGGCACAGTTAACGTGAACTCTGAAGCTATAATGACCGTGAACGTGACAGTTGATACTGACAGTTACCATGGGGGTCTGTTCCGTTGGATGGGATATGTAGGTGACGTTGCACGTCTTTCCGGTGAGACTGAAATCCGCATTTAATTTGTCGTTAGGAGGTCCGTAGAGTGTCGGGCTCTCAGAAAGCGGTAGTGCGACTTCATCAAAATGCATGTAGTCTTCCTCGTAGTCTTCATCGAGGGGCCATTCGGGATCGAATAAGACCCAAGGAGGACAGTCTAAATCGCCGCTGGTGATGATGATGACAGGTAAAGTGACAGATTGGATTTGAGACGACATTTTTTCAACCCAGTTGGGACAGGTTTTGAGATCCTAGTCATGAAAGTCTTTAGAAATATGAGAGTCTGCTAACAGTTAATCTACTCAATTTAAAAACAATGTGCATTGTTCACGCGATTGTCTTTGACGGATTCAACAACATAACCTTTGTCAGTTTATGGTTGACGTGAACCTTTCTGAACAAAGAACACTGTTATTGAGGCTTAGCGAGATTTCAAAATGGCGTTATGTTCCTTCTAAGAAACTTTATTCGATGAAGGGTTAGGCTCTTCAGGATAGCGAGTCGCTAAATCGTGCCTGGTACGCATTCACCCTAAGGCAATCGGTTTAGATTCTATTCCCATCGAGAGAATATCAAGTGTAATATCTCTCTTTCCGGTTTCTGAATGGTGTTAAACATTTGCTATTAATAAATTTCTGCCTACACAGAATTTAGAAGACAAGAAACAAAAATGCTAATTGCAATCGATACCAGAACACGGTTAACTGATGTGGTACTGATACATTAACTATTCTATGTTTTTGAGTTTTTAATGCGCTTAGGTAGACACTTTTTTCCCCAAATTTCAATTAGGGTTGGAAATACCTAAAACTGGTTGAGAATGAAAACGTCAAACTTTGTAAGCATCGAAATCAACTTAATTGAAAACAACATCGACTGTCAGTCATTGTCTCCGTCATGATGCATGGGTCAAATCACATGTTTTTCAGCTCCGTGAGCTGCATACAACCCCTGCACTCTGGACGCATCTCAACATGACAAGGCTAGAAAGTCCTCAGATATAATTTTACATCACTTTGATTTTTTTGTAATGCTAATTTTACTGCTCAAAATGGCTGTATCATATTTCCAGCCCTATATACGTTTTGGCTTCCCATCATCTGAGCTGGGGACTGGGTTTGACGACGAGACTAGCTGCCAATACTACAAGGCTCTACAGTACACGGGACCGAGCGGTACACAAACACGAGATGCGAAAGGAACCCTGGATACTGCTTTGATGCTGAAGTGGTTTGGAGAGGTTGGTTCTGTGTTGATTAACTGAGCAAACATATTTTGACACAGCCAGAAACATTCTGCTCAAGCCGGAAATAATTTGGCGGTCGCAGACGAGGCTTTCAATGGAGGTCTTCGACTACTGTACGGTCCAAATCAAACTTGCACATGAGGTTGGTGGGCTAAATAATGGTGCTAGATTCGGTAATTGCGAGTACGATATCAAGACGAAATATCGCAAACTACCGTTTAGCGAGAACGACTTCACTTATCTCGCAAAGCATCTTCAGCTCCCACAGCAGTTTCTACCTGCAATGAGAGTATGGACGTGCTGTTCATTCAAGTTCCTTTGCGTTCCTACGAATTGTGATAATTTTGCTCCTACTTTATGTAAGCTCCATATCCGAAACACGGGAATATGCACTGATGAGGAGTAGGTTATGTCTTCAAGACCAGTAGTTTTCAAATCGGGCACTATCACGTAGCCATAAGCTACGACGCGCTTAAAAACTTAACCTACGCAGTCCTTCTCTTGAAGCCGTTTCATCACCCTGCGAGCCCATTTGGCTTCACCGAACTTCTTAAAAACCTCAGCACATCTCCTCTTTCCACTCATCCGCTACTTTTGCCAATTCTACTTGCTGAGCTTAGTATGGCAATTTCAGATCAGAGATTTCTATGGGCTGATGCAGAAATTCATCAACTCGAACAAGAAACAGGACAACATAGCTGGACTGACCGAGTGATGGGCGATCCAATGAGTTTGGATTATACTAAGGCAACGAAGACTGTGAATTTTGTGTCTAGAAGTTTGGCGGTGGAGAGTATGAGAATTAAAGAGCACCTAATTACATTTGCTTTTATTGCCAAGGAAATTGATTCGTTGGCTGTAAACGGAGTAGCTGATGTCAAAGAAAGGGGTGAGAAACTGAAGGAAATTGTCGCCTATCATGTAAATACATGCGAGCACTTTTTGTTACGGGCCGAATTTCAGGAGAAGAAGGTAAAAGCTCTAACCGCGGTGGTAAGTTTCCCTACACTGAAAAACAAGTTGTCAAACTCTGACATGCTGTCCAGGTCTACCAATTCATGACGCAAAAAGACTCGAAAGTAAATATTGAGCTTGGAGAAATGACCGCAACGATTGCACGCGAAAGCAAGAAAGACAGTTCGGCCATGAAAGCTATTGCTGTGTTGACGATGTGCTTTCTACCTGGTACATTTCTTGCTGTAAGTCTCTACCTTAGCATTGATTTTAGTTTGCACCTCTTGCAAAGCAGCTATTTTAACCACTCATCTAGGCACTTTTTGCAATACCTGTCTTCAACTGGGATGAACCCACAGGTCCAGTCGTAAAGGATAGCTTCAAGTTCTATTGGACTATCGCAATACCGCTAACTGTGGGTGTTCTGTTAATCTGGGCAGCATCGGTCTTATTACCTTGGGCAGCATGGAGTTCCCGATTTAGGAACATAAAAAGAACAAGACATGGTGATCTTGAGACGGCCGATGATAATAGATGGAAAATACAATGATGGGAGACACAGCTTTGAGAATAAGAATCCCATAAACTAGACAGGTGTAATCTTGGTGGCTGTAGCTATTGACTGTTGGACTTCATTCTAATTTCTGAATTTAAATAAATCAATCCATCATTTCAGTTCGTTTTTTTCTTGACTAAAACTCCTAAAGGTTATGATCATAATCCGATGTTCTTCCCATCAGTTCTCCTAGCCAGATTCCCTTCAAATATACCCCATCTGATTTCCAATATTCGAAAGCGCCTGTCACCTAGCATCAATGTTCCTTGAACCCTCAACTACGGCTTCTTAGATTTCGATGCTCTGAATAAGTGTCTCTTTTTCTCTTCTCTCTCCGCAATCACCTTAAAATTCGCAGTCGCTTCATGTGCCATATCCACCCCTTCGGCAGAGTGACTAAAAAGACCCTTTTCACAAAACTTGCAGTTCCTATCCGGCTCTACGATGTATTTACCAAAGTGCTGAACATCCCAACCTGCTGAACTTTCCTCGCAGCCAGAAGTCATCCAGACCCGCGGAACGCTTTTATCGTACTTGAGCTTGTAATCTTTATGGCCGTTTCTAGCGAGTCTATTGGTATGAAAAGAAAGCTCACCAGACGGTTTTGTGATCTTTTCTTTACTCCATCTTGACTCTTCGAATGTGTGTATACGGACATCGCCAGGGTATGCTGGGGGCGCGTCTTGACTTGTGTTCTCAGTATTTGTGGAGCTGATATGGGCTTGGTACTCTGGGGGCGATTCTTCGTTCATCTTTATCTTAATATTGGCTATTTTGCTAATCAAGGGTTTCTGCGTAGGTTTCGGTCAACATGATTCGCCACTGTATCCCTGCTGAAGACCTACAAAACTGAAGCGATGGAAATCTGTGAAGCTTTTATTGATTTGACGATCTTTATATAGTATTCAAGACAGGATATTGCAGTTCTTTTTGGTTTCACTTTTTCTATGGTAAACGGAAGGTTTGAAGAAATCGAGCAATTTATACTGGATGCAGAGGGCTTGTTCATAAATTTTAAAAAACCGTCGATTCTGAAAAGATCTATGAATATTTAGAGTTACTGTATATGCTCCTTTCCTTCGTTGAGTCAAGCGTTCATTTGTTGTGCCATTCAAAGATTTTCTTCACCTAACAAGACATATCTTACCAAGCACTTAGAGCCAATTAATGATCTCCATACGAATCCAAATAAAACACCAATGACTTGAGTATGAATCCTGAGGATGTTCTAGGTTCTCGTTATATACAAGCTGGCCAGGGCCGTCAATAATTCATATTTCAGTTTCCACGGTGTTGTTGTTTGGAATTCTAGATCACGTAACACGTGTGACATAGGTAGTTGATGATTCTACTTGAACTCACTACAACACCTCGCCTTTGACATGATTATTTCTTGGAAGAACAGTCTCCATATATATAATCTAGTCACAACTTTAAATTGGTCCCTAGCAGTACATCCTGAATTTATTTGTAACTGTTCATACTCCCCAAAAGTACTGGTTTATACATCATAACTTCGTTAGAGTCATTTTCAACCTATGTATCTCAGCTTCAACGAGATCGCCAGCGAAAGCAGTTCTCGCCTTTGCGACCACTCGAGAAACAATATATCACGAATGACATCAAAGTGCCAATGCATGCAAATCAGTGACACTCACGCTCGTCGGTGAATTATTTGGTGTATCCTACATGAATATATTCCATCGTAGTTTTAAAATGTCCATATTCCTGGTTTCATGTCTTGCGAATTTCAGAGAAACATAGAACTAAGCGTTGAAGAACTGTATGCACAGGCTACTGAAAGTCAACGACGTTTACCAGGTATGTCCGGCATTTGTATTTCAAGTTTGCTCCACTGTCACTTGTTGCGACCTCGTTCCTTGCCTAAATCACATCACTTCGGCCTACGTCTACGCTCAGAAATATCCTCCAACCATTTTATAATATCCGAATCCTCCATCCTATAAGGGCTTTCACTCCTTACAATCCCCAAAACATGACTAGTCACATTCGAGAATTCCTTCAATTTCTCATTTAGCTCTTTCACCACTTCCTTATCAGCCTTATGATTCAATAATAATTTCCCACAAGGCAGGCAGCTCTGTAGCTTGGGGTCGAAAAAAAACCCAGGAAGGTCATGGGCACTCCATGTATTCTTGTTCTTGCATTCGTAAATGATCTGTATGACCTTCTCCGGACCATTATCATTACATGTGAAAAGAAGATTTGTGTGCTTGCCACAGCAGGTTCGACTGATACCGACTCATTATTGACCACGATTCTAGGTGAAGCGTCCTTATCTACGTGGGGGTTGTGGGGTACAGGTTCGGAGATCTTGACGAGGGAAGACTGTCGTTCGGGAAGTGGCTTCTCTGTTGAGCTAGGCTGGCGAGCAGGATGTGGTGTGTTTGCTCTATCCATGAAGACTACACGCAGAGATTTTACAAACGTTTCTTCTTGGATGCAATTATTTTTGAATGCAAAGACAGGAAGATTTCTTTTAATTGCACAGTGCTGTAGATCAAGATATTTCTCCAAGGACATCGCACAGAAGAATAATTTATAGAGGATGACCAAAACCCAACTCACACATATGGACATTCTTTGTGACATTTTAACACTTTTTATTCATAACAACACACTCATACCATGCAACACGGATCAAAGACAGCAAATCAAATAACAAGACCGAGTCACGATAATGGCACAATGACTTGAAGATCGCAGTCAATGATTTTGTCCCCTGACTGACATTTCAAAAGGATAATCTAATTTCGAACCTTCATTCTAAAATATGATTGTGAACCCATATTGGCCGACTCATTTACTCTCGTGGCGGGCCCAATTTTGACTACGTCGATGAGATATGAAATCTGACATGATGATTTACGATACGCAGAGACAACGTTCATACCGTTAATTTAACCTTGTGATTAATATCTAGTTTACTGATATGAACTCTGATGATAACCTTGATTTCTCTCTTCCTCAAGTTTCAACAAGAGGTGCTCACAATTGTGCACTTTTGCTTCTGAGGATTAACGACTTTTATGCATGTATCTCATATGTTTATACTTTTGCCTTCGCTATAGTCTCCCACAATCTTTCTTGTTCCCGTCATTCATATCCTCCCCAAAAGTACAGTAATCAAGTCCTAAGTCCCAAGTCTCAAATCTCAAATCATACCCTCACACCCCAGAAAATCATCGGTCCTTTGTACCACGTGGAATAAGGGCCTCAGAAGAACCATCCCGCCCATCCCAACTATCAACGCGACGACCATCATCCGCGATCTCTTCAAACTTAGCTGTCGCGCGTCCCGCTTCGATTTCATCTTTATCGGATTTCAACAGGTGTTGGTCACACATTCTGCATTTCTGCTTCTCGGGATCAACGACATGGCCAGGAGACTCGTGTTGTTGCATTTGTATGGTTCTTGAGCAAGTATATTCAAGTATTATTTTGTCCTCTGTCTTATCATACCTCAAACGCACATCTTCGTGAATGTATGGTTCATTATGGATGTGGCCTTCTAGAGTAGGGTTGATGGTGTATTTGATATATTCGGGCTTGCCGGAACGTTGAAGAGCAGGGTTCGTCTCGGAACTCGTTTTTGTTGCGTTTTCAGTCTTCTTGTTCTTCTTAGACTTTCCCAAAGCACTCAATAATCTTGAAGTAGGCATGATGAAGCTTTCGATATACGCTGTGAAAGAACTTGGAGTTTCCCTGCTAGCATAGTTTTTGAGTGACGATGTAATCTTTTCTATATTGCACAGATCTTGTTGAAGATGTTCTCTCGAAAAGAAATTGAAAAAGAATTTATACCCAGTACCCAAGACCCAATTCTCACACATTTTCGTTCTCTATGACTTCTAACCCCCTTTGTCCGTGACAACATACTCACTTCCCAGATTTTGGAAACTCACAACACTTCATCACTCAAGAAAGTTGAACACTCACCAGATTTGACTCCATCATATCGTCTATGCAAATCACAATAACATTTGAGCAACCCCAGGTATATCAGATGACTAACAAAAGAAAAATTCCATTCATTCTTCCCGGATGAATAGATAAGATTGTTGGCGTGATGTGAATGCAATGGAAGTATGAAAACATCGGATGAGTGTGCCAGGCGACGGAAAAGGATGTTTACTATGTCCGCGTGGAGCTATGCAATGATCATGAAGATAGCGGTTTCAGGTCTTGTTCCCAAAATGACCGTGTTCCTTGAAAAATCTTTTCGAAAGGGCGATATGATCAGATGCTTTTTTCTTGGAAGGCGAAGTTGAACTCATCATTGGTATTCTTTTTCTTGAACGAACAGTGTCAGATAGAAAGCTCAAATTTTTCATCTCGATGTTAGTAAGTGGCATCACACAATATGTCTCACATTCAATGCCATACACAGTACAATTACTAAAACACATAAAAAGATTGTATTAATCTAGAATAGTATCTAGGAAAAAGTAATATATCTACAGTAACGATGAACCAAAACTCCTCCACTCACGCCCCATATTTATCGTTCCGTTCATCCACCACATCTACTATTTCATCTTTGTAGGACTCGTTTAAATGGCCCGGCCGTCAAAGAAACGTCGATAACTCTTGTCATATATCTTCTTGAACTTAGCTGTTGCCTCTGCAGCTTTCTGCTTATCAACCCCAGAACTCAACAACGGTTTAGTGCACATGTCGCATTTCTCCAGACCTGGGTCAACGACATGGCCCTTAGATTTGTTCTTTCTGTCAGATCTATCGCTATCTTTATCGCATTGTTTTGCCGGGCAACGATACGTGGCGTGAACTTTATCATTCGATTTATCGTATCGAAAGAAGATAGTGCCGTGGAGACCGTCAGTGGGAGTGATATCAAATGCGTTGTCGTCGAGGAGATAGGGACCAGTTTTCTTTTCCGGCTGGTACTCGTCAGTTACAGGTCTCATGTGGTCGTGAAAATATCTATAAGTTTCACCGAAGCTGGGACATACCTTATCAACGGTTGAAGAGCTAGAACCCTCCTTAATCCACTTCTCCATTTCTTCTCCGATGAGCGCAGGCCTCTTGACAGGAGGTTGTCTAGACATGGCCAGGTAGCTTATGAGTGTCGAGTATCAGCAGGTATATCTTATTCGAGGCTGGTCTTGTTGGTCTTCAAGATGTGGACGATTTCTGTTGAAAGTGTTTTCTGGAAGCACAGAGGGCGAACGAAGAATTTATAGGGAACAGCTGAGTGTCAGGTTACTCATGAGCATAGCCAGTGTTGTCTCTGTGACTTCAAATGCTCTTTGTAGTTGGAGGAATGCACACTCATCAAGGCTTTGAGTCCTCTTGAGTGAGTACATGTGTCTGAAGATGAGTGTGTAGAGATGTCAGGGTCGAAAGAAACACCAGGGACGACAAAAGACGGGAATCTGAAACAACATAGGATCGACACATGTGCTATAAGCCAGTGACCGCATGCACGGTACGATTTGAGTCAGGGCTAAATTATCGTTCAAAATCAAAGTGGTGAGCAAGAGGAATCTAATTAAATCAATATCAAAACAAAGAAACCGCAGAGTCCAATCCCAAAGCTATTACGCAGATGACTAGTAACGGTTGCTCCAGATATCTGGAATGTTGGAGTCGCCACAGCCCCCGACGAAGTTGAATCTCCTGTTCCTGCTGCATTTCCCGAGGTGTTCCTGGATGCAGTTACAAGGCCGGTAGTAACCACTGCAAATGTTGGCGAAGCTGATGCCGGTCCAGGAATGTTAGTGGTTTGAACAATAGCAGCAGTCGTCTGCATCAGAGCCACTGTAGTTGATGTGCCAGCAGCCACTGACTTTGAAGATGTAACGGAACCAGAAGGCTGGATCACTGTTGCGGATTCGAGGGCACTGGCACTGGTCGATGGCCCTGCTCTTGACGAAGTGGGGGAAACGACCGCAGAGGTGACGACGGCAGTGGGGGCGTTTAGCCAGACGGAAACTACACATTGCGACGCCAACTTATTGTCCACGAATTTTCCGTTTTGCTTTGTTGGTGTTAAGCTGAGGGTGTAGGACGTAGAAAAGCTACCTGCAGCCCACGCGATGATGCCGAGATATACATCAGAATTTTGGTTGATAAAGCTGTTCTGTGCACAGAATGCAGTGAAGCACTAGGAATTTTATTAGCACGTCTAAATCAAATTAAATAGCAAAATACAGAAGGCATACCGAAGCCGTGCTCCCAGCGCCTGTCTCACTAACAAGACCTTTTCTCCCATTTTCTCTCAAGAATTGTGCCACACTTGCAAATGCTTCAGTGTTGTCAGTCGTACACTCGACATGGTTTCCCGAATTATCAACATCCAAGTATTTATGGATGTCAAAGATGAGGCCGTTTGTCGTTCCATCGGGATTCTTGACGACGAGCAAAGCTGCCCCACTTCCGTTGGCAACGAACTTTCCAGCACTTGTGAAATCATTGCCTGGCAGAAGAATCATCTGCGATGTTGCTCCAACATTTCTAATCGCTGTAACGGCTGCTTGACATGAGGTGGCCCATGCGATAATATCAACGTCATGAGGTTCGTTCATGAGTCCGAAGATGACCTTCTCATTAGCCTTGTATTTTATGGCTAATTGCTTCCATATATCAGCAAATTGATCATTCGTTGGGCCTCCATCTTGGCCAATAATTTTCCCATTCCACCTTGCGAAATTGTGTAGATCAATCGCGCAGTATGCTCCCGTTGCAAGACAAGCTTGCATGAGTTTATCGTACTTTCCCATATTTGAACTGTCAAGTGTACCACCAACTATTCAAATCAACTTCGTCAGTATGAATCGCTGAGTGCTCATCTAGCAATACTAACGTTTGTTGTTCAAGAGAAATTGCCATGAGACAGCTAGAACGAGTCAGCGACAAGGCCTTCATCTCAGCGAAATCCAACGCACGCAATCTGAAAATATTCATTTGATCATCCTTGACAAAATGCTGCATTTGGCCGGGTCCATCCGAGAGAGGAGGAATTGCAGAACCTGTCGGGCATGTTCCATCTATCTCACAACCAAATTCAAAGCCAGCAATATTCATCCCCTAAAAGAAGTCAATCGCGAGCAGATTACATTTGATCGAAATGAGAGCAGTACCATAAATTGAACTTTGGCCGCCACAACGCCAGCGAAAAAGAGTAACTTAAATAACATGATGACAAAAAGTAGCGAGTGTAAGTAGGAAAGTAGAAGAGAAGGTTGAAAAGAACGAAAAAGAGTGGAAGTATATCCTCGAAATCAAGACTCGCGGTCGGTCGCACTGCGACTTTCGCGTTCATCTTATGGGAGACGCGCTTGGAGCACTCCTAGGGGCTTCATCTGATGCACGAATTTTTTGCATGATGTTCTGATCTTCTCAAGGTTCGTTGTAACCGAGCGCCAAAATAACGAGATTCTCATGTGTCCGCATTGTTGTTGTGGGGAAGAATGGACGACGATGCGACAATTGATGTTTAAGATTCTCGAGATGGAGGGGCAATCACGTGATAGTCGCCCTAATCTTTTATAGGAATGGTCTTGAATCTCTTTTCAACATCCTCTCCTTCTTCGAGCATCCACAACCTCTTTCCTTCCTTTTTCTTGGAAACATCGCAAATTTGCGCAAATACAACCCACGTGCTGTCGAGCTAGAACAGAGACTGAGAACGTCACTCAAGGCTGGAAAGCCAAGCTGCAGGTCACCCACTTTGTCGCCATCTTTCAGTCCGCAATTCTGCAGGAGAGCCAGCGATGTAAGCCAATGAGATGAAGCAACAGCACAACGTGGCTTTGCGAGATCAACGACTATGATTTACAGCACGAATCTGATCGGATTGGAGTTCTACAACTTTGAAGAAGGATGATGTCTTTTATGGATTACTATTTTCAAGTTCAAGATTTACTGTTGTTGTTTCTAATGAAAATGTATTCCCAGGGAGGGTTACATTAGAGTATGTAAGTACCTGGAAGAAAGCATATTCCGTGCAGCTTTCAATCTCGAATAACCCCGGGTTTTCAGGGACCATGAACACACGATTGGCCAAGATCGCAGGAGCAATCAATCCCTCGTGCTTGGATTCGCCACTACCAGGGCAAGTAGTACATCAGCCGCATACAGATATATCGACCATCCTCTTTGGGAAATGGCTTGCATGTTAGCTATAAAGAGTCAAGAATGTCCCATTCATAAAATACTCTAGGACATCCATTTCTATTTGGCTCATAGTAATGATGTTTTTCTTCAAGGCAGCCGCTGCAGTCACATTGCTCGCTGGAATAACTTCAGCTCAAGTAGCGAAGACTCTCTGTGGTGGAAAGAATTACACTTATGACTCTCTTGCAGGGTACGGATTGGTACCGAGTAACGCTCGAGGTTAGTGTTCAAGAATTCTATATCTATATCTCAATGTCTTTCCGAAAGTGAAAAAAGAACTCCACATTCGTTGATGTACTGACTCAAAATAGACAAATTCGGTGACACTCTAGGCGGATGGGGTTCAGCTATTGCACTCGATAGAGCACAATGGAAAAAGCTCCCGGATGGAAGCTACACTGGTATCCTCTATGCTTTGCCGGATCGAGGATGGTGAGTAAAGTCTGTCCTTACCCTTGCTTGAGAGTTTTGATTATATGACCGCGATTTTCTATGGCCTCAAGCTGAACCCAGTCACAGGAATACACAAGGCACACTAAACTACCAGTCACGTATCCATAAGTTTACTATCGCTTTCAAGCCTGCCCCGGATGCCACTGTTACAAAACCTGCTGGAAACAACTTAGTTTTCACATATGTCGACAGTTTACTCCTCTTCGCACCAGACGGAGTCACGCCCACCACAGGTCTAGACGCCGATGTTAGCGGCCATCTCTCTTACCCAGGCTTTCCAGATCTTCCTGCTGCGACTATCGTGGGAGATGGGTGGGGAGGACCTGGACCAGGTGGCAAACGTCCTTCTGTCGATGGCGAGGGATTAGCTCTTGGTGCAAATGGCAGTTTCTGGATATCTGATGAGTATGGTCCATACGCCTATCATTTCGACAGTAACGGCAAGATGCTTGCTGCCATACGCCCAAATGATGCCAGTATGTACTCATCAACACACTTTGTTCTGCTTGATTGTTAACATGACTAGTAATTCCAATGCGCAATGGCACCGAGTCCTTCTCAGCAGACGCAGCCGATAATCCTACAGGTCGCTCAAACAACAGAGGATTCGAAGGCATGGCCATAACCGGAGACGGCCGAAACCTCTATCTCCTATTACAAACCGCCGCAAACCAAGAAGGTGGACTCAAGAACCCATCTCGTCGATATGTCCGTCTCGTAAAATACGACATCTCCGTCCCCTCCAAACCTCGATACGCCCGGGAATTCGTCGTCCCACTACCGTTCGTCGACGCAACCAACTCAAAAGTAGCAGGACAATCCGAACTCTTCAACATCCAAGACGGCTCATTCTTCGTTCTTTCCCGTGACTCAAACGCTGGACATGGAGCAGCCTCATCGGAATCGCTGTACCGTCATATCGATATAATCAACATCGACACCGCAACAGACATCAAAGGGAGCACCTACGACTGCGCAACCTGCAGCATCGCCTCCGCGAAAGGCGTGCTTAAACCGGGCATCACACCCGCCGAATACTGCCCTTTCATCGACTTCAACCTCAACTCCCAACTCAACCGTTTCGGTCTCCATAACGGCGGGGCTCAAGACGCGAACCTGCTTAACGAGAAGTGGGAGAGTATCGGCATGGTACCTGTAGATGGATTGATTGGAGATGATGATGAGTGGTTCGTGTTCAGTGTTAGTGATAATGATTTTATCACGCAGGATGGTGCGATGCATTTTGGGCAGTTGCCGTATAAAGATCCGTCGGGGTATAACCTTGATAGTCAGGCGTTGGTTTTCAAGGTTAAGTTGCCGGTGCATTCGAGGCCTTTTCCGAGAGGTGGTAGCTAGATGGGAAGTTCGCAAGGATAAGACTATGTATCTAGTACCGTTGAAATAAAAATCCGAGTACCTTTCAACACTTTGAGTCATTTGAATATCCCGGAATTGTCGATTGCGTGTTCCACGTGTGCGAAAAGAAAATGTTGACATGATCTAGGATACCTCTCAGATTGAACACGTCATAACATTTGAGTGGTATGAAGAATGATTGATTCATCTCGTATTTCATTGAGGAGCTCGGTCTCTCGGACATCAATCATATCACGTAATAAATCGACTAAACTTTTGCACACGAATCTCACGATTATCTCTGCTCTGATCTATCCTCTCCACATCACTATCACCACTAGTCTCCAGCACACCTCAAAACAAGAAAGTCTCATGCCCATCCCCAACTTTCTCCTTCTTTTCCTCTACCTCGACAAACCTAGCTTTGAACCGGTCGACTACGGCTTTGCCATACTATATCTTATTAGCCGTCACTTTTCTCAATATACTTCTTACCTTTCACTACAAATCTCACCGGCAATGATGGGGAGAAAATGCTGAAGGGATGATGTAGGTGGTATAGGAGGAGGAAAACACTCACAGCAGGTCCCAAAGGCGGACTCGGAATCGTCGAATCCACCTAAATCATCAGCTTCTATTTCCATCAGAGGAAGAATTTAAATCTCACCCGATACCATCCCACCCCCCTCACACCCTCCCCCGCCTCACAAGCTTTAATCATCTCACCTACGTCCTCAGCACAATAACCTCCTCCGCACACCACCGCTTTGGCGGGTGTGGTCTGTAGAAGACTCGGTATGGTGGATTTTGCGGAGGGGAGGGAGAGGAGTGTTGATATCACTAATTATTGTAAGTCATCATGACAATCACATTCGAATTCGAGAAACGGGAGATTGAGATGAGGTTGAAAGGGGGGTATAGTGGGTGTAGGGCTAACTTCTAACAGAAGATTATGAAGGAGAGCGGGGAAGATTGATATTGAGGCTTTTAATGGTACAATGTGTATGGAGGGAACGAGTGAAGGAGGAAAAAGGGGAGGGAATACCATTAAATTCTGGTTTTAGGCCTGCGGTCACACCTGCTGCTATTTGTGCGGTTTTTCCGCAGAGAATTACTGGTATTGCGGACATGTTTTTGGTTATGAAATATGAGGGGTACAGAAAGGATCAGAGGGGGTTATGTGGTTCTATGAGGTAGGATGCGAGATATATTGAGTGAATGCTAGATGAGGGGATGTTGGTGTTGGTATGTTGTTGGTTGTGGATAGAAGCTGGGGGTGTGAGGTCGGCGTCGGGCTGGATCGGACCGATTATGATTCATGTGAACGGGAGTTTGAATTAAACGTCCCAGTATCGTCAGTTGAAGGTCTCGATTATTTAGTGCTCATTAGCGGGATGTTCACTAAGCCACGTAAGATGGATTATAGTTTACCTGCGATTTTGTTAAATATTCTTTTGACTTTTTTCACAAAAGACTTTGGCGTACTTGGCCGAGTTTCTCAAAAAAAGTCAAACCGAATCGCACAATCATTATGCAATTAGTATTGTGAGAGCTCTGAGAGCTTTCTGAGTAAGTAGGATTATATGGTACTTTATCATAATATCGAAATTCACAGAAACAATGTAGTTTGAGAATTCGTATATACGTGTATACTCCTACTCAAAACACGACCCGAAGATAAAGACGAAAGCAGAGGTCCTTTCCAGTATCCCGGTAAATTGAGATGCTATGATTACTTCAACTAAGAAATGTTATATTATCTTAATGTCAAGAAACCCTTTTTCTTTGATAATTCTGTGATAGTTGCTCTCGTGCCATTGCCCCACTTTTCATACAAAACAGGGGTCCGGTGTCAACAAATCTCATAAACATCTTGAACCTCACTCACTCACTCAAAGTACTGGTATCATCGCAACCCCATCAACCTTCAACCTCTCTCATACACAAACCATCCATGGCCCTTCCCTAACCCATCACCATGTCCCTCTCATCACGCACCCTCCGCAACCTCCCCTCCATACCACGACGCCTCCATCCCTCCACACCACGCCGGCGACACAACAGCACATTCGAATCGAAACCCTACCGACCCTACGAACCCCCCTCACCAAAACCCGCACCCTCCCAATGGACGCCCAAAGCCGCGCTCGCGCTCGGCTGCGCCTTAAGTTTCGCTTTCACAGCCGGGAAAGCGTATCAGAAGATGCAGCAGCTGAATGTGGATTACGACCGCGATGATAAATTTAGAGCGCCGCGGTATGCGAGTGTGAAGGAGATGGAGAAGGTATGTGTCTAGTCTTTGATATAAGAACAAATCAATGGGAGATGAAACTGACACGTGATCAGGCGATTTCCGAGATTGAAACTGTTCTTGGGAGAGACGCGATTAGTAGAGATGAAGAAGAATTAAAACAGCACGGGTATTCGGAGTGGTCGCCTGCTAATATTTCAACATTGCCTATTGCTGTTGTGTATCCGAAGTCTACGGACGAGGTATCGAAAATCGCACAGATATGCCATAAATACAAAGTCCCCATGACAGCCTACTCCGGCGGCAGCAGTCTCGAAGGCAATTTCTCCGCTCCTTACAGCGGGATCTCCATCGACTTCAGGGAGATGTCCAAGATCCTCGCCTTCCACGAAGAAGACATGGACGTCGTCGTCCAACCAGCCGTCAACTGGGTCTCGCTCAACACAACCATCTCCTCCTCCGGCCTCTTCTTCCCCGTAGACCCCAGCCCCAGCGCGCAAATCGGGGGCATGGTCGGCACAAACTGCAGCGGCACGAACGCGGTCCGGTACGGCACGATGAAAGATTGGGTTGTGAATCTGACGGTTGTGCTTGCTGACGGCACTATCATCAAGACACGTGGACGGCCGCGGAAGTCGGCCGCGGGGTATAATCTGAATGGGTTGTTTGTCGGGTCTGAAGGGACGTTGGGGCTGGTTACGGAGGTTACGTTGAGGTTGGCGGCGGTGCCGAGGGAGTGTGGTGTTGCGTCTTGTGTTTTTACTAGTGTGCGTGATGCGGCGAGTACGGCGTCGAGTATTATGCGTGCGGGTGTGCAGGTCGCGGCGGTTGAGTATCTGGATGCGACGCAGATGAAAGTTCTCAATGATGGGGCCTATACAGCGCCGAAATTCTGGAAGGAGGCGCCGACGTTGTTCTTTAAGTTCTCTGGATCCAAGGCGAGTATCGCGGCGGATATCAAGGAGGTTAAAAGTATAGTAGCTGCGCATAAGGGCAGTGATTTCGAGTTCGCGAGAAGTAAGGAGGAGGGAGATGTTATTTGGAGTGGACGCAAACAGGCGTTGTGGAGTTTACTGGCTGCGAGGCCTGAGGGGACGGAGTTGTGGACGACGGATGTTGCGGTGCCTGTTTCGAGGTTGGCGGATATGATTGGTATTTACCATTCCCTTTACTTATACACCCTATATCCCCCCCCTCTTCCTCTATATCAAACTGGACTGACAGGTATAACGCAGAGGAATCCCAAAAAGGCATCAAAGACCTAGGTCTCTTCTCCTCAATCGTCGGCCACGTCGGCGACGGCAATTTCCACGAGGCTATCATGTACCATCGTAACGATCCCGCAGAAACAGCTGCTGTCACCGAACACGTGAAGAAGATGACCCTGAAGGCTTTGGAGATGGAAGGGACTTCGAGTGTGAGTTGACTATGTCTTTCACTATTACTCCGCCCTCGGTGGCTTATTTCATTTCACACTTGAGCGACTCTTGCTATTTTGCGTGTGACGGGAATACTGATTATTACAGGGCGAACACTCCATAGGCCTCTTCAAAAAAGCAGAACTCCTACAGGAACTCGGCCCTGATACGCTGGGCGTCATGAAGAGTATCAAGGCGTCATTAGACCCGCACTGGCTCTTGAATCCGGGGAAGATATTCGATACACCAACAGCGACGGGTCGAGTTTGGAAATGGCAGCAGAAATAAAAGGTGGATCTAAAAATGTAAATGTAGGGAGTGAGTAGGCTAGTTATTGTATTTATCACAAGTTGATTCAGACAATGTACGCATGTCACTTTTAAGTAACCAAGATAATAGAATCCCAGCTGAACTAATTGACATGTTTGAAATCAGGATACGTCCTCGCACGCGACTTCATTTCAATAGATTTCCGCTTCACCTCGCTGTCTGATCACGCACGCCCAATATCAAGAAGTCGCCTACAGAATGCCATATCTACACCACACGTCACTCTTCCCACCGGAAAGAAGCCCCATCCAAGTAACCCAGGGCAGAATTTCCATTACCTTGTTCTCGATACAATGCTGTTCGCTAGTCAGGGTGTAGAAGGTTTGACAGGCCGGCTACTGGTTGTAATGGATTTTGGGACATCGGGGGTGCTGCAATAGACGATGTTTATTTGGTGCTGTGTGGGTCGTCGACATATATTATTATTTCATTATATTTCTCCATCTACCAACCAACGAGTCTTCTAAATCCCCACCTACGAAAAAACAGATGTGACAGACGAGCTACGAAGAATCCTTGGTATTTCGTTTATACGTACACCGCGCTACTGCCGCGGTAAGAGCACAGTATATCCGTCTAGCCTCCAGCGCACCCGCAAAGACATGCACGAACTTGGATTATTCTCTATTTTGTGTATCTCTGTAGCTTAACGCTTATCTCTTATATATATAACCATCATATTCTACTATCTAACTATTCTAATCCCCCGTCCCTAACCCAGAAACGCCTTACCATCCTTTGCACAGACAACCTAACGTCCGACAGCGCGAAGCAAATACCATTTTCTAAGCAAAATACCCAAATACCCATCTACCCAACAACCACCCAGCTAAACTCTCCCCCTGACAACAACTTCCTAACAAGAACATTCCCATCTCAAAAAAGAACCACGGCCATTCCCACCACCCCTCCCCTCTCATCTCCCCTTCCCACAAAGCCCTCTCTCGCCCAACCGACCAGCTACTCCCGTTATCTGACGCTTCTACAACCATGCCGTCTAGCTACCCCTTGACACCGACCACAACCCTACGGCCAACGACCCGCGCGTAAGATTGCTAGACCATGGAAAGAGAAAAGATACTTAAGTGTGATGAAGGGTAGGATGTATCCACGAGATGAATGGACAGATACCCCAAACACCTTAGCCCCTAAAAAAATTCCCGCTACGAAACCACATAGCCACCCCGTGGCGGGCCTCGTTAGTATTGTTACTGTACAAAAGCTACTTGGAATGGACCGAGGCGAGGGCGTGCTCTTGGTTGTGATGCCCATGTTTTCACTACTACAAAAGAACGGTGAGTTGGAAGCAATAGTATTCATCTCAGATTAAACACCCCCCTCTCCTCTTCCCTATCATCCTCATCTATCTACAACCCCCCTCTTCTCCTCCCTTCTTCCCCCGCCTACTTCAAAAAACTCATCAATCATAAAACCCCCCATCCTTCATCCCTGCCCAGATTAACCCCCCTCCACAAAAAACATCTTCATCCACAAAAACGTAACCGTCATCGTTAATTCATCATAAACATCATCAACCTGTCCAACCCATTCCATTCGATTCCCGTTCCACGCCAATCCCATCCAAACAAACGAAAAAGCAGATCTCGGTTGCCATCCCATATGTAAGCGTGTGTCATTTCACCTGTACACCCTACACCCTACACCCTGTACACCTTCGCAAGCCCCTCGGCATCACGTCGAATATTCAACTCTTAAAACCCCAATCCACCCCGCTCAATCTCTCAACAACGAAAAGAAAAAAAAGCGCAGACCAGCCAGCTCCGCCAAAAGCTTCAGCCAGCCACAAGAATCGAAGTAAAGAAACTTCCACATAGATATCCTCTGTGCTGTGTGCCCAAAAACGTAACAGTCATTTTGTCATAACACATCCCATCCCAGTCCATTCCAATCCAGCCCCCTAACAAAGGAAACAAAATGTCGAAAAGAAAAAAATGGCTTGTTGAAACCCCTTCTGTATGAAATATGCAAATGCAGATAAATGCAGCATTGGAAACCCCTCAAACCAAGTCAAAGAAAAAATCTATAAACAACGAGCAGAAAAGATTCAGCAGAGTATCATCTCATACTATCCTCCCTCTGCCGAATCTCCTTGAGTTTCTCATCCAGCCGCTCAAGCCGACTCTGCTGCTGACTCGGTCCGAAATCGAATGAGTTGATCGAATGACGACTCTGATGCATCGTCGCGAACGCACCTCGTCGGATCGTGGACTGGGAATCCTGAAACAATCTTCGAGGGAAAGTTTGATTCGGTCCGGTCTCTGTGAATGGGGAGCCGAGACGAGGAGGGTCGATGGTGGTGGGTGGGAGAAATGGTGAGTTGGATGAGGTGTTGAGACTGAGACCTCGAGAATGAGTTCGTGTCTCGTTTGGATTTAGACCAAGTTTACCGGCCAGATCGAACTCCGGTGGTGGCCGACGAAACACTCCAGAAAGATTCTGACGAAAAGCTTCATCACCAAGACTGAAACCACGCGATCTTACACGTCGTCTAGAATGACCTAAAGGTGTTCCAAAAAGCTTCTGGTCAAGAATGTTTGGTCGTGGCCCAGGGCCTGGAGTGACTTCATCATCTAACGAATACTGAGCACGTCTCTTTTGCGTACTATTCAACGACCTAGGCTGATCGAATCGAAGAGGCGAACGAAGTCTTGGCGCAGAAGTATCCGAGAGATGTCGTGGAGGAGATGGCCGTCTGTGAAGTTGCGAAGAACTTGGACCATATGTTCTTCTAATAAATGGGGAGCCTAACAGTCTACGAACCCTTGGGTCATCGAGATCAAAAATTGAGGCCGGAGGTTCGTTAACCGAAGGTCGAAATACGGATCGAGATGAAAGCTCGGTATTTGGCGTCGGACCTGCATCCTGAGCAAGACTAGCTAATGGTCCATCCGGTTGCATCGTCGAGGATGTGCTAGTCGCTAATGAAAGAGCAATATCCTTGGTGTTGAACGTCGATGCACCAGAACCAGACTCGGAAACTCGAGGCGAATCGTATGATTTAGCTCTAGTAAACGGCGTTGAATTCCGAGATTGGAAATGACGATGCCGTTGCACCGCAGTAGTTTCCTTTCTGCAAAGCTCTCGAAGATGACTTCGAGTTGCACCACTGGAATGTGGCCATTGTGCATAGAGTTTGGTAGAAGTTTCGGGGGTTGGTGTAAGACTGCCACTTTTATCTGAAATCTCAGATAGAGCCACTGATCTCATGTGGGAGCGTTGAGTGGTGGTTTGAGGCCCTTTCCAACTTCTCTTCGCTTCTCGGGCGACACGATGGCAAACACCCTCTGGTGGAACACCGTTAGCCCTGAATGGTGTGACTGTCGGATCCTGCAAGTACAGAACGTAAGTGGACCAAAGATGAGCGCTCATTGCTTTGGACCATGGCGCGTTCTTTCTCGTTTTGCTCTTCAAGTTCTGATTGAGAGGAGCAAATTCCACTGGTGCGCTAAGGCGAATAGAATTAAATTTAGAGCTGGCTTTTGATAGCGATGGCGACATTGATGGAAACTGAAAAGGGTCATCAACATCCGAGTCTGGACTCGTACAGCTTCCATCCTCAGACTGAGAGAGGTGTGATCGTGGACCACCGCTGTAGAATGAGTCATCTGAACATTCCGAAGCGGTCGACATTGCTGAATTTGGTCGGGGAAATTGATCCTCGTTTGAAGTAAATAATGAACCACCCATGGACCAACTAGGTCTTGAAGACTCCTGTTCCGCTACTGATTCGGGCTCCGGAGTCTGTGGCGGGAGGCCCATCCTGCCATAAGGCTGATGTGGAGCTAGGAGGAAAGAATTGCCGATAGGGCTCGCTTTTGAGTCTGGCATTTCCGAATCTTCCTCGAAAATATTCACATGCGGTAATGATGAAGGACCGGCAGTTGTTCGAGAAGGTAAAGAAGAGTGATTCACTTCAATCGTAGGTACAGGAACATCGGCAGCTGCAACCGAAGCCAGAAATTGTTCCGTCGGCGCTTGAAGATTTGAAATGTTCCGCCTCTTCACCCTCAAACGAGCAGGACGCGGTGCACATGGTGCTTGTAGTTCGTCTGCCATCGTCGTTGGTTCTGGCGTTTGTGGGATTCCTTCATCGTGATGGAAGCGGAAGTCTCTCGGAAGCGTCGTCGACGCATTTGACTGTTGATAAAACATTGTGTAGGTGGTTGACGCGCTGGAATGCTGTCGCAGATATGAAACCGATCTGATTCTGATGTAATGTCGTCCAAATTGTAGCTACAAAATTATAGTACAGAAGAGTACAATAGCAAGCGATTGAAACCTTCGCACAATAGCAAGTGATCTCAACGTCCGCACAATACCAAGCGATCCAACGTTCGCGTCCAACTCAAGGCCTCAACAAATCCGAAACGTGGACTCGGTCAGGTCGCAATCGGCCACGAAGCTGAAGTTGGGCAACGCGACAAGGTGACAGATCGAATCCCACTCGCGTGTCGATCGTCAATCTTATCGATAGAAGTAGTGCGGATAAGGTTATCGACGGGTTCAAGCTTAAAGCCTGTGAGGAATGCGCCGCGTCTGTAGATGGCTCTCACGGATGATGCATGAGGCTCTGCGAAGATATTTTCGAATCGGAGGGTGTAGACGTCGTGCGATTGCGACTCGGCCGTCTGGTCTGTGTCGCGTGGAGGATAGGGAAATTGATGCGCCGTGAATCGAGTGTAAGGACAGTGCGGTCGGTGTTGTTGGTTTGATGGATTAGATGCGAAGAAGTGTAGGATAGATCGCTCGCTTTATCGCGTTGTTATGGTTCTTTTCTCCTCGATCTAGCTTCCTCCTTGCCCTACTGGCGCTTGCGATATTGGTTCTAGTAACGCAAGGATTCGATGGACGGCCTCCTATTCCAAACTTCTCCTCTAAGGAAAGACACAGCGAGAGAATGGAATGTGCAAGAGTCGGTGGCGAGAAGTGGGTTGTTGTTGTTTTGGTGGATGCGAGCGATGCAAATAAAGAGCGTGAGCGTGGGCGTGGAGTCGTGGAGAACGAGCGAGCGAGAGCGACAAGACCAGAGACGAAGCCGAGCAAAAGTCCAGGAAAGCGCAAGTGCAAGTGCGTGGGAGCTGCGTTGAGTGGGGAGCCCGGCACCGTAGCGCGCAGCCAACAGGGTCGAAGCAGCGTGAAAAATCGACCGCGTTTTGACGAATCACATGCTTCTCAGTGTGGGCCCGGACGCGACACGTGCCGGGATTGGCCAGAAAGTCGGTGAGACGTCACGTGAGTGCCTTGGAATCCCCTCTCTAATCGCTCGATTGGGAACGTGTGCATCAGCTGGCAGTTGGGCTTCATCCGAGTGGCAGCAGAAGGGCAGTCAAAGCATGAATATTGTGCGTTGGAGGGCCAATGATGAGGATATGTCTGTGCTGCAGTGAGGTGCTAGATGGATTTTGATGTAGCTAAACGCATGGAGAGGGAACTGCAGAAGTGGAGGGGAGTGTCGTTCAACAGGCCTGCGAAAGTGCTCAACGTGTAAAGGCAGTGCCTTAGCGAAGGAAAGCCAAGCTGTTTCGTGGGAGAGACAGCTGAACTTGTTGGGTGCTCAACAGCTAATGAAAAAGTGAAGCGGAACGGCGAGTTGATATCTCCAAGTCTGGACTCACCACTACGGAGAATTCGAAGCAAAGACCAGTCGATCATCTTAAGTCAAGCTTAGCCAAGCCGAGTGTCAGACTGACAGTGACAGAAGATCAACGAGCACTGTCACTTTGGAAAGATCCCTTGACCCTTGATTCAACGCACGTAGGGAAGTGGTCCAAGTGGATTGATATCAAAGCGAGGAGCTTAACGGGGGCTTGTACCTGTCAATCTGAACCCTCAATTGTAGTTCCCGTTCTCAATAGTCCCTCCCAATGTCTTCACAAACGAATAGATCATCTTCCTTCCTTCCTTCCTTCCTTCCTTCCTTCATTTAGCATTGCAACCCAGCAGCTGCAACATTCCACCTCTTCACTCCAATTAATAGAAGCCGATCCTACCGCCATACTTAGTCGACGCGTCTCGCGTAATTTTCGCGTTTGACGCGTCAAGCATCGTGAAGTGGTCCGTGCTATTCGACGACCAAAGTTGTCGATTACGGTAACAGAAACTTTTCTACTCCTCAGCGAATATAAATGTTCTTCACTTGTGAACCCATTTTTGTTACAATCAATATGAAAACACATCTCGCACGTTTAATTAAGTTTGAATCCCCTCAAAAGCCGGTGTGCCCATCCCTTCCCTCCCGCATCCAACCCCTCCAACCCCTCTTCGATCGACCCTCCACCTCAGCACGTCCCTACACGCGTAAAGCGTTAGGTATCTGCACCCTTAGACTATCGATACGTCTCCTGGTCCCTACATGTATCTGCCGTTTCCCGTTCGACACCATGGATCTCCCCGAGTGGATGAGGCGAATTGGTCTTGACATCTGACGTGGGGGAACCGCGAAAGCCTACAGTAACTATGAGGGGAGAGGTATGAATGGGGGATATGCGTGTCTCAACTTAAAGGTCTAGTTAAATTTAAGTACAGAGTGCGGTAGCCTTTAAGTGTATATCTCAGCTTCCAGGGCCTCGATCCTTCGTCCCCGCAAAGTGTCCAACCTAAAATACTTCGTAGGCTAGATCTTGACTTCAACGATGTGATGGCTCCCCCACATACGACGTACCACCAGGAACACACTGGTAAGAGATCATACAATGTATATCCGCAAGCCATCGACTAAGGTGTAATACTCAACTCTCGTATCTCCATCTCCCTCGAACCAGCACGTTCAACGCTTCAACTTTCATCTCACAACACAACAATTCCCGCTATCACACACAGCAAACCCACATCCATCACGCACATCACGTATTTCACATGCAACCCAAACCTTCTAATCCAGTAAGAATTCCATTGGCAGGGGCAGTAACGATACTATATCATGAAAACCAACTTCCCTGGCACCTAGTACCTAGCCCTTTTCTTTTCCCTCTCGTCGCTCGAGCTAGAACACCCACCTAACGAACAGGACAAAACCTTTCTCGATCTACTTTCGGATACATCTAAAGAGGGAAGGATGAGTTATCGGGTACCATGTGCTCTCTGTGAACAATCTCCGAAGCTTAATGATTGGTGCATAGCGAAGTAGTTAGATACCTTCCAAGATGTTCGGCAGGCTTAATATTGCGAAGACTTGCGTCACCGGTGTTAGGCTGCCCACAATCGAGGTAGCAGGTAGTGGTGTGGTCAAGATTGACAATTCATTCCTTCATATACATAACTCTACGCTTAACTCATTACCCTACCCAAACCAAACATTGATACCGAAACGCCCTACAAAACCTAAATCACAATCCATCCAGGTATTAACCCCCCTCCTCACCCAGTTTACCCCCTGATTAAACCCCCGTAACCCTTCTGATACTCCTCCTCGCTCCCTCCCCAACAACCATAACACTCCCCTCCTGTTCCAACCCCCGAATCGCCTCCGCAAACTCATTCGCCTCAACAGAAATACTACTCTGCTCACCCATGCGCCTCACGACCTCCGAGTACCTAGCCGCTTGACCCTGTCTCGTCATATCATCCAAAAGACTCAGAACCGCATTCTTAAGATCCGCTTTACGGCGTCTCTCACTCGAACTCGTTCCCTCGGTAAGCAGACTCATGTCGATTAGACCAGTCCTCGCGTCCGTAGCTGCTTGCTTGAGCGCGCTTTTGATGAGGCGGACTGCCTCCTGGACGTCAGACCGGGTGACGGTGTCAGAAAGACGCATTTTGGCGTGTGCTTCGGCGAGACGGATCATAGATTCTAATTGACGGGTGGTGGCTGTGATGCGACGTTCGGCGGCGCGGACGTCTTCGCCGAGTTTGCGCATTTCGACGTAGGCGGAGACGAGTTCTGAAGAGGCTTCGGCGCTGATGCGGGGTTGGCAGTTGGTGCGGGCGTAGGAGATGTAGGATGTGAGGAATTCGATGGGCTGTGGTTGTTAGTTGATGTTTAGGTAATAGGGAGTGAGGAACTTACGAGGATTTCTTCGCCTTGTGCTGCACTCTGTGGTTTGTCATCCAAGTACATACTGAGCAAATGTCGAGCAAGGCGTCTATCATTGGTTTCATCAATACGATCCAAGATGAGGTATACCAGATCGAATCTAGACAATAGGGTAGGTGGCAGATCGATATTCTGAGGCACGGGCAAGTTTGGGTTATACTTGCTACCGATTGGATTTGCGGAAGCCAGGATACTCGTCCTAGCATTGAGTGTAGTGATGATACCAGCCTTCGCAATGGAAACCGTCTGTTGTTCCATGACCTCGTGCAAGACGGATCTTGTTGCATCAGACATCTTATCAAATTCATCAATACAGCATACACCTCCATCTGAAAGAACAAGTGCACCAGATTCGAGAACCAGCTGACGAGTTTCGGGATCCCGAGTGACATATGCGGTCAAACCGACCGCCGAAGAGCCTTTTCCACTAGTGTAAACTCCACGAGGCGCAATCTTGTGGACATATTGTAAGATCTGAGATTTGGAAGTAGAAGGATCACCACAGAGTAAGATGTTGATGTCACCTCTGTACTTTGGACTTCCACCCTTTTCAAACGACTTGTTGGTTCCGCCAAATAGCTGCAGCAGAATCCCTTTCTTGACATCGTCCATCTCAAAGATGCTAGGTGCCAGGGATCTTGACAAGAGTTCGTAAATATCTGGCCGCGCTGCAGTAGCCTTAATCTTCTCCTCTTCCTCTTCCGAGACTTTTCGAGTCTGCTCAATTGTGTTGGTCATCTCCTCAGACAATTCCTGCTCGACAGTAGAAACATCAATTCCCATGCGTTTCTTGTCAACCTTTTGAATATGAATGATATCAATGTACGTCTTATAAACGCTCTTGACAGTTCTCTGCCGAGGATTGACACGGACAGGACTTGCTCTGAAGATACCAGTAACCTCAACACGGTCACCAGCTTTACACATGTCCACCAGATCATCGTAAGCGCACATAGAAACAGAATGAGGCGTCTGACCAGCAGGTACCGAATCTGGAGTTTCTTGAAGCTTGATGACTTGCTTGTCTGCAAATCCTGAGCGGTTGTGCACAATTTGCATCGAATTTTGAGATTTGCAAATAGGTCTTGGACATTCCGTAGGTTCCGCGATTCTTCCTCTGTCAATATCGACCTTGACAGTATGATTGCAAACTTGACATTTGAAGAATGCATCTTTCATGTCAGGGAGAATTGGAGTTGTTCGGATCACCAGTCCCTTGATAGCAACAATTTTATCGACATCCGATGGATTGAGTTCTCTCATGTTGACAGTCGAGTCCAGACCAAAAAGACGAACTCGGTATTGTCTCTTTTGGACCTCCTGGCACCAGTCGATTTCCGCAGAGTCATCGGCTCTAGGTGTCGCAGCTTCAGACCCCATTCTGTCGGAGCTTGGAACCGGAGGATCAGAGCTAGGTACTGCAGTATTTTGAGAATTTGGTCCTGCTGTACTGCTTTGCGACCTTCTTTCCCTTGTCATCATGTCTTCGGCTAGTGAGTACATGACATCTTTGATCGCTTGATCCATAAGAGTGACAATATCCTGAGGGTAATCCTGGGCCTGCTGCCAAAGTTTCTTCGTTGGAGGATATGCTTTGAGGTTTCGAAAGTCCAAGTTCAGGCAAGTTACACCCAGTGTCAACATCTGCTGCATCATCTCCACGTATTCCTTCGTCTCAGCATCCTCTTCGGCTTGAGTCTCCTCTTGAGTCATACCATCTGCCCACATGCGGTACTTCTTCGAAAACTCCTTCAGAAACATCTTGAAATTCGAAATAGTATCATTCACAGAGATGTTTGTTCCCCAGATACAGAGGGTGGAGTTTCCTCCCATAGCCTGCGCATCTGATGTGGTTGGATCCAAATTAGAGAAAGTCGGCGCTTCCGAGTTCTCCTCTTGCACATCTCTTATCAATCGACCATTCTCATCCATGAAAATTCTTCGGCGCGTGCGGGGAGTATTAATGTTTTCCGAGTTAATATCTCCACGTCTCGTATTATTCACCGAAGATCCAGGCGCGGGAGTACGTGAAGACCGAACGAAGAGCGCACTACTTTCACTTCGAAGATCTGGTTGCATCGAAGCCTGTCTGCTACCAAAGCCACCAGGGCTCGAACTGGCTTCATATCTGATGGGAGAGGACTCTATTGAATCATTAGCATTATCCAACCGCATTTTGACTGAATTCTCACCTCGATTAAGACCACTAGCTCGTGGAGTACGATCCCCATCCTCTTGTGTAGTCTGTGTATTCGACATCTGCCTCAAGGGCGAACTAACATCTCGTTCCCGATTCATCCTTGCGATTTCAGCAGGAGAAGATCTATAATTCATGGGCGATGAAGACTGGGGAGCACGTCTGGGAGTGCTGCGGGGGTTCTGCGAAGATGCTGCCTCGGATTGAAGTTGTGCGGCGGCTGGATCTGGAGGACTGCTTGGCATTGCATTTCGTTGAGAGGCTCGTCTGGGAGTTCCAGATTGCGAACTTCGCTGGCGGCGATGCGACGGGGAAGACATTTCGAATTATTGTTTACGATTCGATTAATTGTGGTGTTGTATAAGGGAGTGGAGGGGCAGCGTTGGGGTCGTCGCTTGAAACCGTCAAATTGATATGAAAATAAGGGGGTCGAGTCGCGTCGCGAGAGATGTCGCGTCAAAGCGCGTAAAGTGGTTGCAGGACGCCACTAAGCACGTGACTGTATACTTATCCTATTGATTCCTCGAAGTAACTTAAAACGGAAGTTGGTATTTTTTAATCATCTAAATGAGGAGCATAGATTTAAAGCTATTGAGTTTTCACCAAAAGATCAAGTCACGTGCCGTGCCCGAATTCAAGATAGTACCCGACATAACCACGCAGTTAATCACTCATGTCTTTTTCTCATTCAAGTAAAGTATTGTCCACAGATTAAAGGAGCACTGAGTTTGGCTTTAGTCTATTCTCGTAGTTTAACAATATCCCATAATTACAATTCCAAAAACCTTTTTCTCATGCGTTGAACTGTTCGTAGTACTACTGCCATCGCAGTTCCTTGGGTATTGCAATTCCTCTGAGGTTTTGGCGTCTGCTAATTACCAAAATACACCTCGGCAGCTCGTTACGTTTAAAAGGAATTCCACAAGTCTATCCGTACCGAAACTTCACAGACATTGTAAATTGTAAATACCTTTTTATATTGCTTCCTATGATTTCCTCAAATTTGACTTGGATGACTTGGAATAGCTTTGCTAAATACAAAGCGCTTTTCATCGGCTTGTAAGCCTACCTTTCATTTATATACACCTCGGTATATGTGAGACGGCGGTTCCGACCTTGATACTTTCCAGTTATATCTGGGTAGAAACTGTTGGTTGGTGGATGTAAAGGTCGAGTGCATACTATACGAGCTACTGTAATTGGGGATTACTATACAACATCGATCGGGCAATATACGATAAATGGTGGATATAGAGGAGATTCGGCTCGGAGTATAATAGAGAAGCGCAAGCGTTTATACGTCAAGTAAATTCAATAGCTATAGCTTAGCCGCCTTTAGTATTATAGGATCTTGTTAACTGATTTTCCAGATATTTAATTCCTACAGCTCATGCAAAAAACCAAACAAGGGAATAACTCACATATCAACTACACATCCAAAATTCTACTATATCCGCAAAGCATCAACACACCACACCACCTTTTTCCCATCGCGCCTCCTCGCATACCCGCAACCAATAACCACTTCCCCCAACAGCCTTCCCGTCATAATACGGATAATCACTTGGCATACATATTGGCAAACGGGCGTTCCAATCACTATCCCCTCACCGAATGCAATACAGTACATCTTACAAGGGTATAGTAATCGACTTCTTCCCGTTGGCGGAGGTAATGCTTCATTTAGTGAGGATAGGCAGACGGGAAGTACATTGTGCGAACTGCCAAAGTAGGCGGTTGATGAAGTTATGAAGATGTCTGTATATCGGGGGTGATCAGATTGGTTATGGTGTACGTGATAGGTTCAGTGGCGGATCTGCTTTCGTAGAGTTTGAGATAAGGTATCGAGATGTGCCATGGTATTGGTTCATGTGGTAGGAGGGAGGATGCATCAAGCCGGAAGCAAGATAGTGTTGGTTGGGTCGTGGTCTATTGGAGACATTGAAGAGGGAACTGAATGATGATGTCGATGGTCTTGGTATCTTGAAGATCAGGGCATCCTCTCTTTAGCCTAGGCATCACATTACATTTTCAAATACTACACCGGTCCATCAAACAACCACTGCATCTCGTGTGCGCCGGCTTTGCCTCATGCGTACTGATCACAACAGCAGCCTTTTCCCACAACTCTGGATTTGGATATCCTGTTGGCTGGCACACTCCTACGGATGTACCCATTCAGCATCCCATGGCCTGTCCCTATCTGCTGCTCTTGCCGGCATACATGTAAGCCGGAGCTTCCATGCGTGTTCGACGGAGGTGGCGAGCAGGGGCGAAATGAGATCCCGCCAAGCTAATTCCAGCAACAACTCCAGATTCAGATCCCGAGGCTCACGTGTGAGCTTTGATTGTTCTTGACCTTTCAAACAAATCTAGTATGAAATGAAATGGTCTGGATTATTCTCTAATCATCGGTGAAAGGAAAGAGGAGACGTTGTCAAGCAACCATGTTTAGCTTTTAGGGGAAAACAATGGGGAGCTGGGACGTGCGACTCTCGTGAGAACACCGAGCGAACCCCAACCTTCGTGCTCTTGCGCGCTTCCCAGTTCTGGGCCGCTCTTCATCTCCAAAAGTTGGCAAGGGTCCCTATCTCACCAACCAACGAATCGGGCCGCGGAATATCACCAGAAACACATTTTCAAGATAACAATTCAAAAGTCGAAACACCATCGAATGCGTCCAAAAATACAACGACGTTGATGTGGCGTCAATGAAGCTTTCCTATCATGCCCGTCAAGCAATTCAAGCACACCTCCCAAGTATCATGGCATTTCTTGTCTGGCTTGTCCCGTCGCCTTCGCTCTTCTGCCTCGGTAATGTGAGTGGAGCAGCCAAGATCATGTCGAGGATGTCCCCGAGGATTCAGGGGTCGTGAAGCCAACCACCAACTTCTCCTATCGCGCAATGCCATTCTAGTGGCCGGTACGCTTATCGCCAAGAGGATAATACCCAGTGAGAACTAAAAAGGAGTTGGGCTGATTGGCTAAATGATGGTAATGGAAGATTATCAAGCGAGTGCACCTTTCCAAATAGCTGGGGCCGGAGGAGGCGTAACACTCCGTATTGAGCTATGCGATATCTACCCCAAATCTAGGTAAGAAAAAGAGTTTGAGACTAACAAGTAGTATAGTATGGCGTTATCTTCAAGCTTTTACTGTGATTGTTATGTGTCGTCCTAACTTTAGACGCAAAGAGTCAACCGAGCCAAGATTCCAAATGGTATACAAAATTCTTCTCGGGGGGTTCCAAAAGTCGAATGTTTCTCTGGATAGATCACGGCATGTCAGAGGCAAATAATAGCTATCTCAGCCGTAAAAACATTTGGTCCTCGGACGGGCAACAAGAACAGCTGTTGGTGCAACCTTGCCATAGTCGCCGCACAACCGCTCTAACCCATCTCATTGGTACACCAACCAGATAAGAAGGTCTTTCCTACCAAAATTCTCTTGGCGACACCTTCACCTTCCTCAAACGGCAATGTCAGCTAACTCGGTCGAAACCGAAAAAGCTTCTCGAAGCTCGAATCCAACCGTTCCAGCTCGGCCTGGCGCGGTCGTACTTCCACTACCAGGATCACAGAGTACAGTTGCTGCATGGAGAGGAAGCGCTTGTACCCCACATCCACGATCTTCGGTGTGGGACTTCTCTATCGCAACTTCTTGTTTGGGGAGAGGCGTCCGAGATTGATCTGCAATGGGTTGACAAGCAGTGTATATTGGTACACCTGTCGCGTGGGTGATGGGTGGGTGTTGCAGCAGTGTTATAAGTATCCTGCCTTGGCCCTGGGAAAGTTCAAGCTTCATTCTTCAACTGTGATACCATTCAGCAAAAATGGGTTTGTGTTCCTGTGTTCATTTGAAGATGCCCCGGCTAATGTGTTGTGTTAGCGAACAATCCAGCTGCTGATGCTCAGATCATTCTTGGGGGCGATGCCCACTTGAATGTGGATAGAAAGGGTTCTTTCGTCGACACTCATGATATTCATGCTGTGGTAGACGACTATGAGGGCAAGCCTACCGAGGAAGAGCGTCTTACTCTTCGTCGTGTAGCCGGAAGTGTTCCAACTGTCGCATATTTGATCTGCATTGTCGAGTTTGCTGAGCGTTCATCGTGTAAGAATACCTCCACGCGATTGTCTCGATTCACAACTAATATCACCTCTAGACTACGGTGTTCAACCTCTCTTCTCCAACTTCGTCAACAGACCTCTTCCCGCCCATGGAAACGGCTATGGTGCTCCTCCTGCTGGAGGGCAAGGAACTGCCGGTGCCCTCGGCATGGGAACGGTTAAAGCTACTGCGGTGTCTCAATCTTTCTCCATGTTGACATACACTCTTCCTCTCCTTTTCGCTTGGCTCGCCGATACCAAGACCGGTCGTTACAAGATGGTCTTCGCTGGTGTTTGGGTTTGTGGTATTTCCCACGTACTCAGTAAGTTGCTCCACGCAAATGATTGAGTTCCTCGCTAATTATCACAGTGTGCGCTGCTGGTGCTCCTTCTCTTCTTGCCAGTGGCAACGCTAAAATTCCATTCTTTATCTCTGTATACATTCTCTGCCTTGGTGCTGGTAAGTTACTCAATCCGCTCCACTAGACTCACACACTAATCACTTTACAGCTATGTTTAAACCTAATATTTCCCCAATTCTTTTGGATCAGATGAAAGACAACAAGTTAATGACAAAGGTCTTGAAGAGCGGAGAAAAGGTCCTGGTTGACCCAGAACACACTACCGAGCGAACTATGCTGTGGTTCTACTTCCTCATCAACGTCGGAGGGTTCATGAACGTCCCAACATCATACACAGCGAAATACGTTGGATGGTGGTTGTCTTTCTTGCTACCAGTCTTCTTCTACATGCCACTCCCAATTCTCCTCTGGTTCATGAGAAAGAGACTGACTCTCTACCCACCTGGAGGATCTGATCTCGGCAACGTTCTCCGCGTTCTCGGTATCTGCTTCAAGCGGGGCGGAATCAAACGCATGTTCGGAAAAGGAAAAGGGTTCTTCGAGCCCGCCAAACCCTCCGTCATCGCCCTCTCCGGAAGCCCAATAGAAGTCCCATGGAACGACGCCTTCGTCAACGACGTCCGCCGTGCCTTCCAAGCCACCGGAATCTTCTGCTTCTTCCCAATCCAATACATCAACGACAACGGACTCGGAAACTCCGCCTCCGCTCTCTCAACCATGCTCACCACCAACGGCGTACCCAACGATGTCATCGGCAACTTCAACTCCCTCTCCATCATCATCGCCGCGCCCATCCTCAACTTCGGTCTCTACCCCCTCCTCCGCAAATACAAGATCCACTACGGTCCAGTATCCCGCATGACCACCGGTCTCCTCATGTCCGCCATCGGCGGCGTCGGCTACACCGTCCTCAACTACTACGCCTACAAACTCGGTCCATGCGGTAACAAGGGTACCTCCCTCTCCTGCGTCGACGAGAACGGCGACTCCCTCGTCTCCAGCATCACCATCTGGTACATGGCCATCCCCTACGCCATCGGTGGTATCTCCGAACTCTTCATCAACGTCCCCGCCTACGGAATCGCCTATTCCCACGCACCCAAGAACATGCGTGGTCTCGTCGCCGCGCTTAACCTCCTATCCACCGGTTTCGCATACGCTTTCGGTCTTGCATTCGCTGGTCTCGTCAAAGATCCTTATCTAACCTGGGTCTTTGGTGCCCCATCTATCATTGGGTTCGTGGCCGCCGCTACCTTTTACTGGCTCTTCCGCGATATGGATAATGAGGAGTATGAGATCTCGGACAATGGTGATTACCATCTTGAGGGTGCGCAGCCGGCGGCTGCTGCGACGAGTAGTGCGGGGAGTGTGAGTGAGAAGGGTGTTGGTGTTGATGAGAAGAAGGTGTAAATTGGTGTAATATGTGGATAATGGTGTTGTTTAGATAGTAGATATACCCTATTGAGTTTGATTACTGTACCACTGTTTGCTCCCACTGAGTGTGATGTGATGGTATGTGTATGCTTGATTATGATATAGTCCTGTTTGATAAATGTTCTCCTAGAGAAGGGAAGAGACTTCTTCCCTAACTCTCTTCCTATATACTTTCTATTCCTGTTAACCAAAACATTAACGTTCAATGTATAATCTCTTGCGACACGAACATAGAAATCCTCAAGTCTAACCCTACTGAGACTAAACTCAATCCATCTCATTCAAACAATCCCCTCTCCTTTCATTCAGATCTCTGGGATAAAACTGCACCTCCTCATTCCCATCAAGCAAACCAACGCCCACACCGAACTATAAACTCTTTGCAAAACAAACTTAACTCTCCCAATTTTATTAGCCCTATCCAACGTAAAGAAAGCGTGTCTCCCATCACAACTCCTAAGTATCTATCAAGTAACGGACGGTATCGCTCAAATACAGCCCTGAACCCTTTCCCCCAACTCGAACCACCTTTCCCATCCAATACTATCCCACAACGCACCTCTGCACCCTCGGTAGAGACGATCATACTCCTGCTCTTCCACCCGCTTGATTTTGTAATCTGGCCCGAATACTATAATTTCCTTCTCCTTCTCCTTCTCCCTCCGCTCCCTATCACCTTCACTACTCTCGTCTTCTTGCGCCACAGTTGCAGGAGGCTCGTCATACACAAACCCCAAAACCACCTCACTCATCCCCCTCACAAACGTCCTCGCTTCAGGCGTGACAAGGAAATGTGCGTAATTCTGGAATAAGAACGATATCTCAAGTTCATGACTAGCCATACCTGTGAATAACGAGTTTGTCGTTGGATTTTGCTATCAAACGTCAATCTCCAACTTCCACTGTGAGATTTAGGGAAGTACCAACCTGGTGAAATTCATACCGTCCTCCCCTCTCCGCGAAACCCCGGCGCATCGCACGACTTGGGAGATTAAACCGTAGATCACTGATCAAGTCCAGCGCGTTTTTGTAGATCTCCTGAGCATTCAATTCACCGACATGATTTGGGAGTGGCAGGGAGTATGCCTCTAGAATACGAAGGATTGGATCGTGCGTGGTTGCATTTAGCGAGATGGTATTCGGGTTCGGTGCGAATGTTTGAGCGAGGGAGGTGTGAATTCTAGCTAGGAGATCGGCTAGAGGAAGGGCGAGGAGACGGGTATGTAAACATGTGCCCTGATTGCATTAGTCAGATTGGGAAGGAGGAGGGAAGGGATTGGGGGGAGGTTGACATCATGAGCTGCAGAACCGACGATGACCTTTTTACACCACTCCGGTTTTCCACGTCTATGATTCGGATCGAGGAGATTCCCAACTGTAATTTCGTCTGTGATAAGGGTGTTGTCGATGGTTGGGGACCAGTGCATGAATGCTGGTAATTTGTCGACTATTTCGTTTGGGTGCATGGTTAACATTTCCTCGATCCTCTCTTTGGGTGTCAAATTCTGGAGCCCAAGTGCTGTGATGATAGATTGGTAGTGTGAGTCTTGCCATTTCATATCTCGTGGTCTTCGGAGCGTGGGATCTCCAGACATGAGGATTGCTTTAGAGAATAAGGGTTCAGAGTGATTGATGTGAAGGAGTGTGCTTAGACATACTGTCATCAGGCGTCAGCATTCCGAAGGCTGTTTCTCTAAGGCTAATTGTGAAAAACACTAGAAGATGATGAACCTACTACTTCCCGCACTTTCTCCAATCGCAGAGACCCTCTCGGGATCACCTCCGAGCCCAGAGATATACTTCCAAATCCACTTGAAAGCACAGATTTGATCTTTTAAACCTAGATTACCAGAAAGACCTAACTCTGACGATGCTAGGAAGCCGAAAAGACCGACACGGTAACTAGCGAACCAGTCAGCGTTGTTTATGTAGGCGCTTGAACAAAAGGGTTAATTACTTTATAGACACGGCAATAACAGGTTTACCAATTCCCACAGACTCCGAGACCAGATTAGAGAGATCGTATTGAGGCCACGAATTGCCTCCTACAGAGAACCCGCCACTACCGCAAATCAACTCTGCTTCTCAAAATGAGGATTTGACATACCCGTGTACCCTAACATATCAGCATAATCTTTCGTCACTTACTCCATCTCACATACCAGACTACCACAGGCAATGACCCCTCGAAATTTCCTTCGGGTACGGCGACAACCAGATTTAAACATTCCAACTCGTCATTTTCACTTGAACCAACCGATAAACTATCAGATTTTCTTCGATTCATTTCCTGTCGCATTTCAGGGACTTCGCCAATGAGATTCACGTCATATGTGAAGCCAGCAGGATGTTGGGGACACGAGGGACCAAACGTGGTACAGTTTTTGGGAATCTGATTTGTGGATGATGGAGCATAAGAAAGTAGAAGAGGATCTTGAAAGCGTGATGATATGGAAGCATATTTGATGTTGCGATATTCAGTTGTCTTTTTTGATGGTGTGGTGTAACCTTGAAGTGGGCCAAGCTCTGGATGGTATAGAGTTGAGGGCATGGTTGAAGGCATGGTTGAGGGTATAGAGTGCCTATTTTAGGATAGTATAAACAATGACAATTGGGAATGGAGTTAGGAAGGTCTTTAGAGGATGACTAGAAAGTGTTTCTAGAGGATTGAGGGTCTGTTCAGGCCCCACCTTCAAAGTGACCCCGCTACCCCGCAAACCCCAGAATACTGCTGACTGGAGAAGAAAGGCAATGAAGTCAAGGTTTTTTTTTTCTTGAATATATTAGACGCACCTGTGTGCTTCTAACAACTTATTCTATGTTGAAAATCATTAGATCCCTATCCCAAATAGAAAAACGGAAGACCTTGCCTAAAATCCTCCCTTCAGTTGCTGTCAGTCAACAGATAAACCACTAGCACTCGGTTTTTATGCCTGAGCAGATATGGCGCCCATAACTCGAGAATCAGTCTGCGACCCGTGAATGGCCTAGAGTGATCTAGGCTAACAGTTGTGAAGAGCAATAGGCACCTTGTAAACACACTAAGTGGCAATGCTCTCTAGGTTGCAATGGCACGCCTTCGGTAGGGAGTGTGTCTCGGGTGAAAGGCATTTTTCCGCAGCCACTGTATCCATGACTTCTGCGTATGTATTCCAGCAAATAACTGTCCTGCGTCCAGCCTACTCTTTCTTGACCTCTTTTGCATTGGCCAGACTTTTCTTTTCGATCAAAGCTCTCCATTCGTGCTCGAGCATGCTCCAACTAAGATAATCGTGCCAGTCCCCATTGAACCAAAGCAACTCCCGTTTGCAACCTTCGTACACGAAACCCAGTCGCTCGTACAATTGTCGTGCGCCCTCGTTATAGCTGAACGCCTCAATGCCGATCCGATGTAACCCAGCGATCTTAAAGCCCCAGTTCAAAGCCCATTCTATTGCCTCGCTACCATATCCCTTTCGTTGATAATCTGCGATGATATCGATCGAAATATAGCTGTTTCGATGGTGTTCTGCACCAGGTTTCGGTGCAGTAAGGTATAGACTGCCTATTGACGTCCTCTCGGGATTTGGAAGACAGATGATAACACCGAGTAGGGTTCGACTCGAGACATATGCGTGGTGTGAATTGGCCTCCTTGGTTGTCATCGGCTTCAGGAGATCTGAGTCTGAAGAAGCTAATGCAGCGACGTCGGATTGAATCTTGTACATGAAATTTTTGTCCTCTTGATCATCTTCCACTGCCCGGTATATAAGACGAGCGGACCGGAAGAGCTTTTCAATACCTGCTGTTGCCATTGCTGCTATCGTTTGAGTTCCTGAGCGAGAGCTGGTCAAGAGTATTGTGCGAGGTTGTCAAGAATCTGGGTGTTTGGATGTAGTTGTTATTGACGAGACTTAGCAGACATAGCAAGCACCTACCTATTCATATATACCAGGACGGCATAAATGGTATCCGGTAATTCAATCGTAGATAGATACCAAGAGAGGTCGGGGAGGAGGTGGATAGCATTCTGCCGGTTGGAAAAGCGGTGAAGGCTGGCGGAGACATTTTTCCTTCTTCATTAGGAAATCGTTTTGCATCAACCTCCGTCAGAATTCGGAGACACCATATTCGAGAGTTATCAAGCGAAGCTCTTAGGTATTATTTTTGTTGTCCTCGGATGCTCATATCACGACCTTGGGAGCAATTGTTGTGACATATTGTCATCGACTCTGAAAAGAAGTTGGATGTTCAAGACTTCAAGTGCGCAAACACAACTACATTTGGGCCTTTATTAGTGCAGAACAAAATCTGATTTTGCTCTATTTACAGCTCTTATTTTCTCCGCAGTCTACTGTTCTGAAAAGAGAACTTTGCTCAGACAAACATCTAACAAGGTATAAGGAGTTTGACTTGCTTTAGTAAGAAATCTCATATTTTATTGCTATTTCAAATCCTACTCCAATACAGTTTCCATCGCATCCCTTCTCTGAACAATTTCGCGGAGACAAGAGAAAAAACAAGACACACAAATCCTTCTAAACAAAAACCATTTCCTAAACAAATTGCTGTCATAATATCGTTATTTACCCTCTTATCCTACCCAAAAGCTCCGACAAGATTCTCTTGAAGCCCAAGAAAACATGTGCCACTGCTCAACAGTGCTTGTGAATGGACGATTACTTGCCATACTGTTCCTGTGTCAGTATAAAGCCCGTTTGTATTCTTCAAAAGAGTGCTCATACCTTAGCCAAGTCCTGGTCAACTGATCGGCCATACTTTGCAAGATCCTGATCGACGGCAACGGCAGCTTCCCGTTTTCCATATTTAGCAAGATCTTGGTCGACACTTCTGCCATATTTGGCAAGGTCTTGATCAACTGCTGGAGCTGCTTCACGTTTTCCATACTTGGCGAGATCTTGGTCTACTGAACGTCCATATTTTGCGAGGTCTTGATCAACAGCCGGGGAGGCGTCGCGTTTTCCGTACTTGGCCAAATCTTGATCGACGCTTCGTCCATACTTAGCGAGATCCTGATCAACAGCTGCTTCTCTTTTGCCATACTTTGCGAGGTCCTGGTCTACTGAACGCCCATATTTTGCAAGATCTTGGTCGACACTGCGTCCGTATTTGGCGAGGTCTTGGTCAACAGCCGCCTCTCTTTTACCATACTTTGCAAGATCTTGATCGACTGATCTACCGTACTTGGCGAGGTCTTGGTCGACGGCTGCTTCACGTTTGCCGTATTTAGCAAGATCTTGGTCGACCGAGCGACCATACTTTGCAAGGTCTTGGTCAACTGCTCGTTTGCCGTATTTGGCCAAATCTTGGTCTACACTTCTACCATATCTTCGAAATGTCAGCTAGGTTAAGCAGTAGGTATGTACAAGGTACTCTTACTTGGCAAGATCCTGATCAACTGCTCGTTTCCCATATTTTGCAAGATCTTGGTCTACTGCACGCTTTCCATACTTTGCCAGGTCTTGATCAATTGCACGTTTGCCGTATCTGAATTTGTCAGTCCATTTTTCTCAATATCAGATGTTGATACTCACTTAGCTAAGTCTTGATCAACAGCAGCTTCACGTCTACCGTATTTGGCAAGATCTTGGTCCACTGCTCGCTTCCCATACTTTGCAAGGTCCTGGTCCACTGCTCGCTTTCCGTATTTTGCAAGGTCTTGATCGACGCTGCGACCATATCTGTTACGACTGTTATTAGTCTTCATCTTTCAAATAGGAAATGGCAAAGAGTTTGATAGACTTACTTTGCTAAGTCCTCATCCAAGCCTCGAGCGAGCAGAATTGGAGGTGCGTTTCCAGCTCCCTCGAAGATCGGAGCAGCAGCTACTAGAGCTGGCAAAAGGACTATTGCTTTAGAGAAATACATGTTTGTTGTTGTGTAATTGAAGATGTATGAAGATGTTTTGGAAAAGCGAATTATGATTTGATTGCGAACTGTTGTTGTGAGTGTGAGAAAGCTGATGCTGATGATGATTTATTTTCTCACGGTGAAACACATCTTTATATACATTCTCTGATCCAGAGATTTCAATTCAAAAAGATCTCAGTCTGGGTACACCAAGTATGTCACGGCCGAAAGCATCTCACGGTAGGCAGAGTGTTTCATTGACGAAGCGCAATTTTTCCTGTTGGGTTAACCAGTATGAAAGCTCAAAACAGACATCACTTGACATCGTCTACCAATTAGGAAACTCCGTAGAACTCAAAGAACCAGGAAGCTGCTAGTTCCGACATCATGTCGTGCATTTTCACCTATGAAAGTCTCGCTTAGCCTTAAAGACAAAATACCTACGTCCATAGGTAAGCGTTACCTTTCCGGGCGATTTCAACGGCCGATACAAGCTTGTTCTGCCACGGCCGTATGTTCCATGGCATACATGACTAATGTCACGTTTTCGTTTTCCTCGTCGGATGTGCCTATTTGGATTGTGAAGGCACTTCCGTTTTAGGAAGGTATTCACAAGTCTTGGCATAAGCGAGCCCCATATGTACTTAGCTGCCACTAAGAATTGCCGGACAATTACCAGACTTAGTGTTCGTAAGTCGTCACTCGAATACCCCGCAGACTAACGGCCGTTTAATTTTATGTCAAACTGCATTACTTGTGTGCTTCAGGCTTCCGGCAGTAAGAAACAAGCATTAAACTACACTTTTTAGTAACCCGAAGCTCAATTAGATGTACGTCTTCGCACGTAAATGAGGGTCTTCGACCGGCATGTGTTTTTGTCATCGACGATGCTACAATAATTCTGGTTGTTGTAGAATGTGTTGTTCAGATCCAAAAGATGATATAAGTCGCAAAGTACCAATATGTCTCAGCCAAGTCAACTTTTCATTCCCATCACGAGTTTTGTTTTCCCTCGCAATGCAAGACTCTAAGCCAAGTCGTTTTTCTGGTGAGACCGCAAGTTCTCGGGAAGCCCTCCTCCCAGATCCTGAGCACTACAACTTTGACGAAAATGTCTCTCGCAAGAAGCCTCGGAAATGGTTTAAGCCTGTGTTCGTTCACGGTCTAATATTTGCTTCGTACACGCTTGCCTTCATTGGATTAGCGAAGAGTATCAGAGGTGAAAACTGCCATCCAAACATGATATTCTGTAAGCACCCTTGCCCAAGCATATGTACCTCGCTAACACCACGCAGCACCTGCACGACAAGCGGTAAAATACGAACTCAATCATGCCGAGAACGACTTGATGAAAAAGTCTCCCTATGCGGGATTTCCTACACCAGAAGGCGATCAAGCATGGCGCGACCTTCTCCGTAACTCAAACATTCGCATTTCTGCCGATGAGTTGACCAAACTGAATCGCTCAAGTATTCAACTGCAGGATGGCAGCGGTGACTATTTTGGCGGTTTAAGTGCGCATCACCATTTACATTGTATCAAAAGTGTGAGACGAGTGCTCTATAGAGATTATTACAATTTGCCTGAGGAGGATTGGATGTGGAGTCATCTCGGTAAGCATCACTTCTCCGTTAGATCAATGTACACTGCTCTAACACAAGGCAGATCACTGTCTGGAAGACCTCCGCCAAACAGTAATGTGCCAAGCTGATTTTTCTGTAATCACCTATGACTGGCTTCCTAATTACCGTCGGCCCTGGGCAAATTTCAAAGTCGACGGCGAATGTGCCAACTGGGAAGCCCTTGATAACTGGGCGGGTGAGAGGTTCTTCTCGCTGTTTGACGAGACGGCGTTAGTACATCCTGAGTTGGGTGTCAGTTATCCTATGGTCAACGGAGAACCAACTATGGATAGTACGCCTCATCCGCAGATTCAAGATATTCAAGCTTTGAGAGAGGGGAGAAACCCAAAAGATGTGGTATATGATCCTAAGAAGGGCGAGAAACCAGTGGTTTGGGAGAAGTTGAGGGGGAAAATGGACGAAGATTGAAACCTCCTATAATTATAATGGAAGAATTCAAGGGCATAGTTGGCGTTTCAATTGAACTGTAGGCATTATTGGCGTTCTTAACCTTTGGGTGCGGGCAACACCTTTGTCGAGTTTTGTGTTCTTAACATGACGGGACTCGGTATCTATAGTTCTCTTGGGGTAATTCATATACATTCATACTATAGTTTTGTATCCTAAATATTGCCGTCTTTCACAAGCCTATGGGCAATGTTCCATTTCCAGGAGGGCTTACTGCGTAATAAGTGGTCAAGATGGTGGGGACGTTTGGATAAGCTTTGCAGCCAGCCACAAACTCAAATTCAGCAATCAAAAGCCTCAATACAACGCCACTAGAATTGTTAATCCGAGATAGGCCTCCGACTTCTCGTTTTGAACATTTGCCTAGTACAGTTCAGCTGGTAGATATTCTGCACACACTTGCAATCAAATATTTTAAACTGTAATATTTCTTGTTTTTAGAATTGTAGGTGCCCTTAAAACTTCAGTCCATTCGTAATAATAGCAACTTCCCCGTTCCTGGGACAGAGAAGAGTTCCTAGCTCACTGAGCACAACAAGTGACAACGCCTCGCTAGTCGCCCACTCCTTTGGCAAAAAGAAGTGCTTTTGATGTCCCGAGACGCTAGTGCCAATTTGCCACGTACAAAGCCATTGCTGGTGATCAAAAAACACAACTTGGCTCTGGTAACTACCAACGAGCTTTGACACCTCATTTGCTAGGCCTTGAATGGTATTATCGAGTAGAATTTCAGGGTTGCTCAAAGCGCTACCCATCGCTAACTTTAGGTCTTTAGTGTGGAATAATTCAAGTCGCCGCTTTTTTCTACGATCTCTCTCGTGGCCAGAGCTGGGAATCGTTTCGATGATCACGGCTCTAGTGTCTTTCGTCGCAGTGACGTGGTTCACAACATTTAACTCCTGGTTGTATGGATTGTGTAATGCAAGATCATCTAGATCCTGTTCAAGTCCGTGCTTCTTGGTAGACATTGCTTGTGTAGAATCGACAAGTTTTAAACCTGTGTCGGGGGTGAGGTCTGCAAATTCAACCCAATCGAATACATGTAATTTGCCTGCTTGCACAGACAGAAGTTGTGCAGCGTTCTTTGGATTTTCAATCCATTTTAGATGTCGAGGTGAGCTATGTTTTCGTGTGTGGCATATTTTCTTCGCCGACACATCCCATACTGTTTCGGCAGAGAAAGTAGATACCAAGAGATACTTATCATTGGAACTGAAGAGAAGTTGATTTATTCCATCGGTCTTGACCCTAAATTCCGATGCTTTGAAGACTGTTAATTTACCGCCTGGAGCACTAGGCAGTGCGAGCTTCCTCACCAAGACTCGGCCAGATTCGTCTCCAGAAGCGATATAATTGCCAGATGAAGACCATGTCAAGCTAATTATAGCCATTTCAGCCGTATGACCCGGAAGAGTGCGAAGTCTTTTGCCAGTGGTCATATCATGAATTGCGACTGAGCCGTCATCTCGACCGCAACAGAAACCAAGGTCTCTTGGCGCACAAGATAACGCTGTTATACTAGGGCCACTGGTCGAGGTTGTCGAGAGTTTTATTGTCTCGCCATCCCATGTACTGCCACTTACTGAGGTGCTGTCTTCTTCGGCGTCAGGTCTTTCGGCTGGAACTAGAACTTCAGGCTCCCAAACACCACACACCGATCCCCTGAGATCGTAAAATCGTTGACTATCGAAGCTAAAAGCAAGATCAGAGACAAAATCTTGGTTCTCAAGGTGATATAGAACACTGAACTCTGGTGCACCACTTCGGGAGTGATCTGGAGTTGTATATATTCTTACTGCGCCGCGGTGATCACTAGTAAGAAGATAGTTTCCACATCGACTTAGAGTCATCACTTTGGCGCCAATGAGGTGTTCGCTTTGCTCATCGTATACAGGATTCCAGTTTACCAGTATTGTATCGTGATAAAGGATGTACAGATTTCCAGAATCCGGATGCCATTTGATGACTTCTGCTTGTATAAATATATCTTTCTCCGTATGCGTCATTTCATCCCTCCTAATGCATCTATGTATGCGACTTCTGGAAGGCATATCCCACACCTCGACCGCTTTTGCTCTAGATGAAACGGCAACTTGTGTTCCGCTAGCGTTGAAGCTCACACATCTTAAGCCTTGATTTCCACTTTCATCCCCCATCAGCACAACACGAAAAGCCGTTGTAATGACTTGAGTCCGCCAATTTTGACAGACTATCAAGTGGTCTTGATACCCTACGAGGACTTCGTCTTCAGAGGACCCGAAAGCGATCGTGAGAACTCGGTCATCGCTATGTTTAGTAAGGGACCCAACATTTCTCCCGGTTGACAGCTCCCATATCCTGATCATATTTAATCCCGACGTGCAGACAAGTTGTCCACTCGAGCTGACTGCCATTTCAGTGACATACTCACCATGGTTGAGCCTTCTTAGCTCCTCACACGTCTCCGAGCTCCACACCACCAAGCACTGAGCCTGCGGTACTAATGCCGCAAAGACGTTGTTAGTGGCAATAAGCTTTGATGCTGATTCGTCCGCCCCAACAGAGAGACGTGCGTGACAGTCATCCCAGTCTGCAGAAGTCAATCCGGAAACTGAAATTCCATTGTGACCAGTCCTAAGAAGTTTTCTTATGGCAGAGTTGGCAGGACAAAATGGAGGAATTAGCTTGTAGATAGACGATGGGTGGGGCAGGAGATTAGACCCAAATTTTCCTATGAGCTTAATCAAATCGACTGTCCACAGTTTCAGAAACTCGACATCATCACTCTGGAAGGTGCGGGGATCTGCCTTGTGAAGTGACTTTTCCCTGGCTTTTATGAATGTCTTCAGATACTGCGCCGCTTTGATGATAGATTTCAAGTCTCCCATTAATGCTAAAGAATTGATCCAAGTAAGCACATCGTTATCAAAAAATTCACAAACTACGTTTCGAAGAGCCTCAGAATCTGGTTTAGCAAGACTCAGATGATAGGCCCAATATGAAGACGCATAAACCAAAAATCCATAAGTACTGGGAAGTAGGTTGGCAACCGCGTTTGGGAAGGAAATGCTTCCCCGGCGAATTTCAGCCGTACTAAGTATTTGCCTCCACTGACGGTCTTTGGTGGATGAAAGATACCTGAGACAAAGAATTGCGAGATATTCGTGGCAATCAGCTGATCTCAACGAGACAAGTTGGCTGGCGTTTTTGTTTACCAGAAAGTGCCTCGCCGTTTCATGAACTAGGTTGATTCTGGCATTTTGAACGTGAACAAAGTCGCCACAGATATGACTTATGGTATCCTCTAGACTAGTTAGATCTGGGAACTCCGAATCAAGAGCTATCGTCAATTCCGAAACGTGGAGAGGCCTGAACGAGTAGGTAGCCCATCGAAGGAGTGTAGAAGCCATATGTCGCGTCGGAGCCGCTTGTTTCTCGATCTTTTGAATCATACGCGCATACAGAGGTGTCATCTCGGTAGGAAAGCTGCTCAAAATAGTATCAATGTTACTTCGCAAGTGCCAATTTTCTCCCAGGTCCTTAGTTGCCAACGCGACCCACAAGAAATTTCCAGATGCTTTGGTCAGAACTTTATCCACGAGCCGTTGTCTAGTCGCGACGCCCTTTGGAATCATGACTGCGACGACCTCTTCAACATAAGCTTTTATATCATCGTAAGTGTCGATTGTTGATAACATATGTGTTGTAGACTTGAAAGGCAGCTGCTTTATTCTCATAGTGATGTCTGTCGTTGGCCGAGAAAGCAAAAGGATCTTAAACCGTAAGCTTTGGTTGAGCGCTTTGAAACATTGGAATATGGTTTGAACGGCTCCAGGTTCACTTTCATCCAATCCATCTATGATCCAAAATTGATTAGAGTGAAGTTCGAGTGGATCTGTCATCGCGTTTCCAAATAACCTTTCACACAAGACAGCAGCACTGATGCCTTCCAAATTTGTGCCAAAATGCTCCGCTATTTGCGACAGTTTAATGCGAAGCGGAGGAGACCATCGGGCCATCTGGAACACAAGTGACCGAAAAAGATAAGATGCGGAGCGCTTTGATCTGTCGGAGAATTCGAAAGAGTGATAATGGCAGGAGGGGTCGTTCCACCTTCTGCGAACGACAGAAGAGATATAAGTGGCTAAAACCGACTTTCCTGTCGCCGGAGCGCCGGAAATCCAGAGCAAATGTGGCCCAGATTCTTCTTTCTCAACCCAATTATAAAACCATTGGTGATGGTGAATCCAATGGCATGTACCGTCTCTAAATCGAGTCGAAAATCTTTGCGAATTCCGAGCGAGATCTGTTGCATCAATACCAAGCAACTTTCCTACCTCTACGCTTTCACTGGGGTTAGTTGTTTCAACATAATCAGGTGCTATATTTCAGTCAGTGAGGGTGCAGGACATTTTTGGAAGGAAGAAAATTTACAAGCCTCTATATTTCCCGACGTGATCTTGCTCAGCAGATTTCTGACATCTTTGTACCGAGAACAATCGCGGTTTTCAAATTTACATATTGTGTGATGATCTGCCACCATGGGGATGCTTGTCTCATTTTGGAGATTTAGTACGCCCGAATCTTTGTCGACAATCTATACCTGCGGTATCAATATCACTGGTAAAAATAGTTGACGACGAAACTTACATATGATTTACCACCAACGCCGGACGTTTTCAGTGTTTCGTAAAAGGAGAAAAGCTGGAGATCCTGGCTGACATTTGTAAATTCATCGTTGATACTTTGAAGAAATGTTGAGTTTGATGCGAGTTCTTTAACATAGTCCTTAGACATTCCGAAAACTTGAAGTAATTGGCTAAGAGCTTCAGCTCCGTTACCTCCGCGATGTGGTGTAGACATGAATATTACGGCTTTCAGTTGAGACACAATATTTGTATAAGCTTTATCATTCAATCCGATCGTGAACGCCTGTTAGAACGGGTTTAGTATGCCAAGCTAATACAGAGGCAGATGAACCCACCTTCTTCGCAACGAGGCCCCCCATTGAGTGGGTAACAAAAACAAGAGGTAGCTAAATCAGTCAGTTCTAGCATCTCAAATTGGAATGGCAAGTCCTACGCTTCCTATCGGGATATCCTGCTGCTCGTATTTCATTTTGAAAAGCAGATCTTTAGCAAAGTCCATAATATTCATCGTGGTAGACGATCCTGCCAGTGCGGCGGCATAACCAAACGTCCAAACTCTAACATTTCTCATCTCAGGTTCCGATACCAGCCATTGGGGCCAGAAATTAGCTCTGTCATGAGCCCATGACCATGACCGATAGCATGATCCTCCTAGGCCATGGAGAAATATTACATCCACAACCGGATGGCGAGGTAATGAAATGGCAAAAAGTCCCGTGGGGTCTTTGGATTTGGAAATGCTATTAGCGCTGCCCTGTTTTATGGGGGCTAATCGAGAAGTCGCAATGCGGGGGAGATCGCGAGCTTCAGGAACAGACTGGCTTCTCGATGCGCGGCTTTGTGACGAGCCATCAATGTCCATAGCCTCGCTATATGCCTCATCATACTTCAAGCTATCGTAGGATTCTGTAATGCCGAGTTGCTCATCAGAGTATTCTTCAACAGCGACATCGTACCCTGGTGGAAGTGATCGATTTTCGCGGGTTTGTAGAAAGCCAGGACGCTTTAATTTCTTGAACTATTATCAAGTTAGTGAAGTTTCAGGTGTGTTGAATACCTGAGAGCTACCAAGCCGTTACCCTCCATCGCAAGCTGCGTTTACATAGTTTGTCCCGCTAGATCTAATATTACGACGAATGTATTGACGTCCCAGCTAACTGAGGTTTTCGCATGTATGGTTGAGCGATGGGAATTGTCTTCCGTGTCACGAAAGTTGTGACGCTGACATCGGCAGTAAGGCTAGTCTTACAGAGCCATTGATTGGGATGACTTTTTCTTTTTGTAAGGTCGCACGTGGTCGATCGACGATCAGGCAGAAGGAGAGGCTCACTGGTGTCTGGGCCATACAGTGAGGCGGCAATTTGGGTCTGTTCCCGAGGTATTCGTGATGGGGATAGGTCCATTTTTGGAAAGGACGGATGAGGCGGAGGCGCAGACCCGGGTTTTGACAGGGCTTCTAGACTCAAATATCGATAATGCGGAGGTGGGTATAAATGTGCATGTTCTCCGGTAGCCTTACAACACCCTGGAAAGAATCCTTCAAGCCTGAACCAAAAGTGGGCGAATCTTACATTTAACGAACAGACATCGACTCTTGGGCTGTACTGTATCTGTCAGCATCACTTATTCCGATTACTACAATATTATTAAATCCTGTAGTCGAGTTTTGATTACGATCATAACCCTTCTTTAACTATGGCATCACAGAATACCTCGGATACTTCGACCGTTATGGTACTCGACGGGACCGATCCAGCGATCGTTACAGACTACGTTCATCCACACTCAAGAAATTCTGGTCGTCAAGAAGATTCAGTTGTGCCTCCAAAGACTGGCGGAGAATTTCAAGTGGATGATAATGTAATAGCTGGTTAGTTCATCACCATAATACCACCTACCTAGGTGATTTTGAGAATTGTCTAGCCTTGCCTGTGTCGGGGACGAAGTTTGTAACAGCATATCACTATGGCTCCTCCATGTGGGGGTTGACAGCAAAGGTCGTTACCGAGCTTCCTGGTGGAAATATTAGAAACTACATGTTGAAAGTAGGTCAAAGAGAGCTTTCCACTGTAACCTAGTAACATCAGCTACAGGTTGTACCTAATGAAAAGCCGGGGAGGTATATGCTAGAGGGTGAATATGAGTCTGCAAAGGCCATGCACCAAGTTGTGCCATCTTTTACGCCAGTTGCTCATGCCTGGGGAGCTCTCAAAAACGGGCCTGGTTACTTCTTGCTTTCCGAATTTCGTGATATTGGACAGCAACCTGCGAGTCCTGGAAGGCTAGCAATGCGATTGGCAGAACTTCATAGGAACTCCGTTTCGCCTACCGGAAAATTTGGTTTTCATGTGACTACATGCCATGGAAGAATTCCGCAATACGTCGGGTGGGAGTCTTCGTGGGAAGTTATGTTCGGCAAGATCCTTGGGAGAGCCATGGATATTGATGAGGAGACACATGGCGAATGGGAAGAATTCAACGCAGTACGAAAGCTGCTTTTCGACTTCGTAATTCCCAGACTTCTCCGTCCATTACAAAGTGAAGGTAGAAATATAAAACCGTGTCTTATTCATGGGGATTTGTGGGATGAGAACTGCGCCGACGATATGAGAACTGGTGAGCCCTTTGCTTTCGATGCAGGAAGTGTCTATGCGCATAACGAGTACGAGATTGGATATTGGAGACCAGTCAGACATCGGTTGAGTCATGGAACATACGTGAGGGCATACAAGAAGCACTTTCCGATCTCAGAGCCAGGTAGGTCGTGTTCATCCTCCGAATTGTTGGTTTCATTCTGCCAGCGCATTAACGCTCGTCCATAGAGGAAGACTGGGATGCGAGGAACTTACTTTACTCAATGAGGTGGAACATATCACTCTCTGTACTTGTCCCTATTAGTGGGCAAAGAAAGGTGTAAGTTCATCCTAGCTACTGTCGTGGTGAAGTGCTAATTGCGATGGACCAGTGTCTTTGATGATATGAAGATTCTCTGCCGGGATATTTGCCCAGATGAATTAGCTAAAGTGGAGGCTCAATTCACGGTAACGGGTAAGAATGATTCGACAGACGTTGCAGATGAGGAGGAGGAGGAGGAAGAAGAAGAAGAAGAAGAGGAAACATAAATATAGGCGGTCCCGGGAAATCAGATAGATATATATCCATTAAACTTCCGAGAGCGATTGCTCTTGTAACATAATTTATATCTTAGAGAAGGTCACATAATCATGAGAGGTTCCAATTGATAGTGAAGATACTTCACCCCTTTTCATTTGTGGCGATCCTAAAAGTGGGTACATCAATCGGGACTAATTTAGCCGAGACTCCGCAGGCGTTTTCTCCTCTTTCCTGCTTCCAACAACATCAGATTTATATGAGATTTGTTCCGCATTCTCTTGTTTCGATAACGCAGGTTAAGTTGAGCCGCAAGTATGTCTCCAAGCCAGAGCATATCACACCAGGATAATTATTTCCCTCCTTTCTCCTCGCTTCCCCTTCAAAAGGATGGACCTCGAGGTAATGCTTGGGGCCGTTTTGGCCCTACCGATAGCCTTGGAATGTTGAATTTACTTACGCCCAATGTCGTTGCCCAAGCTGCAACCCAGATTAAAACCGGCGAACGAGTCTCGCTAGACTGGCCCCTCAATAAGCCTTTGTATCCAAGCTACAAACGCGTGGCTTTTCGTCATGATATCATTAATAGAGGCAAAGGAGGAGAGGAATTGCGGGTCGTGAACGACGACATACTGACTTTCAATACTCAATGTAGTAGTCAATGGGATGGGTTCAGGCATTTTGGTTAGTTGTCTTTGAGAGATATGAATTCATCTTAGCTTGTCTCACTTCAATTTGTTTAGGATATCAAAGAGAGAAACGATATTTCAACAATCGAACACACGAAGAGATAGGAAACTCTGCGGTTCTCGGGATTGATGGTAAGAGTGACTAAAATCCAAAGTTCAACACACAGTCTGACTTCTGTATCAAGCCTGGGTTGACAGTGGTGGTATTGTGGGACGAGGCGTGCTTCTTGACTATACCTCCTGGGCCGCCCGTAATTCGATTGCACTAGATGTTTTTACTCGTACTTGCATCCCAGTGTCCCACTTGCAGCGAATGGTGGAAGAGCAGCAAATATCTTTTGAACCTGGAGACATTCTATTCCTGCGGACAGGTTTCACTGCTGCATTTAACAAGTTGAGTGAGTCTCAACAGGAAGCCATTTCACTGCGCCCAACGGCAGATTTTGCTGGTATCGAAGCATCAGAAGAGACGCTCAAGTTTCTATGGAACAATCAATTCTCGGCAGTTGCTGGCGATTGTCCAAGTTTTGAAGCCAGTCCAGTACATGGGCCAGGTGTTGATGATACATGGTCCCTTCACGAATGGCTTTTGGGTGGATGGGGAATGCCCATTGGGGAGATGTTCGACTTGGAGGCGCTGAGCGACAAATGTCGTGAGACTGGTCGTTGGAGTTTCTTCTTGTGCAGTGTGCCTTTGAAGGTACCTGGAGGTGTTGCTAGTCCGCCCAATGCGGTTGCTATATTTTAGGTTACTCATACTATCTCTTTGTTCTACTCCAGCAAGCTATATCTTCAAACGCTTTTTCAAACAGTACAGAATAACTGATTTCTGCTGTGCTGACTGTTATCTAAATCAGCACTTCATTTCTCAGTAAACATGGTGGAGAAATATCGTCGTCACGTGCCATCAAAGGGCGTAGAGTTGACATGCAGGGCGATAAATAAAATAACTCATTGACTACGAGAAATGCTCCTCTTTCTCCCTTCTCTTGTTCTTCTTTCGGGGCCTTAGGCAAATAGACTTTATTTTTCTTAAAGACTTCAAAATGTCAGACGGGGGTGATTCCCTACAATATCATCGGAGTGTTGGGACTTCCTCTCCAGCTTTGGTATGTGATTGGAATGTTCTGTCGTCTGAGGCTAACGCTAGCTTATCCAGTCTGAAATGAGCCTTGATCATACCTATACTCCGGAGTTCAAGGTTGGGATGAGACCAGAGATAAGACAGCTGTACCGCCCAAACGATAAATCGACTTGGGATGAATGGAATCCAAAAACAGCAGTGGTTGATGTTGAAGCGGGATCGTACACGCAGGAGTTTGCCCTTATCGTACGCCGCGAACCGCACCCAAGTAATGACAATCAAGCTGCTCTCAAGTCAATCACTGTACAGAGTCCGTTGATAAGAAAAGCCCTCGAGGCTGTATTCGATGGATACGAAGGACTTGAGACTCGACTAAGACAATTGACTTTCGAAGCTCCCTTCCATTCATTCTACTACAGGTGGCATCGATTCGAGAGCTTACGAAATTTGGAATCTGATGAGTCGACTAAAGCTCATTTGACCTTGCTGTACAACATCATCTCTCAAGAAATCTTGCCGTACATTCATACTATGCAAGATTTTACCAAGAATAGAGTCATTAGTTTCACACATTTGTGGACGATTTTCGCTCCTGGAACGGAAGTGTACACCAAAATCAAGGGCCACGATTGTGCTGTGAGACTTAAAAGCAGTAGCTACGGAGCGAATATGAGTGGAGAGTACTTTTCGCTTGAGTGTATGTACATCGACTGTGACGGCTCGAATTTTGGCTATGTCGATGCCTCGGTCGAGATAAATTCATTCGCCGGGGTCAAGAGGTTGAGTGATCTAGAGGCTATTCCAATTCACCTACATCCTAACATCGAGGAACTTGTGGAACGGCTTCACATCAGAGGTGACAAGTTTGAGCAGCTCAATGGCTTCCATCATATGTCTTACTCGGGATTCTATACAGCCCGGTCTTCCAGACAAGTCCGAAATCGCCATGTAAGTCATGTGGGAATTTCCGCTCAAAAGCTACGATATGCTTACCCTGTTTTTTGAATAGATAGCAAGCGGTCGAATTATCGTTGACCCACATACTTTTGGTATTTATAGTATGTCTGGACCGAGCCTGGCAGTTCTTGAAAATGACCGAGCTACGACTTACAGTAGCAAGTCTCTCTTTAAATCGGGCGACAGTGTCATTCGATCGGCGACCGAGGAAGAATTTCGAATGTACGAGGAGGCTCTACAAAAGTGTCAAGAGCTTCGGGACAACAATTCGAATCCCACGCGTAAGCATTTACCTCACTCTTATCTCTAATAAAACTAAACTCGTTAATAGCAAGAGTTCTTAGCTGTAAGCAAAGATTGCTTTGTGCACCAAGCGTTCGAGGCTACTGCCTCACGGCTAAGATTTGGGGTAAGTCTTCCGTTCAACAAAACCAAGACATTCGTAGACTAAAATGTTAATTTCATAGCCGAATTCGATGTTGAGAAAGTTTCCAGAATAACTTGGAGTACTGATGTATTTGCAAGACTTGTCCTTCCTCGTGGTACGAAAGAAATCATACGTGCCTTCGTGCAGGAGCAACTCTCGCACGATGATGGATTTGACGACATCGTATCTGGAAAGGGTAGCTCTCTCCAAATATCTCTGAGCTATTCGATTTGCAACGAAGTACTGACAGTGTCATTCTAGGTCTAGGATTCATAATGTTGCTGAGCGGGGAACCAGGAGTTGGGAAGACACTTACGGCTGAGTCTGGTAAACTTTTCACCAACGGCCTAAAGTTTTACATCACTAACTCGACCAGTTGCTGAAGAGATGTGCCAGCCTCTTTATGCGATGAGTGCAGGAGAACTTGGCGAAACTGCTGCTGAGGTTGAAGAGCAACTTGAGATGGTCTTAGAGCTCACAGCGAAGTGGAACGCCATCTTACTACTTGACGAATGCGACATGTTCCTCGAGGCTCGTACAACTGCAGACATAAGACGCAATCGTCTTATATCAAGTATGTTATCCCACTTGCCCAAAAGAAAGGGCCTCAATTGAAAAGTCCTTGCTTATGCCTCTTAACTATTTAGTCTTCCTGAGAAAACTCGAATACTACCGGGGCGTCATGTTCCTCACATCCAATCGCATTGACGATTTCGATCCCGCATTTGAATCCCGAATTCATCTCACCATACATTATCCTGCGTTGGATACTGCGAGTAGGCTTCATATCTGGCGAACATTTGTTGAAAATGGGAACTCGGAAAATGGCCTAAGCGATCGGGAGATAGAGAAATTGGCGACGATTGAGATGAATGGTCGACAGATAAAGAATACTGTCAAGACAGGGCGTCTTCTTTCAAAGCAGCAGAATAAGCCACTGTCTTTGAAACACCTTGAGATGGTGCTGAAAGTCAAGAGAGGAGACTTCGCGTAGAGTCAAGTTTGAATTAGAAGCAAGAAGTTGTAGGTAGAATTGGGAAATTTTGCAACAGGTAGTAGATGACTATAACACCCTTTCAGAAATTGTCAGCAACTAAGAGACTCCAAGACTTTCAACATCAATCAGTTAACGACTCCATCAAACATAACTGATGATTCTCAACAGCAAGAATATCAAGAAATTCACTAGGTCTTTGCAAGTTGAAAATAAATCCAAAGAAGTCACAACCTTCACTCAGTACGATCGCAAGAAGATTTACAATCCTTCCAAGGCCTCAAACAGCTCCAACACCATTGCATCTTACACCGACAAATCATATGCAAACAGCCCTCCGTCCGCTCAACCACGAACCCACACGAAGGACAAGTCTTCCACCCATTCTCCTTTGCTAAATCCTTGACCATCAATCCATCTTTATCATCTTTACAGACACCCTTATGAGCTCTCTTCTTACACAGCACACATGTCTTCCTCTTGCATGCGCAGATAGCCAGGTGTTTATTGACCATAAGAGGAGGTATGAATTTGTTGCAGATTGGGTTGGAACAGTATATCGGGTTTTTGCACTGGACTTCCTCGACCATTTCTCTGTATGCTTTGGTGAAGGAGAGAGATAGGTTGGTTGAGGCGGAACGGACACGAATGAGCTGTCCACAGCATTCAAATGGACTTCGAGACTGCAGGGCAGATTTGAAGCCGCCTGTGTGTTGGTTAGAAGTTTGATAGCCAAGATTGGGGATGAAATTTCATACCTGATAAACAGCGCCGACAATACTCGTGATTACAAGGAAGTGCTGATGACATGCTTTTGGGAATTCTCTCCATACACGCGGCACAGTAAGTCTTTTCCACTTTCGTCTTTGTTTGCGAGTCTGTTGTGCGAAGTGGAAAGACTTTTGTACAAGTTTTGGGCCGGCTCAATCGTTGGATTAGGTCTTGTTGGTGTTTGATCCTCGTATCACGGCTTGAGACAGCATTCGGAGTTGTTTCTTCACTTGTGATTACTAGGTTTCCTTCCACTTGGCTTGAATTATCACTCTCGAGGGTGTTCATGTCTGAATTGGGTCTTGTATCACTGACAGGCTCCTGTGCCTCCATCAAATTACCAGCATTCGAGGGACCAGGCGTAAACTCAGGATGAGGTTCAATCCACTTGCCCGAAAATATATCGACAAATACCTGCTCAGTTCCTTCTTCATCTTTCGGAATCAAGTGATCTAAAACCGTCAGGATTTGAGTATTACCCACATCAGCCATGGATTCTTCGTCGTTGTCATCCTGGAGTTCATCGACGGAATCAGATTCAGACGCCCAATAGCACACGTTTGTCTAGAAGAAAATCAGTTTTATGAACCCAAATCACGCGAAAGTTCCCAAGCAATCCTGATTTATTCAGATGATGTTCGTAGAATATTAAAAAGATTCCATAACCCCTATACCAAATCAAAAAGCAGCCCCAGAGCTATTTAGGACATTGGGAATTTGAAATACACTAACAGCAATATCAGGTGTAAAGCGCAGACACAACTCCGTTGCAGCCACCCGCTGTTCATAATCTTGCTCAAGCAAAATGTCAGAACTGGTTTCGACTGCTTTGCCTTGAATTGGTAGGCGGGCTTCTCGAAAATTCTTGACCCTTCCGAGGATACTCAGGTAGCAAGTGAGTGCTTCTCCAAGAGTTTTGCCTATTTGTTCGTCGTCGAGATTCATTTTGTAAGGCTGTGTCAGGGTGCGTAAATGTTGGTAGAATCAAGAGCCAAAGTGTGGTGAGCAGCAATAGATTCAACTTTTGTGACGAGTCTGTATTATGAATAGATTGGATGGTTTCGGATTTAATGGAATAGTAAGCTAATTCCAATAATCGCAGCTTGACATCTCTGACTATCAGTGCTCACATCAAAATTCTGGAAATGTACGAGGCTGGGAGTATGGCGCTTCTGCCTACAGTCATCGTTCACAACTCGAATCAGAAGTCAGTTCACGCAGACATAACAAGGCTGAAGCCGTGGTAGGGCTCTCTACCCAGTATGCTGCTACTCTGTAGAGTCATTGTCTTTCTGGAATACTTGGTTAGTCCATATCTAGATATCGGTATTTCTTTACGAGGTTAAAGATTAGGCAGAGCCCGCTTAAGCGAGAATAAATTGATGTCAAAGATAATCTTACACTTCGTGTCACATCAATTTCAAAAGTACGAACTGCGAAAGATTTCATGCGGTTCAATAACTTGTTTGGGAATTTAACACAAATCCGTGCTTTTGTTTTAAGTATAGTCGTTTAAATCCTAAAATCGGAGCTGGAATAGCTCTCCAGATCTTATCTTATTCTAATATTCGACATCTCTGAATAATAATTACTTCAGATACAGAGTAGTTTAACATATATAGGTGCCTGTTTTAGTGGAATAAATGAATTTTATGTTGTTCTTGAATGGCAACATATCTTGAGGTTCAACTCTGCAAATCTAACATCAATTCTCCTTCAACACCACACCCCAACACACGCAAACCCCCCTATTCCCCCAAAACATTTCAAATCAACCCCTCCCCCTCCTACGCTCAACAATGGGGGCATCAGAAATGCGGGGTTCATGTGGGACATCCCCCATACTCGGTACATTGCCCCACCACCAAATCCGGGGAAGACTGCAACCCCAACACCCAAAGCAGCAAGACATTTCCAAGGCCAATATCACAGATATTAAAGGCACGTCAGAAGTAGTATCTCCATCATGTATCCCTTCCCTTTTCCACGCTACGTCCTTAACCTACTCATCCTAAAACCCCCTTAATCTCTAAATTCTAACCGAAAAGAGTTATGCATGTACGTACCCCCTTAACCACCCATAAAAACACTTCCACACATTAGAATAAAAATTAAAGGACTGATAATTCAAAGGTCGTAATAGTAGGCACCGGCCCCTCGGGCCTCATCCTCGCCCTCCTCCTCTCGCGGGCAAACATCCGCGTAACCCTCCTCGACGGCGCCTCCACGCTCGACGACCGCCCGCGCGCCGCCCACTACGCACCCTCCGCCATCCGCGTCCTGCGCGACGCAGGCGTGCTCGACGATGTCCGCTCCAAGGGCTTCATCCCCGGCGCCATGATGTGGCGGAAGATCGACGGGTCCCCTATAGCAGGTCTCAAAGACACGCCGGAATCGCGCGGAGAGGATGGATTGACGGTTTTACCGCTGAATATGTTGGGGAAGGTGTTACTAAGTCATGCGGAGAGGGAGGGGAATATTAGTGTGAAGTGGGAGCATAAAGTGGTGGATGTAGGACAGGATGAGGGTGGTGCGTGGGCGGTTGTGGAGATGAGGGATGGGAGCGAGGTGAGGGTTACGGGGGATTATTTGGTCGGGTGTGATGGAGCGAATAGTCGGGTTCGGAAGGCGCTTTTTGGGGATGTGTTTGAGGGGAAGACGTGGGATGCGCAGATTGTTGCTACGAATGTATGTCCCCCCAATTTCCTCGCTTGATGTCGGAGTGCTAATGCGTGAGTTTCTAGGTATACTACCCCCTTCACGATTTCGGGTTCACTGATATCAATAACATCATCCATCATGAAGACTACTACATGGCAGCCATCATAAGCAAAGACGGCATGTGGCGCGTCTCCTACGGCGAAGACCCGAAACTGAGCTACGAAGAAGTGCTCGCGAACCAACCCGCGAAATACGAGCGCATGCTCCCCGGGAACCCGAAACCAGGCGATTATAAACTCACAAACGTCGGCCCCTACCGCATCCACCAGCGTTGCGCAGAGTCTTTTCGCGTAGGTAAAATCACCTTGGCAGCCGACGCAGCGCATCTCGTGAACCCCTTCGGCGGCATGGGGTTAACGGGTGGGATTGTAGATGTAGGTGGGTTGGCGGAGTGTTTGATAGGTATTGAGAAGGGAGTTGCGGATGAGGATATACTGGATAAGTATAGTGAGAAGCGGATGGAGAAGTGGAGGGAGTATATCAATCCGATCTCGAGTGATAACTTTTTGAGGGTTTCGGCGACGGATCCTGAGGATCCGTTTACGACGGATGAGTTTTTGAAGTTTTGTAGGGAGATGGAGGAGGATGGGACGGGGAAGATGAAGAGGGATTTTGACGCAGTGAGTTTTGAGAATTCTGGATGTGTGAGGTGTGAAGCTGATTTTGAGTGTGATAGTCTGTTTATGATATTTGCCATGACTTTACGCAGTACTATCGAGATGCTCCGGTTAGCAAGACGCCGGCAACCGCTGTAATGAATGGAACGACTGCGGTGAATGGGGTTGAGGGTCATGCAAGTAATGGTATCAAGGTATAATAGGTAGTCTGAGTGAATCTTAGCACTTTAGCCCATCTGCCAATAATAATTGCGAGTATAGATATACAGTGTGTACTGATATTATGCTACGTCAGATTACATTAATTACATCTGTGATGTCCAGCTCTATCCACATAATACGTCTAGAAAGCGTACCTTGCATCCCCTCCTTTATATATGACAATAAAGTTTCCTAGCGGACAACAGGCACTTACGATATGCAGCTATATCATCGTCTAAAATAAACCCCTTTTAGTCCAAACACCTAAATCATATGACCTATCATGATGGCGTTCTTAGCGCAACTTCCAACGTGAAAAACCCAACCAAAATCCCACAGCAAATAATCTTATCCGCGCTTGGGGTTAACAAGTCGCCATTAAACCAACCCTTTTCAGCGGCAGGAGTTACGTTCCCCTCAAATTTTTCCTCCATCTCCAACAATCCCTCTTCAGCTTCACCATTACTCTCCTGTTCCTCCCTCCACGGCTGCTGGCTATAGAAATTATAACACCACGTAGCCACACTCACAATCCCACCACCCGCAACCCTCCAAGTTGTGAAGGTCGAAGCCCTCAATTGCGGCAGCAGAACAAACTGACTAACAGCAATTGTAACCAAACTCGCAGCCGTCCCAATCAACTTCAGTATATTATCCCTCGCTCGCAGCACAACTGCAACGACTAGCCCCGTACCCGACGTTATGATAGTGAGGATAAGGACCGCGATCGCGATATCGAAGAACTCTGGCGTCGTGGCATTCGGCGGGAGGGACGGCGAGGGCGCGAGCGGGTATGCTATCAACGCGAATAGCATTCCCCAGATATACAGATATGCCTGCGATTCCCAGAACTCTCCTGTCTTCGTCGATGTTTCGGTAGCGATGCTTGCGAGCGCAGACAGACATGCGATTACGAAGCCAGCGACTGGTGCGAGGAACCATGCGCCTGCTCCTTCGACCGCGGGAGCACTTGAGGACGATGGGATGTTGAAGACTACCAAGCCAACGCAGAGAAACCCGAGCGATACCCAGGCAAAGACGTTGCGTTGCGGTTTGATCATATAGTGATGGAGGATACCCGTCGTAGGAAGTTTCGCCAGTATGCAAACTTGTAGCAGATTCGGTGATGTCTTTGGCAGAACCGTATAGTAAATCAGGTTATTCGTCAAGTACAACCCCGCTGGCAGCGCATACTTCAAGATCCGCTTGTACTCGGAACTGTCACGATTCTGCAGACTCTGGAAGATTTTCACAAGGCCCGTGATTGAAAATCCATCATTCGCACGAAGTAGGAAGACGGTCGCAATCAGTAACTTCAATGCCTCGGAAAAGAGCGTGAGAAGAGCGGCTGAGATCTGCGGGTAGGTGTGGAATGCATGATAGGCATAGTTTGCCCGGACTGTCTCGCAGGATACGTAGAGGAGTAGGAGAAGCGAGGAGATTGAGAGTGCCATCTTCACGGGAGGAGATCGTGAGATGGTTTGAAGATGTGTTGCCCAAAGTCAAAGAGACTCTCGTCGCTCTGGTCGAGGCTCAGCTCGCTTTGCACGTGGTAAAGAATAGGGGTCTCGATCTTCAGGGATCTAAAGCAGCTGAAGTGCGCTTTCCTCGGGGTCCAGGCGGCGAAGTTAGGCTTCCATAGCGGCGGCTTCTAGCAGATTACTCGAGTACACCTGGTTAAGCGCTGCGCACAAGCTTTGCAGATTCAGTTCCAGGCCTGATTAAGCGAGGACCTGGCGATTCTCCGCTGTTGTGGAACAGAAGGTCCAACCAAACTCACAACATCATGTCCTGAATCCCTCGTGGACTACAACATTCCAACATTCCAACAAACCTACTTTCAACGCCAATTACAAGAAGATGGTTGGTTTTGCCTTTCAGTGAGTGGAGTATCCCGCACCTCCTATGAAGTGCGAGCGCCCACGCCCGAAAAAAGAAACCTCGGGCGGGAAGGCGCGCTGAACAAGTCGTGGCTTTCCTCCTTTCCGACGCCACCAAGAATGTTCTGAGATAACATGGGGGTTTGCTGCAACCTCCTGGGATTCTTCATTTAAAAATATTCTTGGAGGCAGACGAGTACTCTGTGAGTCTCTAATTGTTTGTTATCGCCAACTAACTGTTGGCGCAGCAGTTGGCTTTCCTCTAGTGCTATTTTCATAATGGGATGTTTTCTTACTCCCCGCGTCTGCTTAACCTTCGCTCATATTTACGATAACTACGGCTTGCTGGCGCTTGTGAGCCTCATTCTCCTATCGCACCCCTAAATACGGACAAGCGAGACCCCTTTTACTCTCCCCTCCATCCCAAACGGAACAGCGAGCCACGACACTGGAGCAGGCAACCTTTAAATGCCCTGATTTAAATGAACATCCCAAATTGCTTATCTCGTACCCGCAAAAGTCGAAGCCTTTCATTCTGGATCCAGAAAGCGGATACTACATCACGGGCCACAGGGTCTCGGTAACGCCTTTGAGAGGTGGAAATCTCTCCATCGTGAGGCTCGAGCTTACACAAATCTGGAATTTCAAATGAGATGTGCGCCACTCGTAGAATTCAGAGCGGGTTTTTTTTACGCCGAGCATGAGAATCTTGTTCGAAATAGATGTGCTGACATGCTTTAGGCGCCAGATAGGGGATGTCCTGATAAGTGTTCGGCAGCTAAATTAATAAGATCATGTCCCTCTGATCTCGCCCAAGTTTTGTATTTCTCATTGAATTATTTTGCTGTCGCCGTCGGTCTTTCTATTTTTACCCCACTGTCGTTATGTCGAACTTTCGTTTATTCTTCAATCGTGTGATTGTCAACTGGCACTTTATTCTTATCTTTTCGATCTGTTTGCTCAGCATTCATTTTTTCTTTCTGAATGACTATCAACTTCAAGTCAACGACTCTCAGGTTGGTGTTGTACCCGCCGCCGATGCGCAATCAACATCCACACCTGAGAGCCCAGTAATTCTCGATCCCAACGCTGGTAAAGAAGGAGCAAACACCGTGGGCTTAGAGCATGGAAGCTCAAACGAAGTCTCCGTTGTCTCCGATGGCAAAGGAAATACTACGGCTTCGAGTACGCCAGGCGACAAGAGTTACTTGTCGATCCCATACAAACCCGAAGACGAATACCTCGCAATCTGCGTCTCCATGAAAGACCAAACCAAAGATCTTCCCGAATGGCTCATCCACCACTACCACCACGTCGGCATCCGCCGTTTCTACATCATGGACGACGGATCCGATCCCCCAATTTCTCAACAACTCACCGACTTCGGCATCCCCAAATCAGCACTCACCTTCCACTACCAAGACCGCGCGACGCGCGACGAGCACATGCAAGTAGTATTCTACGAGCAATGCCAGCAATGGTTCGGCGACAAACACACCTGGATCGCCTACATTGACGGCGACGAATTCCTCGAAGCAACTGGCAACGAAACTGTTCAAGACGTGCTACGCAGCTTCGACGACGATGACACCGTAGGCGCCTTGGGCGTGCACTGGAAAATGCACAACTCAAATGGTCTCCTAACCCGTCCCGAGTCCGCGCGCAAGGGCTTCACGACCTGTCTCTGGGACTCGCCCGAAGACTATCTCGGCGGGACAGACGACAACCACCACATCAAGTCTATCGTCAAGACCTCGAAATTCGCGCACTATGCGAACCCGCATAAATTCGAGCTCAGGGACGGCGCGAACACGGTTACGGAGCATGGGGATGTGGTGACGACGATTGCGTGGAGGAGTCCGATTACGCGGGATCGCGTCGCGTTGCATCATTATGCGGTGAAGAGCAGACAGGAGTATGAGGAGAAGATGGCGAGGAGTAATGGGATGGGACAGCCTAAGGGGGAGGAGTTTTGGAATCATATGGAGACGACGCCGAGTAGTGTGTGTAATGAGATGGCGATGTATGATCCGTAGGTGAGGGGAGGATGCGAACGGACATGCTATTCAGAGCGTGAGGGGATGGTGCCTCAACTTGGATCGAAAGCTGTGAAAGCTATCAGCAAGGCTCGAAGGAAACTCGCGCGATCGAACTTAGGGTGTCAATATCGCCATCGTATCTCATTATACCCATTCGCATCAGGACCAGAATGATTTCGTTACACCTGGACCCTGTTTGTCACCACATATCCACCAAATATAGATGCCAAAAAGCAGACCACAACCCGAGGCTGGGAATTTTCCAAGGGCCGAAAGCCATGTCGTCGAAATAGAAGTAAGACGGCATGTCGTTGGGGTCCACGCCGCGTTGTGTAACTTGACGGGTCATTTATCCGAACCAACGACTCAAGTTTGACGAGTTGGAAGTTAGAAGGACCTGACTTTAAGCGATTGAAGATACAGAGGGGGATATTGGTGGATTTTCTATGTTGAAGGAAGATTATGGAGTCTATATGACAAGTCCATAGTCAGTATTTATGGAGCGGGTGGAGGAGATTTGAGGAATTAGGCGGGAGGAGAGAGGAGAATGATGGTTTTGTAGATGATAATTTTTCTAAGTCGATGAATAAATATTGTGAACATTATCTTATCTTAGTTTAATTTCAAACTCCGTGCTCTACTAGTTTTATCTTATTAAAAACGTGCTATGGAAGCCACCTCAGAATAATAGATTTCCATGCTATAACTCAGAAAGACTTAGACCTGTTATGCCAACCCCATAAAACCTTCCTAAACCGCATTCATGTTACAGGCATAGTGATAACTCAGCAACCCATCACGCCAAGACACACACTCTCATAGATTTGCCAGCTATCTGGTCTTTCCCATCTCTTGCTTATATCCCTCAAACCATCACATCCCTTTACTCTTACAACAGATATCAATTCCCTCTAGCACCTACCTTCCAGCTTTACAATCGCAGGGCTGAATTTAAGTACCAAGACACCTGCGTATGTCTAGAGATGTTCAGAGCACGATATACGACCAAGTTGTGTTTCAATCCACCACAAGTCCTCTGCGAAATACTAAGCTCTACAACATGACTGCCATTCAAAGACGCCTATTGTGTGAGTCGTACAGAGATTTGTATTTAGGGCAGATGTGTAGGTTGATATGGAAATAGTTGCAAAATGGGCAACGAAAGATCGAACTAAATCCTGCATCATCCTTCATTTTTTCAGGCTACACATTCTCAAAGTCATAATTCGCTCCCTCATACGGCACTATTTGAACGTCTTACTTATTCCCCTGTTTCGTGGCTACACAAATTCAAATGAAAACCGAATTCATATCAACCACCGCGAGGAACAGCGTCGAAACATCTCTGTCAAAAAAGATAAAGTATGAGGGATAATCAATTTGGTGAATAAGGTTTGAAGCAAACAAACACATTCCCAAAATTAACACGGCCTCCTACACCCTAGATGAATGAACTATTACAGACAACCTCCTCGCTCTCTCTTCATCTATAAAATTACGAATGTCTAGTGTTTCCTACAGTTATTATATTTGAAAGATAGCGTCTGAAACATCCGCGTTGTAAGATATTACTACCCTTATATAACATTTCAATTCGGACATACGAATTCCCAAAAGTCAACAGGAGCGACCGGGAAAGCTACCACCTTTATCCTAAACATTTCAGTCTGCAAATATTACGAAATATTTGGGTGTGAATATGAGAAGTAGACGGGCTAACTTACTATAACAGAATGCCGTGAATGAGGCAAACAAGACGGGAATCAAGGCATCAGATATATTCGTTTTCATACATAGCATTTCAGTTCAACCATACAAATTCCACAATCCCACCCAAGACCCAAGCCTAGCCATCAAACTAATCATTCCAAATCACCAAAACACCACCCCCTTCCTTATCTCACCCCCCCTAATGCGTCAACTTCTCCCCCTAACCCCCCCATGCCACCCCCCCAACCAACTCCCCCTCGTCCAGCGTCTAATATCCTTCCCCCAAACCCAAAACCCAATCAACGCCAGATTATTAACCGCCAGCACGGCCCCAAAAATCCCCGAGATGACGACCGCATACCCGCGTTCCAGGATCCAATCCAGCAGCTTAACGCCCATCCCAAAACTAATAGCCTGTTTACCGAGATTCATCGCGATCAGCATCTCGCTCGTATTCGCATTATAGCTGTCCACCGCGTAGGCGAGCGTGAACGAGAAGTAGAAGTACGCGCCCCAATTGACCATCGCGACGCCGACCATGTAGCCCATGAAATGGAGGTTGTATTCGGCGGTGAGACCGTAGAGAATGAGGCCTGCGGGGGCGATGATCATGGCGGGGAGGAGGACGGGGAGACGCATTTCGGCTTCGCGGATGCCGTTGTTGCGGCGGGTCAGGTAGGCGGCGAGACGGTCGGATGTGAAGGTGAAGGGGATGGCGAGGATGTAGCCGGTGGCGTTGGCGACGGAGATGAGGCCGGTGTTTTCGACGCGCCAGTTGTAGGGCGGTTGTTGGATTTTGATCGGGAAGGTGTAGTTGAATGCGAGGGCGCCGAGACCGATGTAGATTCCGTAGGTGCTGATGACCCAGAAAACGGCTGGGACCGTGAAATACGTAAAGGGCCGGATCATAGTCATGAAAAACTCAGCGTCGCGATCGATACCATGGAACAACTTCAGAGTCTGGATGAAAGTTTTTCGTTCCGGGAGTACGACACTGTGGTTTTCGACATGGCTGGCGGTATTCATTTCCTTGCCTTCCGCTGATTGAGAGGATGGGGAACTGGGCGTTGGTGAAGAAGGAAGGACTCGTTTATAATGTGTCTCTTCGACGAAGAGGAATGCGAGGACGAAGAGGGCACCTGCAAAGGCAATTTCGACGTAGAAAAAGAGTCGCCATGAGTATCCGCCTGCTAGCATGTATCCTGCGTATAATGGACCTGTGGCTCCGAGACAGAGGGCGACTGATTTTGATTAGCTAAAGAGATTCCACTGGGAAAAGGGATATCACCTGTATAATACGCAATTCTCTTGCCTCTCTCATGCAAGAAGAAAATGTCATTGACGAGCTGCACTGGCAGAGCTTCGCAGACTCCTGAACCCAACGCGTGGAACACACGAGCGACCATCAACCCTTCGTATGTTGTTGCTCGAGAAGCGCCAATCAGTCCCGCAATGAACTATGGAGATCAATTAGCATCCATATCCCCAACCCACTGTAAGTAGAGCGGACTTACACATAACATACTCCCTAACATCACAGGTCTCCTCCCAACTTTCAAGTACAGAGGAACAAGAAACAAACTTCCTACACACACAATCAGCGATCAAGTTCCACCAACCAATCTTGCAACCAGCGAGCAGAACAAACTCACCGAATCCAAAAGCCAAATTCGCATAACTAATCAATCCACTCGCAGTAGTAGGCGTGATTCCAAACTCTTCCGCATATAACCCAATATAAACAGAAGGACCTAGAAGGGCCGAGTTGCCTAGAAACGAGTACGCGCAGCATATAATCAGGATCATTGACTTCTTAAAATTCGACCACTAGAGATGTTGTCAGAACTTTCAGCCGCTCAAAAGGTAGAGACATGACTTGAAGGAAGGGTATACTTACGAGAAGGGGATCATTCGGATCATCTGAAGGCACGGGGAATAACGCTTGTCCATATGCTGTATCGTCGCCCTCTAACCCAAATTAGCACTTGGAGTCTCAATTGCGAAGGGTTTAACATACCAACAGCTTTCAAATTCACAGTCCCGGGGATATCTTCTTCGTGCGCATGACTACACAAGTAACCATCAGCTTTCTTTTCACTCAACGACTCCTCCCATTTCTGATATACAAGGTTTCATACCTGCGGATGACATGTCTCACAGTCTCGACCTTCAATTTATTCTCCATCTTGCCGATCCAATTCGAATTGTTTCAATTTATTTCGTGTAACTCAAGGCGTAAAATCGAATCGCGTTCCCGACAAAGCTAGCACACCTGTCAGTCAATCCATCCGCATAATCTTGCCACAACAGCTCCCACCTTTGTATCCAGAGCCCCAGCTCCTCGTGGGCTATCCAGAATGCGGGGACCCCACAGACTGACAAGTAGATCTTCGTGGTGGGTCGTTGAATGTGGGGAAATTCTCTGCCGCGACTTGGTATTGCTGAACGCTAACTTTCCGATACGTGACAGCTGCCACGAGCTAGAAGAATCGTTGAAAGATCGTGAGAAATCAACGTTAAGATTTGATCTCAGAGGCACAGCCATGCTTATCATGGCAGTCTTGTACTGCTGATATTATCGGCACTGGCAGGCATAGCTGCAGTCTGTAAACTCCCCTGTTGTCACACTCCCTTGGGAAGAATCCGGGTAAAAGCCGCTGATGCTACAATGAACAGCAGTCGATATGCGCATACGGGGTTGAAAGAGGCCCAGTGTTGTAAATTCTCGGTAACGGACAAATCGCACTTGATACCAACATTACGAAGGTGTTGCAAACATGATCTTTTTGATTGATTCCAACATGTATATACAGTTGGTCAGCAATTGCTGCAGTACTCGATTCTGAACAATATCAATTGAGTATCTACAGCAGCTGTACTCGGCGAAAAACCATGTCCCACACGAACTGATTGTGTCAGGGGTCGTGCCGCCTCCACAAAAATGGTAGTTAAATTCCGTGAAGTTGCAGACCCAATGGTATGACGTTAGCCAATCAAAGCAGTTCAGCATTTCAAAGGGGGCTGGAATTAACAGGGAACTGGCAAGCTCCAGAACATCGTACGCCTCTAAATTGAAAATATATTAATCTCACCTGCATTTCAGTGAAGAGCCGTAACGCCTTGACCATAATGATGGAATTCCCCAGGATCAAGAAACCTCCGCAAACTCGTCCGTACATTGCCATTGCGCGGACGGTGATCGTGGTTTGACACAGATACACACGGTGATCCACAAGATCGTTAAGAGACTTCTTCTTACTATGATGATATCTCTCAAAGAAGTGGAATGCTTGAATGATCGTGAAAGGCGTATTGCAGGAGTCGCCCAGGTCGGGATAATTGTGTCGGTATTGGAAGGTGCAAAAGCTTCTTTTTTAATGACAAATTGTTGTGGCCAATGACAGTGGTTTCCAGCTTTCAACCAATCAAGTCTGTATGCTCGTACAATGGTAAGCTCTAGTTGGTGGACGTCAAATTGGTTTGCTGGAGCTGAATGATACTTGCCATTCCATATACTGGAAGGCTGGTTGTTCGGCTAGGATAACAATAATGCAAACCCAAAGTAACTGGAATAATGATGAGGGTGTCCAAAAACATCGAGAGTATACCTTGACCAATAATGATTAAGCTGATAGTACTGATAGTTGACTCAAGCCCATTGGTCGTCGCTCCCATCTTGACCAGGTACTCTCAAAAGACGTGGCGTGCGTACCGATGCGGGGTAGCGGACCAGCTCAATTCGGACATTCCCAGAAGGACATCCTAATCCAAAGAAGGAACATAGAAGCGGAAAAAGGAAGGAGGGTCAGTCGAGTTTACGTACCTAGAAGATTTCCTAATACTTGAGGAAAGACATAATATTGTCTCCGATAACAAGCCCATGAAAATAGCTCTTAAGACATATGATTTTGAGTGTGCGTGAAAGTTGATGAAAAGGCATCAGTCGGGCATGAATAACCCCACAACCTTTCTTGTAGGCAGGCGATTCTGATTGGGGCCCACATGCTTCACTGCCAGATTCCTGGTCATGGGGGGTCTTATCGATGTCTCAGGTCTCGTAGTGCGGAGCTGTTGCAACCTACCAAGACTCTCATACTTTCACAGCTTGAACTATTCCTCAATGTTGATAATCTTTGAACTGTCATAATTGACGCTCGCAACCAATCACAGGTCTTTGGCATTTGCACGATGAAGGAATCAGTGCTAGTAACAATTTGGGCAAATATTGAAGATGTGATATCAAGGACAAGCGCCGGGTCGGTTTTGTGGTATATGGTGTGCATTGGGTTGGTGGCGCTCGCGATCGACTATGCTTATATGATTTATTTTTACATGCGAATGGTAAAGTGTGATGAACATTGGAAGCAAGCATTGTGCTAAACGTCAACAGCCACCAGGACCTTTCCCACTGCCAATTGTTGGAAACACGTTTTCGTTGCCAGAGAAAAAGCCGTGGATATATTTTGAAGAGTTGGCAAAGAGATACAAGACGCCTTTGCTGACATTTTGGATTGGAAGAAATCCTACGATATGGATATGCGACGCGTGGGTGGCATCAGAATTGTTCGACAAGAGAGCGGGAATTTACGCATCTCGACCACGTATGGTGGTTTTCGGAGAGCTTGGGCCTGGCCAATCTAGTCTTGTCTCAATGTACTATGGATCGCGCTGGCGAGTCCATCGAAAATTGACACATATGGGAGTTGGCTTGCAACAAGTGCGGAATTATTTGGACTTTCAAACGGATGAAAGCCGACTAGTAGCATATAATCTTCTAACGACGCCAGAAGATTTCGTAGTCCATCTCGAACGATACGCAGCCAGTGTTGTGTCGATAATAGCATTCGGGAGAAGAATAACAAGCACAAAAGATCCAGTAATCAGTGAAGTGCTAGCGGTAATGCAGAAAGCTGCAGAGCTCAATGTGCCAGGGAAATCGTTTCCCATGCTTTTGGAAACTTTTCCATGTGAGTACCAAGGTTGACTTGGAGTTGGGGAAGGGATAGATGCTGATTGTTTAGTGCTGGCCAAGTTTCCAAATAGCATTGCACCATGGAAACATGGCCTTGGAAGCAAACGAAACGGAGGAGATCGTGGTCGACCGTTCTACTACGCTCTAGCAGAAGAAGCAGCCGCAAATGAAAATCAACAGCAATGCTACGCGAAGAAGGTGTTTGACGAAGCACCAAAATATAATTTAAGCAGAGAGGAGATCGCATCACTAAATGGTAGCCTTTTTGGCGCTGGAAGCGACACGTCTAGCTCGACACTTGTCACTTTCTTCCTCGCATGCACAGCATTCTCCGAAACACTTACGCCGGCCTGGGAAGAGTTGGATCGTGTTGTTGGTTCGGATCGAAGTCCTCTGATGGACGATGAACCGAACCTGCCATATGTCAAAGCATTCGTCAAGGAGGTGTTCCGATGGCGGTCGGTAGCAATAATTGGAGGGCAGCCGCATGCACCAATTCAGGAGGATACGTACAAGGTGAGTTCTCCATATTTGCTGTAAAAGTTGGAGACTGACGATATGTAGGGTTGGTTGATTCCAAAGGGCACTTGGATCCAGGGAAACCTTTGGGCCATCCATCGTCATGAGCGTGACTTTCCAGAGCCTGACCGTTTTAACCCTTCTCGATACCTCAAAGACAGCCCGGATTCAAGACCTTTTCCGAACGAAAGAGGATATATGGCCTTTGGCTGGGGCAGACGAGTATGTAGTGGACAAGGTCTGGCAGAGCAAGGTACCTTTATCACGATTGCTCGGTTGCTCTGGGGATTCCGCATCGAGAAGGCCAAAGACTCCAGCGGGAAGGAGATTCCGGTCGACATCTTCAACTACACGTACGTTTTCCAATATCTTCCACCCCAATTACTGACTTTCATAGAAACGGCCTCAATATGCGTCCAGAGCCTTTTCAATGCCATATCTATCCGAGAAGCGCCGAGATCCGTGACACGATCAAGCGCGAGGGAGAAGAGGCAGAGAGGCGCCTCTCCGTGTATGACGGGGAAACAAAGTACTCCTTCAGCCAGTACAACAAGAAGTGAGCAGGCGTGGCCAATAGCTTGGAGACATGTTAGAACTGTCGAGATTGGTAATGCCCATGTCTGCCATACCCGGTCGGCGAAATGGATTGTTCGTCAGACCAATATAGCCTCATAAACGCTTGACCAGCCGTTGGACGGATTTGAAAAATGCTGTATATTGCCAGTCGATCTCGAGTAACGCAGACGGCGAAAGAGTGTCATGTGCAGATGCGTAAATGAGGCAAAATGCAAGGATATCTGCAAGATCTGGGGGAAATAAAGATCGATCTGCGGGTAAAGTTCCGAGTGCAGTCTCAACACGAGCTTCTCAATGTATTTCTCGACTGTGCCGAGTCGAGGGCGGTAGTAGAGCCAACAAAGTTCTCTTGTTCATAAGTGCAGATTCGGCCATGATGCTAGATGTCGTAGCAAGAGTCGCTCGCAAAGTCGATGATGTTGCAGATTGCATTTCATCCGCTGGATACGAGTATGTAAGAGCTACGTTGTGTGGAGTGTGGTAAGAATCAGGATTCAGGACGTCCATAGATTTGCGCTGGGTGGATGTCGGCAATTTACCCTTACCGCCTTAGGCAAAACATCCGAAGCGTTCGGCTGCCGGCTATAATATTCTCCGACACGGTGGAGTCGAGCGACGGGCGAGAGGTCACGTGGCAGCAGCCGCAAAAGCTTGGAAGCGCTAAACCCCTCTTTTTCACTCTTCTGCATGGAACGTGAGCGGACGTCGAGACACAGTGGAAGACCAGATCTAATTCTTGCTATGTACCAGCAATATCAACCAACACAATTATTCATGGCCACGCAAAACTGACCTCCAACCAATTCTCATATACTCTTATTATATGCAGACCACGACGACTCGAGCTGTGCTTATTTATATCTCCGCGTCGCTCTGAGCATGAGCAATGGGAGCTGGAGAAGCGGATCTTGCCCACGTATCTCGATAACTACATAGATCTGGCCCCACACGCCCTCCTTTGAGCTATGCCTCCTACTGCAGACACAACGCAAGAGCTTAAACAAGAGCGCAGTAATACGCAGCGTGCAATTCTGCCTAAAAAATGTCTCTACTGCGAGAGGAGATTCTCCAAAGCGGAGCATCTAAAACGGCATCAACGTTCTCGTATGTAACTCCAACTGCGTTAAAAGTGCTTTGATAATAGCGCTTAGAAGGACTAGCTAATGCGCCCTTACTTCCTAGACACTGGTGAAAGACCTTATCGATGCTCACGCTGTCAAAAGTGCTTCTCAAGAAGGTGAGCTTCGGGAACTGAACTTAAACGTGGTTGTCGAGATGTGCTTTACTAATGCCATATAGCGATGTTTTAATTCGACATCTGAAAAACCATCCCCAGATTCCTGGTGAAGTGGGAGAGCAGAGTTCGTCGGATGGCGAGCACGGCCCAGTCAATGTCAAGAGGAGAGCCAGCGCTAGCAGTGCAGTCGGCGGTCCTCAGATGAACTCTGGTCTTTCACAGAGTATCCAAGATCATCAACCTCGGCCATTGTCACCGTCGAGGATTGATCCAGCTCTCCTAGGGCCAGCAGCGGATTATCATGACCAGACTGCTGCTCATGCCATGGCTTCCGGACTGGATCATTTAGCATTGCTCGCTTCCCAACAAGCTTGGGGGAGCGGTAATGGGGATGCCGCCATGAACGATGGAAACGTAGGCGTCGCTGGGGCGCCACCGCCTGAATCTCATGGATGGGGACACGAGAGCTCATCGCACGGTCATGAATTCGGAAGCGTACTCAATTACCAGCATGGCTTAACGCCGTCTGACTCTGAATATCAAATGATATCCACCACGAATGGTCATCATGGGTTAGATTTTGGTAACGATATCTATTCTGGTCGGCATCCTTCGTTACATGAGCAAATATCTCCTGTGATGGGTGGCGTAACACCGAATGGATCACTGATGCCTACGGAGCTCATGAATTGGTTTGATCAGTTTGATATGGACACAAACCCGCCAGACGCGCTTCAGCATTCTGGAATTACACCCGGCGCCGCTTCACAAGCAAGGGGGCAGCAGAGTACTTTATCTTCAGATGCTGGAAATTCATCAAAAAGTCCTGGCTCGGGATCTGTTATTACGTTGATTCCTGCTGAGAGGTTCCACAAAGTCGAACGCTGTTGGCCAAACCGCCCGAGCAACACAGTTCGTCTTATGCCTACGCTTTGGCAAGACGCAATTTCAAAAACCGAAGATAACCTGTTTTCCAAAGATAATTTATCACCTGAAGCTATTGAGCACAATAAACAATACGGATCTCGATGGGGTCTGGATGAAGATTGTAGGGTCAGACTCCAGAAGATGTTTGTAAACCTTAGCCGAAAGGATTCGCGTAGAGATTCGGAAGGCTATTCACCTTTCTCCCATTCATCGCCATCGGTAAAATCCTCCGTAACGAATAATATACAAGAAGAGATGTCAAATATTCCCAATTTCCCGCCTGCGGAAATATTCGATATCAGCTTGGATTTGTTTTTCAGGCAATTCCATCCGTTGATGCATTTTATCCATACGCCAACATTTTGTCCAAAGACAGCGCCGACATCGATACTGTTAATTATGTGTCTGGTGGGGCTTACAATACTTCAGACCAAAGGTGCAACAGCTTTCGTCCGCCAAGCATTCCCTGTAAGTTCACTTGTCGTCTCTGTTCTATTCCGCTGTCCGTGCTAACTAAATTCAGAGAGCACTTGAAAAAGTGTGTACAGAGCTCATGGCACCTTCACGAGAAGGTCGACGCATTGATCAGCTTTCGTCCTTGGCTAGTGCGATTCTCATCTTGAATCTTTCAGAGATGACTGGAGTATGTAAAAACAAACTTCGCAGTAGTATATTAGTGCTAACCGATTCCTAGGATCGAGCTCATCAAGAGCAATGTCAAATGTTATACACTAACGTCATTACTGTAAGATATGCGCCAGGATGACCTTACAACTGCTAACTTCGGTTCCCAGACTGCACAAAGACATGGCCTATTTAACGCCACTGATGCTCAGCCGCTCGACGATCATCTTTTCACCTCAATTTCAGACCTTGATGCGAGATGGAAAGCTTGGGCCAGGGTTGAATGCGTGAAGAGGTAAGCTATCGACAGCTCAAAGCAAACGGTGACACTAACGAAATAGATTAATATCATGCTTAACCATGGTTGATACTTGGTATTCCGCCATGTTTCATACAAGCCCAGTCATGCGAACTGATGACATACGAATGGTACTCCCATGCGAATCGGCTTTGTTTCAAGCACCATCAGCAGCCAAATGGCAGCAGCTTATATCAAGAGGAAGCCGAATGTGCATGCCTACTTTCACTATGACATCGGAAAAACTGACACTACCAAGAATTGACGGCACCCTCGACGTCAATGCAATGAATGGTGTTTTATGTGTTGTCCGGCTACGGATATCCGAAAGTTTTCACAGATTACTTTCAGGGACGCAGCGCCGAGCCATAGATAACTCCTTCATACCATGGAAAGCATATGAGTCAGATCCTCGGGCCAGAGCCAGCCAAAGATTCACGATTGAGGTTGTGCAATCATATGGCCCAATGCTATCGAATATGAACTCGAATTGTATGATTCTATGGCACAATATGTGTATAATGATTACTACAGATCTCCGCCTCTTCGAATTGGGAGCTGGATGCTCTGGTGCAGACGCAGCTCGAGAGGCTTTGGATGACATTGCCATTTGGACACAAACGTCCGCCGCAAGAAGAGCTTGCATACACGCAGCGCAAACTTTCATGTTAGCTTCCAACCGACGTGCATCTGATGCCGAGCCGTTTCATTCTACCACTGGACTATTCATCTCAGCTCTGGTCCTAGGACTTTACGTATTTATGGCTCCATCAGAAATGCACAACAAAGACTCCACAACGCCCATTTATGATCTTGTCGAGGAAGTAGATTGGAATGAGGTCGCTGGGGAAGGTTTGACTGACGAAGTACAAAGAGGAGAGAGTGCAGCCAATAACTTCATTAGACATGGTGGTCAAATTTGTTTCGACGGCGTTATACATCAGCCAGGTTATGAATCAGCTCGGCGAATTATATTGGATTATGCACGTTTACTTGAGGATATGGGGAAATGGAGGGCCGGCGTTCATCAATACTCACGAGTACTACGAATTATGAGCGATGCTCTTGTCGATGTGGAAGCATCTGGCGAGTAGGAGGGGCAAATTGATTCATGTCTTGTACAGTGGTCTGTAAAAAGAAATTCAAAAGCACCTTCCCACTTGGCTCCCGAGTACCTTGGAATTACTTTATGACATTTCACCAATTGGCCCCTCAATCAGGATATTCTCTCCGGATATATCGTGGGGCAGTGTTTCAAGGTTCCACTGGCCTTACAAGTCTTTCGTTTTGTACCCACCAACATTCAACCCCACAATCTGCCCAGAGCCGCGCCCCACCACAACCAATCCTGCCGGCTTCCATTAGTGAGTGAAAGTGCTGATACAAGCTTCACGTAATTATGGCTCAATTGAAAGATCTATTTTAGAACGAGATAAGCTATTTACAGCTCTACCTTTAACATAAAGTAACTCCTTCTTTTCAACAAGAAGAGTACCTCTATACCACCTTTTCTTTTGGAAGACGTTACTTCAATTCAACTACCATGTCTTCAACATCTACCAGCTCGACTTCAGAATACGTTTTGATTCCACGAGAACCAAAGACAGATCCTCAGAAAGTCTTTCATTATACTGATCTTCAAAGAAGCAAGCCTACAAGAGTCAATGATCCGTATGAGTATCTCCAGGGATTCGGGAATCGTCATCAATCGGAAGTCATCCCTGGGACTTTGCCAGCTGGACAGAATAATCCACAGGAGAATCGATATGGCTTGTATACAGAGGGAATCACATATTCCGCTTTTGCGGCGCCAAGACATCAGAATATGAGTACTTATATGTACCGCTGTAGACCAGCCGCTGCTCACAGTAAGTTTCCATCTCAATATCTATCTTCACAACTCCGAAGAGCCAAAGTCAGTAACTAATAGCCTCCTTCCAGATGGCTACAAAGAAGTCCCCACAACCGCCAACATCGAAAACTGTTTCCTCTCCCTAAACCCCAAAGTAGCACTCCTCCCCGAACAAGCAGAATGGACACCCTTCCCATTCCCCTCCCAACCCACCGATTTCATAGACGGCCTGCACACCCTCGGCGGCTCCGGCGACCCCAACCTCCGCGAAGGCGTTGCGCTGTACGTCTACCTAATCAACAAATCCATGACCGCGCGCTCCTTCTGCAATTCCGACGGCGACTTCCTTCTGTGCGCTCAACACGGCAATCTAGATATCCAGACCGAATTCGGGCGACTGTTCCTGCAGCCCGGAGAGATCTTCGTCGTGCAAAGAGGCGTGAGGTTTAGTATAAACCTGCCTGAGGGGGTTAGTGAAGCGAGAGGATATGTGACGGAGGTCTGGGGCTCGACGTGGGAGTTACCGGATCTAGGACCTATCGGCGGCCATGGCCTAGCGAACCCGCGCGATTTCCTATATCCCATCGCGGCGATCGACGAGGATCTACACGTGGACTTCGAAGTCGTGAATAAAATGAACGGAAAATATTTCGCCATCACGCAGGACCACAGTCCATACGACCTAGTAGCTTGGCACGGGAACGTCGTGCCTTACAAAGTACCTCCCCCTCTTCCCCTCCCCCCTTTTCACCCTCGCTAATCTGGTATACAAGTACGACCTCACAAAATTCTCCTCCCAAAACAGCACCTCGATCGATCACACCGATCCCTCCATCAACACCGTCCTCACCGCGCCATCCTCCAACCCCGCCGTCCCCCTCGCGGATTTCCTCTGGTTCGGGCCCCGCTGGGACGTCGCTTCCAACACCTTCCGTCTCCCTTATTTCCATCGCAACTCGGCGAGCGAGTTCCTGGCGAGTTTGTATGGGAATGGACTAGGTAGATCCGATGATTTTAAACCGGGGGGCGGCAGTTTCGAGGGCGGACATACGCCGCATGGAGGGTGTAGTGATGGGTATGTGGATGAGATGAGGACGCAGACGAATTTGCCGAGGAGGATTTTGGAGGGTGAGTGATAATCTCTTTTCTTTTTTCGGGGAGCAGGTTAAGGGGCAAAGGGGATGAGATTTGGGAGGGAAATGCTAATGAGAGTGCTAGAACAAATGACCATCATGGTCGAATCCTCGCGCACATTCCTCTGGACCGAGTATGCGAGGACGGGATGTGGATGTCTCAGTCAGCAGAGTACGGATCCGAAGGTTTGGGATAAGTTGCCTGTAAGTTTCTCCTCCACCCCTATTCCCACAAAGTTCCTCTTCAAACCGGAGCTGACGTCCTCAGGATAAATTTTCCGCCTACCCCGGTATCAAAGACCTCTTGCAGCGCGTGAAAGACGATAAAGCGGAGGAGAAACGGAGGACGGAATTTTATCATGATGCTAGTGTTGGGAGGTTGAGTTCTTAGATCTAGGTTTTGAGGCGTTTGGGGGACGGGGCGTTTGCGTGTATTTCGGTAAATTGAATAAGAGGATTTCGTTTGAGAATTTCGTTTGAGAGCTATGATTAGGAGGAAGTGATATAGGGAGCGCTATATTGTTGATTGACATACGTTATTTTTGGTTTTATGACATGTTGTCCTCTGAAATTGTGTGCGTTCTTAACATATAAACTGCTCTCAGGAATTTCGGTCTCACACTCCAACTTATCCCACCTCATCCTCTTACTCCCTAATCCCACAAAACCATCAAAACCCCTCCTTCAATTCCTGAGCATATTCCGACCCTCCTACGACCAAAAAAAAATGCTTGATGGCTCCGAGCTAGCGACATTGTGGTTTTAAGATGTTTCATCGTTGCTGTTTCAGGGAGGAGACAAGGAGAAGGCTGAATATACGCGGTAGTTCATTAAGAAACTACGAATATCCGTTGTGATAGGGTAGGAAAATTTAAGGAAAGGTGTAGATTTGAAGGGACCTAGCTGCTAGGAGTTTAGGGTAAGTTTGTTTGGGAGGTACACTACACATATTGAGGTATTTTAGGAGAGGTGGGGTTTTGGGTTTGAGGGGGAGGTTGTGAGGTTAAAGGTTTGATGTTCACTCAAGGTAGAAAGGTATGTATTTGATCATTAAATTGAATTTCATGTGTGTTCTAGCTTGACATTAGGTCAGATCTTACTGACTTCTTCGGGACAAGTATATAGATATAAAGATATTCGCGTTCAAATCCAAAATTGTGTATGACAATGCGTGTTTGAGTGTTCTCTAGGGCTAAATGTGGGTTAACCGGGAGGATTCAAGATACCAAAATAATGTTTAAAATATGCTTATCTTTTTAGACTTGGGTTAGGATAGATATCTACTATTTCAAGGCACAAGTAAATGATTAATCTATGAAGTTGACGAATCCCTTTTTTGGCTGAAGTGCAAGACTGAGACTGCATTCTCTTTCGAATTTAGATTCGATATTTTGGATATAGATACGACGATTTTGACACCGAACTGACACATGTAGGCGACATTTCCAGGTAGCATCAATTTACAATCCGTGCTCAAGTTCAAATATATACTCCACTCCAACAACAACAAGAATCCAACCACAAACCAAACTCACTTCTCCCCCAGCACCTCATCAACCATCCCCCAACCCCCCCAAATAATTCCCCTCCTCACACAACCCCCTAAGTTCCTCCTCCCCAAGGCACCCCCTAACCTCCCCATTCTCCCCCAACACCTCAAGCAAACTCCTTCCCCCCTCAATAGCCCCCTTGCAAGCCTCATAAACCACATCATGCGCCCTCCCCCGCCCAAGTTTCGTCGCCAACCCCATCATAACCGCCTCCCCCACAATCAACCCCCGACTACTCTTCAAATTCCTCCTCATAACATCCTTATGCACGACCAGACCGCTCAACACAAAATCAGCTTGATGCAACGCGCCGACCGCGAGCACGAAGGAGCTAGGGATGGCATGCCATTCTAAATGCCAGGGTCCGCTCGCGCGTTCGAAATCCGCGAGCATGGCGTCGAGTCCCAGTCCGGCGTTCGCGCGCAGCACTTTGGACGCAGCGAGGATGAGTTCCGCGGAAATGGGATTGCGTTTCTGCGGCATCGTACTCGACGCTCCGCGATGCGGGACGAATGGCTCGCTGACCTCGCCAAACTCGTTAGATGCCATGATCATGATATCCAGCGCTATCTTGCCCAGAGAGCCCCCTAATAGGGCGAGGAAATTCAGGATCTCGGCGGGGCCGTCGCGGGAGACGTGCCATGTGATACTCGGATTCTCTAAGTGAAGTTCACGAGCGAGTTCGGCGCGCACGCGGATACCGATGTCGTTTTCGCTGCCGAGACTGGCGAGCGTGCCGGCTGCACCGCCGTATTGGACGAGGAGGGTGCGGGGACGGAGTTGGGAGAGGCGTTCGCGGTGCCGTTGGAGGGCACTGAGCCAGACGGCGGCTTTGTAGCCGAATGTTATGGGGAGGGCGTGTTGGAGGTGGGTGCGGCCTGCCATGGGGGTATCCCTATATTTTGCTGCTAATCGTTCGAGGGATTTGCATGTTTCGTTTAAGATGCGTTCGACGATTTCAAGTCCGGTTTTCATTTGTAGGATTGAGGCCGTGTCCATTATATCTTGGGTTGTGGCGCCCCAGTGGATGTATTTTCCTGCTTCGGTCGGAACGAGGGTTTGGAGTTGGGTTATTAGGGGTAGGATTGGGTAGCCTACTATTTCTGTTTCGTGTTCGAGTTTTGCGTAATCGAGGTTTTCGTGGGCGGATGAGAGAGATTCCGTGAGGGTTTTGCCTATCGTTGGGGGGATGACTCCGAGGGTTGATTGGGCGCGAGCGAGAGCTGTTTCTACGTCAATGCAGGATTTTAGGTATGCTGTATCTGAGAAGATCTATTTCATGATTAGCATATTGTTCTGAAAATGGAGAAGGTCTTTGAGATGAGATCTCGAGAAGTGATACCTTTCTAATCTCCTCCGTCCCAAACAAACTCCGAAAAATCCTCGAATCAATCGCCGAGACCGCCATATTTCTTCTCGTCCCAAAATCTACTATCAAAAATGTACCTTTTCCGCCTGATCTACTAATTTGTCTACCGAAGCTACTTGTCGATCCCGTTATTCTTCGAAGTGTTTGTCCGATCATATTTATCCTTCGCGTACCAACCGACAATAATGAATGACAGACTCAGTACCAGCTTAGCACCTCGATTTGACATAGCGATCAATCGAAGAATCAGAAAGGGTAAGAGTGAAGCTATTTCCAAATCCCACATCCCTCATCACACAGCACGTCGTGAAACCTGGGCGGTGAAAACGCTCAGCTTGCATGTGGGGCTTGCAGGATACTCGAGTAAGCAAGAGCTGACCCCTCACCCCGCTTTGACGGGAGTATCCGTTGGTGGGATGGAATGATTCGTACCTGGACTAATGCTGCATGATAGATTAAGCAGGGGGTGGGGAGTTGTATGTGGGTTCGATTGTTGTTTAAGCGAGGTAAATAATAGAGATGGAAAATAGTGGAGAATGGAAGAGCCGGTACGAAATGTTGCTTTGTGATAATCTGCCTAGGTAGCTTTTTGCGTACAAGTCTTCTTCCCTGTTATTTTGAGTAGATGAAACTATGTACGAAACGTAGTGAGATTTAAAACGTTGGGTGGAGGTAGAATCTAATTTCAGATTAGTTAGAATTTCCTTTCCTCACTGCTCAACAATCAACTCACCAAGCTTTTAAATTTATGATTCCATCCAAGAATTCATTCCATATGAAAAGCTCCTTCCTTACAACATATTCCGGTAGAACTTGGTCTCACATCTGTCAGAAAATTACTTTCACTTCCTCACAACTCACCTCCAAATCACCAATTCTCATCACTTACACACAAACCCGAATCCAATATCCTTCACCCCCTAACATCCAAACCACTCCCTTCATCCACAAACACATTCCTACTCCCTAACAAACAATCCCGCAACCCCCAACCCCGTACTCGCACACATACTCACAACCCCCACCTCTCCCCCCAACCTCTCCAGTGCCCCAAGCAGCGTAGCAAGCTGTCTCGTCCCCGTCGCCCCCGTCGGATGCCCCAAGGCAATCGCACCACCATGCGGATTAACCTTCCCTTCATCCAGCCCCAATTTCTGAATACAATAGACCGCCTGACTCGCGAACGCTTCGTTGAGCTCAAAGACATCGATGTCTTTGATTTGTAGACCGACGCGGGACAGGAGCGCAGGAATGGCGAGGGTTGGGGAGATACCCATGAGACGCGGTTCGCAGCCGGAGACGTGGGTGGCGATGTAGCGTGCGATGGGTGTGAGACCACGGGATGTGGCGAAGGAACGGCGACAGAGGATTGTTGCTGAGGCGCCGTCGGAGAGTTGGGATCTATATACATACACAGTCAGCATCAAAACAAGTTCTTTCAGGCGAGGAAAGAAAGAACATACGAATTCCCCGCCGTACTCATCCCATCCTCCGCAAACGCCGGCTTCATCCCAGCCAATTTCTCCAACGTCAAACCCTCTCTAATCCCATCATCGCTCTCCACCATCACCGCATTCCCTTCATCATCTACACTCTCAACCCCCACAATCTCATTATCAAACCACCCCTCCCTCCTCGCCTGCGCCGCGCGTCTCTGACTCTCAAGCGCGAACTTATCCTGAACAGCCCTTGAAATCCCAAACTCCCTCGCAACATTCTCGCTCGTCTCCCCCATACTCATGATACAATCCCGTGCACTCCCCACGCTACTCCCTTTGAGCCCTTCACTCAAATCCTGCGGTATCCCCCTCGTAGCCTTATAATTCCGACTCATACTCTCCACGCCCCCAGCAAGACCAACCTCGATCTGGCCCACCGCAATCATATTCGCCACATGATTAAGCGCTTGTAAACTACTCGAGCACTGGCGGTTGATCGTGTGAAAGGCTGTGGTGACGGGGAATCCGACGTGGTTCAGCGTCATGCGACCTGCTTTTGCGAAACCGAGTTCGGCGAGGACGTTGCCGATGAGGACGTCTTGGACGTCTGAGGGGGAGATATTGGCGCGGGTGACGGCGGCGGCCATGATGGGACCGAGGAGGTCTTCGGGGTAGGCGTGGCGGAAACCGCCTTTGAAGGCGCGGGTTATAGGGGTGCGGAGGGAGGAGAGGAGGACGATGTCGCTGGGGAGCTTTTGGGTGAGGGGGCGGAGGGCCATGGTGGGAAGTGAGGATATACTATCCACAGAAATTTGCAGAATTTAGGATTTTGGTGAGATCATTTGAAAGCCAGCGGTTCTGTAAGGGTCAACTGTTAGCCATAGCTCCATGCGTAATTCGAGCTAGGAATTAAAATGTGCTACCAGGAACAACTCACAGCTTATATGCAGTGTGGGGTACTTTGACCCCTCGCTCACTCTACTCCAACCACAAACCTGCCCCACGAACTTCGGGGATTGCAGCTTCAAAATCCCAATTTTCGCACCATGAATATATTGTGCGTATCATCGATTGGCCTTGATAAACCCTTGACTGTACCATCAAAACATCGAATTCTATCATGACTAAAGACGAAATCAACGTAGGAAATTTGTCCAAGATTAAACACTTTACCGTGAGAATGATCTAGGATTCAACTGTCAGATCCTGCATCAATAGCAGTGCAGTTTAAAATCAGATTGTTTAGCTACAAACATGAAGCTTAGCCTTTATTTAGTCCTGGAAGCTTTAGCATAATTATGATTTCAATCCATCTCACTCTGTCCACAACCAAACTTACCCCATGCCCAAACCCCCAACATACTTCTACTAAATCCTCATAAACTCTCTCAACTCAATATACCACCTTCCCTCCCCTCTCCCTCTATCCTCTAGCAAAGCATCGTTTTCAACTCCTCCGCAACCCTAAAAGGCGCCTCCGTCTTCTCCCTAACCTGCTCAACACTAACCCCCTCCGCAACCTCAATCAAAGTCAGACCCTCCTCAAAATCAACATCAAAAACAGCTAACTCGGTGATGATTCTGGAAACGCATTTCTGGCCTGTGAGAGGGAATGTGCATTCTAATAAAATCAGCCCTTGCGCAGAGAGTAAAGGAGGATAAGAATGATAAGAGGGAGGGATAAGGTGGAAATGGTTTTGGAATATACCTTTGAGAATTTTAGGATTTCCTTTTTTGTCGACGTGATCCTGGGTTGTTAGCTGTGGAATAGCGAGGAGGGGAGGAGAGGCTTACCATAGTAACGACGACTTTGGTTTTAGTAGGATTGGCAACTAAATCCATTGCTCCACCAATTCCCTTGACTTTACCGGGGAGCATGAAATTCGCCAAATCTACTTCTTATCAGCCCAACCCCGCTCAAGCCACGCAGGCAATCATTCATCCGTGAGGTTGGTCTACATACCACCAAACATCCCAACCTGCAACGCCCCCAACATAGTTAAATCAATCCTGCCCGCCCTGATCATTCCAAAACTCTCATGACTCCCAAACAAACTCGCTCCCGTATTCAGTGTGACACTTTCTTTTCCCGGGTTAATGAGATCCGGATCTTCCTCACCAGGATACGGATACGGTCCCATTCCCAAGATGCCGTTCTCGGATTGCAGGATCACTTCGATATTTGGGTCGACGAAAGCTGGGGCCGCGAGGGGCATGCCGATTCCGAGGTTCACGTGCATACCATCTTTGAATTCGCGGGCGGCGCGTTTGATGATACGTTCGCGGGAGGTGGAACCACCGCCGACTTGAGAGAGTTAGTTAAGGAGCTGGGAAATAGGATTTGGGGGTTTACCAGCTGCTTGTAGCTCCTCAGGTGTCCTTCGAAAAGTGGTCTTTTCAATCTGCTTCCCTTCTGTGCTTTTAATGACTTTGCTAACATAAATTCCCTGCAAATGTATATCTTCCGGCGCAATATCGCCTACCTCGACGATATGATCACTCTCCACCAGAGTAATTTTAGCATTTTTACCCATTGCTTCGTTGAAATTGTTTTGAGCCTTTCGAAATTGACAATTCCCCATTCGATCCGCTTTATGAACTTTGACGAACGCATAGTCGGCGAATATTGATTCTTCCATGACATATTCTTTGTTGTTGAAGGTGCGAGTTTCTTTTGCTTTTGACATGACAGCTACAGTGCCATCAGGGTTGTAACGGACTGGGAGATCTCCTGTTTGAACTAGAGTTCCGTTAATAACTGCTTCAATAGGGCTCTGAGTGAGATTGTTTACCAATAGTACCAAACGCAGCAGGTGTATAAAAAGCTGGCACTCCCGCAGCTCCAGCAGCACATTTCTCTGCCATTGTACCTTGCGGCGTGAGTTCCAACGATAACTCTCCTGTAAGATACATCTTTTCAAACACCTTATTCTCGCCAATAAAAGATGCCACCATCTTACTGATCTGCTTCGTCTGGAGCAATTGGCCTAGACAAATTTATCAGCACATTATTCATAATACAAGTATCTCACTTACCAAGACCAACACCTGGCATTCCAGCATTATTCGACACAACCGTAAAATCTTTCAGATCCGGTCTATCTCGCAACGCATTTATCAGAGAATTCGGCACACCACTAAAACCAAACCCTCCCACCAACAACGTCGTACTACCTTTAATATCTTTGATAGCATCTTGAGCAGAAGCACAGATCTTATTAATCTTCTGTCTTCTTGCTGAAGAGGAGAATTCGCGTCGACCAAGGACAGCGTTAACGCGTAATAGCTTCATGATTGCAGTTCAAAAAGGTACCGCGACTCTCTCCGCCATTTTTTGCACCTCGACATCGTGACATTCATCATGCATGTGTTGGTCTTGAAGGAAGCATGCAGGGCGTCCCACAACCAATGCCCCACGAGGGTACGGCATGAGCTTCAGGGGATGTGAAGCGCGGGGGTGCGGGGCATGTCAATAGTCCGTGGAGAAATGAAATGGATTTGAATATAGAAATATTTGTAGAAAAGATGGATGAAGGTTGTAGATGTTGTGTAAACTGGATATACTCGCCATCCTGAGTGGTTGGAATGGCTTTTTCCCACCAGGCGGCAAAAGGAAAGAAATACGGAGAGCTAGAAATGGAATTACAATAATACTGAGATCTAATATGGTAGAGCGGTAAAAATAAATCCACAATCACTTGAGAGGACGTTTTCAGGAAACTTCATTATTTTTGTTGTTTGTTTGTAGAAGCACAGAGGAGTGATGGAGCCCGAAGAAATGGGAGTCGCTAGCTTCAGCTCACATCAGGGGTCAAAATAAGGTTTAGCTGCTCTAGATCGTATTTCTCATGCATTAATTAATCAAAACTAAATTTGTATTTCATTTAATCCTTTGCTTTGTTTTTCTATTTGAATTACATGAAAATTTAACTCTGATCTAACTCTGCAGTGTCCAAGTCGCGAGGTCAATTGCCATTCTCCAACATGCGCAAACGCGGCTGAAAAAAATGGCCACACCTCAGTCTTCAGGTCCAACGCCACAAACACCACCACTCACCACCCAGCTCCCTCACCTCTCGACACTGACAACTCCAATGTCAGAATAGCTTCAATCACTCGCTGGAATGTAGCCATGTCATCCATGGCACTCCCTACCCGCGTAGCCTGGGTCCTGCGAATCTCGTTCCTCTCTGTGGTCCTCTTCAGCATCTCCTTCTACGTTCTCGAACCGCACGTCCATCTACGTCGCTACTACGAGAGCAATCGCGTGCCGGAACTCAATGCTAAAAGTGCATTTGTGAAAGGTGTGGTGGAGAGCGAGATCGATGGACCGTTTGATGCGGGGACGTTACGGGCGTTGTGTTTGAGTAAGGAGTGGATGCCAGGATTGATATTCAAGTGTGAGGCGCCGAAGGGAGGAGTTGCGGTGGTGCGAAATGTGTTTTTGAATTGTGTGCGGTTTGCTGTTGAAGCTGGTGGTAAGCTCGTCCATCCCTTAAACTGGTTACAATTCCTGACAGTTATGTGCAGCAACATCCTTCATCCTCCCCGAAATGCAAGCCCACTCCACCACCGAAGACCTCACCAACCCATTCTCCCACTACTTCGACACCGCTCACTTCACTTCCACCCTCGAATCCGCATGTCCCCAAATAACACTAATCCCGCACCTCCACGACCTCTGGGACAAACCCACCGTCGCCAAACCCATAACCCTCAAACCCTTCGAAATGGGCAGCGAAGTGCTTGTCGACAACGTAATCTCCAAACCCAGCCAATGGGCATCTTTCTTTCACCAATACCTAAACACCACACATCCAAAACCATATTCCGCCGAGAAACCCGTCTTAGTCTCGCTTCTGGCGCCGTTCTTGCAATGGCCACTGGCATACGATGATCCGCATCTCGTTGCGAACTTCGGGAAGCTGCTACGGTATAGAGAGGATGTGCGGCGGTTGGCAGGCGTGGTGTTACATGCGCTTGACATGAAGTTTAACACGGGAATTGAAGCGGATAAAGAGGGCATCCGTCTAGGCCATTTCTACGGCGCGCATTTACGCACGGAATTAGACGCCCAGGCCGCGGGGTGGACGCCATATGAGATTCAATCCGAGAACTACCTCACACACGCGCAGAACTCGCAAATCAAAACTATCTACCTCGTTAGTGGGAACGAAGAAGACGCGATTCGCTTCCGAGAATCCGCGATGGAGATGGGGATGCAGGTTGCAACCAGAGATGAATTGTTAAGTGAGGAAGGTTATGAGATGGATATGCAGGAGATGGAGGTATTGAGTTGGGATCAGAAAGAGTGTGTGGATTACGAGGTACTGCTCAGGGCCAGGGCGATGGGGGGATCGCATGAGAGTACGTTTGCGTGGAATGTTGCGCTGCGGAGACATGTGGTTGATGGGCAGGGTGTTTGGGTGCCGGTTGTGGATTTGGGTGTTGAGAGGAGGGATGTGGAGGACGAGGGGGAAGGGGGTGAGGTGAATGAAGACGATCAGAGTCCTAATGAGGAGGGCAATGCGGAAGGTGAAGAAGACACACCAAACGAAGCCACCTCAAACACCCTCCAAAACAGCTTCCAAGACTCTCTAAGCACCATCTACGGTCCCGGCGACGAGGGCATGAGTATCAAAGTAGGCATGTGGCCTTGACCATATTATATCTTGTTTTAAAAATCGAACTCGGAGTTTTCAAAGGGGCTCACTTATTAATATTAGAAGTGTAATACGAGAATTCATCTAATACTAAAAGATCTTATAACTAGTATACATACTTCTGGCGGGATGGAGCGCGCTTGGAAATGTAGAGGGGGTGTGTGGTTGGGAGTTTATTTTATTGGTTCAAAGTTTGACACTCGCCTCCTGATTTTATGGTCGGATTTTCTAGCATTGACTGGAGTCTGTTGTTTAAGAACCATGGTGGGGAGGTTGATCTGATATCATTTGTCTTGAGTACAATCATTTCGAATCTGATAATGCCTGCCACTCTTTCTCCGAAGTTGTTGTGTTGTGCGGAGGTTCAATTTGGAGTAGGGATAACTGAGGGGTGTGTTTCGATGTTTGTTTTGTTGTATTCCTCGCTCGCTTAATTACATGCCTTTATACGCCGTGATTTAGTCCATATACAGGCAATCACCTAAACACACCGGCAGTCTTGACGTCTGAGTCCCCTGCAATTCCCTTCTGCTTACCATTTAAACCTCAACCTTCCCCTCACCTACCCCGTGCACCCTCCTCATCCCCTCCTCCTCTTCAGTTCTCACCTCCCTCCCTTTCTCCGCCATCCTCTTCAACATGCCACTCTCCACAATCGCCCGAATCAACTCTATCGTCGCCTCCACCCCCGTCTTGATATGCGTCTCGTCCGCTTCCACCGGTACATGCAAGAACACAACTCTCTTCTCTTCACCGCGCCGCGCGAGGTGCGATAGACTTGTGTAGTAGATGTAGTCGCAGAGATATCTGCCTGCGTCTTCGGAGACGCGGAGGTCAGTTTCCTGGTGAGTGAGTTAGCTTAACTCAAAAGGGAATGAGAAATAGAAAACAGAAGGGAGTTAAAAGGCAAGAGGGTATAGTACAGGCAAACTCGTCCTCCACCGCCTCCACACATCATCCACATCAACATCACTCCTATACTCCTCCTCCACGCCCTCCTCCCACTCTCTCGAAGGTAACTCCCCATCTACATCCCGCCCATAATAGCCATCTCGATGCGCCCTTCTTTCCACACTGTAATACTTCCGCCCCGACGCCATACCGATGTGTATTGCGTAGTCTATCTTCCGGCCGGCCCATAGTTTCGGCACGATATCGCGTACGGTGGTGTAGGAGACTTTTTATGGGGGATGGATGGACTAAGATGCGGACGCGAGGTAGGTTTATGAGGGAGGAGATGGAGGGCGTGGTGGGGTGGGGGGAAGGAAGGGGGGGAGGAGGGAGGCGATTGAGTAGGAGGGGTTGAGTGGGGTATTGTGTGCGGAAGGGCTGCGGGTTGTTAGTTGTGGTTTGAAGGGGGAGGGGGGACGTACTGCGAAGCCGGTTACGAGGACTGTGATTTCGTTGTCGTCAAATGGGGTTTCTTCTGCTTGAGAACCCATGGTGGGGTGATGATGGTGAGGTTGTTGAGAGGATGGATGGGATGGACGTAGGATATGAAAAAGCAAGAGTGGAAGTCGATGTATGGCAAGCAAGTATATTTACCTTACCTATAAGTATAAGAGAGATTTAATATTTAGGTTCTGCGTGTGCGTCTAGATTGCCAATGAGGTCAGTTGTTGTCTAATTCAACCGGTCGAACAACTAGTTGCCGCGGTTATTCATGGTTTAGACGTGGGGGTGGAAGTGGATTCCCATCGGACATCGGATCGAACATCGGACGCACAATATTTAAGGTTGATGATCTCCCGTCGACCCCGGTCTTTCCGACTCCTTCGTCATCCCCACGTTCTTTCCACATTCACTTCCTCCAGCGCTGGTCGCATTCAAAATAATTTCTTCAAAACTCGATATCGTGAATTGACTTTCCGGATACAATATGATGCGCGCACATACCTGCCAATGGTATTGCCAAATGCAGCGCCAAGGACTCTGTTGTCCTATGACACGACTAACAAGAAGATTCAACGAGTTGAACTCCACACGCATGATACCAAATATACCTCAAATAGATCGACAACCCAGCAATTCTCAGAATCCTCAATCCACCATCATAGAACCCTGGGACAGACCTGAATTTGTCTACTTCATGTTCCCCAGCGAAGACTTCAAATTCTTCATCCTCCCCCGGAAATCCGCCTGCGAATCTACGAGTACCTTCTCATATCGCGGGCCCCAACAGCAAACCCCCTCGACGCCCGTCTAAGCGAAGTCCAAGCAGGCATAGACACGATCAACAACCACGCCCCCAAACCCCAAATCCCACGCGGAACAAAAATCTCCATCAAACTCTCTCTCCCGTGTCCTTCGAACCCGACAATATACCCCGACATCCTACGCACAAACAAAAAAGTTTACTCCGAAGCCAACGAGATCTTGTATATGCACAACACATTCCGTTTCGGCAAAGCGACGCACCTGCGGAATTTCCTGCATCAGATAGGTCCCACGAATCTCGCTCACATCCGGGAACTCCAGCTCTGGATATCCCCCGAAGCGGCCATCGGACCGTGGTCACGCGCGCTCCTCACTTTATCCCAACAGACACATAGTCTGAAGATCTTGCAGCTCGAATGGGATGAATCCGGGTTCGGCGCAAAGCGCAAGAATTTCGATTTCATGACCGCGCTGATCAAGATTAGAGGGTTGGAGAAACTGGTGTTTTTGGAAAGTGAATCGTCGGGGGATGAGAGGAAGAATTATTGGGTGCCGTATTTGGAGAGGAAGATGCGGATTGCCGTGGAGGGAGGGATGGCGGAGAAGGTGGTCGAGGGAGCGGTGCGTGCGGATGCGGAGGAGGTGATGGCGTTGGAGGAGGAGATAGAACGGTGGGTGGAGGAGAGGGGCATGAGGAAGATGGATGATGTTATGCCGGGTTGAGGTTGGGGTTGGCATTTGAAGACTGGATATTTGAAACCATGGGCTGCGATATAGGGGGGTGGCGTTGTAATTAGATGGGATATTTGAGACTGTAAGTCGCGAGGTAGGAGGGTGTAATATGGTGGTTTAATGTAAAAGTATGGAATTGGAAAATGAGCTGTCAGCTCGAGCGAGGAAGATTTAATCGTGTACTTTTCACGTTATATAACCCTATGGTTCTCTAAACTTTCTAAACCTAAATTACCACTAATCTACAACTAACACAGAATCTTCTTCAATGGCTGGATATCCAAGAAGGTGGAAGGCCAGGTGAGGATTATAAAAACTAGAAGAAACAAACCGCGAAGACTTGGTAAACGAATCTCCTCTTTACCTTTATCGATCTAAAGTTTCCGTCGTCGCCGATACCTACATGAAATTCCTGTATTTATAAGAAATATATTTAAATAATCTAATAGTATCGTAATTCTAGAATTAAAAAGAGTCTATTTAATTATTTAAATTTATATTTACTATATATTAAGCTAGAGTCTATAGCTTAAAGAGAAAGATTTAGAAATAGATTATAAGTAAATATTTTACTCTAAATATCTATAATATTCTAAAGTATATTTTAATTATTTCAAACTATCCTAACTCTACGCCATCACCCTAAAAACACCCTAACAACCCCCGCTCTATCTCTACCTACCGCGAGTATTTTAAATCCATTCTTCTTACATAAACGACTCCTTCATTCTTTACATAACAGAGACACATAGTGCGAAACGAGCTATAAAATTCAAGATTCAAATAGCGACAACCCTTTTAACAAGCTCATTCCACTATCAAATAAACAGGACCTCTTTTCCGCAACCCCCTCCCTCTATCCTACACTTAAGGAAAAACGAAATTAAAACGCGACTACTTGATTTTCCGCGCTCTACACCGATGTTAAGGGATAGAAAGTATCCGTTGATCTGAATCCTGCGATCGCTAACATGCGGCGCAATTGCATAGGCCGTCTTTACTGTTTGTAGTAGCAGATCTACCGAGATATAAGAATAAACAACTTACGACGCGAGGGCCGAGAAATGGTGGGTTTTGACAATGCTGTAGGGAGGTTAGGTGGTGTGTAGCGGAAAACCCCATGGAGTGTTAGCGCCGACGTGTACTTTCCTCCCGAACTTCCGTTAAGGCGCTGTGAAATCTGTAGGAATAAAATGGGTGTAAGATAGTTAAACTTGTGAGAGTTTGTTGATTGTTAATTAAATATCACTGTTGCGTTTGAGGCTTGTTATTCATTTCGGTTTATTACACGTTTCGAGCTTCGCGTTGGTGATCCAACGAATGTTTTCATGTTACTTGATAGTATCTATACACCATTGCACAATGAATCATAATGAAAACATGCGATATTAGATAGATAGTAAAAAGAACTACTCTATCATCTCCTTCCCCCACACAGAAGGTATACTCATAAAGAGGATCAACCTCTACACCAAAACCCAAATCACCACTAACCCGCCCCTCCACCAACACATGCACGAATCTCCCATGCAATCCCGCCACAGATATGAACCTATCTCCAACACTCCTTCAAACGGGTCGCACCATACGCGAAGTTTCAGCTACCGCATATGTCGAATTGGAGAAAAAGTTGTGGTGTTGAGAGTCTGGTTAAGTATTTATACCGTGCATACAGGTCCATGTGGTTGGCAAAGTACTAATTTTCTGCTTATGATTGAGGTCTGGTGTTGAGGTTGTGTATGTCGTTAATTTATTAAGATGAATGGACGAGGAGGACGTGTGGCGGGAGAGTTGATGCGAAAGTTGTGTGTAGACCTAGGGTTTTGGGTTTTGTTAAGATAGGCATACTATATTTTGAGTGGTTCAAGAGTTGGAGTGTTCTGATGGTAATTGTCGCAAAACATAGTCGTATGTCACAAACTCAAGCTATATACCTTTTGCCAGGTAAATCATCTCTCTGAGAGCTAGTATGCGGTATACGGAGAACTCGAGAACGGTGATATCGGTTCATGGTAATTGTCATTAAATCACAAATGGGTATATCGTAACTCAACAACCTCATCCATTCCCCCCAACTACATCCTCCACTACCCCATCTCATCCCCACCTAAACCGTTCCCCCTCAACCATCCCCCTCCCTCCTCCCCTTCCCCATCTCC